CGCTTCACGTCAGACTCACATTATTGTGTATCTGTACAGTCCATTATACGCGCAACTGTGTGCGCAGTAGCTGTTCTTATGTGGCCATTCCCGTAGGCATCAGTTGTAAATTGTAATTAAATAGTTATTGGATCGAGTAGCTTCAGCTATCTCAATGTTGCAGAATTCCCAGCTGTTAAGCTATACTCTGTAATTGCTGGTGTGGAAGATTTAGGAACTCTCACACATTTTATGCAAGTTTATTTTTACAGCATGCACGTTTTCTGCACAAACTGTGGAAAGCATTTAGCAAACTGAGGTACTCGACTGTAACAACTTCAGTCGGCACCCAAAACGTTTTTCTGAATTAAGGAAATGTTTTAGTTGTATTCTATTGTTTATCGGCAACATTTTTTTCCAGATTGTAAGCTTAAGGGTGAAGCAGTGTTCCTAAACTTAATTAAAGGGTTGTTATTTGCATCTACCGGCACCGGCAGCATATAGTTTACTCCGTCACTCACCATGGTCAGTATATCGACACACTGTTCAGAGTGGAATAACGTTATTAAATCAGCTATCGGCATGTCACATCACCCGGGCCAAATTTTGAAAACAAGGTTAAACCTTCATCGTATTATTAGATGACAAAGTTGTTCGGCACATATCGCTGACTTTCTCAACGCAAATTCTTCTCGGCTAAATGTCATCAAGTTGAGCACGCTTCAGTCGTAGGTTATGTTTAGGCAACTGTTCAAAATTAAAGAGCATGACGGAAAAGATACGATGAGAATTTTCCTATCTAACTCTAAGCAAAGATTTAGACGTCGTCCGACTATCGGCCACTAAATGCTTTCTTCCCATGCCAGGGAAACATGTTTTACTATTGCACACTGCATATAGGCTCTCTCGTTGGACTGATATGTTTGTATTTACTAGGGTTAGATTTAAATCACAAGCTATCTTAAAACTTGATGTTGTGTGTGTTTTGTAGTAATAAATATTTTGAAGACAGGTAAAATTTAATCACTTCATGTCTGTGAACAGAACATGTACGATAACTTCTATAGATAAACACATCCCGGGCTGCTTATTTCATTCTACATAATCCAATTAAAAAATGCAATTAGTTTTGTAGTTTACCAAATCAGTAGTTTACTAAATTTTGTTTTATTTCATTTAATTAGAGATCACCTTAAATTCGAACGATAAAGAAAGGCGCGAATTAAAAGGTCACTCTGGTTCAGTTAGTAGTGACACGAAAACCCAGAGCGTACGTACATACTTCGGAACAAAATAATTTTGTTGCCGAATAATCTTGGGAATTTTGATGACTGCAACAGATGTCTTTTAACAGTCGCGCTTTTGTGTTTGGTTGTTACGATGTTGACTGCGACTGTATGCGAACTAAGTTGTGTCAAATGAGCCTGACAAGAATAATCAATTAATGGAGCAAGTTTGTTTTGTGACATTTACAGCATGCAGCCTAGCGCAAATTGGTGAAGATTTGTGTTGGCGTGCTCGCATCTTTGATGACAGCCTCAAACTAACGCGCGTAAATCCACAAGCCAGACTGGTCATCATTTGTGTGCTGCAATCATCGCGTAGTACTTATACACGAGCGGATTTTTTCGAACAGATTGAAAACAACAGTTTGACAAATATAATTCTTTTCATTTTATTCTTTTGTGCAAAATATGTATTATGGCACAGTTTGACCTAAACCGAATGAATTCTTATAAGAACGTTAATACTTTTCACCTTTTCATTGGCAAGTTAACCTTAAACAGACTTGGATAATCCAGAGTAAACGCTAACAATGGTAAGCTACGTATGACAGATTATACCATTTGTCAACGATTTGGCACTTAGAAAATTGACATTGTTAATGTCGAATAGTGTTGTAATACCAGTACCAGTACTTCAGACAAAATTATGACAAATTTGAAGAAAATGCAAAATATACATGGAAAGGAGATAAAAGTTTAAGCATACCATATACTGTAAATAGAACTATAGCGTTTTTCCGTATTTTAATAAAGAAATTTAAAAAAAAACCATTATATATACGGGCCATAAATAGGGCATATATTTGGCCCTTTAAAAGCCATATACCTTATATAACTATTGCTTTACTCAGATGTGCATCATGCAGCAAAACTAAGGTGCACATTCAAAGAACGTGCATTCGTAGCAACTTAGTACTTTGTACACGCATATGTATATTGAATTTCCATTATTTCGCAGATTAAGCCACGCATTTTTTTGGTACTTAAAATTTAAAAGAATTTGCATTCTTCACGCTCTGAGGATAAAGAGGAATGAAAATATGTACTAAAATAGAATAAATTCCTAATTGTTACTTGAAAGCGGATGCTTAACAATGTAATTCACAAGAGCGCTTTAATTAGACAAACATTTATCAACGAGTGCCAAGATTGTTCGCAGTTTGAAAAACGCTTTCATGACACTGTTCGCCCAAACATAAATCGATGGCTTATGTAAAGTATACCATTGAAAACTCCTAAAAGAAGGACGGATGGATGAGTGGGATTCCGTGAGCCAGATGGGAAATGAAGCATGATGTAGGTTTTCAATGCTTCTTTTATAATTCGATACAATTTCCAGAATAACAATATTATATGTACCATAGAATTACATTTTAAACCCATAGTTTAGCCGGCATAGGCGCTGTATTGGCGCATTTCAAAGGTGTCTAAATAAACAAATCCCGTTTAGAAGTGACTCGCTCTATGCGCGCATTCCATGTAGAATACTTTTAGTGCGTAAACCATAGTACAGAAGAGTTGCCAACATTTGTTTGAGATCATTATAATAAGCCACGAAATACTCAAGCTAACAGTGGCGCTGGCACTTAATTCACCACTAAGCTGCGGATGTTTAATATTGCTCCTGCTTTCCAGTAGAATGCATATTTACTTGCTTTAAAATACAAAATTCGGTAAGCCTGGAAACCAAAAAGAAATTCTTTGTGAACTTAGAAATTGCAGCCAAGTGCCACTTCATACTTTTTCCACATTTTCAGCGATTTTATTTTTCCATCCAAAAAAGCCGTTGTTTCCCGTTACGACCACATGTCCTTAAATAAACATCGCAACTGCCCATACATACAATATACATAGAGAAGGTTTATATGTGTGCTGTTGACAGCAATAAAGCTGAAGCTGTAACACATAATAATCTACGTACAGAATTCTAACATTTTTATGGACTATGGGCTTGAAAATGTATATGAGCTGGTCGTGTTTGGTTTGAATGAGGGAAATTGTTCACATTGAACAAGTGTAACTATCCGCAACCGGCGTTTACACAGCTTGCCAGCATCATTCAACAAAGCATGAACATAAACTTTCGTCTCCCATTCAAATAAATAAAAGCACACATTTTGAAAATAACCCATGTGTTATTCTTGAACGGCAGTCTGTTTTCTTTTTGATTCAAACCATATTTTATTACAAGTCTTTTCGAGCATGTCATCATTTATGACCAAAATACACTTGCGTGTCTATATCAGCTTGTTGTTAGTGACTGTAACTGCTTGGTTTGGGTAACACTTTTTGAACCAACACACATGCGGCTAAATGTATTCTGTAGCATAGTCCGTTGGGTTGAGCAGCTAGGTTTTCTTAATGTTTATGTGAGCATACCGGTGTAAAACGCAGCTTTTCTCAACGATTACGTCTTGGAATTTTTACCCTTTGTTAAAAACTGATGATCAAGTTGATTCGCTAACTGTTTTGTTCTCCATGTGTCGTAGTAAAAAAACGCAAATTTTAGGAAAGAGCTCAGAATTTCCTTTTGTGAATCTTATTAACTTCTGGGTACCTCGCACGAGGAAAGTAACCAAAAGCTGCTACACAATTTAATAAATCTGAATCTTTGCATATTTGTAAAAAAGATTGAAATCTGCTGAATGAAAGCTTTAGATATTTGTTCAGGCTGTGATTAAGAAAAGTTTAGATGCGTCAAGGAACTAAGCAGTTTCCAATTACCAGAACCCTTTTAATTTGTAATTTATTTGCGATCTTTAATTATTTGCATGATTTTGCATTGTGGAATATTGTGCAGACGAAGTTAAGCGGATTAGAAAGGTAGAGTTGCAGGTTAGAATAGATTAAGACCTCTGTTTACACCATAAAGGTTGGCATCGATTTACCGCAGATGTACATCTATATGTTTCGGTACGGTATCGTTTGCGCCTGTAGCTTTATTACCGTAGATTACTGTACTGTGTGCAGTTGAAAGTATACACAGTTTAACATGTGTATTATCGACGAATGTGGATTGGGGCGTTTTACGCTTAGAGGCGACAACACATTGCAACATGAGACCTTACGGGAGCCGAGCGAGACATGAACATGGCTTCCGGCAACACTTCCTAAAATTAATTTGCCCATGAAGTGAAGCTGGACAAGTTAACACAAATGCAATGCGGTGTGTCATTATGATAACAGATTATGTTGGCCTGAATACAATGTGTGTATGTTCGACGATGCTTGTTTCTCCTAGAATTAAAAAATGTAATAATAACACTTTACAAACTGCTGGCGCCGTCTTTCTCATTATGCAAATTTATGCAAACTAAAGTAATTTTTAGACTTCGGCATTTATGAATTCTTGAGTGTTCGGATCTAATTTGTGGCTCATTTTTAGGCTGTAAATATTTATAAAATCAGGCGCGCGTGTGCTGCATATATTGCGTTATTCTATGAAAGGTCGTGTAGAAAGCAATGATCAGCACAAGACATACGCAAAACAACTGTTCAGTAATGTATTTGTGTGATGTCCTAACAACATTTGGAAACAGAACTGCAAATAATAGCAGGGATTTATTACACGAAACGCGCGGCCGGCTGCTTCGCGGTTCAACACAGAAACCGGAAGGCTATTTTGGTAAACCAAACCAAACTCAATAAAAATGCAGAAAAACCATCCAACTGGAACATCTTCCTAAGGCAAACAATCAGAGCCCTCCCTGGTTAAAAGTGCATTTGCTCCACGAATAATAACCAATTTTTATTACCACTTCAATTCCACTCCATGTGAGAAAAAAATGAATAGCGCATACAAAAATGTCAGATTAAATCGCTGTTTTTAGTATAGATAACTGCGAAGTAACATATTTAAGGCATCTGTATTAACTATTCTCCAGTCAAAAGCTCATTTATGCCAGAAAGGAAACAAGTTCATATACTGGCGATACCTCTCAAAATCTTGTGAATGCATATTGGGCAGGAAACCGGGTGCTGCTGTAAAGGGAAGGTTACGCTGCTGCATTGTAGCCGCCATACTACGCGCCCAAGCCGATTGCAGGGCATTAACAGGCAGGGGTGAAATGGATTTAATCGGGGATGTCGGTGCAGTAATATTTGTGTTCTTACTACTGTCCGGCGATGATGATGTGCTTTTTGTATCCCCAATCAGCTTATCAATGGTAAATGCCGACGATTTGGATGTTGTAGCCGGCGAACTGGGCAGCTTAATGGCCGTCGGCTGCAAAGGGCTGTGGTGCAGCATAGTATGGGGTACAACCGGCATCGGAGGCGCGGCAGGTATGGGCAGTGTGAAGGGCGCGCGAGGATTAGGTAGAAAGGGCATAGCGGCCGGATGGATGCAGGGGTACGGCGCACCGTGATGGCCCAGTAAACGAGCAGTGTAGGGATCGCCTAGGAAGACGGTGTTCTGGTCCCGATACGGCTCCGGTTGCGGGCGTTTAAAACGCTTCCGGCGACGTAAAAAGCTGCCGTTATCGAACATGTCTTCACTTTGTGGATCCAATGTCCAGTAATTGCCCTTGCCCGGGTTGCCAGGCTCGCGGGGAATTTTCACGAAGCAGTCGTTGAGGGAAAGGTTATGCCGTATGCTGTTCTGCAATTACGAAATTAACTGTAAATCATTGACAAAAACATATAACACGCTGCAGCTTTATTACTTCAGTCGCTCACTGTAAAACTGCTGTAGGAAAGTAAAAGATGTTAAACATCTAATTAATCAACAAAAGACCGTATTCCGTACTACCTCATGATCATTGTAAAAATTAAATTTATATGCTCCTAACTGGCTTTAAAGTATACATACAGAGTACTCGCATACTGTTACGCTGTGTACTTCGTCAATTTATTATTGCGCCGCAGCTGTCAGAAATTAATTACAGAACCGAAGGCAATAAACCATTGCCCATCGGTACATGAACGTGCAATCAACAGCTCATTGTCCATTCGATGTTTTGAGTCGTACAATGCATATATATATATAAAACGAACATTTTTAATTTTAACTGAGCGCGCTCATGAATATTGTCATAATTATACCAGACGGAAACGGTAAAATGTTCCAATCGGCTCCACTGCGACAATCATGCTGTATCTTTAGTCTTTAGGATATCTACGATTTCAGAACTACTACAGTAGCCATTACTTGATCGTAGAATAAACTAGCCATGCACCGAAAAAGTTTATTACAACGTTCGTGTCATAACTACCTAACATTCAGGTGAAATGACCAAGTACAGTATTAGTACCAGTTAAGTAGCGGCAGTATGGTGCAGCGGCAGCCCACAAAACGTAAATCAAAATATACGCGTAGTTATCCTATAATTATTGCCGAGTGTGAAGCTATATGTACAGTGATTATCTGTATATAATGCTAAACACTAAGCCTTCTATAATACTAGTATGATGCATAAATAAAATTTAAAAATAAAATAGCTTCACGATTAATTCATTAAAATGGAATGATGCGCACTAATCAGATACAGCGTTTTCCTTTAAATGTAAAATCTAAAAAAGATTTGGTTTGTCTAGACTTGTTCTGTTGTCATTTGTAAAGAAAGCGCAATCAATGTGCGAAATGCCAGATACATCTTTGAGCAATACCGCCGATATATGATGTATTGTACAGTGTTAAAAGTTGCTTTTAGCCTGTGCTGCAATGATTACAAACGCTTTTACGAATTGATTCGTTGTTTTAGGCATTCATTCCGCTACCAGCATAAGCTCACCTGCCAAACTGGAAACTTCTCGCGATAGTACGGGAATCGATTCATGATAAACTCGCAGATGCCCGACAGCGTCAATTTTTTGTCAGGTGCATTAAGTATAGCCATTGTGATAAGGGCAATATAACTGTAAGCTGGTTTTTGATGGACATTCTTCTTGCCAAAAGTCGACTTTCCCTCAGACGAAGGATCATTGTCGTCTGGATTATTGCTGGATTTAATCACATTATCATCGGGATCCATGTCAAGGTCAATACTTTCATCATGATCGGAAACATTGTCGTCCTGGTCATATTCATGAGATGCAGTCAAACACGCGCCCGCCGATAAGGTCGGCTTGCTATGGGAGTCGTCTGAGCTGGCAATGGACAACGGGCTGCCGTTCATGTTTTGTCGTACGTGCGCTTCAGCCATGTCAACGTTGAGCAACATAGTATCCACACCGTGCAACGTTGAGGAGAAAACTCACAATCAGAAAGTGTCGTGCGCTAATCAACAGACGGGCAAAAATTGGGAAAACGTTGTTGTATTTACAGTACTGCACGCCTTATTTAAATAGTCCATACTTGGCAGTTTTCACGAGGACTGTAGCACCAATCCAGTAAACAGAATCACCTTCTGCGAACACAATTGCCGACAAATCCTAATAGATTAAAGTTTGTGTATCAAAGCGATCCTATTCTTGTGTATATAAGCTTCAAGCGCTCGCGCGTTTAGATGTATATGCCGTATATATATGTGGTGCATCCGGCTCCGCCTATGATTGGTGCGTTGATTGGGGAGTTTGTTATGCTAACTGCTCAGTTGCGATGACAGTAGGCGGATAAAGTTGAGTGTCTGAACCAGTCGCAGAGCGTGGTGTGGTGGATTACTTATGTAAAGCGGCGCGCGCTCACTTACGTTTTTCATGCCATGTTTTCCTATAGCAGACAAACAGTTTACAGTAAATCGAACAGAAATCTGTGCATTGCAAAACTTGCCGGAGATTAATACCGGTAAAATCAATGTTAATTAACTGATTGTCAAAATTTCGATTACGTTACAATTAGAGTTTGGGTACGAGGGTCGTCATGAAGTAGGTAATAAAGTGTGGTGCACTGGGAGTATAATCTTATCACAAGGACAATTTATGATGTCCGCGAAACTGTTTTCATAGTCTGATTTCCCGACAATGCGCAAAATATTGTCTTAGCCATAAATCACGGTGTACTAACAAAGATAACGTATTGTATACTTGGTTTCAAGTAGGCATATCGCACGATATGGCGCTTGCAAAGTTAAAAGACACGTCAGCTGCTTGGATCAAGCTATTTTCGTCGTAAAAACTCATAATTCAATACTTATGCCACAAACTAAAGTAAAGATTACGCATTTTATGGTTTGGCTAATAATGGGTACCTTAGCGGTACAGTTTTCTGTCGATATTGTTCCGTGACGGCTGTCCTTTCGGTTTAATATTTAAGTCTCTTTCTAATCAGCTTCATAGAGAGGCCCAAACAATAATGTACAATGCAACTTATTTACACTTGATAAGATTTTCGACTGAACGGAACAGATTTACATAAGATCGGTTTCATACAATAATAATTATAACGTTTAATATTTTACTGTTTCTGTAAAAAAATGTCGTTAATCGTAATATTGTACTATAATTTTACAGCCCAGTATTGCATGTATTGTACAGGGTTATTTTACGTTTCTTAATAATATATGCTAAACAATAGGCTAGAGTTTTTATATTTATCGTAATCATATTAAAGTCTGCATTCTACAAAATTAATACAAGTGCTGATATTGTATACAGATACACTATGCAGTAAATCTCAGTGCTGACCGTGAATAGTTTGTGTTAAGCTTTACTGATTTATTGTGAACGAAAAACTTCCTACATAGTGTGTACGCATCTTGAGCAGTTATCGGTTCTATACATTAAATTTAAAAATTGTATTGTGTAAACTGCAGAATGCTTTGAGCCATGGGGCCCGATGTTCATGGACATATCCACGAGTCCCCGACCACGTAGTTAGGCCACATTTACAGTTAGTTTGTTAAATAATATCTTGTATGTAATTGATGTGTCCAGTAGCGAAACATGAATGCAGCAGTCTATTGTATATGAATTAATAGGTATTTATTAACTTCTCTGGACATGAGCGCACGTCTGATTAATGATATTTTATTATGCACTGCTTCAATCCTCTGGCGTAAATTCTTGTGTATATGAAACTGCTTAAGAAAATATTTAAAACTATGAAGTATGAGCTACACTGCTGTGCATGTACAGTATCAATGATTCAATGTGGCATCATTTTGAGCTTTTATTAACTGCAGGCAGTTAGTGTGTGAAGGAATCTCGCTGATAAGTCGGTAAGCTTATCTATAAGGATATCAGTATCTGGAAGAAGCATGACTCCCTACCCCAGTCATTAGCATCATAACTTATGAAGATACGAATTGCACGAATGAGAACCATTTTCACAAGATTTCACGGCAATTAAAGCCCCGGAATCTGTCAACATGATTTCGATTCCCTGTACGTATAAGCGATAGAATCACACATGCTTATATATATTAAAGAAGCATAATAAATTTAGCAGGAAACACCAACAAAGTAATGAGCAAATGTGCCGCAAGTACTGCATACTCCAAGCCACTGACCGAAGTTATTTTATTTTGCTGCGAGGCAGCAAAATAAAATAACTTCGTATTAAGTAATGGGCCCCCTATGTACTACTCTAGTTATGGTAAGTAAGTTGTTGTGTAATTAAGTACACTGATGCTTTTTTTAGACTTTTATTTACTGGAAATTAGTACCAGACTCGCAATTACTCTACACTCTACAGATAAAAATAGCAATGTACAGTACTACTGCAGTCCGAGACTGCTTCCATCTTATTGTCTGGTATATTCATGATCACTATTGGCACATGCACATGCCAGCAAAACTAATTTTTCGGCTCCATAAAACAACGTTCCGTATAAGCCGGGGAAGAATGTTTCTGTAAGAAATTTGTCAAGCATTGCTGGTTGCGATTGCCGCTTTTGTTTTATTGTAATCCAGGTGTGAATCTAAACTTCACTCGTTTATTGTCACAATCCACTTGCAACCTCAAGTAGTAAGCGGCTTCCACGTTAACAATGATTTCATTCATGAGTTTTTCCAAAGCGGCTGGTTTATCCGGAAAGAAAGAGGAGTCTTTGATGGATTGTGATGGGCAAAGATTAAGATAGAGCCGGCAAGGAGCTGGGTGAAGTGACCAATGGTCTCTAAGAAAATCGTACGAGAATAGCGCGAGAATGCAGCATACACTGCCTCTCGTTTTGGATATACATATGAATGAATGAATCGGGTGTTTGTTTAGCAGGCAAACCCAATTAATTAAGCAAGCTTGATGAACTCGATATGCGGGGGGATAGTTGAGAGAGCTTCCTAATGGACTACTGAGAACGAGATGATCCACTGGTAATTTGTTTTCATTTAGCGCCGACCGCATACTTTTCTCAGGAAGTACAATCGTCAAGATGTGTCAGACAGATACGACAGACCATTCTGCTTGTAGAAGTATACCGGCAGCTGAAAAACACGTGCTCGTTCCAAGACGCTGGAACATTATGTCAATTAACGCAGTAATCAACGAAAGACAAAAATAACAAAGGACTCAGTCAGTAATGCGAATGCAGTGCATAATATCATGATTACTATCCCTTTTTTTAACAGGCATCTTTTTGTAAATCGATATCTACGTATCCTTGAGGTCATAATAATAATAATATTGTGTAAGTGGTAAAAAAAATACTCTCAGTAAAGAACTGATCAAAGAGTCAGATGACCCGAATATCCGATACATAAAACAGTACATACTACATACACCGATGATACACGTACTTACCTATAACTGGGTACGTATATGTATACGTATATTCGTATACATACTGTAGAGATGGGCATCGGGCCGGAATATCCGACCCAATCCGATCCGATCCAAAATTCGGATCGGATAGTCGGATAAAAATCCGAATAGGTTCGGATTCGGATATGGGTCGGATTTCCCAAACATTGTTCCGGGTCGGATTCGGATTTTATAAGAATATCCGAGGAAAATCCGACTGTTTTGTGCAATGCGATTCGGGAGTAGTACCTCGTACTTCTTTTATAAAAAGTGCAAAGCATTCACTGTTCCCTGTTTGCCGGATACGTTTTCATAGTAGTTGTTCGCAATAAGTGTTGGTCAAAACGTATTAGGCCTCGTAATAAAAACTTATAGGTTACACGATATTAGGTCGGATATTCAGGTCGGATAATCCGATCGGATTCGGATGTCCGACGGTCGGATACGGATCGGATCCGGAAAGTAAAAATAATAAAATGTCGGATACGGGTCGGATTCGGATTTTTAAAAATTTTGTCGGATCGGATACGGATTTAAAATTTTAACCCGATGCCCATCTCTAACCAGCACGGAAACTTTTGCATGCGCGTACTCGCAGACACCTTTTTTGTTTTGTTTAATTATATTGTACAGCCAAATCGTTTATATTACATTGACTGATTGGCGTGAAAAAGCATCGATTACTGTAATGAATCAAAATCCTTATTTCTGTATATTTTACGCATCCGCATTCCACTGTCAAAATTGCCACCGATTTAGTCCTGCATTCTCGCTAGTCGCTACATGCATTTGTTGCTTTGTTTGCTGAAACTTCTTAGTCTGGAACCTCTTGTATCGTGTATTTTCATAATTCTTGCGATAACGTTACTGTACTTACAGTTAGCTGCACTGGGATGCACACCCAGCATCCCAACCGCTGTCATCCGTGTAACCTTAACTGGGTACCGGTTTTCAACTTCCGGTCAGCATCCTCGCCAAGTGCCAACCGACTTTCGCCTTTACCACATAACAGCCGACAGTTCGTCGATAAGGCAGCCTAAACCGACTGTTACGCGATAAGTGACAGAGTAATTATGATCCATGGAATCATTACAATGGTCAGACGCAGACCCACAGGAAGTGTATCTTCAATTCAGAGTTTCGAACTAACGTTGCAGTTTCTTTGGAATACATATGTAATTCTAAAGGTTGAACAATGCCAGCTTACAAATTACAATGTCAGATACTCGTGCAGACTATTTGCAGTATCTGATCTGAGTATCTGCAGTGCGTTCATAATAAAATATTATGTTTTACTTATGGTCTTCTTATCTTCTTACCGGTAGCAGTAGCCCCATGAATCATGCAGAGGTCATGGCGCAGTGTTTAGGAAGACAGCTTTTACGCGTATGCGCGCTAGCTTCGATGCGTACCGTAATGCTTAAGATTAGGTCAATTCATAAATTATTGGTAAGCACGTTATCCATAAAAAACTGCCAAACCAGTTAGTGGGCGATCAGTGACAGAGATTTCGGTGGTTTTTTAATATTTAAATATTAAATAATATCAAGTAATGTACCCGCGGTTGCAAGTTGTAACTATTGTCAAATAATTCAGTGGCTATTGCCAATAAAATTTTTATTGTTTTAGAACATAAGATTGTGCAGGTGTTGATGGTTTATGTTGCAATGATACTCGTACTATAGTTGCAATTTTACCAGTATTTTCAGCACCAAAAATTGGCACAAGCAAGAAAGACAAACAGCCGCCATATTTTGCTCAAATCCCCTCATCCACCATTGTTTCACCAGCTGTTTTTCCTTGAGGCTAGACCTCATTCTTCACGTCAGGCCTTATCTCAGTTATCTGCAGGCCACCAAACGACCCAAAGCTATGGGTGCCGTCTGGTTGCAGCTTTCGCATACCTATCTTAAAATTAATTTCCAAGTGAAAAAATTAGAAAAATTAGGTAACTTACTGCTTACATACCCATGCCGTGGTGATTTTCGGTCACGTCAGAAAGAGTGTTCTTATTAACTGTATTGGTCCTTATCTTTTGAATGTGAACCGTTGACGAAGACAACATCAGAGCTCGTATTCTGAGATTGTCTCACCAGGTTCTACTAGAACGTTTTCGTCAGATTCAGGATTCGTACGCGTCTCCTGTACTTCGTTTATTACTGGATTTCATGTTGGGAACCTGAAAGCCGATATTTAGAGATATTATGGACCGCCTTTCGAAGTCTCTCACTCCGAAGAAGCGGGACAAAACTTACATAAGTCTGTCCTCGGACGAAGAAATAACGGAAACCTTCGCTACGACTTCTCAACACGATCGTCGTCCAGTGAAGAGAACGTCGCACGATCATCTCCGCGAGCATCATTCATCACCCAAGAAATCCCCCCGTCGTCATCGCAAGGATACCGAGTATGAAGTCGTTGATTTGTTAGATCATCGAAGGGAAGGCAAGGAGAAGATCCTCGTGTACATGGTAAAATGGGCGAAGTTGCCAGGAGATTTGACCGAGACGATCTCCTGGGAGCCTGAAAGCAACATAACGGGCTGTTCAGAATTGCTGCGTAAATATTGGATACGATACGAGCGAAGTAAACGACGAGATGGCAAAAGTTCTTCGCCTCGCTACAAAGTCTCTCCAAAATCGCCCAAGGATGTGGAAAAACGCGCAAAGAAAGACGAAGTGCAAGATTATACGGTGGAATCTGACTGCGAATCCGATCGCAAGAAATCTTCACGGCGATCCACAACTTCACCCAGGTCCGATGATAAATCAGTATCCATAGTGTTTAAGAAAGAAAAGCATGTTGGCGAACGGTCGCATATCGAGAAGCACGTGCTAAATGATCAGCTTGACAAATATCGGAAAGTCAAAATGGAGAAAGAGCGCAAGAAGATCGGACGTGTTCGTCGCGAAAAGGAGAGGAGTACGAGCGAGTCGTCGGGTGTTTCGGTGGATATTTCAGGGTGTGCTGCTACCGAAGAAGAGATGCGGGATATTGTAGTAGTCAGAGACGAGGATAGCGATGCGGTGACGGATCCGGGATCGAAATCCATGGGTAGCTGCAATTCATGTCATACTTAATTTTTGGTAAACGTTATTTTGATTATAACCTTGAATTTTTATTTTTATTGATCTTATAATTTGAAATTAAGCGTAATTAATCGTCACCTTTTAAAATGTTTCTTAAAGAGATTGGAAGAACCGGTTCTCAACTTTTCCTGCGAAAAAGGTGGGGCATTGGCGTTGACGCATTATTTTTGATGCTGTTAATTTTTATCTTTGTGTACTTTCGTTTCCATTACTTTTGCTATTGTAGCACATTATGTGATCGAGTTTCTATCGTATACTTGTGTTTTAATCATATTATTGAAAAGTTTTGACGAATACTTTGTAGTTTGATTGGATAATTAATTTTGTAACTATGAGTTGTGATAAGTAGTAATTAAATGTCATAAAGTGTTTCTTAAACTATAGATTCTTTTCACTGCTGTTAATTTGTGATACAGCTCATGCAAGTGAATTCTAAACTGTTAACGGATCAACAATTTCACGGTTTTTAAATATTTTGCGAACTTGTTCAACTGAAACATGTTTTGCAACAGACAGCGGATTCAGCGCGGCTACGGCGAAGAAACCCATTCCCTGTGAACAGCCAGAAAGGGAAGGTTCTCCGGAAATAGCTCCGATCCCCATGGTGCTTCCGCCACCGATACCACCCCGAGTTCCCGGTAAGGGTGTCCGCGTGGCTGAAATCGATGCAAGTGTTGCGCCGCCTGGCTATCCCAGCCCCAGTGATCCACCCGAAATCGGATGTATTTGGCATGTGGATACCAAAGATGGGTGCCCTCCCTCTGAAGAGACTTGGGTGTTGTTTTTTCTCGGAGAAACTGGCATTCGCACCATAACCAGAGCCGAAGCCTTAAAGAAATTCCGAGATTATGTGGCAAAGTATTCGCAAAAGGAAAGGAGCAAGGAGAGTGCGTGACAACGTGCCGGTTTCTTTCCTTTGAAATAAATTGGAAGAAGAGTCAGTATGGTAACAAATGTTTTCGAAGTTTATTTTTTTCTGAGTTGCATGCAGTCGAGAATCTTTCTTGGTTTGAGTGATACAGTGCATGAAAATTAATAATGAGTTGTGTATTATTTGTTTAGAGTTAGGTAGAGCTAACAGATGTTTTACAGCTGCTGTAGCTTAACGGGTTCATACAGACGCGTTCTATGGATTTAAAAAAACAGAATTCTGTGAATATTTCTAGCAATTGCTTGGGCAGTTGGGCTTACTATTAAAAGTAAAACGGTATTTGTAGCATCGCCTTGAAGTGGTTAAAATTTAAAGCAGCGCTAACATTTTGTGCAAGTTGCTGGTTCAGGTTTACGTGTAGTGATGCTAATGGTACGATGAATTTCACTTGGTTGTGTAGTTACACAACCAACTGCAAATTGTGGGCAAATGACCGGAAGCTCCTCTCCTCCTTGGATATTCGGCTTACCTGCCTCGTTGAGTGGAAATACGGTTAATTCCTTATCCGCTATCACGCGCGGAATTAAAGGAATTTCCTTGCGTGCCACAAATTTATCCGATCGCAGTGTTAAACTATGAAGGTGGTACGACGATTATGGGGCAAATTGGTTTCTATTATGTTACTTTATGGCAGAATACAGCATAAACAAACTTATCACCATCGGAAGAAGATCAGAGCAGACCGGAAATGGAGCGTTATCCCCTGAGATCTATTTGCCTTTTGTATAGGCAAATTTATCTGTATGATGGATTTTATATACTTTGGGTGACAGTTTAGGCTGCGAGCAATATAATAAACGCCTCGAACAAAATATAAAAACTCATCGGTAATTTTTAAGTCATACACACTGTGAAAGTTCTTACGTTACGCACTACCTTTTACACATTTTGACGAGCAGTAAGGTCATCTCATGCTTCTGAATGCACAAAATTCTTCATGGCATTCCAAACATGAAAATACTTCACTAGGGAAGTTCTAATGATGTAACTTACAAGTATTAGGCAACTTCCAAGTGTCACTTATTTCGTAAAAATACATTCTTCGGATTTGAACCTTTGCGATCGCTTATTTCATCTTTTGAGCGCTGAACCTTAAAATTAGATATATTACCAACAAAAGACGCTCCAGTGATTTTACGCGATATTTAATAATAAGAAAAACGATATAAAAAAGAATTAGCTGAAGAAATGCCGTTGACATAGTTCGGGATGCAATTATAAATCGATTAAAAGAATCCTGGCTGTCCAGTTTTCTATATAAAACTGGATACGTACTTTCACTGATTTGTATTGGCATGTCAACAAGAATTTACGCTGTCAATCTGCACTTGTACTATAACGAAACCATGTGTATACGCTACGGACTCGCGGTAAGGAACACTGCCAATTCTTGTTCTGCCATCACGAGAGGAAGCACTTAGTCGTCAGTGGAAGAAACCGTGACGACCACAGTTGCCGGCACATACAAGTCACAACAACCCGGCACTGCTCCATGCGGATCATACGCATAAAATCTCTTGCCATTTGATCCCCCAGCGAGTTAGTGGCAATAATACTTAACACCATGTTCTTTCCGTAAAATGATATTCCTTCCGTGGTCACCATGTTTTCTTCGCTGCAATAACATCTGCCAGACATTTTCTTGATTTTCTAATCGAAACATGGCGTTAGATTACGCTTATAATTGTCGCAATGCAACATATTCAACGGACAACTGCTCAACGCCGGACACCAGTGAAGTTTATTACCAGGATTTCCTCGACTTGTCGCGTTTCTGGATCCAGCGAATTTTCATTCCCATCATCAGTATTGTTGGGATTATTGTTAATTGTATGACAATTATTGTGTTTTCCCAGCGGCGACTGCGCAGTTCCACCAACATGTACCTGAAAGCACTGGCGGCATTTGACCTTTTGTACCTGATGAGTGTGCTGACATTGTCGTTTTATCATTATCCCAATCACCATCCTTATTTTACGTACTACAAACCGTACGGATACTTCATTACAGATTTCGCCAGTAATGTCAGCGTGTGGCTGACGGCAGCCTTCACCGTGGAACGGTTTACCGTTATTCGTAATCCGATGAAAAGTATGAAACATGCCACGTCGCAGTTTGCTAAGAGGGTCGTCTTTACCATTACGGTGTGCTGTTTTGTTGCAACGTTTCCCACATTGATGGAATATCATGTACAAGACCGATACAATCTGCTGACCAATACAACCGTCTTGGAATTACATCCAACCGCGTTAGGGAAGAATGCCACGTATAAAAACGTGTTTTACTGGTTCACGTCCGTCACCTTTGTATTCTTACCGTTCCTGTTAATTGCCGCACTGAATATGTTTTTGTTGCGGTCACTGCGAGCAGCGCGCAGTATTCGTTCGTCCTTATCATCGGCGGTGCTAGCGTCGGAATTACGGACCACATTTTTACTGGTGACGGTGATACTAATGTTTTTATTCTGCCAGACACCGGCGGCGGTTATGCTGATTGTGTCCCTTTTCAATGAACGACATGGTTTCATGCCGGACAATCTTCAGAGGGGGCTCAACAATATCATTAACCTCCTGGTGGCGGTTAACGCCTGTGCAAACTTTTTCCTGTATGTGGGGTTGTCGATCAAGTTCCGGAAGACATTTGTAAGTGATCAAACTAGATACAGTTTACATTGATTAATTTAATTAGCGTCGTGACGTAGAAAAGCGGCATGGCAGCAAGAACTGATCAATAAGAGGCAGATTATAATCAATACACTAAATACTGCACTTTTACAAAGTGTACAAGGAATCTTTGTTGTTGAGGCAGAACGAAAGTAGTGGCAGTACTGAACTCCTAACGGTAACAACATGGTGTATTAAAATAATAAAGTACCGCTAAATCTACAGTCTCTTCGCGTTCGAACTGGGACCGCTTCCTCCTTTGATCTTGTTGATAGCATTTTAGTGACGCTGTTGTCTGTACGCAGGCTGAATAAAGTTAAATTTCATTTAAAAAAAGCAAAAAAATGGTACATACACAGGAGTATATAAACTATTTTTCCATTGGTAGAAGTAGTGTATAATGTATGTAGTATGTACTAAACTGAAATTAACCTTTGTTTAGCTTCAATCAATAATGGTTGCAGAGTTTATCTTTGCTGCACCAACGCACTTCTGTACGCAATCGTAACGACGTCACCGCATTGTAGTCCCGTTGATGATTGAAACCGGAAAACTTTTTCCGATTTTGGATTAATTCAGTGACTACTCTGTCATCATGCGGGGTACGCAAAACTGTTCGCTGAAAATACGAAGATTTAATTATTCGGCTCCGTGAGCCGTGAGGGTATGATTTCGGTGCCTTTTTCGAAACAAAAAAATATGAGATTAAACCCGTGATGTCGCTCATCTGGCATACTGCGGAGACTCAAAATTACGTACACGCAGTGCATTGCAAAGGTTCGTTTTTTACAGTACATTGCGCCTATTTTTTTATACGTTACTGATTAACCGTAAACATTTCTCACCGTTCGGCAGTCACTCTTGTGATACAGATGCGTTGGATAGTAGTACAGTAAATAGTAAATCATAATTTAAATATATAAGTATCACTGCTTATCATGCCACGGATTATTACATAGTATTATTGTATCTAGAATAATACATCAACACTCGTAAACCTATTAGGTCCTGTTTCACATAAGATACTCCCAACCGCAAATGAGTCGTTTCAAATTACTCTTCCGGTCTCCCCGGCCGATTACTCCATGCGCTACTTAGTATTGCGTCAGTAGAAATGTGACTGCTGTAAAATCCTGTTGCGAAGCGAAGCACTTTTCAGCTATGCATAATTGCATCCCATACCTAATTCCAACATAAACCATTAATCTACATAGATCGGCCGATTATATGTCTGCTTAACCCATATGATGTATTTTGTCGGCACGGAAATTCTTACGCTTATACTAGCATTATTTTGCAGTTAAGTCTACTTTTCCTCCAAATGAAGCGCAAGCTATCAGCCCGATCGATACAAACTCCCAACGGGCTGAATGGATACAACTTAGCCAACTGTCCCTATGGATGACGTAATACTGTTATGACAAGTGAGATTATGATGAACCATGAAACATTTCCGGTTACAATTCTTCTCTGTGCTGCGGTACATATTCGCCAGTGTGCGGATTATTTCGGCGCACCAGCAAAGATTAAAGCTGATGTTGTCTGGATGGGAACAGCGAAGGCTACTTGCCAAGAGGCAAGTATGGTAGTCGAACCGGCGACTGACAAGATTTTTTTGTGTACTTGTATACGCCGCAGATTCTGATTACGATGGTGCGCACTCGATCGTACTGCAGCATGTTTCCATATGAATCTCCCAAAGTGAATTGCGATAAAATATTTTACTGTGCGATTGTATCTGACATATTTGTCAATGGTTACTTTGTACTGTTCGGAAAAACATTTCTAGATGTGTTTATTTTTCTACCACTGTAATCTGTAATAAAATAGCACTGCTTGTTTTAACTCTAAAGTTTCCAGGGGATATTTTCTTTGGTTTCGATCGCTTGCTGTTACGCACTTGGAAATTCTGCGAGGGCGGAGTGACATGAGTTATAGGGCAAGTGGTTAAGCACCGTAACCCGGCGTCCAAATTTATCATCAGGCACCAACTAACGAAATATTTTTCTACGTAATTCCAAAAGGCCAAAGCGCTATAATTCTTCGTTAACAGATGCGCGCAAAGCACATTGTGATTCAATGTGATTTAACGTGGCATTCTACACCTCGCTGTGATTATACTCGGATTTCAGTCTTAATAAAGAACAACATGACCATAGTGTTTTCTGGCAGTCTGAAAAAGTTGTATTTGGTTGTTGGTGGCATACTTTGATTACGCCAAGCCCATAATAATATACTGACTTATTAACGACATTGTACGCAAGTGTGATGAGCAGGTTGTTCGGCTAAAAATAACGGTATTAAACGGAGACGACATGTTGTTAACATCGACGGGAAGTCAGGGTTGTAAACTTAGAGGAAGGGTGTAAATGGTGCGAACGCAGCGGTCTGCCAACTTAAACGTGATTTGTGTTCTTTTTATATTTGTACTTCGTGCGTACGGTCAACTATTGCAGCGAAATCACGGAAAAACTTGTTTACACCTCGTATTTCACTTGAAAATAATTACTTTGTGTGTCTGAAACCCATGCATCTGTATTTGCCCGAAGAGTGCTAATTAACTCTGAAGTTAATCAAATTTTGTAATTTGCAGGGAACTATTTTGGGAAAATAATGTTTTTCTGGCTGCCCAATTTGAATCCAAAAAATAACTAATAATTATTAAGAAGTTGATGACTTAGTACCACTGCTTAACAGTAGGTAAGTAATTAAAGTCTATTCTGTGACGTTAACCAGTCTTTTTTATTTTTCCATTCCTTACGATGTATTTTCGTTGCCTGGTACCTTACTACCTGTACTTCAAGTATGTTTACTTACTGTATGTACGTACCAATTAACTGTGCACTGTAGGCTGGTAACTGCTTTCGTACTGCAGATTTTATTAGTATTGCACAACATTACTCACCATAAACTGAGGTTGCAAAAATCGAAATCTTGCAAAAATCTTTCTTTATTAATGCGTCTACATTCAATAGAAAAAATTTTATCACACTGATGTACCACGTGTGTGATCGTTTGCATTGTTTACTGCTATTCTGCAGAGTTACTGATTTTTTTTTTAGCACTGTTGAAAGTTTTGGTTTGTTGCTGAAAACAATGTGGATTTGGTTCGAAAATATGTGCTTGTCTTTTAAGTCATTTTTTGGAAGGATTTTTCGCATGATGCTTAACACTGTTAATTTTTTGATTGGAGTGCCAATCCTTGGATGCCGACGCTGCGCTAGTGCTACTGGTTTGGTTGATTCCCGCGAGAAATCATAAGTTTAAGTGACTGCGTTTTCATGCAGGGCGTTACAAGACGTACAAAAGAGAATTATATAAGCTACCTTTCGCACGAGTTCGTGTTATTGTGAAATTCCGGCAGTTTTGAGTAATGTTGTGCATTACTTGCGTGTAAGTTGTATCTCGAATTGTAGTTTTTAATCAATAAAGGTGATTTTTTTTCCGGAAACAAATTTTTCCAGTATATACTCGTATACTGTTAGCATGCCCAAAAATCATTGACCGCCATTCCAGAAGTATCCAAGTATATTATTAGAAGTATTACGCTATTGCAGTACACATTCGTGAATCGTCATCGTCAACAGGATGGATTAGTATAAATTAAAAACTCATTTTGCAGTCATCATGTGGCTAAATTACTTCCGCAGTTTGGAGTCCAAAAACCCGATCTTTGAATGGAGAGACGCTACTAAATTCTGAACATTGCGCAACCTATAAATAAACACTCATCGTATAATATGAGGGGATATCACAGCGCACACCGTCACACGTGCAGTAACATACGAGCACATCTCAAAGCATACAATATTAAAAACTACTGTTGCCGGCAACTACTGTACTTAAATCTAAACTTGAAGTATACTTGAAGCAAAAATTTTTGTTTAGCGCTGAAAAATTTAAAAGTTACATTAGCTATAACTATCTCATATTAGGTTCAAATACGTATTTAGGTAAAGCATCTGTTAAAGAAAAATAAATAAACTAAAGAAAGTATTACTCTATCACAGTGTTTGTTGACATAAGATGTGCCACTTGAGCATGCAATTGATTTTTTTAAAAATGTCTGTTTTTCGGACAGATATAGACAACTAACCCTTAAAAAATTAATTTGTAAACTTACTTATCCCGATGTCCTTCGAATGCGGTGTCCGAAGCACCTTCTCTGTCCTTCTGCGCAAAGAATTGCATTGCTTTAGCGCGCCAGTAGGTGAATGCCTATGAGCAAAAATATCAAACTCGTTGACGTCAACAGTGAAGAGCGAAACCCAGAACATTCGATTCATACTTCGAGGTCAACGCCAGTGACAAACTTTTGTGCATCCTCAGCCTTTAATAACAGACAAAAAATCCATTACAAATGCATTAAGAAATTCACATATGTAGGCTACTTCCACACCTTAATCAGTCTGGTGCGCTTGGATTTCTTAAAGGTTACAATTTGGATCAGATAGCCGAAAACGCTGAATGGCCAGGGAAGTGCTGATCGCTGGGCGTAGTTCATTATGGTTTGAAAGCGTTTGTAGCGGCATAATAAATCGGCCAGTGGAGCTAATAATATTTAGGTATGTCATTAATCGTTAAAACCAACAGAAAAATTGCGAATATGGAAAATATGCCGGCTCCAGGGGAATTAGTGACCTTACCTAGGCGCATATTGGTATGCCTGCAATGAACAGTTCCAGTGACGATATTGGAGCTTCGATAGCTACCGAAAGTTACTTACAGGTAGTAGGCATTTAGCACTGTCAGCATAGCCAGTTTCAGCAGGAAATAGTAATGGATTACAAAGATGTAGCTCCATACGGAAACCCTAAAACAAAAATTTCATAAAAACTGCCAGTTAAGATACCGATAGAAACACATTCGTGACAATTCCCCCGTAGAGGAATTGAATACGTAGGCGGTGGTTATACTCGTATCATTATTACATAATAAAAATATGCAGTGAAAAATTTGAAAAAAAAGCTAAATTTTACCGTCTCACCGAATTTCTTTTGCACGACTGCAGTATTTTACAAAGTAAGCCTAAATAGATCGAAAAAGTGCACCCATACCACCGGACCATCGCTTCCAGTGTTCCCTTTCATTATGGCTACACCGGTGACATGGGTGCAGTTTTTCGATCTATTTGGGCTTCCTTTGTAAAACACTGCAGTCGTTCAAAAGAAATTCGGTGTGGATACTGGATACTGAAGAGGAAAATACATATTTCACTGATGCCAGTTAAATCGGAACCATGCGTTCTTCTGCGTACGAGTTGTCTAGTTCCAACGTGGATTTTTTAGGGTAGAATTTCGGAAATGTATAGCAATACGTTATTGATATCTAGCAATACGTTATTTTGACATGCACTGTTCATCCTGGACAGTGGACACAGCATTCTTGTCCTGGGAAACGAGCAATTAAGTGTTCCAGTTCAATAATTTTTTTCTGAGCGCAGATAGTATGGAGAGTGAGGTGAGTCATCCGCTAATACTGTCGCAGGACAATAAGAACAATAAGAAGCCTGCTGCCCTACGTGTATGATTGTTGTTGGAATACCGACCGTCTAGCCACAGTGAAAAGATATATATACTGCTTTTCAGTGATCCTACTTTTCACAGCAGCCGAATAACTTGAATCCTTATGTAAACAGTAACCACGACTAAATCTAGTTTTATGAGGGTGGCAAAAATTAATACGTACATTCAGCCTGTAAGAGATGCACATACCGCTAGCGCTAGTGAGTGCCCTCAGTTCACTTGGTATTGATAGGTTGCTTATTCGACAATAGACATACACATATTGTCTACGATCAGAAGTAAGAGCGCTGTTCTATGGACTGACAGAGAATGCAGTCTACTATTTGCCACCCGACTCAACTAGACTGGGTGAAGGTCTGCTAATGAGATTTTTGTACCTTAAGTTGGATTAAGGGACAGAGAGAACGTGTACAGGAGTCGACTGGGTCTGGTCTAGCTTTGCGATACATGTACTGATGTACAGCATCTCTTCACTACTCAAATGGGAATCCGACAGAGAATCGGCAACTGAACAGACAGGATTGAGGCTAACCTTTAGTGTCCTTTACTTTCCATCTTTTCCCCGGTAGAGGATAGACAGACGCAAAAGCTCAGAACAGACAGAATCATTCTGACCTTTCACTTAGAAAGTTCTGACCTTTCAGTTACACGCTGGATCCTATACTAATATAATATATAGACAGACTACGTCTGCCATATGTTATATTAGGCTTGCCCGTTTCAACCGTGCAGCGCCTACGTAAAAACACCACCTATTGGCTTACTGGTAGCGCAGTGACTACAAAACATCCGTAGCCGGTAGTCGGTACATGTTGTAAATGGAAAAAGTATGCACTTACATATATTAAGATATTTTGGTACGTTCTGCTAATCACAAATTTGAACAGGTTACACAATTCAACGAGTGTTGCATTTGTAGAAATGTGCACAGTTTGTTCAAAACAGGTTTGCTATAACTAGATTTAGAAATTTTATAAATTAAAAGTTGCAGCAGCAAACTCTTACGTTTGGCAGGAGTACGAGTTGTAATCGCCCAACCAGCACCGATCGTGAGGGACTGCACTGTCCGGTTGAGTAAAATTTTTCCAATCAATCTTATTTTGGGCTTCACAGGTGGGATCACTGTGGTTAAAAAGTGTTATAACAAAATCTCATGGCATATATGTCTACAGTAATATAAACTGTATTATTTTTACTAATCAAGTTCGTAGAAAAATCCTCCAAATAGTGTAAAGATACTCCGGTAGAACGCGTGCCGCCAGTCATCGCCTGTAAATGGCCAGTCGGGCGTGGTGATGGCTTGCCAGACAACGCCGGTAGCAAGCTGTACATTTAATAAGAATTGGTTATTCAACTGGTATCATTAAGAATTAATAACTAAAAAACCCGACGAAAGTAAAAAAAATTTAATATGCCAAGATTTTCCTTTCTGCGATATAGCTGTTAAATATTCTACAGTTCCCTTACCAATAGTGGTAACATCAGAATAATCCAACGGAATAAATCGACCAGCATGTTCTTCTTCAATAGCCGCACGACCGATGCCGTGAGGTGTGGGAAGTATAAAAACAGATCCCACACGATGTAGTAATAATACAAAACACCTACGTCCGAAATACAAAAAATATGGGAACATAGCCTTAAACATTGTAAAGATTTACGCACCGAATGCCAAAATTATTCTTCCCGAAAAGGGTTGTGTTTCACGAAACGGTTCGATACGGTACAGAAAGAAAAGAATATTCCATGCTGTTTGATAGAAGAAATGGATGCCGCGGTACGTCAGACTCATTTCCGCCCCATATAGATAATCCTTCAGCGTTCTGCAAAAAGAAGATTTACAAAAACAAATCCGTTCAAATGTGTATTAAGCTAACATAATCATTAATATTGGCTTTTTCATATTCAAGTCTTGCGTATTTAACTATATGCTGACGTCGTCACGCATAGAAGCATGTAAATATGGCTTTACTTACTTTAGCACCAAATCCAGCCAAATCAGGGCGGTACAAGCGAACACAGCAATATCGACGCCCACATACATGCAGGGTGGGAGCATGATATCCACACCAATTAAAATTAAGAAGAGATGATAGGTAATGAACCAAATCCAGTATTTGACCACTGGACTCTGCCACACTGCTTGTGTCATTTGCCAAACCGGCGGATGTTGGGCTCGCGGCTGCTGCAGGCGAGTTACAGTGTCAGGCTGGCGGTTATGGCGCAAGTTGGTGATATACCGTTTGATATCTTCTTCATCGGTTGGTTCTTTCATTTCATCATCTACGCAAAACAATAAGAGTGCATTATAAGTTTCGATGACCAAATACTATGAGCAGCACCAGTTCACAACTGCAACGCGTAAATATGTAAGAACAGATACACAAAATAATATTAGCAAGAATTATTTAATATAAAATGTGATTAAGCAAATGAGTTTTGGGCCTATCGCAGAAACATTATATTTTTGACATGTGCCAAAAATCTTACGAATTTTATCAAGGTCCACAGCGGCCTGTCGGTCAGTTAACATGGGAAAGGTCAGCCATTTATACATTGGACAGACGGTAAAAGCCGATATAAGCATCTTGAGATAGCCATATGAGCCGCGGTACCGAACAAACCCGAAAGCGAAATCTTCCACAAACTGTTGTATTGCTGGGTGCGATAGAAATTTCCTATAATAATACAAGCTTAATGAATATCTTCGCTAGGCGATCAGATCCTATAAAAATTGAACGCACAAGCAGAATCCCTTGTATGACATCTCCAAAGTGGTCAAATTATTGAACTCCGGTAACTTTCGCGATAACAACCCGTGACACCGTTCTGGGAAGTCATTATATCCCAAATTGAACAGGTCAGTAGCGAGATTATCGAAGTCAATAGAATTTTGAACTAGTTCGGCATGGACGTCTGTTTCGGGATTATGACCAGCTAAACTGCGGAAAAGTAGCGCTACAAAAATGGCTTGTGGCACCGGATCTATGCTGAACTTTAGGAGGATCTTGATTAATTCCACACGGTTAAACAGGGTTGCATAAACAATCAAAGCATTAAGCGCCTGAAATAAAATGCAGCTTTTCAATAGGAAAGTAGTCAGATCTAGACAAAACTGGGACAATAAATACTGCACAGCGCATGGTAGAGTAAACATTATGTTATTCATGTTATCCTATGTGTACTTCATTCAATAGAAATATTTTTGTACAAAGACACAAACACGGTAGGTATTTAGTTGTTTTTGAAAGAATTATGGTTTATTTAGCAGTTTAACAAGAATCGAAACGCAAAAGTGAGTTGCAGGTGCACAAAAGCAGAATTTGCAAGGGATCGTAATGTCTTACCGTGCGATCCTGGGAAGTAGCATCCGCTGTGCTTAGGCCCAACGCATTTGTAGACATTTCACGCAGGTTGATGTAATCCTTAATGCCGCTTAATTTGTAAATTACTGGATTTAATTCGGTATAAAGGAACGCTTCCGTGATCGGGTCATCTGGAAGCAGTTATTCGGTTTCATGCATGTTCGTATCGCTCCACTCGTAAGTTCTAACTACATAGTGCCAGTATTTACACCCGGCATAATACTGTATGCCCTGTACACGTTTGAAAAGCATATAATGTGCCAAGCTTTACTATTTCCAAACGCCATGTTTTCCAGTCGGATTTTTTAACCTTTACAATAATACAGGTTAAAATAGATTTTCCTTTAGTACAGAGTACAGAAGTACAGGGTGATCCACGTTGAACAGTTATATTATGGATTATTTTATGTTTAGTTGGGTTTTTACATACTGGCATGATGCTGCAACACCTGGTCCCAAACTCTTTCAACAAAAAATTCATCATCCAGTGTGTTTTGATACAACATCAGATAGTCCATGTGAGATAAGAAATGGCGAACCGGCATCTGTTGTAACATGATGTCCACGAAAGCTTCTCGTCCCGGTAAAACTAAAGCCTCCATCAATGCAGCATACGGTATCTGTACTCGCAAATCCAACCATTTATATTTAGGTACAACTTATGGTTAGTGAAGCAGTATATGTAAGACTCGATATTTACTAAAATTATAAAGTTTATCATCTCGATATAAAAATGGCCGTAGATAAATACAAGACAGAAGCGGCTGCCGTATTCATATTTATAGTTTATACCCTACCTCCATAGCAGACCAGGGATACTGCGCCAACAGAATATCGGTAGCTAGTTCGATTTGGTTGTTTTGCACCGCCAAAAGCCAGTTCCGCTCAAGGACAAAAGGTTCGCTAACTAAAAATCACGGTAACCATTTTTATTATTTGTTATTTTTACGTAGTAGTAGTATGTAGTAATAACGAGTTGAACATGCCTTTATTGTTTTTAATTAGGGGTTTTCGTACCTTTTGGACAACGTTCCATCGCACTGCGCAAAATACCGGCATCCATTCCAGATATAGATTCTTTTTCCTGGGCATTGATTACTTTCAGTAATCCTGAAGCTTGCGACAGAGAGATAATATCCGCAATTGTTTCCGCAATGTGCCGACGTTCCTTGTCAGTTGGTTTGGTTTGCGCGAACATCACACGATCAATAAGATAATCCACATTGTTGTAAAAAGCTTCGTCCAACGAACCGTTCCTTCAGTATTAAGGAATAATTTAGAAAGTATGCATGGATTAGAAAGCATTAATATTAGAGACTCAAAATACTGAAGTAAGTAATAAAAAATCTGAATAATTTAAGTGTTAACAAGCCATTCGTCTCACACTGTACAATTACTATCCTAGTACTGTGGGCAGAAAGGTTTATGTAGGTACAGTACAGTAGTACTGCAAATCGGTGATTATTGCAAGCTACATGCATTCAGTTTTGGTGCGGCTTGTGTTTGCAGCATTTGTAAGGAGTCATCTATTATTTTTGCAATAAGAGTAATTTAGCATAAGAACAAAAGTTTCATTTAGTAAAAACTTGTCTTTAGCTTTAGTATTAATATATCGGCGGCAGACACAAATAAATAGAGTAAACCTTTAACAGGCAGTAACTTTTCTACCAGTTACGTCCAAATAAATTTAGGGAAAACACAAAGCCGTCAGACTACGGAGTATAACAGAAAAACCTCGCATTTCTTTGCTGGGTAACTTTACCAGTGTTCGATGCTTCCGGCCAAGACATCGGCTGTCCCATTGCACCCTTGAAGAAGCATAACCTGGACATCTTCGTTAAGATAGGATTCGACTTGTTCTAGTTCCTCGATGCCTCCTTGCACGAACATCACGATTTCAATAACAGGGAGCTGATGAGCTGTAAAGGTGAACATTAAAAATTTTAAACTTTGCTAGTATCGTCTAATTTCACGAGCTGATGAGCTGACATTGCAATAAATACTGGTAATATCGCCCAATTTCATACTTGCCGCTGCTATCGCGCATTATGATAGTACCCATTAATTGCAAAAATAAGTACTACTGCAAGATCGCGCATTTTGAAAGATTACGGAAATGAATCTATATATGCATACTTCGTTCTATATGTTAGGACAAAATCTTGACACGCGTGCCGCTTCGTTCATAGTATCTGCATTTTTTGGAAACAATCGATTTTGTTGTATTAATAATATTGCAGTTGTGTAACAGTCATTTTAAATAATGAGCAGGCGTATTTAAATTTTCATTATAGTTTAAATGTGTTAAATACTTAAGCTACTACGTACGGTGGTATATCTACAAGTGTTTTAAGCAAACTTGCCTGCATGACTTTTGTGTCCCAGTCTACCTAATTGGGTACGCAGTTCCCGCTCAACCTGGACTCGAAATCCATACGCGTGACTTCTTGGCTCATTTAGCAAGACAAAGTGGGTGTGATTGTTATCTAATCCGTATCCCGGTTCATTCTAAAATTGTATTAAAAATAACATATAGTCAGATCGCACACATAATTATATTGCATAAATACGAGCAAATTGTAAGCAGATTGTACAAGTAAGCCTGCTATCACCACAGTACTACTTGTACAGTATCGGTATCACGCGCCGGTACGCCAAAAAGATTGTACAGCTTAGGACAAAATGGTCGCATACCCAAAATCTCCACATTCAGTACGCATGCAGCGCAGTGCACCGTACGACTGAGTTCAAAATATCCGGTTCGTACAAGTGCACTGCACCGCTTGCGTACAGAATGCTGGGTATGGGGCTATGCGACCATTTCGTCCTACATTGTACAATAGCAGACTTGCAGTAGAAGCTACTAGCAAAAGCAATGGTACAGGAGTAGCATTGTGCAATATAATTATTTTGTAACATGCGAAGTATTATGCGTGCGTGAAATTTATTAATATGCACAAGGGGGAGTTCAAATTTTTGACAACTGAAACTTTTGCGCAGAGTGAATGGATGCTTACGTTGCCGGATCTCTTATTGGTACCCACAATCGAAGTGGGAACCATACCAATAAGGCGGGTTATGGTAGCCGGGCGGTCTTTTGTCGCAAACTCCGAGTTGTAGAACTGTTCGTCCCGGATGGCCGCGCTGATCACGGCCGATAGGCCATGGTTTAATCCATCGTCGATTACTAGCGTGCTACCGCTGTTGGTCAGCTGTAACAAATTGTTACTACCAATCAATTTTAACCGCCTTTTAGTCTCATGACTAATTAAATTTAGCATGCATAAAAAATCAAAACAGTAACGTTAACCTGTTGGCACAAGGCACAAGAATCAGATACGAGTACCTTTATTATAGATTTTTGGAAAGCAGCTCGATGGACTGCCTGCCGCCATAGATAGCTGCTTTCATGTCCGGTGAGTACGGACAAAATTATATCCGGACTGCCGATGTTCCAACCATTAATAATATCCGCAACAGCATCGGGAATTTCGGCTTCCGATGAGATTTTAAGGTAAACTTGGCTGTCCTGGAAGAAGTGCGAAAATATTTACAAAAGGGCGCTATCGATGTAAAAGCAAAGCTACGACTCGCATTGAACAAATCTCCCAAGTTTAGGAGGCGATTGAGTCGTCTCATCAAATTTTCTAATTCCGTTATGTTGCATTTGCAATGGTTATAATCCGCCTTGAATATTGCAAAATAAATATCTTACGGTGGGATCCATATTATTTCAGCCAATGGCCGGAATTGGCCGGAGTGCGGTACCTTACGAGTTGGTCAATTTCCAAGCAGTATTCCAACTTATCACCACAATGCATGAAACGTTGTGGGCACTCCTTAAGATTTCTTTCGGAGGGTCTTGTAGAATTTTTGTCGGTGACGGTTGTAACTTGAACACAGTCCTCGCTAGCTGCATATGCGCCGCGGGCTTGCCCAGTGGCAAGCAGGTGCTTAACGTGCTGGTTACCGCGCGAGCGAGTTGTACCTACAACATGATTTGATGTTGCGGCAGTGATTTGGTTTCACAAGGAAATGGAAAATAGATTCTTTAGGAAAGCCGGTTTTTTCGACTGAACATTGCTACAGGCGCCATAACGTAGACTTTTCAGTAAAGTAGTTGCTGAATTTCAAGACAAATGCATTTCAAGATCTAGATAAATGCTACTGTCAAACGCCAAAAAAAGCCGAGAAATTTTGATAAAAATTCAAACGGTGTAGGTAACTTAGGCAAGTATATCCATAAAGTATTCCATTCCATGAAGTACAGTATTCGCTTTTACGGACGTACGGAGAATCGCAGTGAAAACATTTCTCTAATCATTAATTCTTTTGCAGTGAAACCGCATTTTTGTGTAATGTCAGCGAGATATTGTAGATAATTCACGTACGTACATAGTCTCTATGTCCTCTCTTCCACATACGAAAGCGACTGCATGCGAGCATAATAAAATTTTCAATCTGCACATAAAAAAACATGATAGTATACAGTTTTGACCAGTTTATATACTTTGTGACTTTGTTTGTAATTAATAATGCGCACAACATTGACCAACCAGAATATCGAGAATACCATTTTATTCGTCCAATATTTATATTATAACTATCACCGAAACGTCGGCCTTACGACTGATCTCATCTTAGATCAATAGGCTGGCGTATATTACAGTATCAAATCAAAATTTGGGAATTTTTGATTCACAATCATTTGCTGCGCACCTTGTCAGTAAGTTATATCATGCTACTGCGTTGTTTGAGACAAAATTCTTTTGATCGGCGTTAGAACAGATTTTATTACTGAGGTCTTGTAGCATCTGTGCATCCGGACAGTACGTTAAAGGTGCAAATGTGGCAAGGACCGGATACTGCAGACCCTGGTCCACGTCGTCCGCATCATGCGTGGTCACTGACACGTAATTCGACAGTCCAGGATAGCCTTTTCGGGAGGTAATCACCGATCCCTCGGCGCATCTCTTGATAATGGACAGCAAATAATCATCGCGTGTCAACAGACTAGCATCCGGATTGACCACTAGAAAACTGTACACATCGTTCAGCAGCCAACGAAGCTTTTTCAATTTGGAAAACAGAGCCGGTCGCAGACAACTGTTGTTGTAGCTCTGTATGCCGAAATAAACGAGCTCTTTCCCTCCGTCCTGATCCAGGAATAAATCTTGAACCTCAGCCGAGTTATTACCCAAGAGTAGACTTTTTAACTTCAGCAGATTGTCAAAGGAGCCGCGTTCTATACGGTCGATACCGTTGCTTTCCAAATTCAGATATTCCAAGTTCTGTAAGGAGGTGCGCCCTTGGGCAAAATTATCCGTTCCAATGGACGAGATGCGGTTATTAGCAATGTCCAGCGTCTGTAATTCAGGCAGATTACCGAAGGTGTGCGGTTGGATGGACTGCAGATTATTCCCGCGCAGACTGAGTAATTTCAAATGTGTCAAATGCGGAATGTTATCTTGGGAAAGATACGTCACTATGTTGTCTTCCAGATACAAATGCGTCAGATTGTACAGGCGACTTGCGGATTCGTTAAGGGCGGAGAATATGCTTTTTTTTAACTGTGCAGAATTCATGCGGAATATGGTGACGGGCGGCAACGTCGAAAAGGCATCCATATTGACAAAAGGTGCCGGTTGCGGAGGATGGATGCACATACTCATGTTTAGCTCGCGTAAAGTGTCAGAAATTCCAAAGAAAATTTCCTTCGTGATGTTTTTAAAATTATTGCAGCTGAGATCCAGAAAATCTATGTTTTTCAACTGACGTAAGGTCACACCGGCAAATGTGCTGAGATTATTGGAAGATAAATCCAGACTCTGTAGATTTTTAAATGCTGCAAAATACGCCTCCGTCACAGCGTGGTCGGATCGGTCATTTTCAAAAACGGTCAAATTATTGTAGCGCAGGTTTAGGGTCCGTATCGCTGCGGCTACCTCCTGCGGAATATCCGGGAGTGTGGTGAGATTATTATGCGACAAATCCACAATGGTCAGATTAACAGCGCTGAGCCCCTGGAACACGTTATGCTGTTGGGCATCAGTGCCTAAATGATTGTGGTCAAGGTAGACTTCGGTTAGAGTGGGCAATCCTCTCAGCAGACCATGGCCAGTGATATTCGTTTCTCCCAAATCCAGTAATCGCAGACGATCGAAATACCCAAAGAAACCCGACAGGTCGGTCGTCGAATTGACTGCAATTGGGTTGCCTCGTAAGTTCAGGGAACTTGCTGAGGATAATCTTCCAATGGCAGACAATACGCCATCCGATAATTCAATGTTGTTATGGCTCAGGTCAACAGCGGCATCCGGTTGTAACTAAAAATGTTCAAAAAAATGTTTCAAAAAAAGTTTTGTAATCTTCTGTCAGTTTTTGAAAAATTACAAAAAGGACAAACTGTTTTGTAATCTTCTTCTTCGTCATTAATATAATTTTAATAATGCACTTAAAAATCCAGGTACCACACTTCAGTCTTTGTATAAAGCAGTATGAAAGCAGAAAAGTGTGCAGCTGACGTTAATCTTCCAATTAATTAAAGCTCCACACGGCAGACTAGATAGCCGTTTGACCGTTTTTAAAAATTAAAAGCGACCAGGATACAATAAAAGTTATCACTACACTATATGATTATTTACAATATTTGTGATAGCTCCTGGAAATGTTGTCTTGATACCTGCAGAGCTTCTATAATCCGCATGAAAGCTGCGCTGACATGTTTTACTTGCTGTTCACTGGAGGTTCGTTGTGACACAAAATTGTTGTACGTTAAGGTAAATGACTGTAAATTTTTTACTGCCGGAAACCGTTGGTCCGTATCATTGGATAGGTTTATCGTGCTGTTGGCGATCATAAAATGTGTGAGACTCGGGAGAGCTTCCAAAAATTTAGTTTGCCACGACGAAATACTAAGGTTACGTAGAATCAACATGGTCAGACTCGGCAGGCTAGGTGTCTCCATGAAATCATTGACGAGATTCGTGACGCCGATTTTATTCAAGGACAGTTCCTTGATGCTGGTGGGAAGCAATTCTACCGGGAAGTCGGTTATTAATGAACTATTCCAAATATTTAGTCGTTCAAGATTTTCCAGATTATACAGTTCCGGAAAGGTGTCCAGGGACGTTAAGTCCTGCAGATCGAGTGCAACAATCTGCGAAGCCACGGAGTCGAAGACGTCAGCGGATAGACGCGATATGGTGGGCGACAGCCAGAGATATAAGCGGAGCTGTTGTGGAGAATGAGCAAAGACACTGATATCCGATTGGACTTGCTCGGCTGTGACGTTGTTGCAGATAACGTCATAGATGTCCTACGAATTAAAAATAACGACACTGCATTACAATAATATTTGTAATAAGCAATGGTCAGCAGAATAATAAAAACGCGGTATTAAATAGTAATGCTAATCCATAGATAGTACTAGTTATCAGAAATTGTACCATCGGTATATATCTTTCTCTGCGATGCATATAAATGGTAAGTATAAAACTGCATGAAATCCTTAAAGACGGTATTGCTTACTTCGGTTTTATTTCTTAAATTTCCTAATATAATTTTTATGCAGTAGTGTCTGATTATAGCCTTGAGAATCGTGAAATTACAGCTGCAAGAATAGAAGTATTTGTAGTGTGCTCCTTCTAATTGTTAGCGGGGAATGGGATTGTCCAAGTGAATCGGTTAGCGATGTAATAAAGAAATACCTGCATGCAGTTGACCCAGCAATTCCCACTGGGAAGTCGGGAACATTTTCCTTTGGCCGAATGGCTGCTGGACAGGATAAGTACTGCAATATTTAATAAAAAGTGGAAAAAATGCACCATTTGTCTGCGTGCCATTTTTAACAGCACCGCAAGCCAAAGGCCGTCGTACGCGTCGACGGAGCTTCAATCAGTCCCAAGTTAGCTAGTGAAATGGAAGGAAGATTTCTAAATTTTGCCACATTCACATTTGAAGTAATCTTAACTGCTTAAAAAAACATAAACTTTCAGATTTGTATGCGTATCAATCTGAGATCGGTATGTACAAAAAAGCGTCAGCGCAGTTCAAATTGCGATGTGAACATGTGTGCAATGTGATTAAATGAAATTTTGTACGTATGCGTACATTGTAAATACTTATGCATTGAAGTGACAAAAATACCATGTGAATTTCGACGCCTCTGGATAGCAAAATCCTTTAAACTGCTTCAAGCATTTTTCAGACGGACATTTATCATTACCTTTAGTTAACGACTGCTTGCTCCATGTTAATAGCTCGCTTATTTCCAAATCCTTGTGAAATTACGTTGTGGTTGCGTACATGAGAACATCTGAATTCAATTCACAAAATATATTAGTTAATTATGTTGTTTGTACCGGAATTTTGCATTCAACTGTTAAGCGTAAGCATAAGCGTTATAGTAAGCAAGACCACAATGATTAAACGAGTAAACCCTGGAATTACTAGTACCAGCAATCTTTGACATCGTAATTATCCTTCGTATTGATTTTCATAGAAGGTAATCAGCTGCAAAATCCTCTGCTGACTACTGTTAACGCAGAACTTCGGCAGAAGGCCGAAAATTAGCATTTCTGATGGGGTGAGACAGTAAATTTGGAAATGTAAAGTCATTCAGACCGTGTTGTACATGTTATGTCTTCGTGTCACAGCATGACGGCATGACAACGCCTATAGAAGTATCACCCTACTTCCTGTAGTGATCCTGCTTCCTAACGGAAGTCTTTTAACTAACACGTCTGAGGACCATGCATAAAACAAACGATTTTGGAGACCACATGATCTGCTTGCTGCAGCAGCAATGGTTAACATTGTAGAATGTTTTTAAACGGCACGCTCTGCGATGTGCAACGTATGGTGAACGGAGCCTAATCACTGCCTATATATACTGTATGCATGTGCAATAATGCAGTTCGTATAGTTATGCTTGTATTATTTTTTACCTCATATTGTAGTAAACGTATTTACCTCATATTTACCTCATCGTAAACTAATTAGGGTAGAAAGGATTAAAAGCACAGAACGTGCTGTCACGTGCTGTCGTTTCAACAACAAATTATGGCGAGAGGATCACCTTTGGCAGCTTATTCATCGGATTTCGAATGTGGGGTTATACAATTAAAGCCTCCAAAACGAGAACATGGATGCGTGTACTTTTCTTCCCGCAAGGCCCGCAAGCTTATATGCAGCGGTCATTTGACGGCGTGACCTTTTTTAGACGCTTTGTATCAGCTAAAGTGATTTAACCTTAGCGAAAACGTGACCAATATCTTAAATATTTTCCTTTGGATCAGACTATGCAGCCCCGTGCTTTATCAGAAAGGGATTGATAAATCTGTGCACATACGAAGGATTATCACATCAAGAACGTGGCAGATCAAATTTGCGCACATTATGCAATGTTACTTATCACTTCAAAGTACCTGCAGTACTTCAAAACTGTAAAAGACGTAATATGGGTTTTTCCACAAGGTTAATGTGTGAATATTAGCAAAGCATGCCGATAATTGACTCGATATTACATAAAAGTAATTTTATTTTGCACTGGTTTTTTTATGGAAACACATAGTGTTCACTACTCAAAATAAGACAAAGATTTGCAGCATGCAGAGCTCTATTGCAAGCCAATATTGTAAGACGTTTGTAAACTAATCTGTAACAGACAAAAGGATGTCATATTAGCTGCTGATATTTTAAAACAGTGGAAAAATTTTCCACTTAAACAATATATATAATAATTCAACAGACAATTAACCCTGCATTTATCAAAGATGAAAAAAGTCGATCGACTTATCACAGACATAAACAATAACGGTACTTGTGAACGGACAAGGTGAGATGGCGATCAAAGTATACAGGTCATGTAATAATACATTCGTCATCATCGGCAACGGGCAGTGATTGACCACGAAATTTACTGAGGAGTTTCGGTGAGCCGAACTTAACGGAATTGGTGCGGAGGCCGGCGGGAGCAGAATGGATGCGTGCCAGTCCCCGGCTCACACGTTTGACGACCGTATTTCGCGGTAAGCGCAGCTTCAATCCCAACAACAACTCTGTAAGAGCAGGGGAGAAAATAAACGGAAGTAATGATTAGGGTGGTTATTGTTCGATAATCCCGCTGTGCACGACAATAACGCGGACATTATTGTGCTTACGTATATATGCACCCTACCTTTAAAGCAGTCCTTTACGCCGTAATCATCCTTGGCGCTGGCTTTGACAATCCCACAATTCTCCCAGTCGCATTTAACCTAAATGAATAAAATACCGGTTTTTATTACTGTTCTCAATACGGTGTAAACATGATAAACACAGGTTTTTCGCTTTACCAGAAACTGCACATAATTGACATCCACCACGCATTCCGCGGCCGGCAGATCCATCTTGTTGCACACGACAACGGTCGGTATAATGCTGCACTTCTGTTCATATTGTTTAATGCGAATGATTTCCTGGTGAATACTTTTAACACGTTCCAGAGATTCTTCCGAATTTACACCAAATACTAGGATAAACGCATCGGCTTGCCGAATGGCTACTTCCTGCATGGCGGGAAAATTATGATAACCCGATGTATCTAAAATTTCGGCAGTCATCTGTACACCACCGATGGAATAGTCAACACGCTGCATCTCGTCAGCAGACGGCCTCGACGTAGATGTACGCTCAGTAGGAAATCTGTTGAACATCAACATATTTTTGAAAGTTACGCATTTTACAATAATTCAATGTCGATACGGAAGAAAACATGGACTGCATTTTATTTAAGTATTAGTGCACTGCCAACATTAATGGCACATTCAAAACATAAAAGCGGCCACTAATATGGACAAGCGTCAAGATCTGTCGGTAAAAATCATTTTATTTGGCTTACCTTTTATGCATAAAGCGAGATAATATGGATGTCTTTCCAACTTGACCTAGTTAAAGAAATTGCAAGGATGATTAATAAGTACAAATTGATGAATTTCACTTATTTGAGCGTTACTTTTTTAAATTACCCACACAGTAACCCAGCTTTCGTCTCGACAGTTGTTTGTTATTATACGTTACACGATAGTTATCAAATTTAATAGAGCGATTAACCCCCGAAATTTAATTTTTTATCATAATTATTATCGCAAATATTTTTATTACATACATGCATTTCATCCATCACGGATCATTTTACCGATAAGACCTTGAAGTTTTACAATCAGAAGTTGACATATGAACAAAATTTTATAACATTTTATCGCTAGTGCTATTGCAATTGTACATATGTTAATTAGAAATGTATAAACTGCATATATATTAATGCAATTTCATTTTGTTCCAAAAGCCATCTCGAGAAACAAGTTGCTCACCAGCTCCAAGTATCACTACTCTCCAACAACGTTTGGGTATAACGATGCTGTTAGGACTTATGGGCAGGGTCCCTTCACTGCGTGCTTCGTGGACTAATGCTAAACGACTGGGATGTGGTCGCACGCTGGCAGTCCGCATGCGCTCATCCAGTGGACAGTTTGACTTCACATTGCTTGGCATTCTGCGTAGTTTTATATGCGATTCACTTTGGGTACGGCACAAAAACGGAACTGGAGGTGGACGAGACATACAACAAGTCAATGAGATGGCAGGGTACGTATTCCTTGTTTAGAATAGTCTAACACGACTGGCATATAAAGGTCAAGAAACGCTCCCACAAAACACTTGAATCCGTATTGATACCAGAATCACCGACATGCAAACATGTTCTCACAGTGGTTAACACCTAATGCTTAAGCTACAGCAGCCACCGAAAGATATGCCGAAAATGAATAATGCTCTTCTGGAATATTCCTTATAAACATTTTGGTATGTGTAATGCATGTCGGTGAAGGATTCCTTGGAATTCCGTCCGTATGTCGCATGACTCTAATGTCGCACCTCTTCGCATACGTACTCCTAGTGTAAATTTGGTAACACTAAGATCCTGTAGGATGAAGTACGTGTACATATTTGTACGAGATGCACCCGCTTTGTGGGAGCATAAACTCCACCTAAATTGTGGAATATGGACTACGTGGACCTGCTTTATTTATTGTAAATGTATGGTCGTGAACAACTACGTACTTGTACAGGTACGATACCATACTTTGCAGTTGTATGTACAATATAATACGCATGATGTCGCAATTTGACCGCGCAGAGCGGAAGCAGAAATTATCCCGTATTATGATTATCCGAGCTATAGCCAGGTTTCGGACAACGTCATGCAATATAACCTATAACCATGCAATATCAGAAAAATTCTTGTTCACATTGTCAGACGAACGTGTAAAGCAAAGAGTTCCAGGGTCCCATAGTTATAATAAAAGAATCGACAGTAATAACACTAAACAATAGGATTATTCTATAGTTCAGTAGTTGCTCTTCGGATGTGTCTTGAAATTAGTGCGACCGACCCGTACTTTCTTTGATGTTATATGTTTTGCAATCGTTTTAAAGTTTCATGTGCTTACAATTGTTGCACTTCCCACTTCCAAATATATATATATATATATATATATATATTATATGCATATATATGCTAGTTACCTAGTGTTTCGTTTTGAGTCGGTTTATATATATATATATATATATATATATATATATATATATATATATATATATATATATATATATATATATATATATATATATATATATATATATATATATATATGTAATAATGATCCACCGATCGGAAGATAATAAATTATAAAATTGTTGTCCTACAGCACTATAGACAATACATAACTGCTACATCATGAAAACTATTGTCGCGTGATTTCTCGATTAATAAATTTAGGAGACCACTATCGTTTTGTGGATGTTTTGCATTTTCTGAATTGTGTTGTTTTTAGTACGTAATTTATGTACTGGCACCGTCGTTGCTGTCGTTGTTGTTGACGTCCTGCACGTAGAGTAAGTCATCGGTGCGCTGCGGCTGTGCTATACCAGATGCAAATGCTTTATTCAGAAACGAAGAAGCGAGTGATTGCACTACATACTAATAATAATTATTACCTCATTATTTGGAAAATTGCAAACCTTAACTGTTACATCGAATTCTGATAACCGTACACGACGTGCAGTGACACGTCGCCGACGTTGATTTCAGTAATTCAGCAAAATTGCAGATGCATAAAATCTGGGAGAGGCGAATCTGGGAAACATACAGCTGTGAGGTCCATAAATTCCACATATAGCATAAGGTAATTTACTGTTCCTAAGTCATATTTACAATTTGTCTGATGAGTTCGATTTCTTTAAATTTCGGTAAAGAGCGGGGTAACCGGGACAAATTACAAACGTCACCATAATGCATGGGGTTGGATTTTGACGAATTGCCACTGTGCATTTTTAATACAGCGTGTCGCATGACCGGCAGGCGTGTTTGCCGACATGGTTAGTCGGCTGATTTTAATGATACGAAATTGTTTTAAAGTAAATTATTACTTTTGTCATAATAAAGAATTTTCCAGCATCGCGCTCACTGTGTTTCGATGGCGAGCCAGACGGTAAATTCAACGCAACAAATCGCAGCGATTAAAAGCACCTCACAATCAGATCCAGTGCTTACAGTAAGCTATAATCATGCTGTAGAAGTCGAAAAGCGAATCGGCATAGCCACAGAACAGTGTTCCCAACGCAGATTTACTTATCTTTCAAATGCGGACAGCGCAAACGCTACTGTCAGATATCAGATTCTCATCATACGATCCCATTCACATGATTCTGGTAAGGTAGTCAGGTACGGTTACGTACCACATTTGCTACCCTGTTCTGCAGATTCCCATTCAGAGAATGCCACTGCCAGCATGAAACACCATGGAATAGAATGCGCGTGTGTGCTAATCCGTACAACCCAGGGGCATGTGAGGATTTAATTTAAAAAATGAATAGTCCTATTGACGCACGTTCCTAAAATACAATCTGTTCAAGTAAAATGAAATCGGAGCCCTATACATATCTTCCAAATGACATGTCCAATCAATGGGAAAATTTCCCGTGTCGACTCAGAAAGGATTATACTGTACACCCCGAGATAACCTACTTAAAAGGTCAGGCTTATTTTGGACTTGCAATCCAGAAGCCATGAAATTCTAACAGGAAAACAATTCCCAACATACAATGCGTTTAAAACTAAAAAGGCAACATCGAACGTTCTGCTTAAACAGGAATGGCGTCAACGATTTCCTCTCCGTCCAGATCGAGATCGTTGGCTGATTTCTTCCCATCCAGGATATCCCCGTCGAAGCGAAACTGAAAGTCATCCAGTTTCTTGCCCATTCGCTGACAGTAGCGCTGCATGAATACGCTCAAAGGCGCGCGCCGGTCCACGTCAATCTGGATACGGTTTTTGGATGTCACAGACTGAACACTGAGTATAATTTTGTGTTGGGCCGGTATGGTTGCATTCGCACTCGACACTGTTGAATCTTTGAGCGCGGCTTGGAAAAGACGTTCACTACCGATATCCGTTAACAAGTCGAACGGGCTGACGGAATGTGAAGGATCTACAAACAGGATAAAAATATCGCATAATAGTATGAATAAACAAAAAAATGTTATAGACAAGGCAGCGCCATATAAAGGACTGCAAAAAAGAAATTACTATATAATATTCGCAAACGTGGTTCAGTTCTATTATTTCTGTTTCCATCTTAAGTCATCGGAAGTCGTCTTACGGAAGAGAAATAAAGCCGTCCATCTACAAAATCCGGATGATACAAACTTGCACAGCTTAAACAGAACCTGACATGAGAGGATTACGTAGAACCGCCAGTTTAGCGCATTCACCAACTCCATCATGTTTCGAAACTTTGATTTTCACCAATAGTAGTACGCATTGCGCAGAAAATAATTTTTTTAAAAATGTAATCAGATTATCAGCACAGCAAGATTAGCTTTTACTAAATTACAAACGGGTAAGTAGCCAACTTATTCCGAATACCTGTGGCATGTCAATATAAACTGAAAAAGTGCACATAACATGTTATAAATTATTGCTGTTAAAAATACCATCAAAGCAATGCAATGCGGGATAATAAATATATTTCATTTTTTGCCATGCTTTTGAGCCGACAGCCTTCAGCCTGCTCTACCAGCAATAATCACTCACCTGAATTGCAAAAGATGATGATTTTCTCCACTTCGGTCTCCATTATCTGCGCCATCTTCACAAATATATCCTGCATGGATTCCGATGGCAGCAGAGAGAACTTGTTCCGTCTCCCTTTCCATATAACAATCACTCGTTCATGCAAGATCTTCGGATCCGACGTGGAAGACGTGCAGCTCACTGCAGGCTCAACAATAATTTCGTTGGAGCATTCTCCTGTGTCATCGTCCGCCAAGGCTTTCAGCAACTGTTCGCGTGCGCGCTTGGCAGCTTCCACTTTCTTCTCGGAAGACGCACGTGCTGCTTTCTGCGCTTTCGTCAATTGGGGTCTGCGCTTTTTCTGCTTGTGTACCTCTTCCAAAAACTCGCAGTCATCGTCTTCCTCAGTCAACAACGATTCATCATCTGGTGGTGTGATTCTGGCTTTTTTTCTGGGACTTATGGGAGTGCTACAGGCCTTGATCTTTACAGATTCTGTAAAAGTCCTTGTAATCAAAGACTCGTCTGCTTCAAAAGAAATCGGCCCAGGGGAAGTGGGTTACAAAAAACTACAAAATATCGTACTCGATAGTCCCCGTATTAAACCCACCTGGATTCGCTTTTGGTGCAGTCACACGGATGTTCTTTTCGTTGACAACTGATAACGCTTTGGCAGTCAGATCCTTAATACTGTTCTTCCCAATGAGTTTCTTGATACCATATGCCTCGTATGCTGGCATCTTCAGTTAGTTTTCAGTTTCTTCAGTTAACTTCGTCGCCTCTTCAAGAGAAATAAGAATAAAAAGGAGAATTAAAAATTACGAAAACTCCAGAAACTGGTGATGAGATCAGTTTCAAAACTCTTGAATCTTGATTCTTGATTTTTACTTTCCATCCGTCCAACCCCAGGATAACTAAAATAAAATTTTAAACAAGCGCCGGCTAGGGCGGTTACGCTTTCGACACTTCTTTCCCGCTTGTCGTTTTCTGATGCCGTTGGTTACGGTAAAAGTGTCGCATTTCCCAGAAGGCAGAAACACCCGTGCGAGCTGGAGCGACGGCAGCGCAGGCCGAACAGGATGAGGTCAGTATAAAGTACTGTACCAGGATATGACGAAGGATAGGACTACCTGTCCAGCGCTTTGGGATTCTAAACTCTGGATCTTTCGTACCGGAAGCTTATATCCAGGCCAAGGAAACGGATAAGAACATACGATAAGAAGGCGAGGCACGACTGTACGAGCAACGGAATAAATATCTACACCACGGGATCAGTATGATATAAAAATTCAGCGTGAAAACGTGGCTTCCATTTAGGCTGCAGGGGAGCAGCTCCGCCGGGAGCACATTTAGGTCAGTTGTTCTGTTCTTCCTGTCTGCTGATTCATATGTACGATATGATGTTGACTGCTCTTTTATAATTCTTTTCGTGCGACTGTGCGAGTAGAGAAGCACTGAAGATAAACCCATAATTCTGTATGTACGAGTTTCAGGAGCATGCACAAGTTTTCAATGATGCTTTTGCTGCCATATCCCGCTGCGGATGACAGAGAGCCAGAGACGTACAGCGGTAAATACGAGCACGTATACTATTATGTGGCAATTTATGCCTACTCACAGTCAGAGCAACTTTGCCAGCTCTGTATAATTCTATAAATCACTAATTAGCGATAGCAATGCATTACTGATTACTCATACATTTCCAATTTTCCACCTATAGTTCTGTTTTAAGAATGGAAGTCGTTCACTTTTTTACTTCTCAATTTTCACCATAAAACCAGCAACAACAAAGAGTGTTGTTAAAATCTAATAAGCTCGGAATTTCGATTGTCCATACTGCTCGTGGTGAGTAAGTATTCTATATATCCCACACCGGACACAACTTAATTGCATCTGCATTCTCTCGTCGCTGTCTTGTCACGGCGCTGGCTTCCCCTTTAGCTCGAATTCGGCGTCGGTGTTGCTTATCACGCTGCTGCAAGCTTTTCTTCACTCTTGCGCGGACATAACTTGGATCAAACACCTTTTCTTTTCGGCCAGACGCAGCTTCAGTCGTCACAGATTCTTCATCTGATAATTGTTGTTCTTCTGAACACTTGAGGGGTTGTTCTCCGGCATCGTCTCCGGCACCCGAAGTACCCTTAAAATATCGATCCATTTTTGAAGCTAAAAGAGGATCGTTCTGCAGATGATTCACATCCGATAAGCTGACAAAAGTAGCGCTATGCTGATTATCAGGCATTTCTTCTCCATCCGATCGCTCATAATTCTCTCGCTGTTCAGTGCATTCTTCCTTTTCTTCTTCTTCTTCAGACTCTTCACTACCAGAACCGTTTTCGGGAAGGATTTCTTGCAGCAATTTCTTATCCATATCTCGCGTGAAGCCACTGGCAGCAACTTCTTCATCCAGGTTATCTTCCCGGTGAATGTCGGCAAACGTCGGATACGATTCACTTTCAAAATTGAAGCGTTTCCGGAAGAAATCGCGGATACAGTTTACATCACGATCGAAATACCTGCACAATATGAGAAATGTCAAATCAAATAATATGCACATACACTTATACACTAACCTTGATGTACAAGTACTAAAACTTCTGCAGTGTATCTGTACACCAATAAATACACCAAGCAGGAAGCATCAGGAAACAAGCTAACCAAAATTCGATTTTTAGAAAACTGCACGACTGTGTGCACTACCAGGACGCCGAGCGACCTAAAGTCCTTTTTACGAAAGCAAGGTACTTTTTCCAGAACTATTGACTGACCACAACCATTAAAGCAATCGGACAAAGATACATAATAATATCCAGAGAGGCATGACATCAAATCTGATTTCAAAACGCCTATAAGATGCAAAACAATAAACTACCCTAAAAGCTCCAAAAAATTCTTTATACAAAAAAGACGCCTTTTGCATGTTACTGATACATTTTACACAACTAATACGAGTACTTACGCTTGCGCATTGGGATGCGATGTTGATATCATCTGTGGAAAATCGATGAGGGTGGGTTCATCTTTATTGTTTAGGAGAAGATTAAACTCGTTGAAGTCGCAGTGGATCAAGCCGTGATCAGCTAATTTCACAATCAAGTTCATCAGTTTGTCGAATAACTCATCCGGATGTTCAATGCCATGTACTTGACACCTGAAAAAAAACATTAACTATAATTATTAAAAACATAAATGGCGGGAAATATTTTACCACAAGTATTACTGATCCAATGCAACAAAAACTATGAAGATGCGTACAACTGCGAAAGACTGTAGAAATTACTTCAAAAAACTGTATAATATTCAAGGGCGTACGGCAATAGCCAACTTAAACAGCAAGAATAAAACAAAACAATGCAACCTGCAGGTAATTAATGAAAAATTAAAACAAGTTCAAAACTGACATGTCTTTGTTAAGCAGACACTACTTAAAGTTGAAACTTCAATTTCCTTCCCGTAGCTCGAAAAAAAGCTGAAATCGGAAAAGGCTTTATAAACTTACAGCGGATATGCATCACCAATCAGCTCCATAACCACGCAGTGTCGATTGCAGTCCACCGGCTTGGGAACGGGAAAATTGCGATCATATAACGCTTTCATAAAGGCAAACTCTTTCAAAGCCGCTAATCGCGACAGATACAGCCAGGATGCATTGTTACGATGCTTCAGATAATCGCGCTTCTCTTTCAAACGACGAAACGATGTTCGACCTAATCGATGAATTTTCAGCGCCAGACGTCGTCCTTCTTGATCCTGTACTACATATATATCCGATTCTTTGCCTACACCAATCTGGCTGCCAAATCCTTCCACAATATTCCTAGCCGAGAGCGTCTTCAAAGCCAGATAATCATAACCAGTATTTGTCAGCCGGAAACCGTCAGCTGTAATAGGAAAAACAAAAATACGGTATCACCAAACTTCAGATCGTGCCTGTTCATTAATTAGATTAGGATTAGTATTTAATTGTGAAAATTTTAGGATTGTAGCACAATGCAAGCGGACAGGACAAAATATTGCCAATTAGAAGCAAGTACGTGCTTACCATGTCTCCCGCGTTCGTAAACTACCAGCTTATGCTTGATGAGCTCGCGAAGCAGCTTATGACAGCCTCCGTGCTTCAAAGCTGCGATGGCAGCCACGAGCGGTCCGGGAACGAGCTCATGGTTTTTCATACCCATTTCCACCTAAACAATGAATGGATCAACATATAAAAATAGAATAATACTTCATCCCTGACTCTGTCGCTGGCGAAAACGGGAAAGCCATCCTATGATCAAGCAGCCATGAGCAGCCTTTACCCTTACCGCCGTCAGAACTCGAAAGTCCTCGGGTGTGAGAAATTTCAGAACAACCACGTTCAACTTTCCCATATTGACTTTTAAATAAAGCCGAACTGTATTATTTGCAGACTGTGTAAGGCGAAACTATTACGTACTGAAATCCGAAAACCCCTGGAAAAGTTTTAAAAGACTAAGAGCTTGGCAGCTTTTTGAAATTACTTAAAATCGTTAAGTTCAGCCGAAACTCAAGCGGGCAAGCTTGCGCAGCTGCACGCTGCCGACGTGCAAATGCGCACGGGTTTTCTGCACTTACAGGGTAAACGGTAAACAAAACCAGCTGGAAAAAATTAATAAAGTTAAATTAGTTAAATTGTTAAAAGTACTTAACTGGTAAAAGTTTTAAATGAAATGAATTTTTCTGACTCGTGATGTTTATCTGCCTGGGTACAGTTGAGTTGCTGAGAGATCCATTCACGCTTGATATGATGAGGATCCGCTGCCCGATTTTTCTTTGACTTCTCATCGTTAGAGCATTTGATTTCCGTTAGCGCTGGACATCAGTCTTCAGACTTCTGAGTGTATTCTGCCGCCAGTGGAAAGGACGCAACTGAAAATCGTGAAAGACAACTAGACAAGTGCGCCAGCATTTAGAGAAGCGCGCCGTGTAGGAAGCATCTCCATTATGTCCCAAGAAATAGAATCCGCGGAGTATGTTGTTTCTGCAATCCTTGTGTTGTCGCCACCCGAAAATGTGATAAAAAACATCTCAAATATCCTGTTGTTTTGTTGCAGCATTGTCCGTCTCGTATTACAATTTTTAAAGGAGAATAATCTGATGAGGACCTATCAAACTCTCCAGGTAAGCCTAAGGCATTGTAAAACTAGTGGAAATTTTAGCATTACTTTATAAAGTTTTTAGAGATTTTTAATAACTTAACATTGTTTTGTGTGTTTGAAGGACGAAACCAGTATTAGTTTAAACACCGTGGAGAGTATCGAGTCTTTCGTTACGGAAATCCATCAGGGACACTGGGATACCGTGTTGAAAGTTGTGCAACCATTGAAGTTGCCTGACAAGAAGCTTATGGATTTATACGAGCAGGTGCGCGTTTCTCCACTTGTGCTTCTCTTTCCCAAATTTTTTTATTAACTGACCAGGTGGGTCAGTCTGTATTGACTGTTATTTCATCTTGCGCTTCTAATTTTTGCTACAGCTTAGGATGTATGCGACAATTTTTTCAGTTTTATTAATTTATTTCTGCTTTTTCAGATTGTAATTGAGCTGATAGAAATGCGAGAACTTGGTGCTGCCCGTTCCCTGCTCCGTCAAACGGAGCCCATGTTGAAGCTAAAAGATCTTGATCCAGACCGCTATATGCGACTGGAAAATGTCTTGGGAAGAAATTATTTTGATCCAAAAGAGGTGCGAGCGCGCTTTGTTTATTCCGCTGCTCAAGTCATTCTCGCCGTATCGGTATCAGAATAACGAATATCGATCGCATTGTGTGGAAATTTGAAATCCAGGCCTAATGCATGTTGCGTATAAAGGCAGTTCTTTTTTGGATTAGCCGTTGCCGCGCTGGGCGAAGTATTTCTACAGTTGGGTTTTACGCAGGTTTATCCGGAAGGTGGAAGTAAGGATAAGCGGAGAGCAGCTATTGCGCAGTCGCTTGCCGGAGAAGTCTCGGTCGTTCCACCAGCCCGTCTCTTAACGCTTCTGGGTCAGGCTTTGAAATGGCAGCAAGTTCAGGGACTTCTTCCGCCAGGTAGGTTCTGTTTTGCTCTGTCATTTTTCGTGAGGTTTAATTTTGTACTCCCAAGTGCCGAATTTATTTCAATTTATTTTGCTTGGTAGCGGTGTAATGATATGCTTTTTCAGGTGTCCAGTTAGATTTATTTCGGGGAAAAGCTGCTGTTCGGGAACAAGAGGAGGAAACATACCCTACGCAGCTGTTTAAAGCCATTAAGGTATTGACATTTTTTTAAATTTGCTGTTTGAAAGCACCGTTCATGCCTGTTATTCATCATTATTGGTAATTATTATCTTACATCTGCTCGGTTTTAGTTGGGAAGCAAGTCTTATGCCGAATGCATCAAGTTTTCTCCGGATGGAATGTGTATTGCTACAGGAAGTTTTGACGGTATTATTGAAATTTGGAACTATCTCACTGGTAAACTCCGGAAGGATCTCAAGTATCAAGCTAACGTAAGTATCCTGAGATGCTTGTGTTCGTTTTAATGGTAACGGAAAGTGGTTTAGGACGCACCGATGATGATGGATGCAACCGTACTAGCACTGGCATTCAGTCGCGACATGGAGATGCTTGCTAGTGGAGACAAAAATGGAAAAATATTTGTAAGATGGAAAAATATTTTTTTTCGTAATTATTTCATGTTCTTTAACCCAGTTCTCTGGTGAGTTCGCGAAAATATTAAGAAAAACCGATTTTTGTTGTCAGATCTGGAAAGTTCAAACTGGACAGACCATTCGAAAATTCGATGCGGCGCATTCCAAAGGTGTCACTAGCCTGGAATTCAGTCGGGATAATACCCAGATCCTTTCCGGTTCCTTCGATCATACAATGAGGTAAAATTGTTTTACCTACACATTTCGACTCGTACAAAATTGTGATTCCATTTCTAACTGTGCCGTATAAATTTGATAACAGAATCCACGGGATGAAATCCGGCAAGATATTGAAAGAATTCAGGGGTCACACGAGTTTTGTTAACGACGTACATTTCACCATTGATGGCCACCATGCCATCAGTGGAAGCTCTGATGGATCGATCCGTGTATGGTCAGCACGAACGGGGGAATGCCAGCACACCTTTAAGCCGCTGACAAATTTGGCCATCGAAGTTCCCATTAACAGTATTCACCTGAATCCCAAAAATACTGAACAAATCATAGTCTGCAATCGCGCCAACACGTTAACCATCATGAATCTGCAGGGCCAGGTTAGTGCACCTGTGGAGAATAGTATTAATTCTAGATTGTGAGAAACTTCGAATTTTAACAAACAGTATTTTTTATTTTGTCTGTTAATCGCTACAAAACATTTCTTTCATTTATAGCGTAATGTATTCGGTGTTGTGCTACTGAAATTCGACTCAGATTAGAAAATATGGCAAAGGGGTTTATTTTATAACTACTCTAGCTGATTTCCGAAAGGGTTTCTAATGCACGAATCTCTGATTCGCTGAACGTATGAGGTACGTTTTTCTTGTTTATTCATCCGGCTGTTTTCAGATAATACGAACACTGACTAGTGGTAAGCGAGACAAGGGTGATTTTGTTTGCGCTGTCCTTTCCCCTCGAGGAGACTGGATTTATGCAGTGGCAGAGGACGGTGTGATGTACTGTTTCAATGCCTTAACCGAAAAACTGGAACGAACATTAACGGTATAAAAGAGCCTCTTATCGAACTGCAGCTTTGTTGTTTTACTTCCCTTCTTTTAGGTCCATGATAAGGAAGTTATTGGTGTATGCCACCATCCGTTCCAGAATGTAATGTGCACATATAGCGCCGATGGAATTATTAAATTATGGCGTCCTTGAGATTTTGTGGTTGTTGTTTATTGTTGGGGTGGATGTATTGTTATTTTTATTTTATTTTGTACGAGTAATATGCCGTTAACAGTAAGAAATTCTCAGTGTGGATTTCACACTGTCATTGAAAACCCGAACCAGTTCGAATTTTGTTGTACTTGCTGCTTGCACTTCCTTCGATATTTTGTTGGCAGTTAATCGTGAGTTGTGAGTAGAGAAACGCTTTAGAAAACTCAACGAAAAACTGTTTGAGCAGTCACTGTGTAATGTGTTTTTTAAGTTTAGGTTTGTAGTAAGCACTAAGCACTACTTTGCAAATGATGCTCCAACATCAAAAGATTTCAAATACTACTTCACCTGGAAAAATTATGTGCGAGCAATCTATGAAATAGTTATTACAGTTATTTTATAAAAAATAAAATAGATGCATGCGGGATTTTTTTCTCACAGTTGTGAGAAGTGAGAAAAAAAATTGGGGAATGAGTTGTTACAAGTACTCTCAAATTTTACTGTGGTTAACAGCCTGTCGCAAAGTCAACCTACCACAGAGCCGTGGCTTTAACACTGCGGTTATTGGCAGTCTGACAATGCAGTAGTTTTTTGACTAGGCAAAAGTAAAACAAAGAATGTCCAACTACAGCTGAAAGCCTGAAAAGCCAAACCTTTTCGATGCAAAGGCACGTTTTATGCTCTATTTGATGATCATGCTGGATTGTAGTCTTAATGAGTGCCGTGCTAATCTGAGATAATGGGCGACTGTTCGGACAGCGATATCGAATGCATTTCCGACACATACAGAATTCCTGAACCAGTTTCTTGCCCAGATGTGTTGCTGGCGGGTTCCAGTGGCGATTCCTCCAGCTCTGTGGTCCTTCTGTCGGACAGCCCCTTCCGTCCCCTTTCTGTTCCTTCAAGGTCGTCTTCCGCTGACCGACTTCCAGTTAGTAAGAATGCCCGCGGAGACCCTTCGGATGTGGAAACAGAGGAACCGTGGATGGAACTGTTTGGATCGACAGAGCAGCGCACAGGCAGACGAAATCTGTCTCTGTTGGCCACTCCGAACCCAGCCGATGTGGCTATAGCTTTTGACGATGACTTTGATCCCGAAATATTATTTTTTGATCCGTCTTCGCCATTGAAAGAGACCGCTGCCAAACAGGCCTTGATATTGCCAACAAACGAAAACTGTTTGCAGTTTTCTGATAATTGTGGGCTTGATTCAGCATTAATCTCACCCGAAAAGGATAAAACAACCAAAACTGGCACTAAGCCTACTTTAGATGAAATTAAGAAGCGTTTATCCGGCAAAAAGCCGAAGATAAAATCCACCAGAGTCGATCTGGAAGTGCGGATTGGCGAAGAAAATAACGATATTTCTCCTGTCACTGCGCCGAAAAAGATTACCAAGAAGCGCAAAGAAACTGATGACGATTTCGCAAGAAGGCAAGAAGAGCTGGCGGAAAAGAGAAGAAAGAAAGAGGAAGAAAAAGCAGTAAAACAGGCCGCCAAAGACGAGCGCGAAAAAATACGTAAAGAGAAGAAGCTGGAAAAAGAGGCATCCAAACTGGAACGAAAAGCACTGAAAGATGCTTGTCGACCAATTCAAGGCGGAGAAAACAGCCTGAAGGTTAGTATTCAGTATGTTCTCTTGTGTTTATATTGTTTTCGAATTATTTGGTAGATTTTTTCCGAACATATAATTTTTACTATTTTGTATTTTTCGCTATTTCGAAGACTGTTAAGGATAAGCAGCTGTAGAAGTACTTAAGTACTGCTACAATGTTTATATTGCAGTAACAAGTTAACAACACATGCAGTACATTATAAACAGTAGTTTTATTTTATATTTCCGGCAATTTTGCATGTTCTTACATCGTTTCTGTAATTTCTATGGCAGTGTTTGGTTGTATTTTTGCAACAGCATGTGACGGCTTACATTCCGACCGGTATTTTCGAAGCATTTGGAAGGACTGAATTGGAGAATTTATTGAAGGATGAATGCCAGTGTTTACGCTATGAGGAAACAGATGATTTCGATACTTGTGAAGTCATCTATTGGAAGCGAGAGCATATTACCGCATCGGTGGAACGTTCGGAAACCAGTGTCGCGGTATGATTTACAGTATAATACCCGAGTAGTATTTGAAATTTTTTAGATGTACAATTGTAGATTTACTTTGCTTTGCCCAAGGAATTTTTTATTGGATATAGCCCATCCCTTCTGGATGTTTGTAGATAAATAAAAGCGTAGAACACAACCAGGAAAAACATGTCATCATACAAGTGGGAAAAAAGAATTTCGTATCGATGGTTGATTTGTACCGGCAGGTGAGTGCGCATTTTTTGTCGGTGTTTTATGCTGTCTATCGTTATGGTTTTGTATTACGTAGGTGAACCCTTCGACTGATAGAAGGGAAACTCTGGCAGCCTTCGTAAACAAATGGAAAAGTAAATATCCAGACTACAGACTATATTTTTTTGTGTACGGAATGGAAAAGTATTTTCGGTAAGCGGTACTCTTATTATGCCGGTTTTGCTATTTTGATTCTGACTATTGGGAACTCCGTCTAGCAATCAACTTAATAATTTGGCTCATGGAGATAATCGACCGGCACGAGCAAAACCAATTCGGAAGTCTATTGCCGATATTCCTTATAACATTACATACGATGATGTTGAAAATGTGAGTTTTCTCTTGCAAAACGCCAGTTAAAACCAAAATGCCATCCATCGTTTTTGTAAATTCACGATGCCTTTTCGGTATTAAATACGTGTCGAATAATATTCACTTTGTTAAAGGCGATGATGGATCTTTTGTGCCGGTTCAACCTGAAAATTGACCAAATCGAAACGACAAAAGACTTCGCTCGGTATTTGATTACAATGCATAAAGCTGTATCGGAATTCCACTTTAAGTAAGTCCGCATCGCTTTTTGATACTTCTCTCGTTCCCGTAACGGAGATAATATTTTTTCAGGGCTATGAAGCGCCAACAGACGCATCTATTTGATGCACTGTCCGCAAATACAAAAACCCATGGCGTTACTGTGACGGACGACGCACTGGACGGATACAAAGAACTGTGGATTCGACAGTTACAGCAGTTTATGTTGATCTCGCGCGATGTAGCCTTGGCGATCGCTAATTTGTACGGATCTCCTCGCGTTCTCCTTAGTGCCTATGATGCTTGCTTGACGGATAAGGATCGGGAACGGCTACTTGAGAACGTCATTGTACGCCGGGGAACAGAGCGACGCATTGGGCCAAAAATGTCCCGAATGATTTGTAAATATATGTGCTCAAATGACGGGTGTGAAGTTTTACAATAAGTAATGCGCAAGCTAATACGTTGGTTATTTGTTGAGAACGCCTGCGTTTATATTTTTTTCCCATGATGCTACTATGCTTTTGCTTTGAATGAGCAGTTTTTTTCCGGAAGCAGTGGCTTTGGTTATATTTAAGTTTAAATTTGTTCCAGTTATTGGCATCGAGCAGTATTCAGTGTAGCAAAAAAACAAGCGCCCCGTGTTTGCGGTACCGTGTTCTTTATTAAATTTGAACAGTTACCTATTTTTAAAAATCAGTTCCAATAGATGCAATAAGAAATTATACTTATAAATAGAATACAATGAAAATATGAGTTTATATCTGTTCGTTATCAACGCATTATTGTTGGGAGATATTTACAGTACTGCATAGCTACTCGGATTGTTCTACTAAAACTATACTATCAGTTTTAACTTTTTATAGCCAGAGTGAGTTATCTGTTTTTCCCAGCCTAATAGTTTATAAATGGTGAATCAGTGAAAAGATTGAAAATTTACTGGCGTCCAGGCCGTATTGGGAAATCACAGCGTTAGTTGCGGTTTGGTAATTATCGGATGTTTCACCTTGGTTATCCATGTGTTTCATAAAGCTCGAAGTCTGAATCACTCGTGCGAAACATTTTTGGCCTATGTGAGAATGATAAGTCGCGCTTGAGTCATAATAAATATATAACTCTCCGTAATTTTTCCGGTATTATGTTGACGCCCACTCACAAAACTCGATTGCATCGTCACTAGACTAAAAACTATGCATGCGATATCCTGGATTTAATTTAGCATGGCTGACCAATATAACAGCATTTTAATTTGTTATGAATCAGTGGTAAAATCAGAGACAGGTGTTGATTTGCCGACACATGGCGACAATTAGCGCTTTAGGCAGATTGACGACGTGCTATAAGCGCAACTTCCGCTCACTAAATAAATTATTAAGGATGCAATCAATCAGGGTTAGTTGTAACAAAGTTAACTAATCGTTTTATGATTTTTGACCAACTGTTAACCAGAATAAATATACGCCGAAATGTTTTTGTTAGATTGTGCCTACTGAGAAAGCGGTGTATTCACGTTTGTTAGCGGCATTCTGCTTTTTTATAAATCGAGTGGTTACAGTTGTCGCTGGATGAATCTTGATGTTGTGTCGAAGAATTTGTATTCAGAAAATTTTGATCTCGTACAGATTTAAGTTCATAAAATGCGTGCGGAAATACCCATGTTTGCTGTATTGTTCTGTATTATGATCGTTCGTCCTTCTCAAGCGTTCTCCCTTTCGCGATCAAGACGTAAGTTCCCTGTAGGCTATAATTGTACGGAAATAATGGCTTCGCACGAACGCGTACATATGCTGATTATTGCTGATATGTATACATATTACATAAGATTAAAAAATTTACTACTCGCACTTCTTTTGTTGCGGAAATTGGTATTTATTAAAAAATTAAAAAATAGTAGGTATTAACTTGTTTGCTGTTGCGCAACATATTTACTTAAAATTTTCAGATTTCAATCAGTCGTTTTAGTTTAAACCGCAGTCGCACGTCATGTCTTGCTGACTTTGATGTAAGTATATAATTAAATCAATAAAAATATTAAGCTGCAGTAAAAATCAAATTTTGTACAACGTTGCAGGCGAAGAATCATTTTTTGACACGCCACCGGAAACTCTGGAAACTGCCATTGAAAAAAATCGTCGAAATCCTTTAGTATGTAACAGCGGATCTGGCATGCCGACTGATAACCAGCCAAATAATCAAGCTACGAATGCGCCATTCCGGAGAAAACCTTTCGTTTTTGTGAACAGCGCTACCGCCCAGGCTGGTCAGCAGCCGGTTCCCGCTCCTACATCGACAAAACAGCGACCACTAGCCCCTCAAAGGACCTTCACCAGAGCTGCTGTGCGGCCGCAAACAACAACTCCCGCTTCGACCGCCACGGCATCCACACCGCTGCCGTTTATTGATTTTAATTCAACCGACGGTGTCATTGTCATCATGCCGAACCAGTTTACACCGGAACCGGAAAGCAGTACCAGTGCAGCCGGAATTACCGGTTCACCGGTCAGTCAGTCTGATGGAAGCTCTCCGAATCGGAATGCACCGAATCCTAACTTCCCTGGAAATCTCATCAGACGACCAACACGTCCAGGATTGATGGTGACTACTTCGACACTGCCGCCGTTCATCGACTTCAACTCCACCGACGGCGTGGCTGTTATACTGCCAAACCAGGTTGTGCTGGATGGTACAAGCGGGCAGCAGTTCGCATCGAATGCAAATTTCGATTCTCTCCGCAATTCCTCTTTCAAAGCACAAGGAGCGGCGACAGGCGATGCAACCGCTGACGCGGCTAGTAACTTGCAATCAAATCAGTTTTCGAATCAGTTCCACACGGTGGACGGCTCAGTCGCACAGACCGGCAGCCATGCAGCCGGCACCGGAAGTAACGTCCAGTTGAGCGGTTCATCGCAGGCCAAAAGCAACGGAATGGCAGATAACCAACAACAGATGGTTGCGGTCCGGACAACCGATGGTAATCCTCGAACATTTTACTTACATTAATTTTGCTGCTCGTGAAAACGTATTATAAATTATTGAAAACTGTAATGCTTTTATTCGACAACTGCCAATTCGGTAAATATAATCAACCCGCGTTGGCAAAAACTACGAGTAAGTTACACACATGCCTGCACAGGCTGCACTACAGTGACTACACATGCATGTTACCTAGTTTTCCCCTAAATCATATGGCCTAGCAATGTTCTTCAAAATGGTTAAACATTCCTGGGTCGCATTAGCAACCCAGGAATGTTCAAAAAAATTAAAAATTCACGCAAAATATTTAGTTATTTTCTTCATTTAGGGAACATAATTTTGGTTCCCATGGATTCCACACACAATTCCCCGTCCGACGGAACATTTCTCCAGACCAACAATCAAGGCTTCCAATCAGCCGGCAACACCGTAGCTACAGGGAGTGGCACCGTGGGAACCGGTAGCGTCTCTTCCAATCAGGATTCGCAACTCCTAACCAACGATCTCGGTACCCAGTCTCAGAGTTCCAACACCGGCAGCGGCAATGGAAAAGATGTTCTTATAAAAGGTGCAGCGGTCAGCAGCTCCAACGGACAAAGTTCTCAGCAGAACTGGGCGGAGAACAGCCAAGGCATCGTGGGCTTACAGCGCGGAGGCAGTATGTGGCGGCAAGACAGTCAGCAGCAGAATTCTCAGGGAAAAGGCGGAGCCAGTGGTCAGGCTTTTGCTCCGGACGGTTCAGGTTCATCCGAACAAAATTCCCAAACGTTTACGGATAATCAAGGTACCCGTGTGCAATCGAACAGTAGGAGCCGAGCGACAGGACGGGGAGTAAAGATTTCCGGTGCATCGAATTCCGGCGGCAATCAAGGCGGATTTATCATGCGAATTCCGCTTAGTACGTCGTGGTCATTCGCTCGGTAATAATTCTGATTATATGTAGTGTTTTTCAGTTTGTATTCTTTGTTTGCTATCGGTTTTCTGCCGCTGACCTTTTTTAATAAATACCTCTACTCGTTTTTGTATGCTGATCTAAATATGTGCCCGTATCAGTTTATCTTCAAGCCGGTGAAAGATTCTTAATTTAAAATAAAATTCAAAAATAGCAACTGCTTGTTGTTCTGTGCGCATTTTCAGCTTCTAAGTTCACATAACTCAACACTATCACCACTTCTGCTGACGCTGTAGTGTTATTTTGTCAGACACTATAATATCAATACAGTAATATTTATTCAGTAAGTCGACACTTGCTACAGCAAATATAGATATGGTAATCATAATCATAAGTTATCAACGATAAAACTGGTGTATAATTATTAAATAATTTCTATGCAAGTACGCACTGCTTTTGATATCTAATTATTATATTTATACAATTGCATGGTTGAAACTATTGTCGCTGTCGTGGTACCGAATCCGATCATTAACCTATAAGTTCAGTCTGTTACCGTTTCGGTACATCTTTTATGACTTTTACAATGGAATTACAGTACCTTTTTGACCGCATGTGGTTTGCTGAAGTAGAAGTTCATCGTACATAGAACAGCTTTTATGAGTACCACAATTGCGTCAAACATATCTTCCGTGCGGAGTATCTCATTTACTGCCCGATGAATGCACGTGTTTATTCTGGGCTGTTTGTTGTGATAATAATTTTGATCAGTTCTGACAAGATAATTATATGTTGTACCGCATGATAATTAGTTAAATCCACCATAACATTGTTCGATAGTCTTTACAACTTGCAGATTCAATTTGTCACATTGGCAGTTTGATGTACGACAATAATTTATCGTCTGTAATACAATATTAAAAAGCCTCATCAACAAAGAAATCTCATAAATATTCCAGTAATGCATTGATGATTCAAGTAACTTTTTACAGTGCTCGTGTCATCGTTGAGGCAACACAACACCAGCTTCACGAACAAAAAATACAAATAATTCTCGCAGTTAACACTTAAATAAGCAAAAACTGACGAACTGTTTGCACAGAGAAAAAAGGTCATTCATCGCCGGTTGCTTTTGTTTGCACAAGCAGTGTAAGTATACAATCTGGAAAAAGTGCACGCCATCGATCAAAAGCCGGTAATAGGATCGTCTCTTTGCTTTGAATTATGGCTGCAATAAAACCACAATGTAAAATGAACAAACGAACAAGACACATGGAGTCAAACAATATTATACTTTGTGCCTCGTGGTAATGATTACTAATCGGTAACGGCTATTTACATTGTTTAAACAATAACCCAGTTCACAAATGTTGGCTTTTTTGTATAGATTAATTAGACCATAGCAGCCTTTTTTGTTTTTTTGCTGATCCCGCTGGGTTAGTTCTTTTGCTCCGCAGTTTCAAACACAACGTTTTTAATTGGCTGCTAAACTCAAAATTAGCAACAAAATTCCTAAGATTCCGACCTTTGCATCCAATTACTGAAGCACTTAAGTTAAAAAGAAAACAAATTAAGGCATATATGTATGCAATTTCGCCATTAAATGCGCTGATAAAAAGCCCTTAAAATATAGTTTTTGACAGGATAAGAACAGCTCTTTTAAAATTCTCAATATATGCCATTCGAAGTAGGACAGTATGCGCTACGAGCTTAAATCAGCACCATTAAGTGCAAATAGTCTGCCATTAACATACTGTAATACAAATACACATTTTACTTCTTCGCGCTTGTGTTAAACACGATTACATAAGAGGTGAAACCGCAAATTTTTTCTGGGCTTTTACAAACTATACCTAGAGGGCCCGCATTTATCTGAAGTGTAGAAGAAGTGGCATTTGATGAAAGGTCCGAAGTGGCCGTTAAAAGCTGCACAACATGGTTGGCTAAAAGCCTTTTATCCAAGGGAATCTGTAACGTCTGACTAATCACCGGGCATTCCTCATCATGAGCCACTATCACAGTTATCTGCGCCGGAACCAGACATTTGGCCACGGCGTCCGCTATGCGTAATTTGCTCTGAAAAATAGGATGTTGATTTCAGAAAACTCCCCTCAATGTCAAGTTGATTGGTGCCGCCCGAAGCGGTGCACGCCGGCCGGCCAACTAATATTAGTCTCAATTTTATAAATGAAACTACCCTCTGTACTCAGGCCGCTTACGTCAGTGGCGAGGTATTTTAAAACCGTCGTAGCACAGCTGGCAGCGAGAAGGACCGGAAAATACGATGCCGACTTGAATTCGACCGGTTGTAGATGCCACATGAATTCCAGATGAATCTCAATGTTGTAGGCTTTGCTTTTGGTGATGGCCACAGCAAAGGCAGTGATCACGTCTGTCATGAACAACAAGAGCCAGCATTGAAAAATAACGATTATCATAACCCCATGTGCCATGTGTGTAAGAGATACGAGTGCAACAACAAGAGACCGTATTCATCGCATAATAATTCTTTAAGTGTTTGCTTAAGTTTATCATTAGCCGGAACGTGATCGCTTAGAGATGGATGTAAGCCGCTATCTAAGGCAGCCTCGGTTTAGGTCATGTCCGACTATCGCACAATAGCCACGAAAAAAACGCCATCGTTGACGTGCGACAAAAGTTGTTTTTCATCTGCTAACGGATCATATGCGCATCGATGCAGTCAATATGCACTTGAAAATTTAACACGGTATAAAATCAAAATCGGCGTTAACGAAATCACTTTCACTACCTTTAGGCAACATTCATAAACTTAAAATAGTAGAATTAAATGCCTGACCTTAAAAGTCATTTTAAAAATTATTTAATAAATTAAATTCACGCACTGGCAGTTATTATGTAAATCAAGCGATAGCGAACAATAGAATTTTTGATTAGGTTGCATGAGATCGGCTTTCATGTATTTCACAGAGTATAGAAATCTTGTCGGGAAAGTGATACCATCCTGTGAGTGTGTTCGAACGCGTGTCCGTCTATATATAACGTTATCGACGCGTAAACGCTCATTTCACAGGTAAAGGCATTTTCGCATGACACACCGAACAGAATGTGTGCCATGTGTTTATGTCTGTGTAATATTGAGTCAAGAAAGAGTAAACAAACCCAAGCCATACCTGTAAAACTGCAATCCAGCGGGTTGGCCTCAATGCCGAATACATCCGAAAACACAGTGAATAATTGTTTTCCCTTCGTCAATAAACTCTGCGCTTCGGCAAAATTTCTGAAATGTGCCGCTATAGCTGAAAGCTTGTCTATCACAGAGTACAGTATCTCCGGCTCAATATCATCCGCCGCTAAATCCCGACTGTCCAGCACCTGGCAGCCCTTTTCCAACCGGGCCAATTCACCGGATGCGCCTAATTGCGCTTGGATATTCCACACCAGCTGCGCGCTGAGTGGCTCCACCACCAACCGCTGCACAGCAGCATTCACATACAAATCTAAACTTAATCTCTTCACGTCGACTTCTCCCATAACATCCCGCAGCGAAAAATCTTCCAAATCATGGCGATGCTGGGTTAAAATATACTTTTCCACCGATGCACAAAATACCTTCACGTCATTGAATACCATGACGACATTGTCAACCGGGGCGGGTGCCAGTTTCTGCACAAACTGACCGATTAGTAAACTGAGCGTGAAATCTGCACGGCACGTTTTCGTGATATAGTTGACAATTCTCTCCAGAGAAATATCGTGCTGTATATCCCGTGATAAATCGCTGAATTCACTGAACGTACGTGAGCGTTTGGGCGAAGTGCCCGATGGACTTTTGGATGAGCGGATGGTGAGATGGCGCGCCGCGGCGTAATCCGCATGCGTACTACTGGCACTCGAGCCATCCGAGGTCGTAGTGGGCGTGACTCGATTAACACTCCAGTTGCCATTATCCACTGGCCAGCACTGATCGTAACTGGCCTTTTTCGAGCGGAACACCAGTACTTTCTCTTGTAACTGCGGAGACTCTTTGCTTGGATAACTCTTCGGTAAAGTGTTATTGGTCATGCCATTTAGGCTGATTTTCTTGGATAATAATTTCGAACCGATCCGCTTCAGTGCGGTCACTTTGGACTGGAACGATTCGATGATGTTTTGATCGCGCGATGGCATACATTTGCGCGGCGGTGTATAGGTGACAAAATCGTCAGAATCCGTGCGCTGATCGGGATATTCAATGGCCGTCGGCAATACGGCATCAACCGGTTCATGCGCCTCACTCAGGTCATGGACGGATGAGTACGAGACGGATTCACTGATCACTTCCTCGCCGGTGTCAGTATTATTCTCCGGCACCATATCCTCCACATTCACCGGCAGATTCGGTGCGGAGAAGCGATTGCGGGGCGATACATTGGTCGTTGCTGGGAAACGGCGTTTCCCGCGTCGAATAACCCGGAATTCCTCCTTAACTGGCGGCAGTGGTTCACCGTTGTGGTAGTCATGCAACGATACTGCCGGTGAATGCGAATGGCTACTGTCGACGCCGAGTAATCGCTGGTCATGCAGTTCACTTTCGATCCAGTCGCCCAATGCATCCAGATCACGTAGGGCCATACCGACGGCTTTGGCGCTGTTGGAGGATGTTTCTACGGATGAATGATCATGACTGCCGCCGTCCGGATCGGACATAGCGTAATCGGGAGATTTTGTCCCGGCTAGTGACCAAATATCTTCGTAATCCGATATTTTACTCGACAGCCGACTATTACAGGCATCGGCAGGGACGGTTAATGTCGTGCGGGGCGAGGCGGTGGCGGGCAAATTGCCCGATGATGATTCGGGGGATAAGCGTGATTTGGTTAGACGGCGATTGGAGAAGTGTACCGTGATCGGCGGTGCGGCTGCAGCTGCGTGGGACACGGCTGGTGACGATGACGAGTCGAGTAACATGGAAGGACTGCCAACTGCTGTAGACGCAATGTCAATGTTGACTGCTGCTCTGCTGGTGGAAGCAGATTTCCAAAAGTCTAAAAGTGTAAATACTATATGCTCACCGTGTGTACATCATTTCAGGGTAAGATTATCACTGCGCCGGATCGCATCTAAAGGTGAATACTGAGTGTATACACAAAAAATTCCGAAACGTTTTTCCTAGCAATACTGACCACGCATATAAAATGGCGATCGCACAAATATAAAATACCACGTTAGTGTCGCACGGTAAAATAATATACTCACTTAACCGTAAGAATCAGCACCGGAAAAATTTTCACAGATCAGTCGTGATGAGAAGCGCCGACAGTTCGGAGATGTCTTAGATATAGCACATTACCACAACCGCCAAATACAAAATTCTGTTTCAGAAGAAAAGCGACGACCGTGATACAAAATAGACTAAACAACAAACGTTTGGCACCGCTCGTCTACTTCCGGGCGGAGTTTTATCGCGCATGCGTTTCGCTACGACTAACAAGTGGGTATACGCGCAAGCACTTCACAAGCTAAACGAATCAAGTGAAACCGGCTATCAAATACAACCTTCGCATACAATTGGTGTGTTGATGGGCAGTTATAAATACCAGTGTTTGAGCTGTGTCCTATAAACCATTGGTGTCCGATGTTGCTGTAATTAGTCATTTTTCCTGACGCACAGCCTGCCACTCATAAACTTCTTCGAACGGAAGAAAATATCCGTTAGCTACCAACAAGATTTCATGTCGGATGTAGTAAGTTTTGATTACATACATATTTTCCTCTGACCAAATTTTTACCTATAGGAGGAGGCGCGTACGTAGGCGTGATTTCATGACTACGTTAACAGTGCGGCATCCCTTGAGGCATATGTGACTATCGAGTCGATCTTGTTTTTTAAAGCTGCGTAACAGAAAATTGTAACTTCGTCAGCACTCTGCATATCTGCAGCACTTCCTGCTGTACAATATAGCGTAGCAGGAAGCGACGCCCTTTGAACAATAAGATAATCTTGAATATTAATAATCTGTAACGATCAACAACGAATGTAATATCTATATCTTAAATATAAATTATAATATGTTATTTGAGAATTGTTTGGTGTACCCTATCAACCACAAAATATTGTAACACAATAATAAGTTTCACAAGTAGTTACAAGACTATGTTGAGGAAACTTTAATTTATTCTTATTTGCACCACATCTCCATCCTTTTCTTTGCTTTGGAATTCTTGTACGGATGGCTTTGTTAAGTGGGTATGAATGCGGTCACAACACTACCCAGTAGATGCATAACAGTTATGCTTGACTGAGTGCAGTTTTTAATGTTTAACTCTCACCATGCAGAAGCACCTTTCGCGTTAGCATTTAACGTGGTGTAAAATTTTCCCGCATTTTATAAAAATACTGTCAGTACTTCGTACAACATATATTGTACGCAATTGCAATGCAAACGTCTAGTGGGGCGAAATTAATTTGCCTTTGCAGTCATATTTTATAATAAGTATTTGGGCGTTTACCTGTGAAAGGCATGGATTGAATGATACGAGTCAGTTGATGGTGACTATCCGCATCCTCAACTGCCTTTGGTAGCCGTAAATTAACCGGTAACTCACTTCTGCAATGAAAAATTTGCATTTTTACATTCAGTACAACAGTTTTGGGTTAGTGGACAATTTTCCGCTAATCTTAAAATATGTGACACCTGCGTAGCTTAACAAAAGTTGACAATGAGATGGCCAACGCTAAGTATATTGGTGTGTTTCACAATCTACAGTCCTTCTTATTCCACGACTGGTGAATGAAAATTTATAGAACCATTTTTCCGCTAGGTATACAGAATTGTGTTTGCTGCTACGCGAGTACCTTGTACTTGCATTTTCATGCATGGCGGTGCGTAGCGTACGCACGACAGAACGAAAAACAATAGGGAAGTCATAAAAAATACAGTTTTATTGTGAAATGCAATGCATGCATACAGAGTACGCGCGCACGGTTGCATAACAATAAACAGCTAGGATAGTAAGTGTATAATTTCCACTTGGTAATTGTAAGGGACTAACCGGCTCTGTGCATAATGATGAACCAACAAAGCCAGCGAAGGAAATACGAGGTCTGAGCCTTCAAGCGCCAGTTGCGAGCCACTGGTTTCTATCAGATAATGCTCCACTCGTTGGCGAACTTTAGCAGCTAATTGGTTTGTAGTAGATCCTTCATTCTGAAGAAGGTCAAGAATGTATCGCAGTTTCAAAGTAGGTTTTATAAAGTAGTGATTAACCGTATCTATAAGTACAATACTTCTATACCATGCATACATCAAATACTTACCAAGTATGTCTATTTTATATGAAGTACACAAAATATTTAACCACGGTAAGTAGTACTGGTAGTTGCGGTGAGACATAACCAAAACTTACATTTTTGACTATCTCTAACCACAACAAAAATTAGCAAATAGAAATAAATTCAAATAGTTACAATTAAAAAGCAAACATAATTAACCGTCCAAATATACGGCAAATTTTGTACCGTAACTTAGTTTTAGATAATTTCCATACATTATGGCGGTTATGCATAGCGCATTGTATTTACTCTGAATATTTTATCCTGTCCGAAGGCAAGTTTCGACTTCGGTTTAAAGGAAAGCACATAATTAGAACAAACGTAGTAATAAAAAGGTCACCTACTGGTTGTTGCGTAGTTGTAAGATCCAGGTTTCCTGAGCTGTTTAATACTGTGGTTGTTTTGGAATTGCTAATAGGAATCGTGACAGATAATGCTAATGTCTGCGGTAAACTGGAGTAGCGTACAATAAACGATCCTAGTTCAGCGTTGCGCAACAGCGTCTCAGCCGTCAGCCGGTCAGTTTCCGGTCGAAACCAAATCGATACCGATTTGTCCATTTTCTCCAGCAGTGACATCTTGTCATCACTCGTCGTGTCCGGTTGAGCGGCTAATAGACCACCTGGCTCGCTGCCTCCATCTTCGCTGTGGCGCAGATTTTCTTTGGCATTTGTATCGAATTTCATCTGAAAACACCAAGTTATGCCATACGGGTACAATAACCAAATGAAAGGTGCATAAAAGCAAATAAATATTAATCTACAGATGGCCACACGAAAACGAAATGCACAAAAGCCGGTTTCCGCAAATATAATGTATTCTGTCAATTTAGCTGTACACCGTTCCAGTTTGTCCACGTTAGTTAACGCAGGCATCAAACTATAACGTATACTGCTTTTTTTGAAAAAATGCACATTCTCATGAACGAGTAACGATGAACTTTTGTTTTCACAGATTTATCAATAAAAAAATAAAAGATAAGTGGCATCGTTTTAAGAAGATGTTTTAAAACAAGTAGCCTGGTCGCGCAAAAGATGTTAACGTTGTTGTCATCCGCAAACGTTAAAGCTCCTCAAAAATTTTTTCCGTACACTTTTTTTCATGTAGGTAATTGCTAGTTTTGATTCATAGACATTAAAAATTTATCCCATTGCATAATTTAAAAAAGTAGCTGAGCAAGTAAGTAACTTACGGCTTGCGCGCTGGATTTGGACAGTGAGGAAGTGGACATCAGTGACATGCGTAGATTCTGCGGATCGCCATACACTCCACTCTCGGAATCGCTATAGCGCATTAATTCCGAATTGACATGGCTGAGCATTTGACTGCCCACTGCAACAAATTAGCCGAAAATGTAAATGTTCCGAAAAAAACATGTCCAACAACTATGTACATTTGCGCGTGCATAAGTGGGGCTAGTCTTTGCCGGTGCCTTTGCATGTACCGCCACTGCAGCGTCTCAAGTATGCGGATCAGTTGCAGGACATGCACACATCAATTATGATACACCATAAAATGCTGCAGGAGAAACCAAGTGTGTACATGTGTATACCGCACACGTAATAAAGTGGTTAAAAAAATCCGAGCAACATATTATGCGGTCATCAGCGTAAAAGGCCATATACTGAGCATGCACACGCTATCGGCAAACCGCACACCGATAGGTTTCACAATTAGACTTTGATACCGGCACACAAAAGAAAGACAAAACCAGCTGTCAAAAGGACTGGTCAACATTGGTCAGAGCACTAACAACGCCGTTTACACTTTACCGTACATGTCTAATTTTGTGGGTACGCCTGTGTGTACAGATACATGTAATTAGACTGATAATATGCACTGTACTGTGCTTCATTGGCAAAGAAAGAGTTTTATTTACAAGTCGGTAAACAGTAGCAACATGGCCAAGGAAGTGGAAAAACTGAGAGTAATGTATGCCGGCGCATTTTCATGGCATTCTTATGTGACAAAGCGACCAATTAGAGCGTTAAAATTTTGAGCATTATGATACAGTGCATTTTATTCATGTAAGGCAGGATTTTTCTTTTTGCCTTTACTGCGCCCAGTTAAAGTTTTAATTTAGCAACAGCGACCTGAAACCACAATACACAAATAGAAAATTTATGTATTTATTGCGATTGATTCCACTTTATACTCATTACAGTTATCACGCTTTAATTTTTTTAGCAGTGCATGCACAATTTACACTACACGATTTATTCATAATTTTAAACAATTTAATGACAATGAATGGAACTGACAAGTGAATAGCTGTTTAACGAATATATTGTAACCTCTTGCTGTTACGCAGCAATTGTGGGAACAGTCTGGGAAAAAGCGAAACAATATGTGAAGTATGCTACATATAAACAAAAGCACTTTGAATTTGGTGGTCACTCAGCAGTTTCCCAGATAGAAGTACACTATGTGCGGTACTGCATCTGACTGTAAAGAAAAATGTACTTATTTACAAAACAATTCCGGTTGCGCATATCGTTTATATACCTGAACACTTTCTTACTGATCTATTTTACCTAATTGCACCTTGATTCTGTAAATTGTGATACTCTGTGTTAAGCTCGCTACAGGTTATTACAAATCGTACTGCTGCAAAAATCTTGTGCACTCACAATCAAAGTTTGGCTTGAAATTCTATAAAAGACCATAAAATTCTGTATTGTTATCTCGTATCAAATTTTTAGCTGCATAAATTACGGCACAATTTTATTTTTTCTATCCAATATGCATTTCCAGCTTTCCAATTATGGTGCATGAACCAATAAACATGACACAGATGCAACAATATTACACCAGTCTTACAGCCACAAAACGCCGAAAGCGTTTTTCATTATCAGGCACCTTTATGGTGGTGCATAAACCACTGCAGTTTTTTGTACAATTTCTCAAACCTAAAGGCAGTAATTATTTAAAAATAGGAAAGGCAGCAACGGCATTGGTTCCATATGCATACAGCTATTATATTTGTTCATTAGCCGCATTCTTTAATACACGAAATCGCCGCTGGCTGTGACGACTGCAGAACAGTGAATCCATAATTAGACCATAATAAGATCTATGCAAACTTAAATTTATTGCATTTTGTATCGGATTGCTTGAATTTCTTATTAACTGATATTTAAACTAACGCAAGGCTTAATATGTGGCTTTTTACAACGAATTGCTTAATCTGGGTTACACAACTGACGCATTCTGCTCCAAAAATATAACTTAAAAAGGCCAATTACCCATGGCGTCGGTTACAAAGTCAAAGACCCGAGCATTTGCCTATGCATAGTTGAGAATAATTGGTTTGTGGCAATTAAAACTCAGATTTTATCTATGCTAGTAAATAATGAAACACATATTTTTCGTAAAATTAAAAAGAAAAGGATGCAAGAAAGCCGAATCCTTGTCCAGTGCTCATTTAGCGTGCACAATTTGCAGAGCTGATTGCAAATTAAATCCACATAGGCAAGTAATATTATGGTATCACACTAGCATTATATTTACCGCCTAAACCAAGCTTAAAAATTCAGGTCAACGAATGACAGGAAAGCAACTTAATTCGTACACAAATATAAAAGAAAAAAAGGTGGGCTTGTTATCAAAATTTTGCACTAATATTTTCCGACGTAGCCATAGAATTTGTATTTGCATTTCCGACATGTAATACAAAACAGGTGAAATATTCTGCTGTTGCAAACCTAGCCATCTACAACAAGTCCAGTAACTCACTTACCGGCAGGCATATTGATAAGTCGAGGAGAAGGGACTGCAAATTGCCATACAATTTCACTTGCATTAAAAAATATATCTTAACTCATGGGGCATACGGTGCGTAAATAAATTAACGTTAGTCAACAAAGCACTGCAAAGGTAAATGTTTAGTCAGATGGGAATCTTGAAGCCGCGCTAGCCGGTGACAACAAAGGAGTCCACTGTTGAATGACTGTAGAAAAGTATATTTGGCCATAAATTATCCAAGCACTGCGGCGAAAGTCATCGTAGCGTATGTTGATGAGTAACGATTAGTATAAGTACACGTAGCGGTGGGGTTCATTTGCACCAATGTGCTAGATAATGACCAGCCTAAAAACACTATTTAGACATGTATAAAAAAGTGTGAGACTGGGGCTGGTACTGTGTAATAACGCAAATGTATGGTGAGAAAACTGATCAGCCGACGTATGGTATATTTTGCGCGATGGCGACATAATGCGCTACTGATTCATAAATTCCAACTGAGAAAGTTTGAACAACTTCCAAGTTTTTCCGGCGTTGGCTGCTGCTTTAAGTTACTGCTGTATGTATGAATTGTTTAAGTCAAGCGCCGGCATTTTTCGGCATTTGCTTCTCCATTCCGGCTGAAAATGCGATGGACGAGTCAGAAGCACTTTAACTCTTTAAGATAAGTCCTTCTTCATAAAGTATCACATATGAACCAGTTTCCGCTATAGAGAAAATGTTGACGTAGAGTGGTGTGTTATGAATGCTTAACGGCTATTCTCGCATAAGTAGTGGTCAATCAGCTGACAAACACGAATAGAAAATATCCTCTATGTACACATGTCCCGTGTACCAGATTATGCTGTTCCATCTACCGGATTAATGTTAATCATCAGCGGCAAATATAACACATTTCCTCGCAAAGACGCTCTCGTATGGTTTCCGGTTGTTATGCTGGCACTTCCTAATATTTTGTAGCAGTAATTAATATTACTAATTATACAGGCCCTAATACTAAAACCTGCGACAGTTTCAATGTGTGAACAAGATTACTCGTACCGCTATTACGAGCAAACGTGCACAAAATTTGCATAAACGTTTTTTGAGGCAAAAACGTATAGTTAATCGTGTATTTTTCTCAGGAGAATGTCTTTTAAAATGCATTCCTTGATAGGAAGAAGCCTTGATGCGTTCACCAATTCAAAACATAAAGCAAAGACACTATGCATTCAGAAAAATATACTACAAAGTACATAAAAGTATAGATAGATAATAGATAAAGTATATGTAGTTAAGTACATATATTTTTCTGACTGCATCGTGTCTTTGCACGTCATTTTTTATATTTTGAATTGTATTATGTTTTTTACTGGCAATTTAGCAACACTACAGTACAATTGTTACACGCTGGAGGGTCACTGGAGACCGGTCGGTTTTATCAACAGCAGTTTGTTAACAAAATGCTAGCGACGTGGGATATCTTGTACTTACTACTCTCCATGACATTGTTTCTGCTGCATGTGATAATCTCAGGAAAATATTTTCCTAGTTGTTTCCACATTTTAGAATTCTTTGCTAATTTTTCTATGTCGATCGTTAGTAGTACAACTGTACAAGTATTACAACAGCGCTGTGCTAAAAGTTATGCGATAAAAACCGTTTGTCTTTCCTGGCTTTCAAGCAGAAGCGCCATTATTTTCACCCAACAACTAAACCAAAAGTTTCTCCATAAAAGTGAGCAATTATAAAAAAGGCATCGCGGAAAAAAACTTTTCGGCAGTACAAAATGTACAGGAACAAAAGCAAAAATAATCACAGCGAAAAAATTAACGAAAGCAATTCAACAACAACCGCAAATTATCACCTAGTCTTTGCGATTGTGTTTCACACAACGGAAATCTGAAAGGTATAACCGTGATTCAATAGTGCGAGAAGATCTGTCCGGATTGTAGCGGATTTCGGATGCCACAGACAAACTGGAAAAATGAAGCGAACAATAAAATACCACACAGTTACGCGAAGCAAACAGTTGTACTGCAGCACTTCACTGACGCTAAAGTTTCCAATTCCCCGCTTTCTTCTACATTATGGGTTTATCTTCTCCATACATTGCTTATTAACTTACAATTCATAAATCAACAGAAAATCTCTCTACCTTACTTACTTTTTTGTAGAAATAAACGCTAACGTCACAACGGGATTCAACGGGTGGACGACATATATCAACACAGCTGTAGGCTGAAACAGCAAACACCATCAAAACAAGTGACAAAAATGATCTTACGCAGTTTGAAACAAAGTTAACTAGAACAGCAAAAAACGATACTCATACCCGGCTTGTCTGACGTATTCCGGCACAGAATCCGGGAAACTTTTCTTTCTCAACATATACACCGGAGGCAACTCTTACCAGTTTATCCAATTTCTATGCACCAAAAAGCCCATGAACAAACAAGCAAACCGTAAACTTAACAAAACTCCGGGAAAATACAGCTTACGGCCACGTCTTTCTGTCCGTACGGCATCGACCATCTGAATAAAACCTGCCGACACTGGACGTTCGTTTTCAAAAACGTTCGGCCACTGGAAAGAAATAGTCAAGAAACTGATTCAGTGGTCTGATCCATAAATCACGAGAACCGCTATTTTTAACTGGATACACATTTTATTTACCTGGTTACAACAAAGCAACTAGCCGGTAACGGGCAAGTCGGGCATGTTGCCAGCGGAGGTTCGGGTGTGATAAAAGGCATCACAATGTCGCCTCTGCTGCGGGTTTTCACCTGTTCACGGGCAAAATATTTGCGACGGTATGGACTAGGAGCATTGTGAGGTGGGGGCAGCTGTTCCAGGAGAAACTGCACAGTCGGATGCGTGAGACCGAGGAATTCCAGGGAGGACGGTGCGGTAGCCGCGGCAGTGCGGTGTTCATACCGCAAGCCACGGGAATTTCGGGCATTTTGCAAACGGGAATACAAATGTTGAATGAGATCTACGATACAAAATAAAAAAGAGATGCAGCTGAATGCTACTGTGTGCTCAGTTGTTTTTTTCAGAAAATGCGTTTAAAAATCGCACCTATTGGGGAAGGAGACACAGCAAAGTATCCGTCATCTCCCATGAGAATAGATAATCTAGAAGGCACTTTTGAGATTTTCGAGTTATCCCGGTGTTCCAGGTAATCACGCAGTTCCCTAATTTGTTTCTGGCGGCTTCTACACACTTCCTCTCGTGCTCGGGTTTTTGCGGTGCCGAACAGGTAGTGATTCGGATCAGGGTCTTCCACGGGTGGCATCAAGCATAATGCAGGATCACTTGGATAACAAGTCCCATCATAAGGACCTACACCATTAAATTCAAAAAAACTTTTTTTCAAAATGAATACAAAGTCGTACACAGCAAAATTTGTACCTCCAAAACCGCTCGATTCCACAACGCGCTCTTCATGCGTCGCTGCGAAATGCACTTGCTTTTTCACTTTCGTCGGTTTGACACCACCTTCAGTCATAAGAACGGAACCTAACGGTAACAAACGTATAGCTAAACTTTAAACAATCAAAACTTGTGATCAGAAATAACAAGTATGTTTAAAATATCCGAAAAGAGATTCAAACATCTAAATACTTACGGATTTTAGGCGCATTCGATTTTGGGTTGAGTGATATCAAGGACTTCGTCCCACAACCAGGTTGTGTCGCATCGCCTGCTTTGACAGCGTTCGCACTCTTCGGATCTACAAATTGCTTGTTTTTAAGATTCCATTGCTTTTGCAATATTTACACAATTTTTTCGTACAAAAAATAACTATGCCACGATGTATTGTGCAATTATCTCGTATAAAAATAATATAACACCATGCTGCGCGAAAAATGCTCACGTTGACAATAAAGCAAATTGTGATGGTTTTGACTAATTCTATTTATATGTTATTAACGCCTGATATTTCAAAGAAAAGCCTGATTGTGAGTACCAATACTTACGTTTAATAATAACGGCGCGTTGCTTTTTTATACACAAGCCGTTTCCAGCAACCGGTAGGCTGTTGCTCGGACTTTCACAGCTGTCAGCAAAGCTACGCTTTTTTGGCATATTCGGACTGACAAGTGCAGTGTCCCACTGGTTCACCCCGCGTGGCACTGGCTTTCCGGAACAACTGTTTCCCAGCCCACGCATTCCATTGATCAAACTAGAATTTTTCTGTGGGTCGGCAGCCGGTAGTGCAGTAACGTCAGCCGCAGGGAATTCTCGAGAACGCGGCAGCTGGATAGGTTTCCGCGTAAAGCCATTCTTGTTCACATCGTCCTTCACCTGGATACGAACATTCTCCTGCTGAACATTCCGACTGCGTCGCATAGAAGCGCGATGTCTTAACACGTCCGACGACGTCGACAAGTGGGCATAATGGAATACGAGCAGTGACTGGTTCATTTTAGATAAATCAGAACCTAGTCGTTCAACCTCATAGTTCTTCTTCGGTATGATGGTTGATATCGGTGGTAACGGGCGCCATTTGGCACTGGAAACATCCGAGTCGGTTGTCGGCGACAAGCGTGGCTGCTCTTCGGGAGGAGCAACAAAAGGTAAAATTCCTGAAAGGGCAATCATTTTGCACTTTATACAAACCAATATACCAGACAGTATCAGAGACAAACAATGGAAAAATTATGCTTCACGGGCTAACCTTTCATCGATGACACATCCCACGATGGCCTTAAGGAGATTTCCGGACTCAACGAGCGTCTTTCATGCGTAGAGTCCACATCTGCAATCGGGCCTCCATCAGATACAAGAGATATTTCTGGTATCACAACTGATGCCCCGTCGACAGGCTTTGCTTCCGGGCTAACACTTGGAACACCGACATCTACAGAAATAGGGTAATTCGAGGCGCTCGATAACTGTAATAATTACATTCCGGCTGCGTGCAAGAGTAAGCACGGGCGCGGACTGCTTGTACGGGATTTTTTTATTTCGCAAATTCTTTGAGATAAAGCGCTGCAAACGTTTTAAATTTCCTTTTTAAATTTTTAATGCTGTATATGCCATGAAAATTACACGATTCCATCCTGGCCATGCCGCCGGGAGGATTGACAAAAGTCTGGCTTGGAAACATAACTCCTGAAATCTGAGTTTTGATGGCTCACCTACAAATAATTGATAGCTATCCAAATTTAATGGCATATACCTAGAGTTGTAGTCACTGCAAACCGGTACAAGTCAGAAATTCGTGCACGCATTAAACACCCGTGCTGACTTCCCGTGCAAGCAGCAAACGCCCGTTCCCGAACTCGTGCACGCAGCCAACGCCCGTGTTTTCCCATGCACACAGCATGGACCTAATAACAAAATACTAAAATTAACAGACTACAAACACCAACCGCATGGTACTGCCGCAGCAGCAGTGTCGGTCTCCATTACAGTGGTCCGCTGTTCTTCGGCTTTACATTCGGGTAATTCTTCTGGCTTACATTCTGGTAATACTCTGGCTTCGGTCACATTTTCATTAGGCAGGGTTTCTTCGGGTTTGGCGGGCACTTCGGGGTCGTCATTAGGTTCTTCGCTAGGGATCCACGCTAAGAACACAAGTCCACTTATTGCAATTCATATGCTGTAGGCTGAATGCATTTATTGTTCAGATTCCACACATACCAGGCAGACGGGTCACTTCTAAAATGGAGCATAATCTCGCCTTCAGCTCATCGCTAGATTCAATATCCACTATGAAAAATCGGTATTGTGTGATCCCCATTGGATTCACAGTGCTCCAATACCACTTGCGGCCACTAAATCAAACAAACAATGGATTAAAACGGGAAGACATGAAACAAGAAATAATATGGCACATTAATGGAAACCAAAACCACTGTATCCAAAATGCAAACAAAAAACTCTACACTTCTTCCATCAACAAAGAGATACCTATCAAAAGTTTAATCATACTGTTGATTCGCTACCTGTATCCGCAAGGTATCACAGACTCGGACAGATCCCATCCCCTCACAAGACGCCCCAGTGATCTGACGACAGTGCCTCCAAAATAAACACATACTTCTCCTTTCGGCATGGCAGACCAATCGGTGGAAGACAGCATATGCACATCAGACCAAGAGGTGCGACAATAAATGGGCAAGTCATTATCTTTACGCGAAGGGAAAGAACCATTGCGGAGGAGCAGGTGACTGGTGCTGGTTTTGTGCAAAGGACACAGCACCTAAACAAAAAAGATAGACACCTAGAGGCTGCTGAGCCAAAACTAAAGTTCATTCACTAGTGGCACATGAACATTCAGCACATATCGGTTTTCCATTCTTACCCCTTCAGAAGGTAGAACAATGCACTGCTCTTCAATTGCGCAGTTCAAATGGTACGAATTTGGGCATTTCGGATGGAGACAGCCAATCATTCCAAACCGGAGAGGACAGCTCGCACATTCTCTTCTCCAAAACCTCCCGGTATCCAGGCTTTCCAGCTACAGATACAGACAGTATCACTCGTGATGTCACACAAGCATACATGGCTATGGGATACCTTAAAAACGAAGAGACTATTAACAAACATGAAAACAAAAACACGTCACTATAGAAAAATTTATCTGAGAAATACTAACAAGCAAATTTATACATCCATATTAAAAATACAACGATTATAAGACTTACTTTAAAAATGGCGTAGTCCCAAAATAAATGCCGCGTCGCGAAGAAGGAAAGACAACCGACATGCGCCCATAAATCAAATCCCATGGAAATTAGCCGGCCACCGGCACCCTTCTGATCATCTCCCGCCACACAGCAGAAATGGCAGACTCGACAGTCTACCACAGTGCGGTCACCAAGAACTGGCGAAATCATACTCGAACTCGTCCGGTCGTATATCCGGGAAAGCGGCGTAATGCTCAGCCACTCGGGAAGGGGTTTCTGGAGGTTTGCATTACACTAAAACAAATTTATACGTTTAGAAACAAGAATGCATTCATTTCCATTTTCTATTCCATTTTACACACTATTAATGAATCAAATATTAATCGCTGTCAAAATAATTAAAAAGAATTCGAAAAAATTAACAGAAAAATATGGGTGCACGAAAAAATTAACAGCGTCGTTGTTGTGATGCGGTATCGGATAACCCCGACCCGAAAGTAAAAAGTAAAATGTTTTTTGCATCCGAGCTCGATTTGCTGCTATGGCGCCTTCAGTGGCATACAGTTAGCCGCTTTACGAAATTTTACTGCTTACATTTAATGTGGACGGCATCCACTGGGTCAACTCTGAGCAATACTCCTGAAGCGCACACCGAGATTCCATGGAAATGGACGGCAGAGCGGCGATTTCTGTCAAACGCCGTACGAATGCATTTGCATTGCCACAAGCATCTCGATCGTTCCTCAGAATCACAAGATCTCGCACCAGACGCGAGTAAATACTACAAAAAGTTATTTTGTCCTAAGTTCGAACATTAGCTTTTTCATGATGTACGAGTACATACAAAATAACAATTTTACAATTAGCAGACACGATTACTGTACCATAATTCGGTATTCTGGTGTTTCCCTCGCTGAACACTAGGCTCAGATTGATCAGTCAACGCCACAGGTTTGACATCACTGGCATGTGGTCGACCATACAATCCGCTTCCAATGCATACTGACAACTGCCGCACGCTGCCTAAAAAATGAAACTGCATTCTTAGAAGGACATAATGAAAACTCTAAGCAAAAATTGCGCACCTTTCTCACACAGCGCAGCAAAACTATCGGGAAAGGCAAAGTTCAACTCCCGCACGAACGATCCATCTGGTGAACTAGCTACAACAGAAGAAATTATGAGTTACGATTACAAATTTCTACGACTTTGGTAAAAGCAACCCAACGTCAATGGCTGCCTGATGTTAATGGCTGGAGTCTCATTCAAAAAAATTCTTGAATGAATAAACAATCCAAATTTAGTACCATAACTCCATTAAAAATGATTCTCGATGCGATTACATAATTACGTATCAACATCAATTTTTTTCCAGAATTTTAACATTTAAAATTCCAGAAATGATACCTACCACCACTGCTGCTTCTAGGAATTCCACTGTCTGGACTAGGCTGATCAAAGAACTCATCCATAGGATTGGCGGAAAACCGGTTTGAAACAAACAGCTTAATAATCGCTCTGGTTTCATCCTGCATGTCAAACCTATTAGGCTCTTCCTCGGCATCACTCGGCAAACTTATTCCCAAATCTTCCTCGCTGTTCACCTCGCCCAATGCCCGTTTCTGCATATTCCGATCGCCTTGGCTAGTCAACAGCGGCGAATCATCATTCCGGCATGACAGTTCCCAGTTCATCAATAACATGACATATTTTATCACTTTATCCACAACGCTCTGGCCATGTATCCTGGTCCATAGAACATGTGGAGAGATCTGTCGACTGCTCATACAATTGAAACAGACAAATGCTTTTGCAATATGTTGACCTAAAAATACAGTTTGAATCTCCATCATGCTCTTTAAAATTAATGTGAATACTTATACTGAATATGTTAACGAATACATAAACCAAGTTAATCAAACCAAAGCGATGATGTATGCCTATTCCTCACACTTCCCAGCGTTACTATAAATTTCGTATTTCATTTTAACGATTATTTTACCACAGTTGACCTTACGTACCTGGCGGTCCACAAGTTGTATGATACGTATCGCCGCAGTAACTGCATACCGACTTCCTGAGATCAGGGATATCACAGCAGTTTTTGCAATAGTCACGTTCCCTTCTGTTTCGGCAAACCACGCAAACCTCCTTAGTGCCGCTACAGAAATCTCGACATAAGTCCGCGTTGTACACAAACTGGTGACACACCTGGCAAGCTGCATTTGTAAAACAGCCATTGCAAACCTGAAACAATCCCTATTAGTGAAGATGGATATTGAATCCCTGGTGAAATACTTCCACTAGTTAAAAATACTGCTTTATATGTTCATATTAAAACTTTATGCTTCCTCCTTTATTTCCATACTTACTTTAAACTCATTCGTGCTATTCCGGAACAGCACACAAAAATTTGTATTATTATTGCAATAAAGGTGGAACTGCCGATGACATCGGAAGCAGGTTTCAATCACGTCATTCGTAAACTGTTTCCCACTGTATTCCGCGCCTGCAAAGAAATAACATCTTCACATGTCCACCTTTTTAATCAGATGTCAAACCGCTGTAATTGTTTAAACAAATATTATAGCACACATAGCAAGAAGGTCAAGATAAAAAACCGCGTTATAAAATAAGCGATTTTAGATGACAATTATAAACTTCTTAACCTACAGAAAAACGAAAACTGTCGGCAGGAGCACACAACGCAAAATACAGAGGACCCACCGAAGGTCAGCTGCGTACTTGGTTATATAAACTATTCAAGGAAACAAGAATTTAAGTTTCGACAAAAAAACTGAGAAAACGGAAAGAAACTGAAGCAGGTTACTGTGCAGTTTATTAAAGATCGTTTTTGAAAAATTTTCTTTGTTTCGCTGTGTCCGTCCTTGCGATGTTTTCGACAACATTTCTGAAGGGTTAACTGCAAGCAGTGTACCTAATATTACTGTGATAAAAGGACGTTTTCAGAAGTTTTAAGAATAGAATAAGGTTTTTCACAATACACCAAAATTTACCTTTTCAAAATTCTTGCTGCAATGAATTCACGTACATGCTGGGAGGTGCAAAACCGAAAATCTTACTTCAGGTACGTCTTTTGTAGTACAGTAATGTGCCGCTGACTACTGCACTCACACGCACTAATCAATCATACATTATTATATTATTCTGCGATGCTGGTCTGTACAAGTAACCAGAATCGTTAAGAAAAAACAAAATCATTCATAGTTTTGGTTCGGTCTCGTCAGATTAAATTGTGACAGTTCCTTACCTCCACAAAGAGAACATTGCGCACACCGGTGACAATACCATGACGTCAAACGCGGTACAAGCTTTTCCGGAACGTGAGCGCAAAACGCATGGTACGAATCACAGCAGCCTAGACACAGGATCATCTGCAAAAAACCGGTTCCATAGTCCAACAGGCCTTAACAAACAACCACGATACAAACATATGCAAATCCGTGACGTCAAACAGATAACTACGTCAACAATCAGCTGTGTTAGTCGCCATTATATAAAAAAAGACAGGTAAAATATAAGCGGAAAAAGCGTAATATTACGGATTTACGGTTTATTACCAGATGATCTCCGACAGTTCCACAGCGACCACACAGGCCATGGAGCGGAACGCTACGAGCGGTGGATATCACAGCAAAGGGGCCATCCTTGCATTTATAATCGGAATTAAATTCGCAATTCAGGCGCTTCGGGTATCGCGACAGGCTGACATTATTCTACAAGAATTAACTCATTAATGATTAAAAACTGCTGTTCTGTATTTCTACACTATGTATTTTGCAAAACTTCCTCAAGTTTTTAATTCACATAGAAGATACAAAATTTTCATCCTTAATCAAGCTCAGTGTTCCAAAGACCAAAAGTGTTCCTCAATCTTTTCTAAACTAAAAAGTAAAAAATATAAAATTTCCAGCTGCAGCCTAAACACAGAATCTTGTGTAAAAGTGTACACTACAGTATCACAACAAACTGACTTGCGAAAACTTGAAATCTGTACTAGTATTTTTTAGAGTTCCGATTTTAAAGCAAACGGAACACATGCAAGTCTTAGAACTTTCGAAATTCGATTTTAAAAAAGCATAAATTGTGGCTAACCTTAAAAAGCGGATCCGAACAGTGGTCCTAAACAAAACAAAACAAAACCACGTGACGAATGAGTCAGCAGACGTTTCATCATGCTGCACAGTAGGCAACAAACAAACACTCGCACAAAAACTTCTTACAAAATATGTTCTTCGTGCAGATTCAAATCCGTATCGCAGGCCTCCCCCGCATAGTTGCTGGGAAACATCCGTTCGGGAACTAGGTTGTGACGCAGCGCTGGTTGCGCTGGTCTCTTCGGAGTGCAACTCGTCTGGACAAGAGCGAGCTGGCTCGTCCGTGTTGCTGGCTCCTCCTGACCGAACCACACGATCCGACGTCAGATCATCCAGCACACGCAGCCAGAATTCTGGCTTAATCTGGCGTGGCTCCGTTGTCAAATAGGGTTCACACAGCGCATCCCAGTCAGCCTGCGTAAACCGATCTGGATGCGCGTCCATAGCCAAGTGTCCTGTCCTGACGTCGTTCTGACGCAGCAACTAGCAAGCCACACACAAAGCGTTATGACGGCTCTTCACACTGCAAACGAGAAACATTCACTTGAAGTGCGAGGAACACTGTTATTGCAAACGCAGTCATCATGTGCAGAAAATAAAACTGAGAAATATTAAAATCTATTGAAACGAAATACAAATTCAAATTAATAACAAAATAAATTATCCATTCTGGACTGCAAAACCGCAGCTGTTCTTTAAAATCGGCACTCGGCAGACAGTTCATTGATATGCACTCATTATACAGTCTTTTTGCAGCGAAGTGATGTCATAGCGGTAGGCCATGGTACTGATGTTTGCAGTCTGCAGTCTGCACTCTACTGCTTATGGACGTAAGTAGTATAAAAGGGGCGGTAAATTACGGCTCACATAACAGAAGTAGAGTATTTTGTGTGTAAACATTTTCTAAGTATCAAAAAAATAAAATAGCGCTTTGAGTGGCTGGCTATCTTACAAAATCTTTCCTAAATAAACTCTAATTTAATCTATAGTACATCCCAAAACCATTAATGAGTATACTTACTTGTAAATTCGTTACCATACGAGTATAAACATTCCTTATGCAGTTACTTCCTTAAATTAATATTAATTGATTGTGAACACAATACTTTAACATTTGCTATCACTACAACCGTTAAGAGAATGATACGCTTTAACTGATTTTGTTGTTGTTTCTTTTCAAACTGCCTGTCTTCAAAAACCTTTTTACAGATTGCAGAACATGTTTTTAGTTGTTTACCTTTCTGGGCGTGGCGGGCATTGTGGTAACATACTGTACTCATTAGCACTTAGCAGATATTCCGCTTTTATGCTCGTATTCCACCTGACAAACCATCGCAAAATAAATTATCGATAATGAACAAAAGCTGCAGTGTTTGATATCAACGCAAAAGGATCAGGTGTGCTTCGCAAATATGTGTTCTCGAAAAGCTCAAGAACACGGACTCTGGCATATTGATATTAGATGCATGAAGAAAATTAGTTGTAGACGTTTAGTGTAGAACTTGTCGTGTATTCTTGTGAAAAAGAAATTCCAGAGCTTACAGCAAAATGATTTTTCTCACTAACGTAAGAAAACATGTTCCATTGTGAAACCCGTAAGCGTCATCCGTCTTCCCTTTCGTGTTCAAAACTGCGGTTGCCAAGATGTTTTCCGGTTTAATTCCAGTACGTACCACGGTACCAGTGGTACGACACCGAAGTACATGACGTAATTACGAATTTTCCCGTTACCTTGCAATAATTCATGTTTTCGTACCAGAAACTAAAAACCTTACTAAGAAAAACAAACAAACAAAAACTGAAAGCAGGAAACAAATTATAATCAACTAAATTCTGTCATCCCATAGCAGATCAGTGATGTAGTAGGAGTAACAGTTATCTTGATGGTGCCGTTGGTTTGGGCATATTTAACCGCATCTGGGCCATCTGCTTCTGCATTGCTTCCATGACATCTAAAAAATACGGTTAATGCAGGAAATTATAAGAGCGTCTGTTTTTCGACTTTTATCAATTTATTAGCTGAGACACGTGACATCTGATTAAAAGGAATACTTATTTATTATTTACTGAAAATGCATTCTGACAGAAGACACCATAAGTATAACCATCAATCACGAATTAAACCGCCACGCCAGATTTCCTAAATTTTTTAACTGCAAGAATGTTATGCTAAATTACGAAGTATTCCCAATTTCGCAACATCACATCAATCATAATTATCTAGCTTATCAAATTACGAAAACACCAGGTATTATTATAGCCGTGACTAGAAGGCAACTATGATAAATTTTATGAAAAAGTCTGTTTAAGAAGTTTCCGCTGCCGAACCGACAGCAAAGACCATAATATAAACTTCGTAATGCACCATGTGCACCCTATTAAAGCAAATATAATTGTAAATCAATTTTGTAGTGTATGCACTCGTCCTCGTTAAAACGAAACTGCCTCATCTTATGGTAGAAATAAGTAAAACTGCAATAACTTCGCTTATGAGCTTGCTATTACAAGTAAATTTTCTTACTTTTCAATGCCTAACTAATAAAAATAGTATCTACCACCATACATATAAGTACATGTACAGCAAGTAAGTAAAGAAACACATCAAAACAAGCACGCACTATCAAAAATGGTATTCTTTTTAAAAAACACAAAGCCAAAACAGGGAACTTACGTTGACGATTCATAAGCTTTTCTTGTCCGAGTTTCTGGAGGTTAGTCAACTGCACATTGATGAACTCAATACGCCGCTTAAAGTGTTCTCTACATTTTTCATGACTCTGAAACAAAAAATGTGAATCAGAAATTACACTTTTCGAATCTAACCTCGTTCCCAGTTGCACCATACCATTTCCACAAAGTATCCAGCGCCAATATCTACAAGGTTAGTTCCACAATCCACCGTTTTACCTCGTACTAGGAGCTAAAAAGCAAATCACACGGGTTATTCGATAGAAATACCTAACTAATTATTTAACTGCCTAGACAGCTCAAGTGTTTTAACACTTAACAGCTAAGTCTAAGTCTATTCTAATTACCCCATCACATAAAGGGACGAGCAGTTCCTCCCCGTTTCCTATCTGTTCCAGCTGCTTTGTAGTCTCCTGTGAAGCTAGAAAATGTTGCTGGACCGCTTGCAATTTCTGGATGGAATCCGTCAGCAGTGTCATATCCTAATTCGGCGATCATGATAAGTATGCAAGTCAGGGGATCAGAAAGTACTCATTGACTATTTCTATTGCTGAGGAAGGACGAAACCACGTCGCTGGTCCGCCAACGAGCACAGGGTACTCACTAACTTACATTCTCAAATTTCTGTTTAATGTTCTGAAGTTCAGTCAGCGCCGCAATCTGGCGTTGCTGGTCCGCGACTGGCCCGGCCATTTGGGAATAAATCAAAGCTGATACAAAAGAACCGAATAACACTTAAAATGAACTACGAGTACTGTACTCCGTCTTAATAATCACGGATTCACAAGCTGCTCGATTCCACAAGTGGTGCGCGGATCGCTCTCCGAAGAAGTATTCATAAAACAAGGGTGAAATTAAGAATGAAAAAATTCAATGCGAGTAGCAGAATATCAAATTATCGATCCGTAGTCTGTTCAATGATAATTTCAAGATTCCAACAACTTATTTCGGTAAAATTTTATTCTGAAGTTGTAAATTGTAAGCTAACTGCTGACTTGCAACTTGCTTTGAAGTTTGAACTACCATCCGATTCCAGAACAAAAATTGTTAAACGATGCAATCGCCCCCTTATGGCAGCTAGGTTCTGTGGAGTTGTTTTTGTCAGTATTTTGGTCTTTCACTCTTTCCTGCCTTTAAAATCATGTGTTGAAACTTGAACGTATAAGTACTTGCGTGCGCTGCTCGCACAAATTAAATTAAAACCGCGTGTTACTACTATCGAATACGAAGTTAAATATCTCTTGAAACTAAATTTCTCTGCTTTTCATACATATCATCATGATAAGAAATTATTGTCAAAGATTATCGTGAGATACGTCGCATAAAATATTCTGAGTAACTGCGGAAGGTCATAATTGTCATATCCATCACCAAATCGAGGTTCCGGCCAAGTTTTAATCGTTGTTCTCGTAAAAACAGGCTTTGCCGCTGTAGAATCCATAATAAAAAACACCACTGTAGAACCCTTTGTAACATAAATGTAACATCTGGAAAGTTAGCTAAATTATCTGTATCAACCCTAGTTTCTTCGTTCTATTATCAACTATGCACAGTCAGAAAACAATCTAACATAAGATGAAAACCTAGTTTTGTTTGCAATTTATGAACGCCGGAACAGTACATAAAACAACAGAGACACGTGAAGAAGTAGATGCGCTCAGTGACCGCTAATAAGTGTGTCTTTATAAGCAATCACGTCTGTGAACTGAAGTTCGCATTGTGGATGTCCATGCAACACCTTCCTTCGTAGACTCATTTGGCTGCAGATGCAGAACTTGACTAAACCCACAGCATGGTACCAAAAATGGCAGATGGATCTTCTCAGTCGTCATTTAGTTTCTCCCGTTTGTCAATCGGCCCACCACATCCTATCTTGGGACAATTTTTCAGTTGGATACCACAATCATAGCAGGTGTCGTTGTGACCTATGAGTAGGTGTTGAAGATCGTAACCGATTTCCTTCCACGTTTAAAACGAAATAAACTTCGTACTCACAGCGTTTATCAAACTGTTTATTTGTGTACAATAAAATAACAAAGGTCTACTATTAAAGTATTTTTCTGCTAAACAGCTCTGCTGACTTACCACACCACAGCATGAGACAGTCTCGAGGATTTGTCTTGCAGATAACGCATATATCATTTTCCCCGCTGGCGCGTTTGCAATCTCCATTAGTGCCGGTAACGTCAAGAACTGCAATGTGACAAACGTATTAGTGAGGTAATCTTATTCAAGCTTTGGAAGTTTTCCTTCGCAACAATATTATAACTTCCGACCATAGAAAAACAGTTAACGCTACTTAACAAGAAAACTATCGACCATACAATTTATTGAGTAATGTCACCATAATTCTGACGACTGGGACATCAGCGTGCTCGCTTACACATATTACTGCCTTCGGTTTGCACATGTTCCACTTCGCCGGTACAAGTCTCATCGTCGTTTTCCACATCGTCATCTGCCAATAATTCAGGTGGGATGGTTTTGGGGTCGTTCAAGATAGCTGCTTTGGTACGCGTATTCGGTTTGCATTCCACCTGTTATGATAACAAGACAATCAATTCGTGTACTCAAAGAGTTTAAAAGGTCCTTAAAAGGCCGTTATTCCAAAAAGCAACTGGGTATGTAAGACAACAAGGCGTACATACTACAATAAAAAAATGTTGCCATTAAGAAAACCAAGAAAAACCAAAGATTAAAACTCTCCACAAACTATGAAATTAGCCGACACAAGATGAATTTTAATCTTAAGCCAGACTCGTTTTGCCACAAATCATTAACCCCCATAAAGATAAATAGTAACAAAAAAATTGCACATCGTCGTACCATGAAACATTGCCAATAGTTCAGAAGTCTAAAGTAGTACAAAATCTGTTATATCTGGCGCAGTTTTTAGTCGAAAAGTTAAATTTTAGTTTTACACAATTTTACAACGATTACGATGGTAAATCATTACACGGAAGTGCAAGTTACCTTTCTGTTACAGATCTGGATATACCGAATGTTCAAGAGATATTTAGCATCTTCCATACTCTCCAGATCAATATACGCGAAACCTCGATGCCGAACGCGGTCGTTTTCGTTAATGTAAAGTACCCGAACATCTCTGATCTATAAGCATAAAACATGCTTCAAAACCGGAAGCGAAATGTTGCCGCCGGGCCAATCAAAAGTTTAGCAGTGGCCACCGAATAAATTACAAGACAAGTAGCCACTATTTTATGCAATACTACATATTATCACAATTAATAATGCCATATAATGACACACATACGATAATTTCATGCGGTAAGTTAGTCAAGATACAAAAAGTTTGCAGTCCCACCCCGCGAATCAAATGAGGACGGATAGCTTCTTGCACAATTGCCACATCAGCCTGAACCGGTATACCACCGAGAAAGATCTGATATTCCGTTTGTTTGACGGAGCGAGCAGCAGGGATCGGTCGGGTGTTGGACTAATAAAGTGAAGACATTAATCAGTAACATTATTCGCGAAATTTGGAAGAATGGATGAGATAATACTGTTAAAAGATGATACACCAACCACAACGACTCTGTGATCTTACGCGATATGGTTTTGGAATTATTTCCTCCCCGTCGATGAAGAATTTCTTGTGTAGAAGCGCACGGGCTGTTCCGATGTCCTCGAATCCCACACAGGCCACGTTCCATTTCCGCGGTGCCGGCAGTTCGAAAATACGCAGATCAATGATGGTTCCGTATTGGGAGAAATAATGGTACAAAGTGTTCTCCGACGTTCGAATATTCAAATGTGACAAGAACAGTTTACTGCAACAAATACTGGTTGTTGAATAACGTATGTGGTGCTTTAGTTTACATGCCATAGTGACAGCTGACGATCAGCTGACTGCACCAACCATACTATACTACAGCTTACACACACTTGACCATGGCCAATACTATACTACACTTGACCAGGTCAAGTCTAATCGTCCAACACGTACAGTAACGTTTTAGCTCCTACTGTAGACGTAGCATTGTTCCATTGTAACTGCGTAGCATAAAGCGGACAATTAACAGGAAGTAGTTTAAGTACTATTCATTCACAATTACATACACAATATTAATACACACATTGTTATTTTTTTCACTTTGTAAAAAAATACTACATAGTACATACTAACCATAAGTGCTGTACTAACTTGCAACCGAGAAACTTATACAATCAACAAATTTATGCAACAAATCTGGTGTGGGATCTTCCTTTACAGAAAATCTTATAAATTTTTTTATAAGATGCAAATAACAAATTGTCAAAATTGTTTTCAATATTCAAGTTGTTCTTAATATGCAAACTTTTTTTTATAAAATGAAAAACTGCTTCCTGGGGTCAACTACCAGAGCGCATGATATTCCCTGTAAAGCAGCAAACTCTAGGTCTGCGCTCTAGCCCGCTCTCATCGTTAGCATTACGATAAATATCATGATTACGGTCTAACGTATTCAACCTTAACGAATTTATGAAAACGCTAATTCTAACTTACTGCTGATCGGGATACGATGAGGTTTTCCGGTATGACGGGCCCGCGGCGTAAAGCGGCGGAAGCTTATGTCCAGAGCGCGGTTCCCCGTAATGAACTGCTGCGGAACTGGCCACATTGGCGCTGCATGGTGACAGTGGCGATGAGCCCACTCCGTGATGCCCACTGCCCCTTCGGCCTTTATTCGGATATCCAAGTGCCCCGGGCGAACGACCATTATCGTCCTCACTATAAATGGATTATGGATTTTGGTTTCGCATATGCCGTGTTATTTGCGACAATCAAACGCGTCTTCGTCGCTTACTGGGGTTTGCCAATTTCGTCAAGCAGCTTGGCTACATCGTCAAATACATTGGTCTGCAAATAACAAGCAGAATTAGGGTACGTACCGTATTAAACTTGTACTCGACATTGAACAAATAAGAGCGAAACCCAAACGGGACCAGAGAAAAAAAGTTTACCACTGCTTTCAGGAGCAGGCGATATTCTTCGTCGCTCGATACGACATCACGTGTTGCTTTGATCAGCTCCTCAAGTTCCGCTTTGCGAACCAATATTTCCCCAACCTGACCACGGAAATGCACTTCACCACCGTTTGCTTTGTATTGGTTCGCCATTTGACTTGCGATTCGTAGTCGAAAAATGTGCTCACTAAACTCTGAAGCGGCGGTAAGTAAGGAAGGAAGGCTACTTATTGGTGATAGATCATACAATAAGTAACTGCCAGACATGCAAAAACAAAAAAAAATATCACGAAAGCAAAAAAGGGACTACCACGTTAGATCCCTTATTGTGACTTTGAGGACTGTATTTTGCATAAAAAAATGGAAAAGGACTGTACGTGATTGCACAAGGAGCAATGCTAAAAAAATCTCCAGACTTTAGCGCATCACAAGTGAACCTGTAGTTGTGGCCAGCCGGTTGCTGCCGGTTTGCAGCATGTTTGGCTGACCCTGGCGAATGATGTTCGTGGAATACATGGCTTGAGAATGATGAAAGTGTCGATAGAGGTCACACCATTTCGATTAATTTTTAAAAACTTTTTTAAAGCGGCCGGGCAGTGGTCGAATTTTAGCCACTGCCCATCACCGTTTCCGGTCCGTATTAAATAGGTACCTACATTTCTATGACTTGTATAATATTTTATTGTGTTATTATACTAGTACTTATATACTTCTATAATTGCAATTTGTACATTAAATTTTATTGACTATAAATTTCATCACAGTACTTAATTATTTTATCGTGAACTTATGCGGTTCTGTATTTGTTGATGTCATCGCGGAATGGTAGATATGTATCATTGGTTCTGTTACTCACTAATTTTCTGCTTTACAATGAAATTTTCATACCATATTTTTATCCGGTATACTGATCACCAAAACTGGGGAAGAAGATTCGACAGTGGTCAGAAAACAGCTGGGATATGTCGATTCGAGCGACGGAGTATTCTTACGCCAGCGAATTAGCGGTCCAGAAAATGCAGCATCTTGTCCTGGGAACTGCGCACCGCTAATTTAGATCAAATGTTCACTGGAATTCGTCTGGGTTCTCGCTGTGATGCTGTTTACAAGTTAGTATGTGATGATTCTTTAAAACGAATTTCACTGAAGCGAGAAGTTTTAGGTCCGTAAGGTCAGATCTAGAGCTTTTCAAAGCCCTCGGTGATGTTTCGGTAGGGACTTCTTAGCTTTGTTGACGTTCTACTCTGTGCCGGATCTATTGCATAAGCAACGTACAATATTGATCGGATTATCATTTTATTCGTAAGAATCACATATGCACTTATCTGAATAAATCTTGACGATAAAAAATGATGAGAACATTTTTTCGGATCGAGAGATTTTAAAATTTGGCGTTGGACATCATAAGTGATCTGCATTTTGTTATTTGAGCGGAGGTCGCGCATACTAACTTTTTATACTATACTCGTACAGTTTGTATACTCGTACAGTTTGTATCTAGATGTTTTTTTTTCACTGTCTTGTTCAAACCAACATGAGCGGAAACAACTGACAATTAAGATGATTTTACGACATTCGCGAACCTAACAAACACAGAGATCGACAGAAAAAACTACGGAAACAAGCAGCCAGAATCCACAGGTGGCACACGAACGAGCTCGCTGGTTAAGGGCCAAACGCAGAGCGTTGTAAGGACAAGCCCCCAGATTGCTTCGGGCATAACAACAGGAACATCCGACCGCAAACATCCGCGCTTCCTCAGTCCGTCTCCAGAGCCTGGGAGATCCACGTTCGTTCCAAGATACCCCAACGACATGAACAACGACAGTTTGTATACAAGAACTAACTTTGTATACTCGTACAGTTTGTACAGCAGCTACTGCATGTATGTATAGCTTTTGCAAATTATATTCAGGTGAGGATACTGATTACAAAACATTTATTACGAAGTACGCATACAACAGTTACTGTATATCCAATACGAGTTTTTGTGAACAGTTATATCCAATACGAGTTTTTGTGATATCTACAATCCTATTTGTGAAGCTTAATGCACATTAGACGATTACAATCAGGCGATCTGAATCAACACCAAAGACTTTGATTCATAAAGGTGATTTCTTACCACCTTCCGCATTACACAGCAAACTACTACAGTACAACTCTGCAAGTAACACTTCACGAGTAACTTATACATGGCAGGCAAGCAATAATTTCACCGCTGATCAAGGCATTATCAAGCCGAAAATTTTGTGCATTATACACCAACAAATCCTTCGGGGATTTACTTTCTTAATCAGCGACAAGTGATATTGCGCGCGGTAGACGGTTTGAAATTTTCATCGGATTGTGTTCACTGGATGTGAAGGTTTCGCTTACTAGTATTTGTTGCGACAAAGTGCTAGTTTTCACGTAATTATATTCGCACAGTTTGTTTATTGGAACCGCTTTCTTCCGTGAGACAGATTATGGTTAAAAGATGACTTCTACTGCAGTTAGACAATATACGGTTCTGTTTGTTCTTGGGACAATAGGTAACTGCAGACTGTATATTTGGCTAAGATTCCTTTTGCTGCTGTTATTTTATATGCCGTCTAATGCGTTATAATACTCAGATGTACAGCAGTAATGCGCATAGAATATACATACAATAGATAATAGGACTGTATACAATAGAACGTGTTTTAAGTTGTTAATTGTCTATTTGTTTCTTATAACTTCGTAATAAAGCTCCATAATAAAATTATAAGCAAAGCAGTATTACGAAAACCAGGAATATAATTTATTGCTTATTCATTCCCGAGAATATTGTTCTTTGTAGTTTGTACTTACAGTAAAAATCGTATCATGACAAATATTTTTTAGCAGGAGTCGTAACGGCAGTTCTGCCGGCGGATCTGGCATCCAAAGCTGCAGTAAACAGCAGCGACACAAATGACGCAGTTGATAAACCTGCACTGCTGATACCGTTTGGAAAGTTTGAAGCAACAGATCAAACAGAAAACTTTGCCAATTACCGGTCAAGGTATGCAGATTATGCGATGTAACCAAAATTGAGTAATCCATACAGTACTCAGTACTAATTGCAGACTCCTCTATAATACGGCAATTACCGTAAAGCAGCGATTGCGCAGTGGTTTTGTTTTCAGAATGTCATTATAATATATGGCCGCTTCATTATTAATGATCTTTTTTTCGCTCCAGCTTTTCGAAAAAAATTCTGTTTGTAATTTGTAGTTAAATTAGCAAATAACACATCTCAAAACTCAATTCGCATTACAGCCTTAATGTGGAGTTTAAAGGATTTTCCGCAAAGCACTTGAAAGGCAAAGTGCAACACGAATTTAGCCGCATAAACAGCACAACTTACGCTCATGCATTTTGGATTGTGGATACGCCATACAAGCAAAATCTACCGTTTGAACTTGGCCGCGAATATCCACACAGCTACAATGGGACCGCCTTTAAGGTAAGAGTATTTTATTTCTACCGAACTGCATTAAACTTTTTTTGCGAAGTACAGTATCTTACAGATATCTCGTAGTGGTGCATTGTATGTTCTATTCGTTTCATGTTATACAAAACTTTAAGCTGTTATATGAAATTTCGTGTTTTTTTCGTAGTACCGGTATTACCAAGAGCCGAGTCAGCTTGGTTTACATGCAGTGTTCCATGTTCCGGCGGATAACCCACTCCCTATCGAACATTTGTACACATCCAGCTCAGAAGGTTTTATTTTGGTAAGCTGCGGTAAATTATGAAAAGCTGATCCGTTTGACCTTAAATGTGCACACGCATTATATGGTTGTCGGAAAAACACGCGATTGATAGCGACGTTAAATCAGCTAAATTAATTGTCCTCTTGTTCTTAAGAATGTTTATTTTTCAGACGTACAAAATCGGAGATATGATAGCCAAACGCTCATACAAAAGGGTTTAGAGTATGAAGAATTACCAGACTACGGCCTTCTTCCATTACTCCGCAAGGACTTCAGCTCACACAATGCCGGCCTTTTTTGTTGAAGAAAGTGTATATCTAACTATTCGCTCGCAGCACATCGTAGCCCATTTTTCAATGGATACGACTAAGCATTTTGCTGCACTAATTTTTCGACACTCTTGGAGATGCACTTAATACTTGACACTCTTGAAATGTGTGCACCATATCGTAAAACAAAATACATTAACTTTCACAAGCAGTGCCGTCCAGATGACATACTGTCTAATTCTTTGAACTTACATTGTTAGTCACCTTTTGTAATAAGGTGACTAACAATGAATGAGATTCTGAAATTCGAAGATATACCCCTTTATTAATGCACACCAAGCGACGTTCAAGGTGATTTAAAACAACAACCCAAATTAAAATCTCGCAAACATGACCTGGACGACGGTGAATTTATCATCATTTTAATGACACACCACAACATCATACTCATCAGAAATTCAAAACGGTAAATCGGTTGTACTCGTACTATTAAAAACTATACTAAAAAAATTTCATGTTACAGCCTGAATGCCACCAAGAATTGTTACACGTCGATCGTGGTATTTTCGTGAAATTTCTTGCTCAATAAATTTTTGTACTTCCCGAGTGCCTGTGATGAGTTGCTGCAGTTCTGGATCGAGCTTCTTGCGCTCTTCCGCGGCTTCCAAACGGTGAATCTTGAAAGACTCAGCTCGATCTTCCATGCGCCTAGCCAAAGTTAGCTTGTGCTCCAGCTGTTTCGTCAGGCGTTCTAAAAACCTGTAAGAAAACGATACTCTTAAAACCGTCAGGGAAAACAATTTCCATATACATACTGTACAACTACAAAGTTAAAATGCAAATTTCATTCGTTGTAAAACTGATATGCGAAAACAAGCGCAATGTTTCAAACAAAGGCGTACGTGGTAGAGTCGTGCAGTTTGCAAAGCGACTGCAATCGGTGGTCGTTCAGCAAATCCAAAATTTCCTGGACACTGCCAATATGCTGTTGCACAGTCCTCTTATCGCCAAAAAGGACCGAATCAGCCAACGTTTGCAAATTCAAAAAAGATGATGCCATATGTTCTGTAGTCTGCTCTTCCAGTCTTCGTTGCAGAAACGCTAACAGCTCGTGCAATTCGTTGGTCATCTGAATTCTCGTTTCAGGATTATCAAGGACACTCCGCTTGGCAAAATCTGAAAAATCGACCAGTTTAGAATTTACGATTCTGAAACAAACAAGCTGCATGTATCCGTTAGTCAAGAATTGTCTCCAACCAATATTTCTTACGGGGAGCGTACGTAACAGTACTGTACTCAGAGCAACAAGTTTTAGGCAAACCCACATTGACATGCGACAGACATTAAATTTATCATAAAATATTTATTTTCTATAGCAGCCAGGATTTCATACGACTAACAGTTCATAAGTCGCACGAAAACGTAGGTTTAATTTAAAATATTATACTACATTTGAGATCCGAATATTTCGACGTTAACATATAGTAAGTAAATTCAGAGGCTACGTAGCAAACAAAAAACTTTTAGCCCAGCTCGAAATGTACATGTACAAAATGTCGCTAACCCAACTCACCACACGAATCTTCCACCGTTATGCTGATATCATCGTTTCCTAAATCCCAGTCAACTTCGTTGTCACCTTCCGGTTCCTCAATATTAAAATCAATAACATCGGCCACATCGGATTTATTGAGTTCATTAAGATGATCGGCAATCGTATCGTTCAAATTAACGTCCAGCGAAAAACGGCTGGATTCTCTGTCCTCCTCGGTAACAGCGGGAAGGGCAGTGTCCATCACCGCAATATTAGCCACAGTGTCTTCCAAATGTGGCTGCTCCGTCAAAGGATACGGTTGATTACCGTACTTCATAAGATGGTGAACAAGTGGAAACAGGTCTGAACCAGTCTGCTCTTCTTTTGTACTGCTATAAAGTAGAAAAAATATACTCTGGATAGATTATGCAATTAAAGAGTATTTGGAAAGTCGTACTTAAACAACTCAGAAGCAAACTAAAACACTAACACTAACTAACCGCTCTAATAAATTTCACTATATATTTACAATTTCTTGTTTCGGCGAAGGAATGACTTACCCTTTGTGGATTGCGGCAATAAATTCTTCAACATTTTTACACAACGGCTGCAGAATAACCGATCGCGAGGAAATGCTGTCGTACATTTGTGGCAACACTTTAGCGCCTAGCAGAAGTTCTTCCATCACATTCCGTCCCTGGAAAATCAATAATCTATTTGTGTTCAAGAGTGTGCGAAAACGGAAGCCCCCGTAAAAGAAAACGAATTTGGTATTAGATACCAGACCACTTCCTAACACACTACGTACTTCTATTCCCAATACTTCACATTCTTTGCGATACTGATCATGGAATTCCGCAGCATTTCTAGCAGCATCTTCTGATTTCTTCCCATACTCGGTAACAGATTGGTCCAGTTTGTGCATTTGTTTCTTGATAAATGGAATGTCGTACGTTATGTTGCGATATATGACTTGACCCAATTCCGCTAAAAATGCAATAATAACATTCAAAAAAATGCATAAAAAATAAAGTATTAGTGTGGAAACTGCAAAAACATAAGTAACAAATTAGATTTTTCATAGCGAGGCAATTATGGTACTACAGTCTGCAAAGCCTCTCAAATCTCCGCAAATTTTTGTAACAGCACTTAGACTTTACTGTTTGCTACATTCCAGTGATTTCAATGACGCTTTATACAGAACTGTACCAAGATATGTGTTGTCTTTCTCATAGAGCTTCATAACTTCGTTCAGGTCCTTCATCAACGGAGACTGGTATTGGCCCAACAAATTTTTGGCTCCAAGTGGCGATTCATTCAGTAGTTCAAAAATCTTTTTACAATGGACGTACAGAAGATCTACGAGTACCGAAAATGTAGTAAAATTAACACCGAACGCCAACCCTTGATATCCGCAGACAAGCATCAGACAGGTAGAATTTAATGATTACGAAGCGCCGTCGAAAGAAAACGAGACTCATACCCGAGGCTGTAGTGGGAAGTTCAGCAGTTGACAATATACTCTGTATATTTCCATCTTCCTGCAGTTTCGGGAATAACGAAGCCAGCTTCTCCCGGACAGCCGTAAGGCTCGCATGCCAGTCCCTGGTGCAGTGTCGCCGACTGATGAGCCATTCTGTAATAGGCAAAACTTAGAACCAGGCAGCGAAATCAAACAGTCCGAAACTCGTGGAGATTAGGTGGAGTAGCGTTCAGTCTTGCGCCTAGCGTACTGTTCGTACCTAACAGCTGTCCCAAATGGATGTCTATTGGAATGTGGCGAGAGCTGTCGGAAGCCATGGGAGATCTCAGTACAAATTTTCCCAGTCAGTACTTTAAATCAGGTACGTACTTAAATCAAGTCAAAAGCATTAATGATAATAAGAACTGTCCTGAATTTCTGTGCGTGCAGTTTAAAAAATTTAAAAAATACAGTAAACAGTAATGAAACTACTTTGGCTGTTGGCACTTGGCACCATGTTTGTATAGTACGTGTGCGTGCTGTACGTCCTACGTTGCACGCATACGTCACTGCGTCGGTCGCGCACCGTCTGTAAAATAGGTAAGTACTGTAACTGAACTTTTTCGAAGAATACCCTGTGAGATCTTCTAACTTATAATTCTCCATAGACCAGCTGTAACTGGTTTTTATAAGTTTTAAATGACAGAACCTGATCAAAGTTTCAACAATGATAGCCTACAAATACGTCAGAAATTTGAAAGAAACATCATGGAGGAATAATGGGATAGGAATTGTGTTGTGTCAAGCCGGAACTCTCCCTATAAGAACGAGACAAACCCATACCGATTGCAAGCCTGATTTCCGGCGCTCCGATGCTAATCTTTGGACCAAAAAGGTTATTTTAACAGTAGTCAAAATCCACTAAATATGGAAAAGAAAAGGAGAAAAGAGGTAACGGACAAGAATAGCCGGTTAGGGAATTGTTACTACCGCTTGTCATACATACGGACTCCATGGGTGACAGTTCCATACACAATGCTCTACTTACCGGTGCGAATGACCAACTGCATGCTGCCACACCACAAGAAGTGACCACTCACGGCAAGTCAAATCGTGTTGCAGCTAATACATTCACATTAGGTGCTTGTGCTTACGCGAAAGATTGTGATTTTACCGTTTTCAACTTAAAGAGCTCGCATTCGAAGAAATTAAGAATTCAGTGATACATATATATATGTAATTAGATTCTGAACGGCGTTTTTAGTTATCTTTTTAATTATAAACGTTTCAATACGCGGCACGCTTGGCTTACATTCCAGTATGTCTGACCGTCCGTTTACCATAACCGAGATGGGCGATCTGCAGACTGATGAGGATCTTCAGCATGCGAAAGAATCTCCCGTTATTCAGTACAAACAGGCGCTTCAAGCTCCGTTATCTCGGGATCCTCTCGCTCGATTGCATCGCGGACCGTTTGCTCATATGATCCCTTCGCGAAAATATGAAGGAGACTACGAAGGAGAGCGTGTTAACTTCGATGACGAATTTCTGGACAACGGTTTGCAGGACGGGGTGGAATATGGTTCGACTTCGACCAAGACGCACCTGCCAGGTCCGGATCAGAATTCGTCGATGAATAACCTTTTTTCGCCACAGATGAGTCCGGAATATGTCGAGCAGCATAAATTGGGATATATGAGAGATTTCGAAGAAATGGATGGGTTGGCTGTAACACGGGACGTCAGGAACGAGAACCATGCATATCGACTGCATGAACATGCAAGTCCGAACGCGGAACCGGAAGTTCAAAAAGAGAACCAGAAAGTCAGCTTCGGCGCGAAAATCCTTAATTTCCTGCACTGGTAGTGGTAATTATTCGGCATATTTCTTAAACTGCATGCGGTTTCATTCTGGATTGCGTACTTGTACTTTCAGGAAGCAATTGTTTTTATCATCACTGCCATGATGGAATGCATGTTTTTCTTAAGGATGCGTTTGTCTGTTTTTTTTTGTATGATGGTGGTACATTTTGAAGTATTCATTTTCAGTATTTACACTCACTTATGCATGTGCAGTGCGCCGAAGTTTTAGGTTGATTGAATTTAGCACGAATACTGTACAGTTAGTTCTGTGTTATGTGGAGAATAGTTTTTCAGCTATTGTTTTTCAAGTAAAAATGTCAGTCTTGGTTGCCTGCATTCGGAACGTCAATGATATCACAAAAAGAAAACCGTAAATAGATTTATAATTTTCATATAGCTTAAACACTGATTCCACCGACTGCATCACCACAGAAATTCCTGGGATGTTGAAAGTCCTCTGCCAGCTGCTGACTGGTCATTATTGCTGCATATTGTATTGCACATCCAGCAGTCTTGCTTCCGGCTTATTTATAAACCCTTCGAAAGCGTTAACGCTAATCTTTAGAGAAAAACAAGACTTCTGATTTTTTTTATTAAGAGGAGAATGATTATCAGTGGTTTCAGCGTTGCAAGCCAAAGGTATTGTACACATGGACATAAAAATGAAGAGTCTGGATTGGCGTGCACGCCGTGCAGTACAGTAGACAGTGACACCGAGTGGAGGCTGTAGCCATGCCGCTAGTCTCACACTGGAAGTACGTGGTGGTACCATCACCCCGGCCTGTCGCCGTGTCCGGTCGGTCGTTCACGCAAATGAACCCGACTTAGTAATTATTCTGACAATTTTGGCTGCCATACAGAACGTTCATGAGGGTCTGCTGGGATACTTCTACTGACCATGTTCTTGGTAGAATCGGGTAAATATGTAAATACTACATCTCTTGTGCACATTCTTACATGCACCCGTGCTCGGTTTATGACCTCAAGCTTATTAACAAAGCTCAAAGCTGCGGCAGGCTGGGAACTGGACTTAAATGTGACTAAAATCTAAATCGCTTACTTCGCCCATAAACAAGTACGGACAATGAGGACTACTTACATAGTCGCGTAAAAGTTTTAGTCGAATCAGTTGCTCACAAGTCAGAAATGATACCATTCGGATAGATGTTAAGAAAGACAAAACTGCCAGAAGGTGATGAATCTGCGCAAAAAAATTAGCGCAATACTCAGCTATTTGCAGTTTCAACTCGGCCAATAAAAATCTGGCCGCTGTTGTCAAGAGCGGCGATATTCATCACGCTGGAAAACTCGTCACGGTAGCTCTTCCAAGCCTTGCAAACTTTTCGCAAAGTCCCCACAGGCCACAGCTACAGTTAATGAGATCGATTCAGTTAATCGGTATCCATGACTGGACACAGTCTTAGTCTTTTATTGTTCCGGGACGTTTTCTTTGGCTCGTGTTTAGGATACTCGAGGTAAAACCGTGTAAGCATCTCGCCTACAACAACAAAACTAGTTAAAACCGAGAGTCTAGACTTCAGAAATCGTTGACGTAATTTCGGTGCGCTATCTTTCTATTTTACTGTTCTTCTACAACCACTACTGGTAGTAATATTATAGTTTTTCCGAAAGCCAGAACCTTACCGAAATCCTCATCGTATTCATACAGGTGTTCGTCGTGCAGTACCACTACAATGGCCTGGACAAACTGTTCCACGTATGAAAAATATTTGTTCCATATTCGGTGCTTCTGTTTTCTCTTCAAGGCAAACAACCACATGACTGATTTGGTAACAAACTGCTGCACGTTCGCAGGGACTTCCAAATCCGGAATGTACATTCGAGAAGACTGAATCAAACAGACATAGGCATGCAGGAGCTCCGTCAACTGCCACGCCAGCTGCAATACACAAAAATTTCATGTATAAATAGTGCATCGTGCCCTTGTGATAGATTTAAAAATTGCGAGAATTGGGCAGGCGGTTAAAGGATGCTACGGGAGAACGACGCTCTTACGAGTTTCTGCTACAGCGTATTAGCATTGAAATACAGCGGTGGAATGCGCTGTCCGTGACTTCAACTGTACCGCGTTCTGATGGTTTTAACGCTGTTTACTTTGTTTTATGATGTTGATGCTTAAAACTTCTGAACGATAAGCAAACCAATAAAATCTATAAACCTTGATTTAAAAATTTTATCGTAAGAGATGCAGAGCAATACGGAACCACAACTTGCAATTTCCCCTACAACAGTTAAACTCAACACGGTCAAAAGTGCAAATAATCAAGTGAGCATTGAGCACTTACAAATATAGCTATAAATAACGGCTGTTCGTTATTACAAAGTCGGGGACTTTTCAATCAATCACGCACCGGTTCAGTACAATGTCGTTTCTTTTGGCAGACAAGGGAGCAGATTTCGGCATCATCGCTCATCAATATTTCCAAAAGAAGATCGATCAGCTGAATATGCAGATCACACCCGGTCAGCAGTTCTTGCTTGTCCGTGGTAAGAAACACATTGTAATACAGCCGAAGAAGGATACATGTATCTAGAAAAATCAGTTTGTTAAGCCAAAATTTACGTCATGTTAGAGCCACAACATCATACCAATATCCTTTGAGCACCAAGTGATGACAAACGGCTTAAATTTCACAGAAGCCAAAAGTAACTCCAGTACCGGCGCAAGGAGATATTCCTCAGTTTCCGCCATGGCCACGTAGTTCAGAACCACTTCATTCTCCGGAAGCCGTTCTGCACTATACAAAGTTATCCCATAAAGACATAAAAATGATATAGTGCTATTTCCAGCTGTGACCGGCACGTCCACTCACACTATTCGTCCTTCCTTGCTGTAAACGTCTACGATGTCCGCTAAGACAGTCACCACTAAACATGACAATCTCATGATGTCGTACTCAAATATCTGCAACAGAACTGATTGAGAAACACAATGCAAAATTTGAATAACAAAGAAAAATATCTTTCTGTACCTTAAACTGTAGAGGATCCATAAGCATCAGCATGAGATCCAGAATTGAGGTAGATCTTAGAATCTCGGGGAATTTCATAAAGCGAATTATCATCTGTTCTTGTGCAGCCTGACCAATTCCATAACCGGATGTAATATGATACGCAATCCAGTCACCATGGAGGCTCTTGCGGCGGTCCCTTCCGTGGCTTTTTAGAGAAAGAAACGAAGTAATCGGCTCATTATCTAAAATATAAAACGTTTACAAGCTACCTTACTTTTGCAGTAAAGTAATTATCTACCAAGTAATGAAAACTATACTCATAAAAAAGTCGTACACATAACAAAAGGATAGATAACAATACCAATTACTCAAGAAAGCATCCATCCTTACCAGCACATTCGGAAGTTTTATCCGGACTATCGGCCATTTTTGGGATTTTACCTCCATGAGCCCCTTCACCACATGGAGTATGTTGCACGTACAATTTGTGCAACTCCGGAAAATTCTCCAAAAGTTTTCGTAGTATCACCAATGCCACCTTGCAGTTATGTTCCATCGCTTTCAGATACTGCACCGTTACGCTAGATAAACTGCGCAAAACTTTCAGGGCATACTCCAAAAGCGTCATCTTACCACACACAATACTTATTTCCTCCAGAACATACACCGAACAACCGCGAATGAGTTGATTATGGAACCAGCATAGGTTATACAGGAGACCGACATATTGCCGCACATGCTCGCCGGCAGCAGACACCAACGCACTCAACAAAAATTCATAGCAAATCTCCGGGCTTTCGATGTGCAGTGCTGCATTTGACTCCATGAATAAATGCAATGCATCGGCAGCAACGAGATGCGTGGGCCATGTATTCTGAGATCCCTGCTTCCAGATTGTCTTAATTCCGTCCTTTAGTTCATTCCTAGATATCGTAAGATTTTCCTCTGCTACAGGCACATATTCCTTTCGGTTGTTAAATTTAATTGAGGATGTCAGTGTAAATTTTGGAAATGGATTAATCAGCACGGATGTACTGAGACGCTCGTCCACTTCCAATCGACAATCATTCAGATCAGCCAGGAACTCAGAAAGTCGCGCCATTCTCTCAGATCTCATTGAATATAAATCATCACACTGTGGAACCGGGACCGGATCAGATACCGCAGACTTTCCCGCGACAGAGAGCTGCGAGAAATCAGTCTGCACTTCCGCTGAGACAGTTTGTACGGGCGATTCGGCCATCTCTGCATATGAGCGCTTACACGATTTCTTTCTGGCAGAGCCGCCATGGAAAGGCCAATTAGTTTGAAATCCACCATTTTCGTGTTGTTCCAGTTGGTCGGTAGGACGCTTGCGACCAGCTCCTATCACATCTGAAGCCGATGCCTCATGAACGTTTTTCTGCATTTCCAGTCGGTGCAACTGGTCTGTCATTTTAAAAAGATCCTGATCCTGAAAAATGGTTTGATTCGCAAAATAACTTCGGTCATATTAACTCACTCTAAAGTCAAGCCAAAATTGAGCTTATTTTTCAAACTTCTTCAGTCTAACTCACTTTTGAGTAATGATCACGTCAGTTTTCTAACCTTGAAATTAATGTCTGCTTCACATCTTTTCTTCACAAGCGCCAGCTCACTCTCCAAATCGGTTTCTCGTTGCTTTGCAGATAGAATAATTTCCTGTTTCTCTTTGCCGTGGTTGCTAATTTCGGTTTCTTTTTCGGAAAGTTTCTCCCGGAGTATCTTTGTTTCACCAGTTTTAGTCCGCAGCTGCAAAATTTGCTTACTAAATTCAATCAGAATTTTAAAATAATGCACACAATCCACAAAACAACACATTCATTAAGCGTATAACAAAAATATCCGAAATCTGCAATTTTAAAATAAGTCACGCCAAGAAAACTGGCAAACTTTCTTGGCTTTTCTATTCTCAGCTTTCCGCGTAAATTTTTTATTTCGGATTTTCATCTGAGAAACTGCTAAGCTTACCTCTGCCTTCAGCTGATCAATCTGTTTTTGTAAATCCGCAACACTTTCACCTTCCAAGGGTTGAGCACCAGATGACACGGCTGAGCTGATGCTTACAAAGCTGGCAACCGGACTCACAGCTGGCAACTGGGTCCCCAAAAGGGATTTGCGAAGGCGGGGGTCGCACAGCTTGGCCACTAGCACAGTGAACGGCTACGGCCGGTTTGGAATAAGTTGGAATATTCCTCCCACTGCTCTTTGAGCAGGAACCATTTGACTAGGCGCAAACGGGTAGGAGCTTCTCAGATTGTTCAGCTGCGTGCCCATAGGAGCACGGAAACTTTTCTGGGATGGGGCAGGATAATGGGGCTGGTTGGGCCGTGGAATTGGTGCTGCTGGTCGCTGTGTACCGCGTGGTGCGGGAAGCATTGGTCGTGGAACAGATGCATTAACGGAGGGGGCATTACTAGGCATTGGTAGGTTGGAACGAGAAGGCCCACGCTGGAGGGGCTGCACGGGGCGCACGCTTGAAGCAGGGGCATTGTTTGGCAATGGCGCAACGGGGATGTTTTCAGTTTGTGAGGTTAGTTCGAAATTGTCGGCCAGCGACGCGAACAGCTCATCATCACCATCACCCCAATCCGAGTCCGATGAGGTCTTTTTTCGAGGTGGGTTCCTGGCGGAGGCTGCATTTCCAATCAGGATGGGTCGCTGCATCGGCCCTGACAGCGCCATTGCCTTACAGGGGACGATGCGGAGAATCACATTTAGAATCAGAAATGGCCAAATAAAAAAATTCTAATAGATAACTCCAAAAGACAAAGTCAAGAGAGCAAACGCTATTGCAAACTCTAATCAGTGAGCCAATGCTGTCAGTGAGATCCACAAGGACCACAACAGGTGCCCCCTGAAATTTAACTGATTTTAAGTAGTAACTAACAGATATCTAAATTTAACATACTAGCTCGCACGTTATAAATTCATAATCATAAAATCACAGAAAAGAGAACGGTTGGAAGAAAGGTTCCGTCACTTTCGTACGCTCCTAATTTCATACTCATAACTCACAATGAGATTATGATTATGAATTTATGACTGAACTACGAAGTCGGATTCAAGTGGCAGCAGACAAAAGAGCCGGTGACACCAATTCAGCTTGCCGCTATTGGCAAAGCGCCATCTGCATTCTGCACAGTGAAAATACTCGTAGAACGGAAAAGTAATAATTTGTTTTTGCTTTCTCAGCTCTGCTTGTGTGTTCCATATTTTTGCCCTCCTAATAATGAAAATTGATAACTTCGTAATTTGCATATATATTTCGAGGCAAAAGCCGCAAAGATGAACATTACTAATCGAGGCATTATTGCTCTCCATCAGGCATCAGCAGTAGGCCGAACACAGCAAAAATTTAATATTTCCTCTGGTAGTAGCCAGAACTGGAACATCTTATGACTTACATATTTTTAAAATGCAATAAGTGCAACAACATGATTCATCGGCTATTCGAAGTTTGTATCGTAAGGTCATGACGGTACATCTGACATCATCATAACTCTTATTAATAAATTTCTTCGCTAACTGCCAAGATATGGTTGTCTTACTCACTGCTTTACATTTCCTTGGCTAAAAAAGTGAAAGCATGCCTTACGGTTAAACTTGAACTTTAGCGGGGTGCACGATGGCATTGGTCTAGCCGCGTAGCCGCCATTATTAATTATTACCTACGTATTTATGATTTTCAGACAGTTTTATTCAACTTTTACAGTACGTGTTTTTTAATTTGAACATTAATGTAAAAGCATAAAGAACAAAAATATTAAAAGTTAAAACAGAATACGAGCATTCTCTATATCTATTTTTACAACCGTACATTTTTTACGTCGGTCTGCACACAGATGCAGACTTAACACTACTATGAAAAGAAGAAGACTAGTCTTCACATAGGAATAGTGTTAATGTCTTGTTTTTGGTTTGTCTATGGAGGTTCGTAACCAAAATGTTACACGCCTTTGATTCGCCCATTTTAGGGGAGTGGTTTAGTATTTTCCGGAGGGCAAAACCCTGCAGAGTGCAGTGAGTTATGCATACATAAACATACTGTATACGTATAATACAAAGACTGTAAGTATATACGGCTTGCTTTTGAACGGTTAATACCTTGTAAGAGGATAGTTTAGCATTGCTGGCAGTGTAACTGTGCAACCATCCACAGTTGTTGGTTTAGTTACTTAAGTAAGCCGCTGACCGCTGGTTGTGCTCCACACTCCATCGACTTGAACGCTAGCTTTGAGTGTTATCGACTCATTCAATTTCGCTGAATCTCCCAAGCATGGACTTTGTAAGGATATTAGCAATTACATTTAACGCAAAAGCCAAAAACATTTAACGCACACATGCACAAAGATACAGGATCAGAAATTTAGCAAATTTTCTAGTTTAGAATTTGCCTTTTCATTTGAAACCGGTCAAGGGAAAATTCTGATTGCCGGTTCACAAGCATCACAGAAACTGAAGGCGGCGGCTGTGGAGTAAAACGTACAAAATCGATTTTCAATTCTTATCACTTACTCAAAATGAACTTAAACGTTTCATAAGCGCGATTCCGAATGTACAGAAATTTCTTGGCAGCGACAAAAGTTATCACAGAAAGCTAATTTTTGAAGTTGGTTTGTTTTAAACAGTGACTGATCGAGCCACACGAGTAGGAGTTATCTTGCAAGCCCGAGAGAAACAACCAGCCGTGAGAATCTGTATTAAACCGTCGCGTGTTTGCGATTGCATCAGTTACAGTGCACCTGTTAACATGTTTTTTCAAAATATCTATTTTTTAATTTTGGCTTAATCCACGCCTAAGGGGCTAATTCACTAATTCAGGCAGGAAATGGGTGCTAGAATGAGCACATTCTCATTCCAGCAGCACGATGCTGGAATGAAAATCTTCGAAAATTCGTAACTTTGTTATTTTCCGTGCTGAATTTTTTGTATGCGCTTAAAAAATATATAATATATACTATTAGGAAGAATAACTGATTTTCTGGTTTGGTCTCAAGGTTTGCACTCAGAGCATACGTGCTTAGCATAGCCGCCTGTGAGAAATCTCGAATGAGTCTTCCATAAACAGGTACTTATATTAACAGCGAAGGCTGCCAGTGAATATCCCGAAAAGAAAAACGAAGAATCAGTTGTTTTGCCTAACGGTATGCGTTATATTGTATTTTTTAAGCTTATACAAAGGAATTTAACACTAATATTAACAAAATTACGAATTTTTGAAGATTTTCATTCCAGCAGCGTGCTCCATGGGCCACCGCACGCGTGCTTCAGCTACGTTGCTGTTAGACAGCTGGCAAAATTTTGCCAGCGGCCCAGCAGTATGGCAAACAAAATCGACAATAAATTCAAGAAATAAGAATGGACTGCTTTGTAAATAGTATGCTCTCGTCGTCCATTGTATAGTACTTAACTACCCTCCAAAATTGTTGCAAACAGGTGCGTGTCACAATTTGGTTACTGACTCCCGTACACCGTTCAGAAACAAGCCGTATATAGACTATAGAAAGTCTCATGTGTTCTCGATATATACCACGACCGACGGATTTATTTCCGCGAGGAAATGCCACGAAGTGTTTTGTTATTTTTTTGTACATACGTGTACGAGTATTTTGCGGTCTCACTACTCATGGGTAAGTACTAAGTAGTCAGTAGACTCAGTACTCGCAACTCGCAAGTTTCCGTCACCCGTGTTAGTGTACGAGTACAAAGCAATCAGTGATTCAGTACCCTAAATTTCATAATCGCTTCTCGAATTCTTTTTTTCACCGTTTATCTTTTTATCTTTATTTCAAACTACGAATACAGTAGCATTTCACTGAACGTGCGAATTACCAGCGTTCGGAAGTCCAACAGGCAACTACTAATTCCAATTCGAAAAGCAATACATTCGAATGTTCCGACACGCACTTTCCAAGTTTGCGTAAACTTTTATGATTATTGTCAGTTAATTCAAAATAAACCGTCTTTTAATATCGATACTTATATAAAATTGACCAGACCAGACCACAGCAGGAATGCAGGTCTTTACAAAGCGCAGTCCAAAAAAATGCGACAGATCTATACAAGTTGTATATGTTTTTGCACGACATGCAGCTTTAGCGTAACAATTTAGAGTCAATAAACTGTGGGTAAATATTCATTTCAGAGTTGTTGTCAAATGGGTTCTTCGGAATGGGTGCATAAATTTTCACTTGTCGAACGTGCGTATCTCGGCCATTTTGATGGTTAGCCACAATGGCGATCTGCAGCATCCATGCCCGGTGTGGTCGGCCGAACATCTCGTCGATGGTGATTGTAACCCAGCCGCGTGGTTCATTGAATTCCGCTGTCTGCATGTCTTGGAGATCATTGAAACTGGTTCCCGTTCTTACTGTTATTCTGCAACAAATCGTCTTATAAAAATATTCTGTCTAGATACGAGTCAAATCAGTAAGCTTTCAAGTCCCACATCTTTTGCCTGCCATACACCAATTATCACCCACACGAAAACTGCTATTTCGAGATTATTTAAATTCTAATTTCATAAGAGTCGGCCGGCCCGAACGTACTTAAATTGAAGGAAATTCATCGAAGCGTACAAAGAAAATACCTATAACTTACTTGTAAAATCCAGCAGTCAGAAATAATGTAAATCAGCAAATGACAAATCGTCACAAATGTGTACAGTGTAAATAATCGTAATATCGTGACTATCATGATTATTAAATATTATCACTGTTGATGTAATCAATTTATGATAGCCACTGGCCCACTAGCCAGTACTCACTTCTGTGGAGTGTAACTTTCGTCCGCTTTGAAATCACAGTATAGGGAAACATATTTTAAATCAGTTTTCCTCGGAAACTGAATGTTGATTAGATGAGGCTGTGAACCATCTGACTGCCAAAAAGTATCCAGGCGATTATCACGAAGCTGCTCGATGCCTGTCCCTGATTTGCAGGATGACAAGCTCCAGAAAGCGTTCTGGCCAACTTCCCGATGGCATTTTTCTTCCTCGTAATCAAGCGGACATAAATCTCGCCGAAGCTTTCTGCTCGGCGTTTCTGTGGGCATTGCGGCGGATTACGCTTTCCCTTTTGGTAACGCTCCACGCTGTAACAGATTGCAGATTAATCAGTTTTCACATTAGCAAATACGAGCCAATAATACTGAAGCAACACATGACAGCTGGGAAACGTATTTAAAAAGCGAAGCTTCGGAGAAGCAAAACTTTAATATGACACAGGGGAGTTTGTTTTTGTTTAGCTGTGTTGTTTTTGTTTAACAGTTGTGTCAGTTTGCACTTTGCACTCACTGCACTGTGCAGACACAGTACTGCCAGTAAAAGTGGATACAGGGAAATTATTGCTATCGGGTAATTTGCCAAACCATTTTCAACCAATATTGAACAACGTGTTTTGGTGGATTCCCAGTAGTTCTGGCGGAAACTTGACTGACATTGTGACTGTAAAAACTAAAGAGTTAAAAACTAATTACTAATAATTACTATGGAAATAAATTAAAATCTTATAAAAATCTGTCTTCCCGCTGATTCTGTTGGAAGTTCGACGGATAACTTTCTGCACATTTTCCACAGATTTATATGAAAATTTGCAGTATAGTATTTTACGGGCCTTAAGACTTTGTGCGGTATATCTTGCCCCACTTGCCTTCAATATTTCGCTTCACCTGATTTTGTTATCGCACTGTGTGGGCTCAGGCTCTCCTGGGGCTGTGTATCGGATTCCCTCAGGATTTTGATCTCGGATCCAACATTCTCGTTTGAATACTGATAATTAGTTGGCCAGGATAACCAGCTCCAATTGCGCTGCATCGAAGTGGCTGTAGGTTTCTGCAGTATCCCTGAAAGCTACGCAGGTGCGGATTGCTCTTGTTTCTCCGAGGGAATTCACTATGAGTATGGAATACAGCATGCCTCAGCTGGTGCCGATCCCCAACGGTAACTCCGTCGGAGTGCATTTGCTCTTTGCGTTTGTTTGGAAAACGTTTGATTTGACTTTGCAGTAGAGATGTTGGGCCAGGAGAATACCATTCCCATGCAGGAAGATGCCACCGTGACATTCGATCCGCGTACCCATCCCATGCCTGCATTCTGGTGTTCCATCAGTTACTACGAGATGAATGATCGCGTCGGGGATATCTTCCACGCATCACAACCGCTGCTGGTGGTGGATGGATACACGCATCCGTCCAGTGCGGATCGTTTCTGCCTGGGCCTGCTGTCCAATGTCAATCGCAATGTCGAGGCTGTGGAGCCAGCACGACAGAATATTGGTAAAGGCATTCGCTTGAGCTATAGCGAAGGATCGGTGTTTGCCGAATGTTTGAGTGAAAATGCGGTGTTCGTGCAAAGTCGTCAGTGCAATGAGCGCTACGGATGGCATCCCGCGACGGTTTGCAAAATTCCACCAGGTGAGAGAAACAGTGTGTTTTGTTTCAGATGAGCAACTTAGATAATTTATGAACGCGCGCGCAGTAGTAATTTGTCAAATATGAGAAGTTTTATTTCGCAAAAAAAATTTTTTCGGTTACTCAACTTTATTTTAAATAATTGTAACTTGTGTTATGGTCCTTGTATTTTGTGCGTAAGTAGTAGTATTTCGCTTCTACTGCTTGCGGTCTGTTGGGCTGATGAATTTTCTCAAATGGGAATTCAGGTCGAATAACTCTTGGAACAGTAATTTTTCGACAAATTTGCCGTGCGCGTAATACTGTCGTTGCCCTTTTTTTCAAGTTTTGTTATGATGATTTACGCGCAGTTTCCTTCGACAGGCTGTAATCTAAAGATTTTTGATGATCATGAATTTGCCACCAAACTAATGGAATCGGTTGTGGAAGGTTTCGAATGCGTGTATAAATTGACTCAGATGTGCACAATAAGGCTGAGCTTTGTCAAAGGTGCGTCCAACAGATTTAAAAAAGTCATTATTATACGTTGGTGGGTGAGTAAAAAAGGCTGCTGTTATGCGGTTGTGAGGATGCTTTCTTCTTGTTCGTTGTTTCGAGATCTGAACTAGTTTGAAGACTGAAACGTTTATAATTTGAAAACTGTCTGAATCAGCAAACACAGAGCAAGACAGCACTACAAATTTCTGTGCGAGGAAGTTTTATGGATAGTACGACAGAATCATTTTTTCGCCGTCGCTGGTGCTCTACTTGTTCGTTTATCAGTCACCGTTCATCGCCTCATCATTTGTTTTATTAAGGCTGGGGCGCCGACTATCGTCGTCAGACAGTAACCAGCACACCGTGCTGGGTGGAAATCCACCTTAACAGTCCACTGCAGTGGCTGGACAAAGTTCTCATCCAGATGGGTTCTTCCCGTGCTCCCTGTTCCAGCCGTTCTTGAGATGCTGCTGCTAGATCTGAATGGATGTCACTCTCGTTATTCCCGATGCTGCTTTTCACGCCGAAAGAAATAGGTAAATTTTGCAGTTTTTATGCGATTGGTTGCTGCTGTTCTCGCTTTTGATTGCTTTCGATTGCCCAGTATTTTAGACAATATTTTGCTCGTTGCCAGTTGTTACGGAATATTTTGAACAGTTATTGTTATTCTGTTTTTTGTCTTGTGTATATTTAAAGATAATTCAGTGGCTTGATGATACATATATTTCACTTTGATGAATCAAAACGATCTACATTTGTAATAAAAATCACTTCTGCCAACGTCTTCCGTGCATGCACGCTATAGGCGAAATAAAACAAAGTAACAGAAGATAAGTCTACTTTTGCGAATCGGTAGATTACTCTGTCGGTGTCAAAATGTCATTAATACGTAACAATTAGTATTTTACCAGCACAACCTTTTGTGGTTTTGAAAATAAATGACGTGATCAGTGAAAGCAGCCGGTAACTGACTTCCGCATATTAAAATATAGTCATCCTGGATAGCGAACAAAAGAGCTAACGATAAGCTGCGTCGGCAGAAATTTGAATGTTTAGAAGCACCAGGCAAACCGGATTCTAGACGGTGAGGTGAAATGGTATAGTTCTGGGGTGACTGTTCTGTACAGTAGCTAGTAGGTTTTGGAAAAAACGATGTCGAAGCACATTCTGTTGTGTTGTACTCAGCCCTCGTGTACACGAGTACATTCTGCCGAAGCTGGTTGTTCGGCGGCGCAGCTTTGGTGGCACCTTTGCTACGCAATTGTTCATATTATTTTATGGCTATATTTAATCACATTAACGGTATGTGCAGGCAGAGATAAAATGTTGGACTTATATTAATTTACTAAACAAAAAAAATTGTGATCGTGGTGAATGTGCGGTCGACAAGTTGACAGTTTTCTAGTCTTATTTATTGTTAGTTCCGGTTTTGGGCAAGTGCGTACATCGAAGTAGGGAAGCCGAAGCTAATGAATTAAGCGTACCTGTTATGGAGGGTATCAGTGCAATAAAACCAAAGTTTCCGAAATTATTCCTTCGCCTTTTTACGAATGCGCTGCTGGTGTCCGGCATCCTAGGAAATGGTAAGGTGTTGAGTCTGTTGACATAAAATTCTTTATGAATCTTTGCAGTTCGCGCTCATATATGTGCGCACTCTTATTTGTATTGTACGTAACTGAAGGTAAAACATACAGGCATGCAAGTATAGTCTAATTATTAATACAAAACTATCAACATATTTATTATGGTAGGCGCTAGTCGTTGGAGCAATGAAAAATTGTTATGTGTGAAAATTTACGGTCACTTTGGACTACTGATTCCCTACTATGATATGGTATTGAAAAATCATCGATAATTCGATTTTATGTCTTAATCGCGTATGTAGGTACGTCATGTGTGAAACTGTGAATACAAATGCAAAAAACAAAGTGCATGCTTATTTAGCTATCAGTAAGGTCAGGAGAGTGCGCGCATCCCACTGCGACTGTCCTTCCGACAAATCCCAGCCAATCTGTGGCACTGACGGAGTTACATATGATAACTTTTGCCAACTTCGTTGTGCATCTTCCAAAATGGTACCAGGTACGATTTTTTGAAGATTAGCGTAATCAAAAGCACTGTTCATGCTTTAACAATACATGTTAACTATCTAGAAAACGTTTAAGCACAACATTCTGAATTATTCAAGCTTGTTATGTTTCGAAGGCCTTGGTGGGCGATGCCGGGGGAAATGCCCATGTGAAGCGCGTAAGTGATTTTAAGATTCCCAAACAATGTACTGCACACAAAAGTGATATATATAGCCGATGAGTTAATTCTTATTTAAACATTTAAACTTGCAGTGGTGCCTTAAAGAAAAACACTGTTTTTTCTCATTAATTTTAGCTTCTCCGCTGAGCAATTTGATATGCGAAGTTCGAAATAACTGCCCTCCACAAATCCCCAAAGGTCAACTTTGTGGAACTGATAACAAGACATACGAAGATGCCTGCGTTTTCCTGTGTGCGCAACATTCCGATAAAGGTACACTGTCTGACAACATCACCCGCCCAGCTCTAAATTACATTAATGCTAAATTTTACTTTATTTTCTTACGCACAACACACTTTTTAGTAGATGGTGTGTAAATATAAATGCAATGCAGCTTATGTCGCTATGGACAAGAAAAACATTTTTACTTGTTCAGAGCGACATCTAGGCGGCACTGCACTTCAATGGCATTCGTTTCTTAAAACTACATGTATCTATTCTTTCAACATACTAAATACGGTGATTACGCAGGTTTAGGAGTACAGTGTGGAGGAGCGTGTCCTTGCCCAAAGCGTAAGTTTGTCTTCATTTACTGGATATTATGAAAGTGTTGGACAATCCGAACTGAATTACTATGGTGTTGGTATTAATATTACATTCGAACACCATTAATTCTAGCGGAAAGCCCTTGCAGCAAATGTCCAGACGAATACCGACCACTTTGCGGGAATAATAACATCACTTACGGAAATCAGTGCATGTTCTCTTGTGCTCGAATGGCAAGTTCAGGTATTGCACCAACTACACGAGTAATTTGTAGCATATATATAGATATCTATATAATTTTTTTAATCAAGCGTCTACAAGTTATATACCGTAACGTTTTTTGGTGCCCTTATTGCAGCTTTGTACCCTTCTTGCCGGTCAGAATGTCCGTGTGTACCACCGACGAAGTCGTTCGAAGATCATCTGAAGGCAGTCTTTCTTATTCCTGTCTGATGATGGGCAGGCTGAAATTCTAATTAAACAGTATTATCAAGTCTCATAGTGTGATAAATATTAAATAACTGCAATTTAGTGCTGTTCCTAATGAAATCCCGTCATTTTCTTTCATTTTGAACAAATACAAATGTGAACGGCTTGTGGTGATCTGATACTAATTGAACCAAGAAAAAGTTTCGATTGTCTGTTCAATGGCCATAATTTTTTATCGTCATTGCTCCTAATTTATGGAAAACAAACGCTCGTTACAAAATCAACCTCTTTCATCTTATAAAGTTTTTTTTTTCATTTTTTTACATAAAACGATCATCTCCCGGTAAGCCAAAGGCACAAGTTACTGTACTTAGAAATCGCAGTCCGTACTTCAACAATTAACAGGTATACACACCGTCTTATAAAGGTCACCGTTACTGCCAATAATCTACCCCACCCAAACCCGTTCAACGACAAATTAATATTCTATGGCACGGTATCCGCTATGGAACGCTGGCTTTGTTGATACAGCATAGCAAAATGGGAAGACGGACTACGCAATAAATTGGACGGACTATCCGTTTCCACAATTTTCCCATCGCTCATCACAATGATACGATCATAGTCCATTACCTATATTAAGGCATTTAGAGTGATGCAACGATACTTTGTACAGACGCCAGTCAAAATTCACAAAGCGATATTACCGTATGCAAACGATGCGCTATTGTAATAACTGTGCTATGGGCAAACGCTTCACGAATTGTCCTCTGCATTTTCTGGTCGGTTTCATAATCTATGCTGGCTGTAGCTTCATCCAGACAGAGGACCTGTAAAAGACGAAAAAAAACTAAACTACAAACAGTTTCTAACAACAGCTGACTAAATATCCACCAAGGCGCGATCGAATGGCCATAACTTAGAAATTTTACGTGAAGGCATATCCTGTCCAATGTACCGTTTGGTTCGCGTACCTTGGCTTTGGTCATTATGGCCCGCGCCAAACATACAAGCTGCTTCTGTCCCAGTGACAACTTTCTGCCATTTTCACCCAACATAACGTCCAAATGCCCTCCCAGTTTCCCAACGGGATCCCTCAAATCACATAAATCGATGGCTGCCCACACTTCTTCGTCGGTATGTTGGTGTAAAGGATCGATGTTCTCACGAATAGATGCATCAAACAGGTTGGGGGTCTGCGGAATGATGGCCAAGCGCGATCTGCACAGTGCAAACTAGATTGTCCCGACGAACGAAAACGTACATTTTCTTCTCTTTATCCTAATTTTAACGCTTACGAAATTTCTACCTTTCCATACTCGTACGCAGCATCATGCATGTGATGGATGCACATTCCACTGCGCCAGATGGCGGGGACACAGCTTCATCTACAACTTACCGCAACTGCTCCAGAGGCAGTGTAGCCAGATTCACACCGTCAATCGACACAGCACCCTGCTCAATTTCCACCACACGGAAAAGCGTGGCGAGAAAGGAGGACTTTCCCGCACCTGTGCGCCCCACCACACCAATTCGTTTGCCGGCAGGAATCTGCAGACTGATGCCCTTCAGTACGAGAGGAAGATCATTTCGGTATCGCAAGCTGACAGTATTAAAATCTACGGCGCCCAGCTGTGGCCAGTCCCGTGGAGCCTAAACAAATTCAAATAACACTTGAATAACAATTGCAAACATGTACTTTTTATTACAGCACTCGACATACTTGCAACAGGCCGTCGTATTTTTCCTCCTCAATATCATCGAGATATTGGATGACGCGCTCAACGCTAACAAGTTCCTGGAAAAAAGAATAAGTTCAGCAACGGCTTCTTAAACCTAACCGGACGGCAGCCATCCCTAACTTATTTTTCGTACCTTTTCTGTTTCGATCAAGGACATGACAAATCCGTTGAGAATTCCCACAATTGTAAGAGAATACGAAACAGTTAAACCAAGAACTCCTACAAAATAAAAGAGATAACATTTCCAAATTTCCTGGTTAATTTATTGTACCATAAATAGCATTACCGATCCGAAAACGCAGCGCAAGATGGTTTTGGGTTTTGACAAACAAAACGCTTACCTGCTGCCGATTTGACTAGAAGCGCAATAACCACCACACCACTGACGATAACTATTCCCAACAATTGCAAACGCATGGATAGCCACTTGTTGCACGCGATTTCCGCGAACTGTGAGCGCAGATAATCATCCAATAGCAGTTTGTACTTTTTATAGAAAAATTCCGTGGCTCGCATCACACGAATTGTGGACAATCCATGAACAGTTTCCGCATACAGGCCAAAAATCGGAGACTGGGCAAGCGTGCTAACTCTTTTAATTTCCCTGTAAAATATAAATGTACAAACCACCATCAAAGAAGCTGCTACAATATAATCCACCTAAAACTAGGGAAAATACTCGTATTTCAAACGAAAATAATTTCAAAAAATCGAATGCATATTATAGAAAACTATTGAACGTATCAAGGCTCGTATCAAGAATGTTTCATATGCCATATAAACTTTATTAGGCAATACCCATCAACAGGACAAATTAATTATTATTTATATCTATTTCTATATTCTATGCCATCATAGGAAGTTTTTACTATATTTATACTACTAACCTAGACGTACTGCGATAAAAGCGCTGAATAAAAAAATAGAGCGGAATAATGGGAACGAGGACGATAATAAACCAAGGCAGTCCATAGCAGATCACAATCAGAATGCCCACCAGCTGGAATATGCAGGCCAACAAAATGTTAACATTAAACGGCAGCTGAGAATCCACCGATGTGACATCTTTGGCAAAACGATTCAGAATCCTTCCCGATGGAGTCGTATCAAAAAACATCATCTTGGCGCGCATGACCTTACTGAGCAAACTGTCATGCATACGGTAGGCAGCACGTAGGCCGGCATATGCAAAAACAAATGATCGAATAAGGGCAAAGAAAGAATTGCCAGCTCCAATGCTTCCGTAAACGGTTAGATAGTAATTAACATCCGATTGGGTTTCGTTGGTTGTAGTATTAACCACAATACGTTCATGCGTAACCCAGTAGGACAGCCACCAATCCGTGGCGTTGTAGGACGCTGCAACAACAAAACCATTATTTATCATCTTCATCTTCGTTTTCAAAATTTTCCAAAAAGAACTGCTTATAATTCTGTTCCAATACAAGTGATCTTGGAATGCATTAGATATTCATACAAAAATTACTGCTGACTTCGGAGAAGAGAGAAGACAAATTTCAAGCAAACACACATCAGTCTTACCCTGCATCAAGAAAAGCGAAACAAACACGGCAATGCTCCAGAAATTCCCCACCGCCTGCCAGTACTGCCGGTAAACGGACAATTTTAAGCTGCCAAACTCTCGCTGCTCTTCCTGCACCAATTGGACCGGTGCTTCTCGAGGTTCGGGTTCCTGCACACTGGTTCTCCTGGAGGTTGCCTGTGAGATGTCGGACAGCACTCCCGATACACCTTCCACACCACTCACACTTTTTTCGCCAGTGCTGCCCGGCCATTTAGGCCCGAAACCAGTCAGCTTGGACAGAATTTCCAGCGGTTGACCATTCTCGACAATATGTCCATCTTGCATAACTATCAGGCGGTCCATCGCGCGCAGAAAATCCAAATGGTGAGTCACAAGAAGGCGAGTCTTATTTTTGAGAAGTCCCAAAACACACTTGTCAAAAATGTGGTTGGCCACTTGGGCGTCCCTACACACGATAAACTACGTAAGGAGATGCAAAGGCAAAAACCAAAAATATTGGAAACTGACGCTTACTTGTTCTTTTTAAATTTAAATCAGAGTGTATAAGAAAAAAAGTATGAATCACTTAACAATCCACCTTGCGGATCAAGACTTCGAAGAAAATCAAGTAATACTTTACGGATCCATGCGGTTAAAGTCTCTTTGAGATTCAGTTACGAAAAATAATGGATTGTGAAAAATTAACGATACCGTGAAAAGGCACGCAAAATTCACGGTCACCATTACTCTGTGCGCCATACACTGCAGAAAACGGATCGTCCATCAGAATGATATCTTTATCCTGCAGAACGGCCCGCGCCAGCGCAATTCTGGCCTTCTGTCCTCCGCTCAATGTCACTCCCTGATCCCCAATCTGCGTCAAAGCTCCATGCGGCAGCTCTTCCAGATCATGTGTCAGTGCACACGCATCGATAACATTCTGTAAACCTTCCGGCTGGACGTCGGTCAGTGAGAATTTAATATTTGACAGCACCGTGCCCTGCTGCAACCAATTATCCTGCGGCACGTAGGCAAATCCATTTACCATCGTATTCTGCGAGATCTCGATACTGCCACCCGTCCGATACAGTTCGGCCATGACAGCATGCAATAACGACGTCTTTCCGGAACCGACTTTTCCCACGATTCCAATCCAGCTCTCCGCGTCGGATCTCCAGTGTTATACCGTCCAACTGGTTGCGGACAGCCAACAGTGGTTCTCGCGGAGTGGGTGATACGACAGAACTATCGGAAAGAATTTCGTTGCTTTCATTCCCGGTCCATGTGAAACTAGCGTCGTGGACAGTCAAAATGTTGGCCACAGGATTCACTATGAGATCGGTGTTCACTGCGTAGTACGATTTGAGGTCGATATCCGAAAGCCGAAAGAACTGCTGCAGTCGCTTAGCGGATATCCAAGCTTCCACTGTACCGGTAATAATCCAAGGCATGGCGTTGAGAGGAGCGTACACAAGGCCAAAAACGGAGAGGCAGGTGAAAACTTTGGCGGCGGTCAGCTGTTTGCCGAACGATACGTACGTCACAAATGTCAGAACCGACCTATAAACGGAACATCCATTGTACCTTCAAACAACCGGTAAATCGGATTGCTAAAACCAGAACCGATCTACTGAGCTTGAAAACTGAATTCGAAGAAGCCAAAAAACGATTCAAAAGCCATTCGGAATTATTTGCGAGCCAATAAAAAAATAAATCTGATATTACAGTGAACCTACATTATAAGCGGCGTAGTGGCCCAAAAATACACGCAACAGGCATCCAAGTATTTGATACTTTTCACGGTGGCCATTTCCCTTTGTCTGACCGCGTCCACTCGGGCACTGAACCATTTTTCCCAGGCATAATACTTAATAACCCGAATGGCACTCAGTGCTTCACTCATCAGTTTCACACGAGCATCGCGCTCCTTGAGATTGCGCTCAACCTGTCGGGATATTTTGCTGGCAATAAGCTGATTGAGTGGGACAAGAAGAACGGTAAAAATGACCCCACCGATGAAGGCGTAGCCAACTTGCTGGTAGAGAAGATACAGCGCCACAGCCATCTGCAGCGGGAGTGCCCATAACTGATGGAGGTACTGGATATTGTCAGAAACCTTCTGGCAATCAGTGCCGACCAGATTAACAACATGTCCCGCCGCCATGTTGTTGTTCAGGGCCGAAGCGTGCACCTGCACCAGTTTGTAGTATACCGTGTCCATCAAGGCACCGCGAATGCACCTGAAAAAATTAACAATCAATTACAACAAAACCGCAATTAGGTCCAAAAATTTACAGCTTTACACTACGCAGTAAATAAATTAAATTCCATCTACTAACAATGCAAGTTTTTCCATCTGAAATGCATAGTGCAATTGTACACTGTTGGAAATTAGATTGACCAGAATGAGGCCCAATCCATACACATATCCGAGATAATCCGGCTGCGATCCTGGTTGCTCAATTAACGCCACCAGCACATTGACAAACAACGGCGAACAATACTGCAGAAAGGAATAAGCCAGCTTCATCACCCCCAACAACAACCATTTTCCACCCCATATGCGTAGAATAATTTGCTGTAAATAAAATCTGGACGATTTCAAATTCTTCGCCAACGCCTTCTGCAGGGCTTCGGCATGCAAATCCGCTTTTAATTTGAGAGGTAATTCAAAGAGATCATCCGGTTTCTGCAAATGGCCCTCCGCACCATATTCCATCAATGGGTCGACCCATAAAAACAAGAAAAAGCGCAATATGCCCCATGTATTCGGTGGACCAAGTCGAGGCACGAGAGATGTTCTTTCTGGCATCACATTTAACAGCCGTGCAGTATCATTATCGGCTTCGTCAGGTGGTGTGCGTGCACGCTCCTCCGAATCGAATGGTGAAGTAACAAACAAACATGTGCTGTATATATGAAGCACCGTTGAGAAAATGTAGAATACATGAAGACCAAAAGTCACCATGGTGACTATGGACGAAACTACATTGGGACTGTGATGTAGCACTGCGGAACGGAACTCCACACTGGACACTAAGAAAACCTGGAAATAATAACGCGCTTTCAACAGATTTAATAACCCAATAAATTCCGTGTACTTATTTACATACAAAATTTTTAAAACAAATACAACGTCATCTGAAAATTCCACTTAGTAATATAGGTTGTCCGTACATTGCCCATAGATGGAAATTTGGAGCGAAATAGCAAACCACCGAAGACAAAATGTTCAGTAAATGGAAACTACCAAAGAATTCCTGCAGTTCAACAACTGATGCATATCATGAAAAGAGGGATGTCATGTGCATCAATTGATTCAACAGCTGATTTCGAGGGCTTGCAGCAAAAAATTTAATTAATTAAATTCCAAAATGCCCGTCAACGGCTAACGTGGAAATAATGAAAAAATTACAAACCCACAAAAAACTACAGCAAAAAAAATCTAGCATAAAACGTCATATGAACGAATGCAAGAATTTTGTATCAAAGAGGAATTCCAAGCGTACCGGAAACCAAGACAGGAAGATAGCGCAGGTATCACTGCCATCCACAACGCCGCGGTGTTTTCCTTTCTTGGATAAATTATAAGCAACAACTACATGCACACTCCATGAGATCACCACTAAACCGAAATCCACATACCCAACCAAACCAAAGGCATTCCAATCGCGCCACGCCACCAGTTGCAGAGCCATAGAAATCACGCTGGCTGCAATAATACTGACCGAAATCAGAATTCGCAGAATCCATGTTGCAACGACAAGACGGTGAGCGTTTCTTGTGGAGCCCCAACCAAAGAAATTTTCGGCATAGACAATGCGTGTCGGCGCAATATAGTATGCGTTTACAATAAGAAATACCATGTGAACAACCACTGAAAATATTCTCTCATAGCAAAACGGAAAGTCATTGCCTGCAAAGTCCCAGACTGTCGCGAAGCTCGTGTTGATAATACCGAACCGCGGACACAGCGCTGTCCATGCAGCGCCTCCGGAATCGGACATTTCTTGTGAGGTTCAAATTTCGCAAGATGGACGCACACGTCTGCTTAGCGATTACGAAGCTCGCCAAGGATCATTCCGTCGAAACCGGTGTACAAGCTGAAGGGGATCTCGATCATTGGTTTACCATACCGGGCACGCCGCGCATGCAAATCTTATGGCGGTTACCCCGCCAATTATACACTTCTATTATTATATAAGAAAGCAACCAAATAAGGACCATGTGGTACGTGAGAGGTACTTACTGTATTAAGGGAATTTGAAACTGTACGTCAAAATCACAAAAATAAGTACTTAACAAAATAAAATATCTCACCGGAGAAACCACAACAAACACCCAGACGCGCATGCGAAGGCGGAAGCAATAGTGACAACATTTTTGTACGGTTGTGGGCCTTGTGGCTCGGCTGCGGTCCTGATAAGGAACTGCCACTAAAGTGAAAAAAGGAAAAAGGATCAAGGACAAGCTGCCGCAAACATCAAACCACAAAGTAACATTTGGTAGCACAAATTTTAAGATCGCGCCTTCAGGTATTAATTTAATTAAGTGGAGCTTTCTACAGCATCACTATTCTATTTTTAACTTATTCCTTAAATTTCCTTTAAAGTTTAAAAGAATTCGAGCTAAAAACTAATTATTTCGCATCGGCTCGTTGGCAGCAATAACAAGACCGAAACAGCCCGACGTGGGACTGACGGATTCCACTGACGACGGCTGTTAAGTAACCAAAATAGATTTCTGAAAATGTTTCAAAGGCGAGTTTCAAAGTGAGCCGTGAGTCACTTTAACTTTTCAGTCGAAGCTGAAAGAATGTAGAAAACAACCTTGATTGTAATCCTATTCCGATGGAGCTGGTCAATCTCGTATCAAATTGAATCTTATTTCTGTGTATAGATTTGTGATGTCATGTTAATTGTATGCCCGAGAGACATAGAATCTCAGTATGGCCGAAAATCTCATCAACCACAACGACATCAGTCTCTCAGCGAGTCCCAGTCCCACCATCGACATCCTGATCAACGATCGTTCAACATTTGCCAACTGGATCAATTCCGCTAATAGTCCTGTGCCCGCCTCCTCACCGATACCTATTGCCAATTATCATAATACCAACATGAATGGTTACTTTCCGGACCAGGTTGCCTCGATGGATAGTTTCGAAACAGCGCCAGGTCGTAACAATAATATCGGATTCTATGTTGGCCCGCATACACCCCAACGCCAGTTATCCTCATCCAGTCTGGATCTCCTGTCGTTGTCGGAGAATCGTACAGGTGCGACGGCGGATGCCGCTCTAATAGGCTCACCCACCGTGCGCACCAAGAACAGTAATGCCAGTAGCGAATCATCAGCGCGAATTGACACTTCGATCGCGGCACCCTATGAATTCGCACAAGCACCCATTGAGCGGACGGAAGAAGATCGCCAGATCCAGCATCAATTGTCGCAAGCGTGAGTGAATGTGTTCCCTTGGTTCGATTTTTTCTTGTTTGGGTCTGTCAGAGACTCATGAGTGAATATGCAATTATCACTCCACACATTTCCCCTCTTTACCTTTCCACTTAATGTATTGTGCCACTTGGTGATCCTTCAGTGCCTACGTGACTGTAAAACGTTTTCACACAATTTTCTACTGTGGCTTAGAACACCACTCCGTGACCTCCCTCACTGCTTCCCCTGTTTAATTGTGCTTTGAGTCTTTCAAGGTGTTGCTTACAATCTAAGCGAATGTTCTGGAATAATGGGTCTTGTTTCTTTCATGGCTGCAGTTGTAGCTCTAACACCGGCTTCCGCGGAAAGTGAGTATACATACTATTTACAGTTTATACTTACTAAAAATTTCCATATTATTTCGGCTGGCATAAAATTATTTTTGAACGTTAAAATCGCTGCCCGTTGAATTAAAACCGCATTAAACCGGCTCAGTTTAGGATACAGTGCCCGTTTCGATTTTTTATGAATATTCCTAGTGTGATCAATTGTCGTAAAGATTCGACCTGCAAAATATTCACTTGGATAATCGTAAACGACGTTCGTCATACGATCAGCTTCGCTTTAAGAATTCCATAGTTTAATTTGCAGCTTGGAATTTACTGATTGTTAACATGGCAATATAGAAAATTTTGCAGTTTTATCTTGGTTTGCTTGGTTAATGGTTTTATCTGTCATTGAACTGATTGAAGTGTATGAACAGGTTCGCGTAATATTTCGATACATTTGTTGTTTCTGACGGTGATGTCGCTTTAGTGCTTTTCTTTTATTTGATTCTACAAAATGCTGTACCCGTCTGTACAAAAAAGGCTGAAAATCAGGTTTTTTTTCTGCTTACGCAATATCAAACATGCAGTGGCATCACAGTGTCGCAGCGGTTTGCATTCTTCTATTTTAAACTTTCCGCTGTTCTTTTGGATGACCGTGGGGTAATTGCTTGGTGTAAGTGCACACATAAAGAACATTTGTATTTTGATAAAGCCAGACTATGATTTTCTTCACATTTCCTTATCGCAGGTCGATAAAAAATAAACTTGCTATCGCTTGCTACCTTGTAGACACACTGGTATTGATAAAGCGCGAGTTTCATCGGTTGCGTAATCTTTATCTGTTCTGCTTTTTCCACGAGGACAGCTGTATGCGACGATCAGCTATGTGAATCGTGGACTTTGTGATTTCGTTGCTGAAGGGCTGTTGGTTTCATTTGACAATAGTTACGGGTAGATAATTCAAAGCTTTTGATAGTTACTGCTTACAATTAAAGAAACGATCGGAATTTTTTTCGATTCTTAATTTATGAAAATGTCTTCGGACACGAAACCTTTTGATGTACATCCTTTAGAGGTAGCGGAGGAAATGCAATACCACGCGTAAGTTTACTGTTTTTTCAAGTGGAAATATATAAAAATAAAATCTGTATACCTACTCGAGTAAGTCGAATACAGTATGTACAGTAGCAGAGCGATTTTTGGGCCAGATGCTTTAAATCGTTAGGAACTGCAAGCAGAGCTACTTATTTTTGCCGCATGCGCTGACTGATTTATTGCTTCTGCTAGTTTTTTCTCTTCGGCTGGGTTCGACCTCGGTTGGTGGTATTTCCGTTTGAATCATCAAGTGCTTTTTTTGTTTATTGATGATTTGGCGTGTGCTTCGCTTGTGCCCGTAACTCAATTCGCACTGGTGATAGAGTAATTGCCATGTGTTTTTAATAGGTTTATTAATTTGAAAGAAGGCAAACTCAGCCGGCGTGCGTCCAGCGAACTGCTGGATCAGCGTGATGGCGGTGGCAGTGTCAGTGCCTCGTATTCGCGCAATCTGGACCCAAATGCGCCTGACTACCAGCGCGTGGCTATCAGCGGCTTTGATGATTTGCATATCGCCAAAGAGGTCACTACGGGACACACCAAACTTTTTTTGTCGGCTGTGACTGACGTGACTATGTGTTTTATGTGTTTGTTGGGTGATATTTTTAGTTGGCGGCGTGTGATGATTTGGTGCGATGTGCGCAAGAAATCGCTGAGGCGTTGGATATTCGACGGCGCTATATGCGTATTGCCGGGCAATATTTCCCGCCGACAGTTGATCGATACTTGGAAGCGTACAGGAACCATCGCCGCTCACCGAAGCCGGCGGCCAGAGAAATGGAGTTTAGAAAAACGATTCAAGGTGAATGCGGATTGTGTTGTGTGTTTAGTACTCGTAAATAAACAGGTCAATGATGCCAATGGGAAGCATTTTCTTGTGCACAAATACGGAGCAATTTGGATAAAATTGTTTCAGGATGGTTTAGGCGTTCATAATTGCTTGGGCTAGGCATCATTAAATTGGTTTCTCTTTATTTAAAATAATATAATTAACAATGACATTGAGAAATCATTTTGTCGGTTAATGTGTTTTTAAACGGATGATAGTTGTACAGAGTCAGTAATGTTACTGTTCTACAGATTTAAAATTTGAAACTTGGAATGGTGGCTCAGATTCCGACGATTCACTTCGATTTCACGCGAAATAGAATTTACAGGCTCAGTTAGTTCCTGGAAAATTGTCCATTATTTAAAGCGCGATTTGATAATTAAATTACGGTCGAGTTTTAAAATTTCAGTTATATGAGATGAGAATTGTTTGCGGTTGGTGATGTTAATACAGTACGTAAAGGGCGAACCGTTTAGTTTTATTTTTTAAGCAAAGTTATCTCCGTGGTTTCTAGTTTCAGTTATTCATTGTTTCTCAGTAGTTTATTCGCCATTTGCCTTTTTTCAGCTGCTATTTTCTGTTCGGTACTTGTGACGCTTTGTTCTGATATTTTATTTCCCAGACGAGGTTCTGTGGACTCTGCACAAACGCAGTGAACAAGGTTAGCCGACCGTGTGATTCCTGCTTATGGCATGGCTTCGGCTCCTCTTTTACCCCGATACTTTCTGTGTTTTTGTATTCTTTTGCCCCTTCCCACCCTGTTTCTGGTGAACATCCTCATTGACGCGCTTTAAAAGTCGCGCAGCATGTTGAATTTAGGCGTGAATGGGTGTTATACTCCTTTGTAGACCATCCTATTCATCCGCCGACGTTCCACGGAAAGTTTTATAGTCATCCCGTGCCGGAACCCAGTGAGCATATCTTTAGGATGGTTAAACGGATGTTATGAAGTGTACCCGTCGCAAAAACACGTCGACAGTGGAGATAAGCCGACACATTTTGGAATTGATAGAAACCTCTTTTGGCGGGACTACTCGATTATGTGGTATATGATATTGGATGGTCCACTGTAAGTTACATTTGCGTTTGCTTTCTCGTAAATTTTAACTAGCTTTGAAATTTAACATGTTAAAGGAAAAAGCGTTTATCGTCGTGTAATTCATGCTCGAGTAGCGCATACATTTTTCATTTTAAAAATATGTATACATTTTTCGCAAAATAAATTTACCTTTTGCTTTGACACGGTAATGCATTCAACATCTTTGCCACTCACATGCTTGCGCGGTGTTTGTTTGATATTGTGGTATTTTTCCTGTGGTTTATGTGGAATTTGTTGGTCATAGCTTGGTAACAGTTTAGATTATCGAGTTTTTTTATAGGAGTTTTGCAGTGGCAGTGGTATGAAGATTTCCTTACTGACATAATTATTATTGTTGTTTTCTTATACAGGAAATCATTTTGCTTCCGGAAACTTAGCTTCCTGGAATCCAAATTCTTACTGCATGCTAATCTTAATGAGAACCGAGAAATGGCCGCGCAAAAAATGGTTCCACATCGAGATTTTTATAACATCCGAAAGGTGAGTTGCAGCTGTGATCGTTCCCTGACCATAGTCGCAGCGTAGCTTTTTGCGTTTCCTGAAATTATAGATCGATAAATAAAATATGAACCTGTTTTCGATGGGCATTTTTCCCATCGTCTGAAGATAGTGTTGGAATATATTTTATCGATTTGTCCATGCGATAATTGATCGATATTGTAGTCATTAAATATTGAAGTATCCAGTTATTAAAGACTGAGTGTGTTTGCATTTTCAGGTAGACAACCACATCCATGCCTCATCGTGCATGAACCAAAAACATCTGCTGCGTTTTATTAAACGTCAAATGCGCATCAATGCGGACACGCCAGTGATGATCGATAAGAAGACCGGCCGACCCATGACACTATCGGAAGTCTTTCAGAGTATGAATCTAACGACATACGATTTAAATGTGGACCGCCTGGATGTGCATGCCGATCGTAACACATTCCATCGGTTCGATAAATTCAACACCAAATACAATCCCATTGGGCAGAGTATGTTGCGTGATATTTTCATCAAAACGGATAATTATATTAAGGGGAAGTTCTTTGCGGAAATCCTCAAGGTAAGATACGTATGACCTTCGTGACCGGATATGGTATGATGTGTACTCTTTCACCAGGAAGTGATGGCGGATTTGGAAGAAAGTAAATATCAGAATGCTGAACTGCGCTTGTCCATTTATGGCCGGTCTATCGATGAATGGGATAAGCTGGGTAAATGGGCTGTGGATCATGGCGTGTGGTCGCCCAATGTGATGTGGATGATTCAGATTCCTCGACTTTAGTAAGCGCAGGCATCAGTCTGCTTTTTGTGACTTGGACGTGGACATCTTTTACATTCATTTTCTGTAATTGACGGAGTGCCTTGCAGTGACGTATACAAGGAGAATAAATTGGTGAACTGTTTTGCGGACGTTCTGCGGAATATTTTCCAGCCGTTGTTCGAAGCCACAGCATATCCAGAAAGGCATCCTGAACTTCATCAGTTTCTTCATCATGTACAGAAATTAGAATAGGTTTTATGCACAGTCTTTTTATATCGGTTTTGTGGAATTTCAAGCATTCGTACAATTAGTGCCCTACAATGTATTGATTTTGTCTGCTTGTTTGACAGGTTGTTTCCTTCGATTCAGTGGACGATGAGTCCAAGACCGAACATATTGCTTTCTCAATGAACGTTCCTACTCCGGAAGAATGGACAATGGATGAAAATCCTCCGTACACGTACTACCTTTTCTACATGTACAGCAATATGGTGGCATTGAATAATTTCCGGCGTGAGCGCGGCATGAATACCTTTACACTGCGGCCACATAGTGGTGAGGCCGGACCGGTGAACCATCTGATTTCTGGATTTATTTTGGGTGAAAGTATCGCTCATGGTTTGATGCTGCGCAAGGTAAGGTCTTGAATGGGATACCGGTTTTAGGGCTTAAATGGAATACCCGCTTGCACGGACAGCTAACAAGTTTCGTGTTGCAGGTTCCGGTGTTGCAGTACCTGTTTTATTTGGCCCAGATTGGCATTGCCATGAGCCCTCTAAGCAATAATTCCCTCTTCCTCGATTACCATCGGAATCCACTACGTGACTATTTTGTTCGGGGATTGAATGTCGCATTGTCAACGGATGATCCATTGCAGTTTCATTTTACTAAGGTATGGATTTCCGTTTTCCTTTTTTAATCTTAATGTAGAAAGGGCTTCGTTAAGCGTATCAGCCGTTTCATTCATCTTTTTGCCTTACAATAATTACGTGTTTCTCGGACTTGTAGGAGCCTTTGATGGAAGAATACAGTATTGCTGCGCAGATTTGGAAACTGAGCGCTACTGATCTCTGCGAACTGGCTAAGAACAGTGTGTTACAAAGTGGCTTTTCTGATATTGTCAAGCAGCACTGGCTGGGTCCCAACTTCAAAGCCGAAGGCGTCCAAGGAAACGATATCAGTCGCACCAACGTGCCGGATGTGCGGGTGGCATACCGCTATGAAACCCTCCTGGATGAATTGACCAATGTCTTCGAAGCAGTCTATAATGACAACGTGTGAGCCCGTCCGAGTGAAGATGCTCCAGTTGATTTTGATATTACGTTTGCTTGACTAAAGTGATATATATTTTAAAATATGCGGCTTTGCTTTCCGTGGAGAATCGATGCAACTATCTTTAGTTTCTTTCAAATTTGTAACTTTAATGGATAACAATCACTTCGCTATCAACGCAATGATTGGAACTGCAAAAATGGTGATTGTCAGTGAAACATCAAAAATTAGTCTTCATCACTATCTTTGTGAAGGGGAAATTTAGTGCCGGTTCGATGTCGGGGGTCTTCTTCTTCGCTTTCAGTGTCCGTAGGGGATTTCCTACGTTTCTTTCGCGAGTGTGGTTCATCATTAGAGTCGCTTGAGCTATTGGCGTCGGATTCGTTACTTGGCATCTCCTGCAACACCGAATAAAAATTAAATCAAACACCGCGCGCAAAAATCCTCCGGTGTGGCTTTGTCAAGCTTTGTCAAGCACAGTGCAACTTCCGTAAATTGTAGCCATTAGCAATCGAAAACGACTTCGACACTTTTTTTAAAAAAACCAAATGAACTAACTCAAAGCGCTTAATCGTAAAATTATAACACGATGAATACCGAAACTTAAAAACGGCAAATCCGTTCACGGAGTAACGTACTAACACGAAATCCACAAAAGAATCATTTCCAGAGATTACGTACTCACTATTTTCAAGTGCATTAATTTATGTTTATGGAAATCGAAATCTACTACTCGCATGTAGTTCAACGAATCTTACCAGGTCACTTTCGTTAGCATTAGCGTCGTCATCATCGCTCTCCGATGTGCTAGTATCATCCAGCGGCTCATTATACACCAGTATCGCTTTCTTCTCAGCCAACTGCGCTTCCGTTCGTTGACTAATCCGCTGTTTGGCCAAATCCACCGACGCATTAACCACTCCGGCCAATTTAACAAACCGGTCTGTGTATTTTGTTCGGCGATCGGCATGCGCATACAGATGGCTAAGCAAAACAGGCAAATCGGGAACAGTCGTGAGGTACGACGACCGAATGGTCAGCACCGCCGACAACCAGTGCAACGGGGCTTTATTGGGTTTGGCGCGTTCTTCCGCGCAGACCTTGCCCAAATGCTGGATAAGGGAGACTGTATACTGAACGGGGAGGTTTTCAATAGTTTTCCGGATGATGGTTTCATCACTGCGATCTAAGACGCTGTTCAGGAGGGATAGATCGCCGCTTTTCAGGCCTTGTTCTGCAAATCCCACAATTGATCAGTTGTTAAAAACAGGCATTTTTAAAATTACTGTTTCAGAATTCCCATAGTTTCGCTTAAAAAAAAAGAGGTTCCCGACAAACTTTGGTCGGAAGGTTGTTCTGCAGTTACCACAAATGCAATTAATACAAGCGCAAAATTTTATAAGAAAATGCAGGAAGACTGCAGAATTACCAATAAAACTGCAGAGAAACAGCTAAGTAAGTAATTAGTTGTCAGTAGTAAATCTTGAGAAAACAACACCGAATTAAAAGAAAGGCATATTTTTACGCACTCTGCTTATACACAATTAAAATTTTACATAGAATTTTTACCCTATTCTAAGCAGGATTTGTTCCTTACCTAGAAGAACAGCTAAGCTGTCGGCCCGTGGGGGACCACTCTCCGGTTCTCCGCTGGAGTTCTGAGCTCGCTGCAAGATTTCCCCGAGCGATGGCTCGGAAGGGACGCGGGAAGACAATTCTGAGGCAGTAGCACTCGTATCATTGTGATTGGACGAAGCAGCCTCACCATGGGATCGATTCTGAGCAGCGCGAGGAGTTCCGTATGATACAGTTGGCTCAGCTGTTTTGCGAGAATTTGGTGCAGCCGACTGCTTTGGCATACTGCATGAGTAGGTAAATTACCCTGATACTTTCACATCACACCACAGCATGGGGTGCTGATCAAAGTCAGAAGGAGTAAAAAGAGTGAAACGAAACAAGCTTTTCACTGTTGCGGGTTTTCGCCTTTTAACTTATAAATTAAAATAAAGATAGTAATAGATGCTCAACAATTAGTTACAAAACGGAACATTCAAACGAAAATTCAAAAAAGCTTGGAGACGATGAGCGCAAGACCCAGAAAAACCGGCAACCACGTTCTGAGGGGGGTGCCATAAGCACAAATACTAAACAAGTTAAGTACAGTACTTAGCATTGGCACACGGAACTCACACAGCTACCAAAAGTATTTAATAGGATCAGAATTATAAGATCATAAAGGAATAATTACGTACATAGTTTTGTTTCAACTTTAAGCTTTAATAATTAAAGTCCAGTTGTTAGAAATTGTGTATAATAATGCGATAAAAATAATGTTAATTATTATTACTCTGTGTGACAAAATTAGAACCAAACAAGCAATAATCGCGAAATTTTTACAATCCGACGGAAATTTAATTCGCAATTCGCAGCAAAAAACAGACGCAACAATAATATTAAATCGCAACCAAATCAACTTTGTTGGCTTATTAATTCCTGATGTTAAAATCAATGTACCCAAATTAAGAAATTTTACTTTCGTGGATAAGGAAAATCAAAATACATCGCGCGAAAAATCGTCCTGCAAAAAAAAACAGATCCATCCAATCACTGCGCCACCTTCAAAGCATTGACTAACCACTCCATAACCGGCTCGAGGCCTTCGTTGTTCTTAGCAGATGTCTTAAAAATCTGAAATGTGCGATTCTTGAGCGCATCCAATCCGAGCGCCTTATGGACATCGGCCACGGACATTGCCTGTGGGAGATCCTGCTTGTTGGCCAGCACCACAATCACCGCCGACTTGAGCTCCTCCTCTTCCAGCATATGCACCAGTTCCTGCTTGGAAATGCCCATACGCGCATGATCCGCACTATCCACCACGTAGATAATGGCGTCCGTGTTGGCGTAGTAACAGCGCCAGTAAGGCCTGATGGACGCCTGTCCCCCCAGATCCCAGCACTGGAATTTTAAATTTTTATACGTCACTGTTTCCACGTTGAAACCAATGGTGGGAATGGTGGTAACGGCTTCGCCCACTTGCAGCTGGTAGAGAACGGTGGTTTTGCCTGCACCGTCCAGGCCTAAGATGAGGATGCGAATCTCCCGCTGGCCGAACAGACTCTTAAAGTAGCTCATCAAACCGCCCATCGTAACGTTCTCGGAGTTATACACGCCTGTGTATGTGGAATTTAAGCGGAGAAAGACGTTATAAAAAGGATGTAGTACTTTTAGTGATCGTATTCGCTAGCGATCCAAATTCTCGGGACAGACTGCACAGCTGTTCAGCTTGCGTCCCCGTCCGCTTATCTATAACGTCGCTCCCTTCCTCGTAGCAGGTACTTTGATGCAAGGAACAATAATTAATCGCTGATCATGAGCAAATCCACATATTACATAGGGAAAAAAACACTCGCAATCCAGATTTCCACGTAGGGTTGGAAAAGCGCACTATCAAGTATTAATCTATTTCAGGAACACTCAGAAGCTCCGAATTGATGTTGGTGGCAAAATTAATTAATGTGAACGCTTCCCAGACATTATATTATGGCTAATATCGTAGCTCAAAGGAAGGTATAGAACATCTGATCGATGTTTTTATAACTTCGAAGTTCCAATTTCGCTACTACTGAAAAAACTGAAAAACTGGAAAAAATTGAAATAGTACTGTACAGTGTACTGTTAAACTGCGATGACGTAGACCATAGCGTATAGCGCGCGTAGGCTAATTTCTTCGGGGCACCATCGATGCGAGCAACAACAGTGCAACCTGTGCAACCTTTATGGCAACCACCATCAGACGTTAGTAAGGGCAAAACACTGCCTAAATCCAAAAAATGGGCCCAACGAATGTATTACTTAATTAGCATTTGATTGATTTGAATTTTGAAATTTCTTTCTTAAATTTCTTTCGTAATTTTCTGCTATTATTATTTATTTTGAAATATGATCTTACAACCAGTGTTTTGTTTACCTTCAGAGTCTCTTTTGTTCTTTTTAAAGTTTAAACTGTAGATTTCGAGTTCGTTGCGGACCGTGACTTTACTTGTTAAAGCGACTGAGGGTGTTTTGTTTCTTTTCATTTTGTTTGTTTGTCAGCGGGACGTTTCTCACACGGTGCTCTATCCTGCGAATCATTCCACGTCGCACCATGGGAGAAGAATCTGCCGGAGCGCCGACTTCCAGTACCGATCCGCGGAAACCGAGTCTCATTGCTTTCGATATGGGTAAGTCGAAACTCTTAATTGCATACCGACCATTTGTCATTGGTACGGAGGGACCGTAATTCTTACGGCGTAAACGGTGAGATGTCTGGCACAGTGGCACTTAAGATGTAATGATGAATTATCATGGGTCTGTTTTATTTAGATTATACACTTTGGCCTTTTCATGCCGGTAAGCGGGTGCTTTTGTTGAACAATTGATTGCAGATGGTAGCTGTTCGCTATACGATTTGTGTTGTACCAGTATGAAAATTCCCCGGTTTGAACTGAGTTGTGTGATGCAGATACAAATCCTTATCCACCTTTGCGTTTGGATAAAGATGGAAAAATCAGAGACCGCATGAACGCTGTGTTCGCCCCGTACCCGGGAGTCGGGGATTTTCTGGAGGAGTTGCACGAGCAGGGAACGAATCTGGCTTTGGTGAGCAGGTGAGTACGTACCCATGAAACACACCTTGTAATATATATATATATTTCTGCTAGACACATGTGATTTCCGGATCCGTATAGTGTAACTGGGAACTCTTTGTTTCACTTTTGCCAGCTGTTTGTTTGTATCTAGAACTGAAGCTCCACCGGTCGGAAAGGATATGATACGCTATCTCAACTGGACACGATTTTTCAAATATCAGGAAATTTATCCTGGAAAGAAGACGACGCATTTTCACAAGATCCGAAAAGATAGCGGAGTGGAATTTAAGGATATGCTGTTCTTCGATGATGAGTACCGAAATATTCGGGATATCAGTGCACTGGGTGTTACGTGCTTCTATGTGGAGGAGCCCATGAGCCGAAGTTTGTTGAATAAGGGACTGGAAATGTTTGCCAAAGGACTTTCACACAAATAGAACAGGAATATTTTTCGGTAACCCCGTAATGCGTTCACACCTCCGGGGGATCACTCACTTGAAATTTTTTTCAGATTCTAGAAAGATATTTGCGCTGATAATTGCGCTGATAATTGCGCTGATATTTGCGCTGAGGCTTAGAATGTTAGGTTAGGAATTCTGTTAGGTAATGAATCCTGTAAAACTGATTTTGAAATGGTTTCATATTGTTTTGTTGCTTTTTTCTTTGTTTCACTGGAAGTACTGTATGCTTTGTTGCTAAGTGCGCAATATGACTGCGCTTCCAAAGAAACTGATAAAACTTCCCTAGTTTTTCACAACAATAATGAATAAAAACGGTTTGATTTCATGTGTTTTGTAATTATGTAGTATTTCAGAAAAATTCCCGGCTGTTTCGGGGAATCGGGAGCTGCTGCATTGTCAGCTCCATGTTGTTGTACTTATTTTACGAATGTTACCCTTTATGTAATCAGTTTGGATATATTCCCTACAAAATTTATCGATGTCCTCCAATAACACCATCAGTGGACTGGCTTGTCGAATCGAAAATTTAGAAGGTGCGCAGCTCTAAACGGATATTTTTGTTTATGTTTAATTTATTTTCAGCTAGTTGAATATCTGGTAAAATTATTCAGTTTTCATTACAGAATGTGATGGAGACCGTTGCAGTTAATGTTGCTTAACTTATACGTTACCTGTTTCGACGCGTGACTTTTTAAAAGTGTTTTTGTCAACAGTGTTTATTTTACTTACCTAATCCGATTTTTTTAACCAGTATCGTATACAGATTTATTTTCCATTTCGTCAATCCGGTAAAGGATCAAACATGGTTACAGTCACTTACATATCAGCGATATCACTCACATGAACTACTGAAATTTTATTTAATTATAGCCAAGATCGACCAGTTGACCACCTTGTGTTGTAACAGCCAGTCCACTGGTTCTAATGGCCCTTGTAAAATTACGGAAACTGCGACGAAATGCAGCAAGAAGAGCAATCCTTGCGAACCGGCAAAATTATCCGCGTTTGATGAATTGATACTGGACGGTTTGGATCGTTACGCAGTAATCGGGGAATTACTTTTTCAATTCGAACGGCGTGTCTTTACCTGCGTCGTACCAAAATGTCAGAGATTTTACGGCTATGCTGTACGCAACATCGATCAACTGATAGCGCGAGAGGATAGCGGCTTGGATAGAGCAGAGTTCCGCTGCAATCTCAGCAAACTGAATAATAAGTTGCGACCTTTCGGATATCTCCCTTACTTCCACAGCGAACTGTCTTGCGCCATTATTAATGAATATGGTGTTCTGGCAAGATCGGCTAGTGAAATTCGCGCCATGTCGACACGTACGTATTTTAGGCAGTGCATTCCGTTATGAAACTGGAGATTTAATAGAAATATTTAATTTGATTTGTCTTTTTTGAAACTTTTTGTTTATTACTACTCTACAGATAGTACTTTTGATATTTTTTAAAAATTGGTCGTTTGCTTATCCATCTGAGGTAAAAGCGCTGTATGTCGCCGATATAGCTTCGATATATGTAGCTTGCAACATTAAGTGATTTTTATCCAGCGTGATCAGTTTTGGTCGGCATAATTCCATTAATTTATTCTTTAGGTTTGGAAAACACACCCTTTTTACGTAGATTAATTTGCGCAACTATTCCTTCAAATTTGTTAAGCGATGTTTTGGTCCTCTTCGATTGTTTATTGTATCTTTGTGACGGCGGAAAAGTGTTTTGTTATTGACCGGAGTTCTGACATTGGTGGATCTGACGGGAATTTATTTCCTTGTTGACGGTATTAGTTTAGTAACACACTGCTTTAAATGCATGTTTAATTCTTTTAATTTTTATTGTTTATGTTTTACCAGTTATTCATGCAGTGAGTGCATTGCTTGAACAAAAACACTAATGTGGTGATTTATATTAACCATAATGCCGACAATGATCAACAATCACCGATTCAGCTCTATGTCAACTCAGTCACTTTCAGAATCCTCCATTTGGCGGGCATTCCGGTAGGCCGGTGTCGGTACCGGTCGAGCGGTTTGTCGTTGCACAATGGCCGATTGCGCACGGAACAGGTGTTGCCGATCAACCGGCGCTGGCGCATTCGTTTCCGCTGTGGTTTCATTCCCGGTCAGCGCCGGTTGCGAAATACTGTTGCGCATCCCTGATGGTGCCACCACCATCGGGGCAATTCTGTTCTAACGACGTCAGTATTTTCATTACTATTCATCGCGTCGCAGGCTGTCAGGAATTCTTTCAAATCCTCCTCCGTGTTCCATTTCTGTAAGCAACGTGCGGCTGCCGTGTACGTTTCCAGTGCACGACAGTGGAAAATCATCTCGGACACGACAAAATTATGCAGAATAGCTTTTAAATCGTGCAGTTTATTTTCTTCAAAATCCTTCCCATGCAAGCGCAGCAGCTGCAGTTGGTGCATGGTTTCCGTGTGATTTTGCCGGTAGTTGTCCAGTGTGGCATGATACAATGACGACGTTTCGCCACTCTTGGCACGAATTTTCTCCAAAGTGTCCAGCGAATGCTTGCTCTTTTCGCTGACGGCTTGGCATTTTTTCACTTCCTGTTTGAGCGCTTTGGTCGAGTCTTCATACTTGTGAAAGGGCGGAATAATTTTGCTCATAATGCGCGTGGCGGAGATATGCCGGAAGTCTTGAATCAACGCCATCCAGTGGGTGAACTCGAGGAGTTGTTGACGGGCGGATGGGTTGTAGGATTCGCTTTCGGCATACGAGGTCAGAATATCCACGAGATCGTCGCCTTTGTCGCGTGCGGCGGCCATCTTCCTAGCGTATGCTGACAGCTAAAACACAAGACAACTTAAATTAGTCGTTCCCACATTGATCTATGTCATAGTAAATTTAACATTCAAACAAGTTAACGAAAGTGTGTATGCCCATTGAGGCTCTGAATAAGGAGTAAAATTATTATAATTCACACGTAGAGTACCGTTTGAAAAATGAGCGAAAAATGCTTGTTGACATTGGTGGCCCGACCGAGCATAATCCTGCATTGATAATCAACCGGAGTGACAGCACCATTTTGGCCGGACACATTGCTGCTCGCTGCTCCAAAAATAATCGCCATTTTCGAAAAAGGTTTCCTTCATCCCATCATTATCAACAAAGCACCAATATCAGAACATATTTATTACGAGGTACGGAAGTTTTAGTAATCATTATAATTGAAAATGTCGATACAAGCAGGTGTGCGGTCATACAGTTCCCATATTAAGCGCATTCTTATTCAGATTTTGAAGGCGTGCTGCAGGTTTATCCGGCTCTTCAACGTGTGCATTTAGATGTGGATCAATCGATTATGTTACGGTAGTAGGTGGACTGATCTGCTCTTCCTGATCTGGTTCTTTCATTCTTTCCTAAATACTTGCGTGCTTACTGGTAGCCAAAATCAATAATTTTTGCTCTGATGATTACTCACCTGTCAAAGTATGCCGATCTCATAGTGGGCAGTGCGAATTGTCGTGTTTGGATTCTGTTCTAATTGCTGTACGTAAAACTGTGCTACTGCAGCGCTTGCACAATGTACATACATTAATACTCTACATATTGCACTGTATCGGTGATATTTTATATTATTTTTGAATCTTCAACAGCAAAAAACTATTACATTAAGAGAGCGTTAACAAGCTAACCGACACAGCGCACGCTAACCGACACATTAACTATGACGTTATATATGGAACACTATGGAACACGTTAACGCTAAGACGCTATAACGGAGGTTTTTATAATTAATACCAACCGGAAGTGCTCGAAGATGCCGTGCGCTGTAGGTACAAAATGGGCCAAGCCCTAAAACATTCAAAACCCTTATAGCCCACCCTCCACTTTTTACTCAGTACTTTTTACTCAGTAAACGTGTGGAAGCAGATGCTGGCAAGCATAAAAACATAAAACACAGAATACTCCAGAGATGCAAGACATTTGATATCTATATACGAGTACTGGGCTCTGCTCAAAACGGTGTTAACTTGATCAACAGTCAGTTAATTTTACCGCTCAAACCTGAAGGCAAATAACGCCATGTTTGTTATGTAGATGACTGTTTCTACTCTTATTCTCTTACTACTTCTATCAAGTTATAACAGCGCGACAATATTTACTTTAATATGCTTTGGCTCTTGTGGTTTACACCGTATGATGAGGTATGAATGACTATGCGCTATATCAACTTAAACTTCCGTTTTTATGAGACAACTACGACGGTCTACGTGTGACTTCACTGCCATTAACAGCAGACATAATCTTCTTATCATATTACCGTTTTGATTGGGAAAAGTTTTCTCGCTTTACACGGTTACAGACTTACAGTACAGAACGTAATTACATATAAATTAAATAGTCCGATCACAACTGCGTGACTCTCACTCAACTGCGTAAAAACGTCTTCACCATGCATTCAAATGGAAGTGCCGAATTCGTATTGCCGAAAATGTCCTTTTCCTCCAAAAAGATGAAAAAGCAGGAGCCGGCCGGTAATTTTGTCAGCTGTAGTAAACTGATACGGAAGTTTATCAGTGCAACGGACGACTTGCCACTGGTTTTCGACACACCTAAACCAAAAATCAGCTTAACAAAGGAGACGACCCGAAAAACGATCATTCTATATGCGTTGTCCTGCCTGTTCGGCCTAATATTTGCTGTTGACTTGGCGGACATTTTTTCTGGTGGAGGTAATTTAATTTGCATATAACAGTAATGTATGGTACAAGACGTTTTACTGAATTTTTGTATCGCTTTAATTTATATGTACAACATATAATTATTACAAAGCCTCCTCAATACGTGTAGATTGATAATAATAAATCTAATAGAGTCGATCCATTTAGATCATTCCTTTTTCTCGTGTAATAGCTAGTGCCTAAAATTTAGAATACATATATGCATGTGTTCTGGACGTAGAATACGAACAAACGCCCTTTGGGCAGAGAAATCCTTGGGTGTCACGCTTGGGATTCTGCTCCAGTCAGGTGTCGCTCTTCATTACCTGTATCGGCTTGACCTTTTTGATAAAGCACTCCACCCAGATCATCCAGTGCGCACGTATACTCGACACGCTGTCGATGACTTTTATGCCATATCTACCCAAATACAGTTTACTCCAAAATAAACTGTATACTCAACGGTACATTATGGCTTTGATATTCCTGGGTTGTGGACGTTTCGCCTGTGCATTATGTTCGCCGAGCATTCTGCACAAGTTCTGGACAAATTCTACGTACGTCTGGATAGCATTACCAAAAGGTGCTGTTGTCCTGTATAATGAAAGCTGCATGCTAATCAGTCTGGCCGTCTCCGTCCCAGTTACAGCCTCATTTACGTATTTATCAGGAATTTTTATACAGTGTCTGGAAGCATTTAATGCCGAAAATAACGATTTATGTATCAAAGTGCATAAGCCCGAGTCCCGGGTGAACAATGCAGAAAAGGTCATGGGAACCGCCATGCAGAATTCCGGGATAACGGTGGACCTGTTTTCATCTAAACTAAAAACTCTTCGTATTCACCATGAAGATCTGAACGATACTTACGATAAGTTACAGGAGATTTTCGGGTTTAAAATGATCATTGATATGGTGACCAACCTGTTTGCACTGCTGGCCGTAATCGCGTGGTTCACAATGACATCGTCGGCAAATCAGTGGATGGCACCTGCTGTTACGTGGATATGGCACAGTGTTTCTATTCTTATTTATCTTGGAACGATTTGGATGGTGGCAAATCGCCCTTTGTTATTGCAGCGAAAGGTATGCATGCCGCGATTTTTTGCTCGGTTTAATTTACTGCCATGACCCAGTTAAACTTGTTCCCGTACTGAAACACTATGTATGCAATTATGCGTTATGCCAGTTCAAATCCCACCATAGGGATTGAATCTCACTGTGCATTCTGTGCAGTTACGTGTTTGTGTGCTGTGTTTATGTTACAGCGAATTAACAGGTCACACAATTGCAAATGACAGCAGGATTACTATGTACATAATATGAAAAGTGCGTTTTTAAGCGATGTGGAATAATCTCTACCATTATTTTTTCATTTTTAGCACACACAGATGGTTGACATGATAGAGCAGCTCTTATTTCAACGGCAACTTTCAACAACATCGGTAAGTAAAGTATTTATTTAGTTACAGTAATTATACGAGCATGCCGAACTGTTATTGGCGTGCGGGTACCAGTTTACGTATGTCATTCTACTTGCGAAAATCATTTTTCTCTATATTTTGTGCATGTAGAAACCAAGTCGCGAAGAGATCATTGTCACTTATGCACTTCGACAGCGTCTGCGGTCAAAGGTTTTAAGTTTCAGCGCTGGCGGCGTTTTGGATATACGCCACATGGCGATTTCGGTAATATTACTCAGAACCAGTTATGTAAAAATTAAGAACATTATCTTAGGTTTCCTTATTAAATTTTTACTTTTTAGTTTGTAGCTGCTGTTGGAGGATTCATTGCATTTATGTGCGAACGCGTATCCAACATGGAAGGCAAACTACAAGACCACGATAAATTCGCAGCAGAAGTAGTTGCAAATGCAACCTGTAACAAATAAAAATTTTATTCACTAAGTCTCTGCTTAACTTGACATAACCTTTTGAGTTACAAAATAATCATCTGGGCTATTCAATCCCAGTTTGCGCAATTCAGCGGAAGTTCACCAAACGATGTTAAAACAAGACGGTGTTACTGTTAACAATCTTCATACCAAAAGGACTCATTTATTAGGCAACGTCCATCCGCAGTGATGGAAATATCCATGCCGAAATTAAATAAAAAACTATTCCAAACAATTATGGTTAGCATACGCACAATCTACTTGAAATCCCACGCTACGCTTTTTGAGATTTCAATAAGATTTAGGATGACCCTTCGCTCTCCTGACCGGAAGTAAGCACTAAAACCGCCCCCGCCCAACGCCTCAGTTGTGACTTTCATATCCCTTTGCGGCTGGATAACGTCCACTAAATAGACTCTTCGTTTTTTAACATCATCACGGAGTCTAGTAAGATCATTCAGGTCGCGAAACCATAAGTAAAATACCACTCTGCAACACCGAACTTTGAGTTAATTCAAAATCTAAAAAAAGTTTCTGACTTTCGACTAAATTTAACGAACGGAAATGCAAAGTACTAGCTAAAAACTGCTGTATACTACGATGTTAAACTCACTAGTATTCTAAGTGGAAAAAATTACCGTTCGCGTCTTACCAAGCAATAATACAGTAGTACTCGTTTAGAAAGAAAATTCTAGCGAAAAGTTTTAACTTACCCGTTCAACTGGTCCAGTGACAAGTAGGTATTCAGTATGAGACCTCCGGCAGCTCGATAGATTTCAACCAGATCGTCCAGCTGATCGCGGAATTTGTGGATGGTCGATGCGCGTTTCAGTGCCGTTTGATAATAATCCACGGAAGTAATAAACAAATCAAAGAACTGGATCTTCTCATTTTTCATACAATTTCCGAAACGATTAACTATGAGGTCAATGCGGTGCAGAAGGCAGTGAGCAAGGTCATAGTAATACGAATCTGTTCCATCATCCGCCACCGTCGCAATCACTAACAAAACGTACAATTGGATTTTCGTAATTTTAGCATTACCTTATAGACTAAGAAAGACTGCAGTAGTAGTTTCCAATTTTCTATCAACTGTATACTGAGGCAATGGCGCATCCTGTTGTCAAAGGTATTAGCGATCCTTACTTTTTTGGTTTAACGCTGCCAGTTCCTGCTGGATTTTTTGTAGTTCTTCCGGGTTCCCTTCAATCAAAAGTTTCAGTCGGTGTTGTTCGGCTTCCGTAAGCACCGTTTTGAACTTTGTGTACTGCAAATATTCCAACCAAGAGACCACCGAAACGGGGCAATTACGATACCGTCCACACATTTTGATATTCCTCAGTATCAAATTCCGTTCGTCGGCGTACTTGGTAAAAAGTTGCCAGACGTTCCTATTAGAACAAAAAGTCAAATCCTTTAAAATTCACGGAAAAATTGGGTAACAAATAATACTTACGGCTCGAGGATTTTGGTATTGAAACGTCGGAAATCAATAATATTTTCCAGTGGTCTACTCCATGCAATGAGGGTATTCTGTGTGCAAAGGAAATGTATAGCTAACCGGAGTAGCTAACCGCTATGTAAAATTACGAAAAACAGCTGTTTTTACTTCATCGAACGGCACTCCAGCACAAGCAGGCAGGATTATCACCAGCGATTCCGTGTCGAATCGATGTTTGTAACAAGAGGCATGGGACGCTTTGATGACCAACTGTCTGATGCAATTCGCCAGCGGACTGGTAGATGCAGAAGCAGCGGCGACAACTGCCGTTTCGGATGACCGCATCTTCACAACATACTTCACTTCTTCCCTGAAAAAATTCCAAGCAATTACAAAAGGTAAAACTGGTTATGAAAAAAAACGGAAATTCTAAAACACTCGTACAATCTAGCTAATTTATCAAGGCCGAAGAAATGGAAGTGCAAAAGCAAAACCGCGGATATAAAACGTCTACATGTGGAAATCGTCAATAATTAATATATACTTCTACTGTAAGAAAACACCGAAATCGGCAGCTAACTATTATCATGTCAAACAATTTTCAGCACACTGATATTAAGACAACAACCGTACTGGTCAACGTGGAAAGGCTTCAAAATCATTTTCCACACGTCATCTTGTTGCTGGAACTTGCCGTCCACTTCACCGCACCACTGCAACTGATGCCACCATTTGACCAATTCTTCCACTTGGTCAGCACACGGTTCATACCGCTTCGGATAAATCCACACTTCCGCTTCTAGCTCCTTCAAAAACAAAATGGTACACCAATAGATTCTCATACCCCAAACAAGAAATTTGTATTATGTACTCAGTGCGTGTTAATAATAATGACAATCACGATTATGTCACCTCAGCTATAAAGGGCAACCGATTCAAAGTCACCAATCGGGCCACGGCGCTACGACGCAGTGCATCATCGAACTTGCTGTCCTCTGCGTTGTTTATGGCCAATTCCGCAGCGCTGCGCGAACGGAAGGATGCCACAAATCCTCTGAAATGATACCAACAAATTAAACACGTTTTTCAATTTTTTCATCAGCAAAGCCGTCGAGAAGAACGCAAACCGGCTGTGACCTTTGACATCCTTCATTATACAAGCACGTATTAAAGCTAGCCACCTAATCCATAGTGGTATGGCAATATACCGTATTAAACCGAAGTCAACAGACTCAAATTCAATACATTAATAAGTATTTTCGGTGTTCCAAAACCGCAACCAAATAGTACCGTAATGTAATCGGTTACCCGTGTCTTTAATTACAGTACTGAAATTAATTCTAGTTAGTAAAACATTTTTTAATCATTGCATCGCAGTGTGATTTGACAGACCTTGAAAAATTTTCAAAGTAGCCCAAAAGTACCAGTACTAGAGCTAGGTATTAAAGTTCGATTTTTACACAAATTTACTGCTTGTAGCACAGTTAAATGTTTAACGTTTACCTTGTTTGCGGGGAAATGTCGCAGCAACCTTGAATTCCGTACATTTTGAGAAATCTTTCTGCCGAGAGGACAACCTCTTCATATCTTCGCTACAAAATCCTCAGATTAACCCACTGCTGATAGAAAACTGATAATGCCATTACGGCAGAATTACCGTTCGACCATTTGGCCACACGCCAATAAAAGCATGCCAATACTCCACGACATCCTTCACTTTTTGCGGCGGCCGCTGTGTGGCTTTCTTCTCTTCCTGGACATCGTCGCATACCGCATGTGAAGGAAAATCTCGGACAAAATATGCACTTTCAGATCGTCTCAAGGAATTACTGACATCCACACTGGGCGATTTACACTGCAGCGACCGCAGTTCTTGCGCCGACTTGCAACGGGACAATGGTGGCACCGACATGGGTAATGATTATTATTCTACGTGCTAACTACAGAATCTCTTATCACTGCGATTAATAATTCAAACCCCAAATGCTGGAATTCGTTCAAACCCAAGGCGCAACCAAAATTGTAAGCACATAAAAACCGGACGTGAGCAATGGCAATCGCAGTCAGATTTATCCTGCTTATGGTTTAGTCTTAATAGGCTTTAAAACTGATCGAATCACAGCTGTCTCCTGGTAATAAGACAAAGCGGATGCAATCATGCAATTAACAAATGGCCCGCTGCTGATACAGATCTCAAAACAATTCTAGTGAAGGTGTCTGCCTCGTATTAATCAAGTTCTTTGAAGTTCAACTTTTTGTTAACTGGCGTACGGTTAACCTAGGTAGGAGAGCAGATTAGAGGATGCAAAATCAGTTTAAAAAAATGGACCCTTCAGATGGGTAAGCAAGCGGCAGTCTGTCTAGACAAATAAAACTTCATACTACGGTAAAACCCATCTAATTTACAATAATTTTTAGTGACGTAACTACGGCAACCGTGCTTCTGTATGTAGTGCTATGTACTACTGTATACTGCGTAACTACGTACGTAAGTGCTTCCTGTTTTTGCAGGTTTAGTACGAGTACTAATGAACGGTAAAGATAAGTGCTTACAAAATTAATAAAAGAATGCAGAAAATTTGAAAGACATAAGTGTGTAAGTACTTCAATACGTGACAGTTTATCTATTTATTAATACGACCCCAGAAATACTTACAGTACAGTACTGCGCATGCTAGAAAGTAATTTAGTTGATTAACGCGAGGTTCCCAGCGGATCGGTATTTTGCGGCAACCGATAGGGTGGCATTCTAGCACGGGATTTTAAACCTGGCTGGAAGCTAGTTAACATCAATACTTATTAATAATCGCTAGCAATACATGAAGAATTATGAATGGAAAGAATTAATGATCAAGAACTCAACAGGCGCAATAAATGGACCGGATGACGATGTAATACGTTCGACATTACATACCGCTCAACAAACCTTTATTGTATTAATTAATCTTGAGATTACGCGTACACAATACCAAAATAAAACAACAGACAATAAAAAACTACAGAGATTACAATAATGGCGACACAAAAACCGCTGCCTATCAAACTGACTAACCAGACCAGAACCCACTGGGCGCAACGAACAAAGAAGCCAAAGAAAAAAACATTAAAATTTAAAACGAATTAATAATTAGTGGAAATTCTTGATTTGAGACATCAACTTTGCACCAGCTGCAATTCACTTTTTGGAAAAGCACAACCCACAAATACACAATATGCACCCGACTGTTAATAACCGGTAACTGACGAACAGAAACAAAAAGCGTACACTGCCACCTTAAAAAGACATAAAATAATAAAAGACAGAAAAAAGAGATAAGAAATGCCATGCACCGTGCCACGGGGATCTTTGTCCGCTGGTTGTAATCGCTGCATCGGGATTTTCCTTTCAGGTGTGCTGGAGATTCCATATGACCTCTGTTCATTTTGGCACAGGGTATGTAGCGAATTTATAGATGTCGTGTCATGTTCGAGTATAAAACTGCATATAATTGGTGTCCCATCCGGGATTTTGGGCAGTTAGTTCCATATTTTCAAAAAACTATCCCAGGATCCCGTAGCGACGGCCATACCGTCATCGGTCACTCCCAGGCAACTGACACGATTATCATGTCCCGCCAAAACGCCTGCAATTGCAAGAAACGTTGTCGCAAAATTATATAGTATGGAGAGTATTCTTATCAGCTTTGACACTGCAGCTAATCCAAAAGCACCATTTAACGTCGCGAAACATTCGAAATAATTGGGAAAATTTCAAAACTGCAATGATATGATTATCATTTATTTATTATCAGCCAATACTTCAGCCTTCGTTTTAATTATGACCACAGCAATCACACGCGCTTCGCAATTTGATAGCTGATATCCAGAGCGTAATTTTTCGCAACTAATTTTCACAACCAGACCTGATTGTGAGACCTCCCTGAAATACCGCAATCACAGACTTGTTGCTCTACTTACCAACACGATCAACTTTCATTGAATCCCACAAGTTGCAGTTAAAGTCATCGTAGCCAGCTAACAACAGGCGTCCCGATTTGGAGAACGCCACTGAAGTAATGCCGCAAATAATATTATCATGAGTATACATGGCCAATTCTTGATCAGCGCGGATATCAAATAGTCGGCAAGTGGCATCATCGGATCCAGTAGCAAATGCATCTCCATTTGGAAAATACTACAATTAGGGCACGAAAAACAAGAGTTTGTAAAGCGAGAAACCAAGCTTGATGTTACGGAGAACTTACCGTCACAGCGTTAATATCGGATTCGTGTCCGGTAAAAGTCTGTCTGCACATGCCGTCACGAATATCCCACAACTGCAAGAATACAATCCTCGTGTAAATAATTGGTAAGACCTGGTCTGTTATCATGATTTTTGAAGAAAAAAAATTGTAAAGAACGACTCCATGAAAAAGCAACACAAATAACAGCCAAATACACGACCAATATTTGCAATCCAGATAGACTTACTTTTGAGGACGCATCACATGCACCCGAAACAAACGAGCGCATGTTGGGAGCAAGCGACAAACTCATAACGTCTCCGGTATGTCCGGTGAATGTGACTGTCTGTTGGCCGGTTTCGATATCCCAAAGACCACTACACAAAATCTCAAGGTAAAAAAAAACAACACAAAAGCAGTTCATGCAGAAAGGAGCAGTTGTAGATTTACCATGTCATATCGCCTGAGCTTGTGACAATTTGACTATCGTTTATGAAGCGGCAGCAGCTTAAATATCCGGTATGACCGGGCAGTTCCCGACTAACGCGAACATTTCCTTCGCGGGTTTTGAGACTATAGATGGAGCAAATATTATCCAGACCTCCGCAGGCCACATAGCTGCCTGATGGAGCGTAGGCACATGTCATAACCCAAGAGGACCTTAACGGAATTGCGTGGACCTAAACGAAGCAGTCTAATTAACCAAATATTATGTAATGTGTTAACCAAATACTACGTAACTCCGGAATCAAGAATATCGGATTCCAATTAAATACAAGTACGTATCAAACTATCACTATGAAGAAAAAAAGTAAGTTCAAAAAATTTAACGCGGGAAATTTTAAAAACAGACAATCGGATATAAGTGGAACTGGGTCAGTTTTTACCTTGTTAGTTGTGTACGAATCCCATACGATCAATTTACCATCTTGCGAAGCCGATACAAGATTCCTAAAAAAATGCATTATAAGTGAACGCTCCGCAAAACTCTCACAATCTGATTAGTCCACAATAAAAAACGCAATCGCTTAAAGTTCAAGAAAATGCTGTAAACAATACCTTGAATCAGTTGACCAGTGCATAGCGTAAATTTTTGCCAAATGGCCGCGCAAAGTTCGTCGGGTCCTCATCTGGATCCGACCAAGCTCGGCGAGATTCGCCGTCACTTGGGCTAACGATGCATCGCATGCTGTCTTCCTTGCATCCTGAAAATGCATACACCAGTCAGATAAGGCGAGATACAGAAAGAAGAATCGCTAAAGCACTTACAATTAATTAGCGTTACTGATGACGAATGCCTACTTACTTATGTCGAATACATAAAATACTCAACGCGTGCAGAACGAAAACAGTCACCAATTTTTTTTAAAACAAAACAAAATTTTACCCCATAACATTTACTAATTTGAATCACTTTGTTCGAAAACAGACGTAACCCTAACTGCGCATTATAAAATAAATTAAAAGTATCTTAGTATCCAAGTCTAATAACAGTGATAACCCTGATAACCGTGATAAAACAGTAGTCCCTTTTAGGATATGACAATATGTGCTAGAATACTGGTATTCTGTGCTTTTCTTTCCTTTTCAGTACTAATCAAGCACCATTTCCGGTCAAGAAAACCATTCACATACATTGCATAGAAGCAAAGTATACATGTGGTCTGTGGTTAAGACTTGCGATCCTTCTGGATCACAGTAGTTTCTGGGATACTGTGCATAACAGTTAACACTACTCCTACAGATACGGCTCCGTCACTTGCAAATACAGAACGATATGAAGTTATGAACCTGTAATTTTTTTTTGTTCCTTGATTACCACTGTCTGTCGCTAAAGCATTATTATGTAATCGAGAAAGCATTCAAAGTCTCGTTCAAACGAACAAAATTAATACTGTACTGCCGATCGCGATAAAATGTAAATCAAGCAAGATCACGATCTACCTGGATCGCTTAACTCAAAACAAGCAACAACCAAGGGAGCAGCCAGCAGGTACTGAAGTTTATTATTAATTTTAACCTTGTTATCTTATGAATCAAACATTTAGGCTTGCAAAACTGGCAGCGTGATTTGAAAGCTAAGCTGGCCTAACCACGACTGTCAGTTTCTACGCCATATCCCGTACACTTACGCACAATTAGCACTGTATCTGCACGTCTAATTTGTGGAATACCACTAAACCAGTCAAGGAAATCGTACCACAGAAGGTTTTTTAGAATTAACACCCCTAAAACAGATTAGCCACCTATCTGAAGTGGCCAAGGCAAATCAATGTGCCAGGGCTAGAGTGCTAGACTGTCTAAGTCACCGTCAATTAGCGTTTACTGCTCACTGCTCCCTGTTGTTTTCTCTAACAAGGTTACAAGCAAACGGTCCTTTCAAGATTATCCAAACCCATACACAAAGCTTACCCGAATGTTATTCCGCAGCACTTCAGCTTCCTGCCTAAGCTGGTCCAGTTCACTCATGATGGGGCTATCAGGCTTCGAAATGGACGCTTTACAAAATTGTACAAAATAACATTCAATCCCAACTACGATGAGCAAGGAGAGCTATAATCCACGCACACCACACGATGCCACGCACAGCAGCTAAAGGCGGCCCATGGCAGAGATCCCAGATTCTGTGCTGCTCAGATAACACTATATTCTGACCGTTATGGAAGAGATAAACAGGAAATGAATGAAACTTTGTAGTCAAGAACCCAAAACAGCACAAATTATGGAATTTAAAGTCACTGCTACATGGATATGCGATAAGCAGACCCAGAGAATTTGGAATCAATCACTGCTGGCACGCACGCCGCCTATATTACGAGAACAAGCCCTGTAGTGATACGAGGATTTTGCCGATTGCGAACGCAAACCGACATGATGCTAGTGAATGGCGGAATCGTACGAAAGCCGTCTCTGTATCCCTGTTCAATCAAACATTTCCGTGGCGCTCCGTGCCTCTGGAATGCAGTCGACGGGAATGTCAGAACGGACTGAGTCTGAAGACTGAGTCAATGCGGCGTCAGCCCTACAGACCCGGAAGTAAAACGGGACGCTCCCGTTAATCGTCCTAAGCTCCCATGTACTGTACACGTAGATTGCTTTACTTACGCTCTACGTAGGTTACAAACACTTAATCAGTTTGAGTTTTCTTGTGTTTTCTAAGGAAATAATTACTGTACGACTGTACGAGTATATCTTAAAATTCTTTTTCACATTTCACATACAGCAGTTTTTACCGATTTTACAATAGGAATAAAGCAGCTTATTTATTTTTACATTCAGACAGAGTGGTAATTGAAGTACTATTATTGATAAAAGTACCGCTTATTAGTTATTTGATTAATGAAAAGCGCGTTTTAGATTGTATAGGTTATAAGTACTTACGCTACTATCTTTTGTGGTTATTTCTGCAAAAAGAATGCGCACGGAGAGCAAAGGGAAAATTTTGAAACACATTTCATTCACAATTAGAATCGCAATGGCGTCGTAATGTACAATACAATCAATTACTTATGCCTACACACTCTACAGAGTACAATGTGTGCAAGTAAATATTCCATAATAATTCCATATTATTACATTAAAAACAAAAATTGTAGTAAAGAAAGCTTTATTCATGGATTCTAGTATATAATTTGAAACCGTTTTATAATATTGCTACTGATACACAAGACGCTCGATAAATTTATAAATTGTGCAGTAAATAAAAATTTAATTAAACGACCTTAGTCTCTAGCACAACAGAATTTCAGCATAAATTTGAAATGTATAAATATAAGTAAGTATGTACCGCATTAACTCAAAATTACTTACGATTAATGATCAGAGTACATCATTTATGTACGACTCGAATCAAGCTTTGTTTTGTATGTGAATAAAGTGGCTTGAATGAGATACGTACTTACCATAGGCACAGTCGCTACTAATAACTGTAGTCTGTACTCTGTAGAGTAAAACACCAAAAAGTGCTGTAAAAGTATACAAAACAATTTTCTTCATGAGTAGCAATTTTTTATATCGATATCGATAACACCATGACATTAAGTAATTTCTCCTTACATTTTCAGTACGTTTATGAAAGAAGAAACATAATAATAATAACACGTCTTTCGAAGTTACACTCTTCGTTAGATCTCATTAACATCATTTTGCATCGCTTCTAAGAACCGCACAGTAAAGCGGAGCTGTTGACGGCTGACTTGGTTTCCGTTACGATCTGGCGATAATTTTCTGCTCGATCAATAACGAAGCAGGTAAAGGAAACGATGCAGGCGACCAGCTGCAAAAAGGTTAACCTTGCATTAAACGACACTCGATTTGACTCTCGTCAAGCGATTATCACGGAAGCATTTCACAATCGATTGAACAACAGTTGTCCAATACGCCGTAATGGGATAAATTTCCCAAAAAACTGCCAAATAACTTCTCGGGATTACCGTGGAAATGGCCGAAGGACTGAGATCCACTACTCCGCCAGCGGAAAATGTCAGTGATTTTGAAGGGAACCGTTCCAGGAGAGCCATGGTCAGTCCCACCTCTTCTCGTGATGGCTTCTGCCGGCAAAGGAAACGATGTATATCACACTTATTAATTAACACTCACTGTAAGTACCGGCTCGCCTATCTACTGCGATTATTCAAATTAAAATTATTCAACAAAACCGGCACTTGAATTCACTGATTACAGAATGAACACAGGAATACTCGGCACGGTACATGTTTTCAAACGATAGAAATCGTCCAGCCTCGTGACTGACTATTCGGCTTTAGCATGAAAACAATTCGCTTATACTTACCGTTCTAATCGTAACTTGGCGCTTGTATACAATCTTCTCCAAAAGTTCAATATCTCTTTCATGCTGCAACACAAACGGTCCGCTAAACTCTTAATTAATGGTTAAATAATGTTTGTAATAGCAGAAGCACACTTTTTAGCGCTTTCCTTGATCAGCTGTCAATTAAACTCACCTGCCGAAAGAGCTGCACCGGTTGGTCACCGACCACCCACACTGTCAGTAAATAGATTCCCGCCGCCAAAAAGTGTCGAACAACGGATACCGGCGGTTGAGCTGACATGTCGGCGCCTGATTGTAATAAAATACGGTAAATGGATTAATTATGGTTAATAAATGGTTGAATAATTTGATTACAAAAATCAACAAGTTCTTGCGCGTGCGTAATATGCCATACCCCAAATGGAAAACCATGCAATGCCGCTTAGAACGACCGATAGATTTCCGGCTATATCCAGAAACAACTTCAACCGGAAGGTTTCCTGGACTTGGTCAAACGCGGCATAAATTTTTTCCTGTCGGCTTCGTATTCGTCTTAGTTGGGTTAAAAAATTAAACGCAGCGGAATTGTCGTTGTCCCCATGGGCTAACGTGTGCAGTATCACACAATTCTCTGCATGGAAGGCTTCGGCACAGTCCACCAGAAACGACGACAAATAGGTGAACAGTACATTAACGGGATAATAAAATAAAATTGATATCAACATGGTCCCGTGCGCATACGTGACCTGTATCCCCGATGGCAGAGGGATTTTGGCGTATAATAAACTGCCCGTCCAGAAAGTGGCCACGGGAAGTGTCTGCATGGCTAAGAAAAAGCGCACCATAGCCAGAATGACCACGGAGCAGAAATATATGCGGATCCTAATCAAATTACGAAAGTTTGATTTCCGCTTGGAATGCGGAATGTCCAGACCAAATAGTTGTACTAACTGATCCAGAGATTCCGCGCACTGCTTAATTTCGCGACCTTTGGTGACCAGGAAGAAACCGGCTGACCATGCCATAAAGAAACCGATCTGGCTGGCACAAAAACTAATTAGACTGATCACCGGATTGATTTTCCCGTATGGTGACTCGCGGAAATCACCGCCGGTGACAACATCCGCTACATCCAAAAGAAAACCAACGGTGAAAAAAATAAAAATGCCCAGGCTAATGGTTTTAAGTAATATAGACGTAGCAAAATTGACTTTCGGAAGAGGTAAAACAATGGCCTGTCGGCCATGGGTGTCGGCTAAGAAGATTGATAACAAAGTCGAACCGGGGCAAGGATACCGGCTAATTTCACTGGTTGAGCACAGCAACGTACAACAAGCCATTTATGCCTTAAAAAATTGTGCGCATTGCTAAACATGCGAAGTATACCGTACTTGATTATAAAAAATGCAGATAAGTCGAAAAATTCGGAGAAAACACATTTTAGAAACCAATCAACTTTACAAATATCACACTCCATAATTCTCATGGGTTATCCTGCTCGAGCTTCCTTCTGTTTTTTATCGTATGAGTAACGGTTTAATTTCCGTTTGGATGTGGATTTAGAAACAAGAGATGCCACCGGTCACCCGATAGTGACGGTATGTAATGCACCTTTCACCTCACTGATTAACTAACATCCTGTTCTGTATGCATAGACGGACATAGTGCGCCAGCAAATTAACGCCTAGGTGGAAATACCGTGGTGTACACTATTGCCAGGAGAGCTGGTGCTGAAACCCCGTAAAACTATTTTTGAATACCTTCTCTCAAACGAGGCAGATATTAACATTTGTACAGTCGCTTCTAGGATTTCAAAACGCGATGACGCTATCCTAAGGGACTTGCCGCATGTTAACCGTAAAACAAAGTTGTTCTCTGGCTGTCTTTTACACATTTATAAAGTCAAAAACATAACAACACGGAAAAATCTTTGCCTAAATGTATTCATCGCGATGGTTATTATTTAAGTGGCATATAGCTGATAAAATATTGCGGAACAACGTGCTATACTGCTTGCGGGTGCAAATCCGAATTTCCAGAATGCATGTAGTTTTTTTCAGTTGGTAACACGAGCCTTGATCATCCTAGCACACTTTCACATCAAATATCATAAAAAGGAAACCATTATCCGGGATAATATGCTCGGCGTTAGCTCATAGAAACCTCTTCTCGGTAGAAGTCTACTCCTTTTTCTCATTTTCATCTTTTTCATCCTCCTCTTCGTCCTCATCGCTGCTGTCCTCTTCGCTCTCTTCGTCGTCAGGTGCTGCATAGTCTTCATCTTCCTCGTCTGACTCCTCTCCGTCTACAAAATTTATGCTGTATTATGCTTCGCTAACTATCTTGTTGTAAAGACTAAAGAACACTGCAGCACTCACCTTCGTCTTTTTCTCCATATCCATAATAGCTTCCCGAACCCGATCCATAATAATCATAATCACCGCCGGCTTCTTCGTCCTCGTCTCCCGCGTGAGCTTTCCGACCATAGTCATACTTTCTCGCTGTAATTATTTTTATCAGGCAATTAAACTTTTTAAACATAATACAGAATTTTTAATAATTTCTTTCGCACTCATGACTAATTTTGAAGAGCGGAGAAAACTCACCAGACACACCGGACATTTCGCGCATGGGATTTGCACACTTTGGACAAGGTATGGGCTGGCCTTTGCTGTACTTGAATCCTTTTCGGCGTGCATGGTCATCACAATAACAAGCCTATCAATGCCAAGAAAAAAACTCATCCAGCTAAACTACCGGAAATCTTGACGGTAGTAAGGTCCACTGGCTAACCGTACCTTGCAGCGTAAACAAGTGTGCTGACCGAGCTTGTTACAGGAAGCACCTTGCGAGGGAAAACAACACCGTCATTGCCGCGCTCCTCAGTTTGTACTGTCACCATATCTCACTAACATTTATAATTCTCTTTTTCCAGGGTCTGGCAACGTGCTTGATGCTCGAATTGATCATCTTCACCTATAAAATAGAAATTCTGTAAGCACAAGAAACTTATTTAGCAGAGAGAGGCACAAATACCAACATAAAAAGTTATCACAGTAGGCACACTGGAAAATCCTTCCGCCATGATCCCAGACACCACGTTTGCACTCTTCACACTCGGCGCTCTGTAAGGGACAACTGTAGAACGGTAAAAAAATGTAATCCAGGTGGCATGTTATAAAAACAGACAAGATGGTCTAAAATTATGTCATATCTAAAGCGAAATTACCTGCACGCATGCACGGAAAGGCACTTTCTACCATGGCAAACCCATGCCTCACAATAATCGCATACTGCGCCGACCATCTGCATACCTACAAAACAACCATAAGAATGAAATAAAAACAGAAGAAAAATAAATTACTGAATTATTTCACCGTTTGTCCGATATCAACAAGATAACCATAACTGCTGTCCGGCGTTCGGTAACGATTACGCTCCCATTTCAAAGTTTTTTTAACGGAATTAAAAATTGCATGAGTTACATGATACGTTCACTAATAATTAAAAAAATTTAAGCGCAAGATCTTGCATAGAATAATGATGTCTTAAATTCTTAAATGCCTCTGCTATCGGATAATTTTTATTTCTTACCTGTCGTATACTGCGCCCCGTGTTTCACAACACAATCCCCAGTTTTCAGCATGCATTTCTGCTTTCCTAAAATCCAGGACATTAATTACTTCAGTTTAACAAACTTCGATGCGCCCTCGTAAAAAAGGGATTTTAATCTTGTCCAATTTATTGAAGGACTTCCCAAACTTACCGCAGTGGCCACAAACTGGAAGGCGCTGTATTGCCTGACAGAAGTAGCAGAAAGCTCGATTCTTCTGCTGTCGAAGACACTGATCGCATTCCATGGTAGCATTGCAGGGCCATTTGCCCAGTTCACGCTTCCCGCCAGTGCGAATCACACGGAGAATTTCCTTCTGTTTTTCTGCCTTCTTCCTGGCTCCTGTCTTCTTTTTCGGCATAGTTAGGATGGCTAAATCTCCAGTGCAAACAAAAATGTTGCGGTCCTCAATCCCACGTTACCAGATACTCGTCTAACAATAAAAGATTATCCAGGCAAGCTTCTAGGGTAGAGTAGAATTCTGGAGATCTATCTAGAGTAGAATTCTGGAGAGTCAGATCAATAAAATTTAAGCAGAATATAGGCAAAAATCATGGGTTGCAAATTTCCCGTGTTTGAATAATTGTGGTGAAAAATCCAATACAAACATGTTTTACATTTTCCTTATTTCTAACTCTGACCGCTTTGTGCAGATCGATTTTGAATCACGAATGTCATAAAGGCTAAAAGGCAGTAAAAGATTTCGGCACTTAGAACTGTCAAATATCAGCAGCCCGCTCGTATCTGCGGCACGACTGCTGCGCACGTATCGGTTACTCATCTTTCCGCTATGACTAAGAGAAAAAACTGAAATATGTTCCCACCAGTGATAACGGATACACGAGTAGAAATAAATACCATATCTGAGAGCAGTCAGAGCACCGTGAATTCTGCAATAAATCAGCCTTCATTGCCGTTTTATATTGCCACGGTAAACAAGTGCAAACTTGACGAGAAAATAATTTAAGCTTAATGACATGCAATAATTAAATTTTTCTTCGTGTGGGCAAAATTTGCTAATTTTGTGCAAAATTTGCTAATTAATTAGGCGTAAATGATTCCAGTTATAACTGCTCATCAAAGTTTTGCTTAATTACTAATTAGTAATTTAGTTAATTAAACCATATCATCTCAACACTTAATTACGGACTACAGCGTAATTTCATACAGTCTAATACAGCACGGAATCATTACGAACATTTATAAGCAGCTCAGGATAATTTTAACGAGTTGATGTGCGGTCGTGAATGTGGCCACGAATTATAAAACCGAGCTCAACAGCTCGGTTTTATAATTCAGCAACTGATTCTCCATCTGACCAATGCGCGCAGCGTTATCAGTGAATCTGTCTGACTCACAAATCAGTGCGTGAGTTGGAGCGCACTCGAGCATTTTGACCTAGATACAATTCTCATCTGAATCCCAATACGTGGTAAATTTGACAGTTGCTACTATAGAGAGTAGAGCGCTTGGATTAAATCTCAAAGCAGAACGAGAAGCTGCGAGAGATTTCAGTTTGGTTTGATAATGCCAAAAACCACAACATGGTGTCGTACGCCGCACCGTCAGCGGAAGTTCACAAACTGTGACGTCATGAGAGTTTCTTGGCCATTCTCGCAGCAGATGAGCAGCATCCTCGTCTGCATTCATTCATTTGTTTGTAACGATAAAGCCATAGTTATAATTATGTACTTACTGTAGTACTTACTGTAATTGTACTTAAATTTGCTTGTTCATTTTTGTTTTGTGATTTCTGTCAGTGAAGTACGTTACTGATTAGAAAGACAATATTCATGTCTTTTCAAAAACGGTTTTCATTGCTACGGCATCGGTACGAGTACAGTGAAGCGTAGAGCAGCATAAAAAGCTTTTGTTCGGAGTTTCTCGAAATTCAGTGACGCAAGGTTTGAACCGTTTTTCAACTCTGGTTTGGTCATCCCAGAAGTCGAGAAACGTTATATATTCACAACGGCGTAATTGACAGCGTGATTTGCGGGACCTAGTGGCCGGCGGAAAAGTGAATTATAACTTGGAGAACTACGAACTCGACGAAAGGTTATCGACTTCGTCCCTGCAGATGCTGGTTGCTGTGCTGTTTCGGTTGCCTTTAACGGACTGCTGGAAACAAAATGCCACCAACTCGGCGAAAATCTGGTGAGAAAATAGCGAAAATTTTACATTTCTTTTCGGTTCTCCTGAACTTGATTTATTGGATCTGCTGACCCGGAAGTTTTACTGTGCGCATTTACCGTTGAAAATATTCATATTGGATTTTTTGCAGTGACTGCAAAAGACGATGGTGAAGGACTGTACGAAGTGAAAGCGATTGTCGATAAACGCATAATTCAGGACGATGTGGTACAGTACCGTGTACAGTGGAAAGATAAGAAGTAAGCTGCAAAATTTAATGGAGTAATTCACTTTTCAGTTATACAGCTTGCGTACTAATTGATTCGGGTTTTGCATTGGATTTTTTCTTCATTCGGTGAATTTCGTCGCAGATTTCAGGGACGCGATACGTGGGAAACACGAGAAAATCTCGTGGACGGCTGCGAAATTATGCTCAGCAAGTTTGAAGAACGGCTACAAAAGAGACGCGAAAAATTAACGAAACGTCAGATTGCACAACAGTTAAAGAAAGATCACCTCAAAACGAAGAAGCGCCAGAGGGAACAATCTGTGACCGCCGTTCCGGTGGAAAACAGCAGCCTATCTGATACCCGTGCACGAAAACGTCGGGCTGCGAAGAAGGTGATTGTTAAGGATACCGACGGTCCTCGGAAAATTAATAAAGGTGACGTAGTTACAGTAAAAAGGTAAACAATTCTGTGAAACGTTCCACAGCTGCGAATGTAATAAATTTGAAATTCCACTTCAAGGATTTTAATAACAATAAAAAAGAAATAATACGATGACTTGGAAGATCTGCTCTTATGGTTGGTTCTGCAGGAAAGTAGGCTGCAGTTTTAATGGGAAATTAACTTCACGATTGAACGTTTCAGAAGCAGCCAAAACCACTAAATCGGATTTGTGTGGGGATAAAAAACCTTCCATACCCGAGCCACCCGAACCTCAAATATTTTGCCGTGAAGTGCCACCCGGGCCTCAAATATTTCGCTGTGAAAGTTGCAAATTCTATGCTGATAACCAGGCAACCTTTGAGCAGCATCTGCGCGGTACAGCACACGCTGCAAAGTCAGCGATTGGCAAGATGAGATGCTCCGGGTGCCGGTTTCACAGTTCGAATACAGAAAAAATTATGGCCCATGTTACCAAACATAAGTTTCACTACGAAGCCGGAAAGGATTTGCATTACCTGTTTTTCGAAATCGCGCTTGACTGATGATTTGCTTTGTCGTTGAAAGCGCTAACCGGATGGGCCTCATGCTGAGAATGATTTTAATGTTTTACTGCAGCTGCTTTCTAATACAGATTTTCTTAATTTTGTTGCACATGCTTGGTGATGGTTTTGAATTTTTTTGATAATGTCGACGCTACTCGTACTGCTGCGTATGGAGTAGAAAAGGTGATGTTATTGCAGGTGGTTACTTTCGTTTACTGATACAGTAATTTTATGGTTTTGGTTACAGAATGTATGCTTGCATTAGAGTTGGGATTAATAAAGTCCAAAGCACAAACATAAAGAATGTTTCATAAGCTTTTACATTGTTTAAACATGATAAAACATCGTCCGCTTTGAGACTGCGCATGTGAGATCCAAAGAGAAAAACAAATGTTAGAACATGTGGTGTTACAGATCAGTATATGCTTACAGTTGTAAGAATTTAAAGGAATCTACGAGTCTGTTACCGTTTTCGAAATCACAAATTGGTGTTCTCAACATCACTAAATCTCTATTTTTTTCGGCGGCCTTTGAAGTGTGGCTTTCTAAAGTCGTTGTCCCAGGCCTTCGCAACCGGTTTCGGCTTGGTGCTCCTGATCAAAACAACAAAGACAACCTAGGTTATGAATATTATGGCAATGACAATCACAAATTCGCCGGTATTTGTAATTTTTACCGAAACTCAGTTCACCGCGCAAAATCTATCCCTTCCACTATATAATTTAATTTCATATTTACATAATCTACGAAGGTTCTTTGCTTCCACTCTGAACCAACAGCAGTTAACATGAAGCTGTGCGCGGGACGTCGTTTCAGTTTCCTCCAGTAACCGGAGCCCGAGGTCAATTTGTTTGATTTCTCGGAAAGATACTTACTTCTGGGGAGGGGACGTTTCTTCTTCGGAATAAGCCACAAAACTATCGCTTCCATAATCCGGATCCTGCTCAAAGGGTTGCGAGAAAACATCCTCTCGGAATTTCCTTGGGCCCAATCGGCCCATAATCAAATCTCTATTGGGCGTTTCCACGAGATCTCTAGCATAGATTGCGTGCATATCTACACGAATATTAAACCGCGATTTCTTCCACCTGTATATCGACAAATGAAAAGCCCATGCTGACTATCTGCTACGTACACGTCGGATTTGTTTCATCACTTCCGCTGTCAACAAAGCTGGCGGGATACTCGTCATCCGGTTCGTCTTCTTCCGCTTCATCCGCAGAACGCTCGTCCGAACATTCGGCCTGAGTGCAGAGGAATTGCCGTCCCAGCTTCTTCAAGTTCTTTTTCGGTCTGTTGGAGGTCTAAAAAATACACACAATAACGCAAAAAAACATAACCATAATTTTTATTATGTTTACGTTAGTTCCTTTGCCAACGTTCAGCTTGGGTTTTGGTGGCGCTGTACGTTCGCTTCTGGCAGCTGATGCAGCTCTACTGGGCGAAGGCGTGTCAAAAGCAGCTACAGGTCGGCGACGTTTATGACGTATGATGATTTCTTCTTCCTCTGCTTAGAAAACAGTTCCAAATTAACAAAATCTTTGACACAGAATCAACTTTCTGCACGTCCGTACCGAAGCAATTTGAAAAGCAAAAACCACAGTAAAGCGGGTAATGTGGTTCAGAACTACGTTTGCGGCTCACGGCTCTACATCTTTGTATGCGCTATTGATGTGAAAAAGTAGAATTCGGTCTTACCATCATCATTATTTGTTGGAACGTCAATCGGTGCAGCACAGGGAGAATCCTGATTCTGCTGCTTCAGAGCGGAAGAAATAACAGCCGCTTTCCGACGAACTCTGCTGCCTTGCGTCGCCGGTTTCCACTGCCCGTCAGCAGGAGGCGCCTTCAGTGGAGATTCAACTAAGACAACAGATTCTTTCCGCCGCGAAGACTTCGTCAGGGCATCTTTAAGATTTCCTTCGTTTTCGTCGATCTTCTTTGGCCTTCCCATTGGATAATCAAACGGATCCGGCACTACCGGCTTTCTTTGCAACTGAACTACCGCGTCCACCACTTTGCTTTTCCCGGCTGGAAATGGAGGGTTGATCTTGGTATCATTTTGTACCGGATCATCCATCAAGTCCGTGTCATACGGTAAAGATGAAGGAATTACGTCTTTGCTGAGAAATTTCTTATCATCGTCACTTTCGTCCTCGGAAAAGGACGCCATTATAACATCCACCTCCATTTCTTTTTCGCTGACATAGCTCGCCAAAATTCTGGAGGGAGAAGCATCGTGTTTTCGGTGGATTTCTCGCACTGGGCTCAGATTCGGAGAAGCCAGCATTCTTTTCCGAGAGCGAGAAATAACAGGGGTGGAATGACTGCTAGGACCACGGGAAAGAGGGACAACAGTATCGCTTGCAAGAACGGCCATTTTTGCTGCAACAAAGGTGAACACAACACGTTTACCCAAGGCATGAATGATTGTCTATTTTGCTAATACCTGTAAGTTTTCCAAAACAAAATGAAGTGGATATGCATTCATACAATTATCCCATGGTACAATTTTTAATCTTATTTTTTTAAAATTTAACTTCCATGCGTGGCCAAGGATTCAGTTCTGTAAATTTCTGAAACGTTCCGCCGATGCGCAGATGTTATATACAAATACCTTCCGCCAAATTTGATTTGGTCTGGTCATCATCGAAATTCAACCGGCACCGAGTAGGCATTTCCGCAACGCTGCCGTTTTCGGACTGCTTTGCCAAAGGGCTTTCGGGGATTATCTCAGACGTTTGATTAACAAATTGCAATGCTGTTGTAAAGGTCATGACATCCCGACACTCTGTTGAATTCATACCGGTTGATTCAACATTCCCTGTAGTTCGCTCCTAAAACAAGCATAATTTACTTTAATTCACTCAGACAGTAGTAATTACATACAAATTCCATCAGCCGATCACGTGATGCTTTCAGTCCTGTATCGGCCTTAGGCTCAAGTCCGTCCCATTGTTCCCAATTCGCGATATCCACTCCCATATCATTTTGGATGTCCACATTAATATCACCGGCTTTCTGCACGTCTGGCAGTATCAGAGACTCCGAGAAGACCCTATCCATATCTACCGGACTGATCAGTTTCGGGATTTCCTTTGCAATCTGGGACAGATTCTGCAGTAAGCCGCATTTTATACAAGGCATCGGTTAAATTTTGTTTTGCAATTTATTTTCAAAAATAGTGATATCGTTACAGATACATATTCTGTTACTACAAAATTACATAAATATTCACCTCTTCCAACCCCTTTTGTGTTATTGTATCAGCGTCAGATCCATCATTTTGTGCAGGGGGTGGGAAAATACCCTTTTCAGCCTGCTCAGTGGACTCGAAATCCTCACAACTTCCCTGATTATTTGTACTTTGTTATTTGTACTTCCCTGATACATATTCTGTTACTACAAAATTACATAAATATTCACCTCTTCCAACCCCTTTTGTGTTATTGTATCAGCGTCAGATCCATCATTTTGTGCAGGGGGTGGGAAAATACCCTTTTCAGCCTGCTCAGTGGACTCGAAATCCTCACAACTTCCCTGATTATTTGTACTTCCGGTCGAGTTCGTCATGGTAGTTTCCGAAGCACGCGAGGTAAGAGTTGCGGTGCTTTGCTGAGAAGTATCCATAGACGATCGGGCAACATCCGTGGAACTTTTTGACGCCTCACGACTAACCGGAACTGAGACTGTGCAATGTTTTTCGGTGGATGCACCTTCGACACTTTGCAATATCGAAGCCTTGACTGTTACTTCGAAGCTCTTTTCCTGCCCATCTTTGGAGATGTTGGGAGGCGTTTCCAGCGTATCCAGACGATTACGTTTCATTTTTCGCGAAACAGAACCATCTAAGAGTTTTAAAACATCACCTTGTCCAATATTCCTTGGTCTCTCAGCCGCAAACACAAGGGGGCCAGGTGTCTCTTGACTGTCCAAATGATCCAAACGTTGCTGCAGAACTTTTCGCAGTCCAATCGCCTGATCTGGTCGATCCAGCTTATCAGTAGATTTATGAGCGGCCATCATTTCAGTCAGACGTTGCCGATGTTCTTTCGCCTTCTCCACATCCTCATCGGAGTCCGCAAACGGATCAGGTTTCTTGGGAGCTACTGCCTTCCTTTTGGATGACTTTTTACGTCTGACAGGTTTATCATTGACATCACTTTCGGTATCCGTTATGAGCTCCGTATCAGAGAGTTCAATAAAGCCGGCTAGCACAGCTTCCTCATACATCTTACCGCAGGTTGGATCATAGGAAGCTTCATCGAAATCCATAGCATTATCATTAATTTGACGCATTAAGGACACGAGAGTATTCGTACGAGCCGACGAAATCAGAAAGCTGTTGAAAATTTCGGCATGTGGTAAATGTTGCGACAACGGATTTGTGCCCACGTCCAATACAGGTCGATTCAAATTGATATCTTCGTACATCGCTCGTTCTCGAAACTAAAAAGTTAAGTGAAAAACTAAATGAGAAACGGTTACAAAATAAATTTAACAACAGTAAGGAGCAACGGGGCTCGTGTCCATTTAACTCAAGTTAACATTTAACATGTAAGCGATCAACGACTGGCACCTCGCACGTCAAAATCAGCAGAAATAGGCTTCAGCGACCGAAAAGAAAAGAGGTACACACAAAAACATTTTCCATACCGTTCTGCATAGTTCTGAAAACGTGGAGGGATCGTACAAAAACCGTCGTTCTGCCGAAATGGGAACTTTATCTTCCGCGATGCTGCAGTGACGTTCCCATTCCACATGTTCATCTTCCGACATGAACTTCAGTCGAGTTTTCTTCGCCTTGCCGACATTCTCCTTCGACGCTTTCTTGCCCTTCACTACATTAGACAAACTAATCAGAGACTTTTCTCAACAAAAGATCAACCACAAACTGATCGTCACCCACCGCTCGTTCGGCTCTGCCTTCCCATTTCCGGACAGTAATCTGGAACAGTCCACTGCAGTTTGACGCAGACTGGATTCAAACCATTTGGGACCATTCTCGCCACGTCCGGACACATTTGGAACCCCGAAAAATTTGTCAACGTTTTTTGAATGAGCGATTTACTGCTTTGGCAAGTCCGATATTTCTAAAAAAAATCAGATCCTAATAAAATTCAAGAAAATATTTATTTTTGAGCTAACGAAATACAAGTTTCTTACGTTTTCTTCTCTGCCCTCAGCGAGCAGGAAAACTGTTTTCCCTTCTCGTTTACGCCCAGTCCGTCCAGTACGCTGAACATTCCGGATGGCGCTCTTTTGAGAGTCGAAACAGATAATCAAATCCACTTCGCCAATGTCCAGACCTTCCTCTCCCACACATGTCGATACCAGAACGTTGAAATTACCCGACCGAAACTTCTGCATCACCTGTGGTACAAGAAACTGGCTTCACAACAATTCACAATTAATAAGTCAATTTGGGCAAAAAGAACTTCTTTAAAATATTTTTTTAGTGCAACCAGAGGCACGAGAGTAATACACTTTCACGTACGAGAGTAATACAGAGTACACTTTCATGCACTTTCACTTTCATGCACTTACACGTAATACACTTTCATGCACGAGAGTAATACAGAGTAGTTCTGAATGTGATCTGGCGTTAGTTCATCAAATCAACAACATTACAGAAGCATGTCCAAAAAGTAGACCTACAGCCAATTGTTCCTTTTGCTGAAGCCCCTTTTTGCTCGCGGAGTCAGCCTGACCAACAAACGCCGTGGGATTAATCAGTGGACGATGTCTTTCCAGCAGGCGAACAATTTCATGCACACTATCGCGATACGTGGTGAATACGATGATGCGGCTATCAACACTTTTCAACGGTTTTGAAGGGCCCGCTTCATCTGTTTTGCTTTCGGACGATGCAAAATGTTGCAATACTAATTCTTCCAATTTTTGTAGCTTTGGATGTCCATAAATGTATGGTTTGTCCTGGTCTTCGCGGAAGCTGCGCATGCTTTCACCGGCAGCTACGTCGATACCTAAATATTCTCTCACATTCCCCATCAATCTCTGGAGTTCCGCGTTTTTTCCCAATAATGTCCCAGTCCACTTGACTTTCTTATCCGCAGTTGCCGGGCGTAAAGTCTCGTGAAGCGAATAATAAAACGCTCGGATTCCATACATCATCAGCAGTTCATAACAATGGTACAAAGTAATCAGTTGTATAAAGCCACTTGATGTTTCCCGCTTTACGAAATCCTAAAAACACATAGAATTTGGTCAGAAATGCTTTTACTGCATCGCAACACTACCATGAACATTCAAATACAAATAGGTAGGCACATTTACGGGCTTGTCTACTCGAAAATAAATAAATCAACCAACCACAATGATTAGCCTACTCAATAATCCTCGCATCATTATACGGTATTCCAATCACTTTAAACCAATACAAACCACGATGAATAATTTTACACTTAAGAATTTCAATAAATAATATCAAGCTGATTATCAACTAAACCAGCTTAACAAAATTTACCAACTTAAGTACCATTATCAACCTTACGTTCAATCCTTTCACGAGGGAAAAATTCCGCTGGAACTGCACAATGGAATACTGACATAGATTCAGTGGATCGCTCTCACGTGGTATTCCTCCGTATTGTTTCATCTTATTTACAATTGGAATCATAACTGCCAAAAGCCGATCCAAGATGTACCTACAATATCCTTCTTTTAGTGTAAGCACAGCTTTCGAAGATCCATGAAGAGCATTACCTAACATCATTTCCCAGAGGGATTACAATTTTTTCGACATTTCTCCGATGAGTGTACTTCATTAAATCGATAGAATCTTCCTGCCGAATTTCGATATGGTTGATCTGAAGACTGGTAAGCACCTTCTGAATTTGCTGCAATAATAAAAAACCAAATAAAAAATCGACCAAGATCAAAACAACAAGCTTCCGTACTGCACGATCATTTCCAGGGGTTGCGCTTAACGCTAAAATCCGGAACTGTTTGCTGCTCGCTGCAAGGAGGCGCACAATCTGGACATAATGATGGTTGCCGCTAGCTTTATGAGCCTGTACATGAACAAAAACACATCTAAAAGACATGCAAAAAATGTGCACAAGAACTGAGAAACAGTTTATGCAGTCATTACCTACTTCGCTCTAGTTTAGCAAATACTTAATAACCGCAACGAGAGAAACACTCTTCTGCGACAAAAGATATAAGTAACAATGTAATTCCTCGTGCAACTGTATGATCTACAGAGTACTGCATAATTAATGTTAAGGCTTACACCAACTAATATAAGGGATGACAATTACTAACTACAACATTCTAATTCAAAAGAAAATATTCTTGAAAACCACGAGATTGCGCTTTACCTCATCAATCACCAAACACTTCACATCTGACGCCTTGTAAACGTCTTTATCCAAGTCATTCACGGCAATCTGAGGAGTCAGAAAAACGATCCGTTTCCTCGCCCATAAATCTGCTCGTTTGGCTTGGGGAGTTTGTCCTGTGAAACAAACCAGTTCACAAGAATCGAGCGATATTAACACAGTGAATTCCTTAACCTGTCAACTCAACCATTTCATCCTGGGGAATTCCCATTACGCGGTAACACGCTTGTATTTGTTGGTCAACCAGCGGTCGGGTAGGCGCCATAAACATAATTCGCCCTTTAGGATACCATCGGTAAAAATTGTACATTATGACGGCAGCAATAAACGTTTTCCCCATTCCAGTTGGCAGGCACACCATCGTGTTGCGAAACAGGGCTTTCTGTACTATATTAAACTGGTAAGAGCGGATATCGTAGTTCGTAGGGTAAATCCATTTCAATCCAGCTTCCAGATCAAATCCAGGAAGTTTCTCAACATTTGCAGGAACTACAAGTGGAGAATCTAGTGAGCCTTATACGTTTCATATTCCCAAAAAACCTTATCTGACTGCTACCAAATTTTCCGCATTCGCGTACACATTGATAAAGTAGTATGTAAATCCAAATATAAAATTTATTACGGTCTACACAAAAAAAGCACATATTCTCACAGAAATGACTTCTAAAATACTGTTATTATCTATCGAAAACAATAGTACATGAATTTCAAATTCAACAAAAAAGGCGCCCTCGCTCCCAGAGCAAAATTCTACAAAACAAAACGATAATTTTCTACATTAATCATAAAATACATAGTAGCTATTATTCATGTTTATCTGCTCACTTTGCGTGGTTGGAGGTAAATCCTCCAAAATCTCCGGAACAGGACTAGTAGTTCCGCCATTCCCATTATTAAGCGGGGGAACATTTGCCGAAACATGAGGGCGAGAAGGACCCGCAATAACAGGCCCCCGTTTAAAGGGCTGAGGCGCTACAGGTGGCCGAACAGAAGGCAACGGCCTATTTACCGTCGCCTGCTTTTCCAACTTGTCCAGCGCATCAAAATCAAAATCAGCATCCTCGAAAAGATCGTTACCACCCTCGTTCGGCGTGACAGCGGCTGCTTCCGACTGCACCAAATGCGACCATAACTGATCCTTAAGGAGATCACGATCCACCGCCACACTAATTGCTCGCGCTTTAGCGAGTCCCACTGGACTAGCAGCACAGACATTTCCATTTCCTGTGCGGAACCCGTTCGTCGACAAATTCTTTCCCGGAGTGGAGACAATCTGTGGCGTTGCAATCGCACAGGATGTCGACGGCGGGTTCTGCGTCGCCAGTTTCTCCACCTTGTCGAGCTCTTCGAAGTCTATATCTACTTCATCAAAAATGCCATTGCAGTCATCAGGATCGTTCAGTGCAATTGTTTCCGATTTTTTATCGAGACTGGGAATCTGCGAAGGTATCAGCGAGGCTTCATAAGCGTCCGTCGCAGCAAGGAAGCCATCGTCCTCATCAAAAACATCCTGTTTCGTCGTAGGCATAGCATCTGTTGCAGTGCTCATCGTGGGTGGATCAAGAACATCAGAATAAATCCGAAAGCCTTCTTGACCAGACAACAATGAATTTCCTTCTGCTGGTAAGCGAAAAGGTCCGCATGGAACCCTTACAGAAGCGTGATTAAAATCACTCGAAAATCTCGGTGTCACTTGCAGTCTTAATGGAAACGACATATTCGGGGCAGAAGGTCTGAACGGTGGTCGGGCTACATTTAATGCAGGTTGTCTAGTAAAATCACTGGGCACTGGACGTCCATTCCAGTATCGAACATCCGACGATGGTAACGGGTTAAAAAATGCGGAAATACGCGGCTGCTGACCTTGTGGAGTAAGTTTTCTGCTTGAAGCCATCCATTCAAGTTAAGCGAAAACGGAAAATTATACACTTTGCATCGATCATATTCATAACAACAGTCGCTAAGTGGGCAATGGAATTATCAACTATGGAAGCGAACCACATGGGTTGTCCCTTGTCCGCACGCCATGTACCCGTACCGTAAAACGTGGAAACTGCAAAACAGACAAGCATTAATGAATGTACGCTGTGCAACTACGGAAGCGAAATCCAGAATCTGGATCTGAAGCATAATGCATAAAACTTGAAAAACTATGTTTTATCAAAAAATAGGATCATCCATAATACGGTTTAAACTTTGCAGCTGTTACAAACAACAAGCGGGTTGATTCATGAATACGTACGCGCAGTTCGGTCTCCTTCCGGTTCGGTTCAGGCTTGTTTGTTCGGGTGGTTCCCGTTTCAGTTTAATGTGTACTTTCACGTTTCCAGTTCCGCGAAACTTTCTAATTTCATTTGGTACGTATTTTATTATTTTTTAAAAGTGCCCCGTGAGTGCGCTCGCCCTGTATCGTCAAGAAATTTTAAGAAGAAGTTTCAGTAATCTACGGCCAGCGACTCAGCGTGAACGTTGGTGCTCTCCCAAGAGTCCATGACTTGAAAGACCGAAATACCGAAGACTTGAGCGGCTTTCGCACCAACCGCCACGGGAAACGCTGTTCGACTTTTTGAGCGGTTCCATTGACTCTATTAGCTTGTTAAGTCCGTTGGCTTCACAGGTTTTAGTACCGTTTTACACAGTTCTGTTCTGTGGATGAAGCTTCGCTGCTGATATAATAATTTGATGTCAAGTTATCATTTTTTAATATTCTCCCATTTAACTTTCAGCCTTATTTCTATCTAAAACCATTCTGCTGTTGGTGGCAACTTGCGATTGTCCTTCCCATCGTGAGATGACTGGGATCTAGGGAAACGGCACAGCACCAGTGCGCAGGAGGATTTTCAGCCAATGCCCAGGGTACAAACTCGCAGTGAAACTGGGACCTGGTCACCTTCAACGTTAACATTATCTTCAATTTACTTACTTACTTATTACTTACAGTTACAATTAACAATTTTTCTTTGTGCTCCTAATTCGTGGTGTAAAGGTGGCAGACTTTTTTTAAATTTCGTTAAAAATTACATGAGTACTCGAGCACTGAGTACTCGTATGTACTCTGTTTAGTTTGCTATGATTGTGACGAGTCAGAAGCGCAGTGTCACAGAGACTGGGTGATACGTTGCATCTCTGTGGCAATGTCGAAAATCTTTAAAATTTAAAACTAGTAAATTGTTGACAGTTGTTGAATTGCAGATTCTGCTCCTTTGATTTCACTTCTCTTCAGCCACCATGTCTCCTGAGAGCCCGCTTTACGACGACCTGAATGCTTACTTGCATGACTGCAGAAACCTAAGCACTACTGCATTGTTTGTACGGGTTAGGAAGATCGCTGACAAGCTGCGCGTTGGCCGTTGGCAAAGTGTGGATGATGTTGCGCAGTCAGTGGAAAGTGTTTGGGAGATTCTGGAATCGCGGCATAATGGCGCGCTGCCCGATGAAATGCGACATTTGCTCAATGCCGTTCTCCATGTGGAGTTTTTCCGCTATAATTCTTTACAGTACACCAAGGTTTTAAATGACATTCTGGTAAGTAGCCGTGATGCCAAGCTTCTGCAGTTTTGCGCTTCGTAATTTGTTTTCATGAGTAGCGGTAACGAAAGGGATCGACTAGTTAAAGACGACCAAAATTGTGAATACAATTCAGAATTATTTGAAACAGTGTAAATTTTCAGAAGCGGAAAATGTGGTTAACGCTTTTTGTTTGTCTTTTTTCATACTGGCTGTGCTGCGTTTTGCAGCTTGTATAAGCAGCATAATGTGCACGTACTACGAGTAGAAAATGGCATATCTTGAACCGTGTCATCTTGTAGGACCATAACCGAACAATTCGGGACACAGCACGAGATGTTCTCCCATCTAGAGGACCAGTTAAGCTGAATTTTGATGGCGAGATCGAGAAATCACACAGTGTTCCACAGCATAAGCTACTCATTGACACGGTGAACTTGGACGACGAACGGTTCCTTCTCTCTCCGTTGACAACGGCACTCGATGCATTGCTTGAGATTTTCGACGAGGAAGGATCCTGGAAGATTTCCCTCAGCAATTGTAGATTGAATGCCATGGACTTTGCCATCGAAGCCGTGCAGTTACTGGTGCACATCAGTTTATGTTTCCAACTTCATCGAATGGTACGAACAGCGGTCATATTGCGGAATTAACTGCGCTGTAGTCATTAGGTGGACGTTTTACGATTGCTTTCAGTATCACGATGCCTTGGTGCCGGCTAAATTAGCGTATACCTTGGCCTCGTCGATGGAACCATTCCCAGTGCGACCGTTGGGAGCCACTGTGACCGGATATCTGATGTGCCTGCTTCCAGCTCGGCTCTATGATACAGCTATCCAAGTCCTTGACGGTATTCCAGAATTTATTCGTCGGGATCTGAATTGGCAGGAGCTCTATCCCCTTGAACACACTCTCCTCTTGGCACAGGGAGCATGGTTTACGTTGCTCAAAAAGCAGGTGAATGCTCCATACTATTTTTGTTTTTCGTCTGTGTGCACAACTCGGGCGTGGCATATGTGGACTGTGGTATGGTGTGTCTAGGCTGTTCATCTAGGGCAGGCGCTCGATGCAATAAAAATTCGTGCGACGTCGCCCATTCCTCAGGAAGGAGATAGCTGCCTGATCAAGGCGATTTATCTTCGCCTTATAGCCAATTTATGCCATTTATTTCCAAGTCTGGATAGCGATGATAAGAAATGCTTGGCCAAATTTCTTCCGCAAAATGTGTCGCCATTTTGGCTCTTGGACGAGGCGAAAAATCAGATTTCCATTCAATATTCTGAAGGTAGCAAGCAGTCTACAGAATAGTAGACGACTAAGCAATAAAATTCATCATTCTGTGATTATTTGCTCTTCATTTGGGTTTTAGGTTCAAGTGGCGGATGGGCTGGATTAGCACGATTATACCGTAAAATCGAGCATTTCGACATCATTGAGAATATCTCCAAGTTGTATCTTGCGGTCGGTGCTCCTGGTGAGGCGAATGCCTACGTTACTTATGGACTTGCACTTGCAAAACGGGAATTCTCGTGCCGATGGTAAGGACTAATTGTCAGGTGGTATTTCACTAATTGTGACAGATGATATTGACCTGATTGTGAGTTTTGTTTGAAATTTTCTGACGATGCGAGGAAGTTCAACTTCGAATTCAGCGTGATATGTACATGATATCTTAGCGTGATGTGGTATTTTCGCGATCATATGTAAGCTGCAGCTTGTGTCATTATGTGTTATAAATTTTGCCTACTCTTACAAGTAAGATTCAATGAAAATTTAACTACATGTTTAAATAAAATTAAAACTTGTGTACGAAGGTCCTTTTGCTTGTTGTTAGGATTCTGGTGTTTCTTGACCTTCAAGCTCGTTGTTATCATCACAACGAAACGAGCAAGTACTATCAGAAGTTTCAAACGGCTGTACTGGAGATGGATAGGATAATCCTCGGCGAAAACATCCCCGTTGCGTCAATTTTAAAACAGAGAATATCGACAAGTGGTAACTGCAGTCAAACGGCACAGGTCGACGATCTTGCTGAGGCTTTGGGACGGATAGCTGTTACCGAAAATTCCAACCACATCAAACCAGTGGAAGATATCAGCATGCAGAGCTCACAGAATGAAGATGAAGAATGGGCCATGGCTAAGCATGTCGCCAAGTTTCCGCCTCTGGATCATCCTCATAAAAAAAGAACAACTGTGTAACTGCAAATTGTGCATTGATTTGGATCTTCATGGTGCACTGATGAAGACGATCTTCCTGCGGTTTTCGGCTTTAAAGGGTGCAAAGACTCGGGAAACGATGTTAAAGCGAGCTTGCGAAACATATAACGTTCTTAATCGGAGACGGATTGTTCTTCTGCCGTTCACTTATACTCCGAAAAATGCTTCCGACCTTTCGAAAAGTGCTTCCGATCAGATAGCGGGGCCCCTGGAAGTTCCATTTTTCCGGATTCGCTTCAATCATGTTGCGTACAGCTACCTGGTAAAACTAAGTGTTTAGTCGTTCGATACTTCCCAGTTTATTTTGTTTTATTTCTCTTTGGTTTTTTAAATATTTATTTAAAACTGCATTCGGTTAGATAAACGTATCATAATTTGTGATAATAGAATAGATGTCGTAATAATCAGCTTGCTACAGGCTTTTCGTCCATCGTCCACTTTCCAAGAAGCCCTCGATAAATTGACAGAGAAGTTTTCAGATTTTGCTATTATTTATCCGGATGTTGTGGCGCAAAGCGGTTATCTTCATGTACTGCACACAATTTTGAAAGAAGTGCTAAAGACCGGAAGAACAAGCGCTGAAGGTGCTAAAGACCTGAAAGATACTCTTTACTCTCTGTCTGGCTGGGAATCATCTCCGACGTCTAGTGAAACCAGCACGAACCAGGGAATTATCAATGATGCATTAACCTCCGCCGTGTCCGGCTCGATGAAATTTACCGGACCAGCAACCCCAGAACGGAAGCCAAAGAATGCAGCAGCACTGATTATGGAGAAACGGAAAGTGGATGGAGCGGGCAATAAGGAATCGCGGCACCGCCGTCGCGTTGTTGCGGACGATGAACCGGCAATCCCCAGTGATTTAGCCCAGCAAGCGGAAGAAGGAAAACGGATGATTGCGAATCGACGGATGACCATGTTGCGCGATACGGTTCACCTTGCCGAGAAAACAGAAGTTTCCATCTCTTATTCTTTACCGATGGTCCCCTCTCATTCATTGCAGCAGGGTATGTTACTGGCGATGAGGCGATGTCTAGTTTTGGGCTTTGTTGTCTGCTTTCGTTTTTTTGAACTTAAGTATTATGACGTTTTCTTTTTAGGCACAATCCAGCACATCTTGGATCTGCTTGACTACCAGATCTCTCAAATGGTAGACTTCCCGTTGTTTCCCTATTTTCGGAAATGTGCTCTGCTTCGATTATTGTTCAGTGAATCATCATGCACAGCAGATAATCTTGCTAAATACTCTGCTGCCGGAATTGGTCAAAAAACTCAAAGCCTAAGCCATCAGCGGTCAACGTCTTATGGGAAAATGAGGTACATACAAATGACCTTGTGTATGGCATTGTAATTTTTAATGTCTGAAAGTTTATGCTTGTTGTTGCTGTATTATAGCGGGTATGGTAATTGGAAGTGTTTTTTTCAGCATCTCTTTCGATAATTTGGATAGCCGTTGCACTTTGACGAAACAGGATATTGACGAGTGGAACCCTATTTCGCGTTTGCCTACTGTTATGACCGACAGTTTACCGGAAAACTGGGTCGTTTGTGCGATTTCTCTGGTGACCAAAGAGACTTTACCGCTGTTTGGGGCCAGTCCATCCGACGTACTATACATTGTCGTTACACGCTGGGAGAAAGGGCTTCCGGCTATCACAATGCGAATTCCTGTGAGATCAAAAACGAACAAAGTATGATTTCCTTCGTTGTAATGTTCTGCACTTGTTGCGGATTGAAAAATAATTTTTTCTTTCATGTTGGGTGCGTCAAATTGTGGTGGCCGTTGTTTACTATTCAGCTAACTGCTTTTATTTAAAAATTATGCCAGTATTTATGCGTGGTCGTTCGCTGTTGTAGACAGTCGAAAGCCTGCAGGAGATCCACAAGAAAGCCAACCGTAATCAGCTTCATCACGCGGGTGCTAGGGATTATTGGAATACCCGTTTGCAGCTTAACGACGATGTGGCCCAGGTTACGGAAAGTATGGAAAACAATCTTGGCTATGCCCGCGCTTTGTTTCTAACGGCTCCGGCAGACAAAACGGTGGACGAGGCGTTGAAAGGGCGAATGAGAAGCCTCAGAAGTCTAGCTACGAAAAACAGCATTGAATTCAATGCGCCATTTGTACGGGTATGTGATACCAACTTAATAGTATTTTCCACGTTCCCAGATAAATGTTTTATCGTGTAATAATAATGCTGCATCCATATCATTAATTTATTATTGAAAATTGATTGTAATAACTGAAAAAAATGGTTTAGTATTTAATAACAATTTTGCTCGGTTGGTGTGTTCAATGACAGATTTGTGTTTGCTGCCAGCTTACAAATTGATTTGCAGTAAGTTGTCCGATGAAAATGTGCATTTCTTCCTGGTATTTGAAAGCGTCTTGGTCTTTTAGTTGATCGCCTTGGCCGGGTTGTACCTTTCCAAAAACGAACTTGAGAAGTTCGCTGTTGATTTGTTTGGCTATGACAAGGAACGAGAGTGGGAAGTGAAGACCATTGTAAAGTTTGTGCTGAACAAGCCCGTCGTTACTGGTTCCGACATCTGCTACGAGCGCCATCCAGTGGTTTTAATACCTGACAATGTTAGTGCTATACCCAGTGTACAGGAAACGTGAACAGTTCGCTGCTACATTTTGACAGCATTTTTATGGTAGCATTCCCAGTACTTACGATATGGGGCCTTCGATAACATTGTTTCTGTATACCTAGACGCTGTTTTGTGAGAAATTCGCATAAAATGCATATAAATTGGCGCTCTTTAAATCATTTTCTTTGTAAACAGTTGATTCTTGTTTACTTCAAATTTGCTTTGGTTGTAGAATGCCTTCAATTTGCCGTGGGAATCAATGCCCATTTTGCGGAACCACCCAGTATCACGCATGCCATCTGTGGCGACATTGAACAGTCACTTGGACAGATATAGGCGAGTGCTGAACACGGATAATGGATTTTACATTCTGAATCCAACTGCCGATCTTATGGAAATGCAGAAGCGTTTTGAAAAATTTTTTGAAAATGAAAGGTCAGAAGCCACTCTCGAAGGTCATGTTTGGAAAAGCTGTACACATTTCGGGGTTTGCAGGTTGAACACATGGGAAGGGGTCAGCGGAAAGGTTCCCAGTAAAGAAACCATTGCTGCAGCACTGAGTCAGCGGGAATTGATTGTGTAAGTTCGTGTGTGGCGTAGCATGCGAAAAAAATACGTTGCAGCACTGTCACTGGAACTTGTATCCTTTCAAGGCTAGTAACTGTTTTCGAAAACTACCTTCGTTTTGGAATGTGCTCGTAACCCGTTCGTATAAAGATTTTAACATAAGAAAATGTAATCTTTTATTTTTGCAGGTATATGGGCCATGGATCGGGCGATGGAATATTTAGTTCGCATTTGTATTCTGCGCGTGACATCAGCGCGAATATGTTTTTAATCGGTTGTTCGAGTGTTCGTCTACAGCATGGACCTATGATGGACGGCACGGCCTTCTTCAACAGATGTCTGATGACCGGAAGGTAAGCTTAGAACTTGTGGGAGAAAATAATTAACGAAAGTTAATATTTACTGCAGATACAATTTTTCTTACTAAATAAAAACATCCGATATTATGACAATCTTTTTGCCGGTTTAGATGTACTCGTGCGTAAGTACCGGTATTTATCCAATTGTTGATTGTGCTTTCGGTCCCATTATTTTTGACATTGTATTACATTATTATGATGTGGATAGAAAAGGGATAATAACTCTTCAATCCCTAGACGAGAGCGTGTGTAGTGAAATGTGTTGAAGGAAATTATCAAGAAATATTTTTAGTCGATGCATTCTGGGAAACCTATGGATGGTGACTAGTGGATGCATCGATAGTATGATGTCTAGTCTGTTGACGGACCTCCTAAGTGTTTCGGATAAAGCAGAGGAAAAGAAAGGCGAAAAATGGTTTCAGGCCTTGCTGGCCATCTGTCGTGAACGAACGCGCAGCAATTTCCTTGTTGGGGCGGCACCTGTTGTGATTGGGCTCCCGATGGTTTATTAGCAAAAAGCCATATGATTGAGGCATCTTGGATCTCTATTTCGTGGTTGGCATTCGTTGTTTTTGCCTGGTTTGCCATTTGTAATAGCCGCTCCGCTTTGCTGATGAGATATTACTTTGTTGACAAAGTTCATTTTGTCTTTACCGAGAATTTTTTTTCATCGTTTGACTTGTTATTAATTCCACCTTGAATTGTTGACTGTTGCGGCGATTTTTGCCTACGTAAATGGTGGAAAGTTGTAAAATTTATTCGTCAACAAATGAAACTTGTTTGCAGTGGCGATATCCCGTAAGCGAGGCTTGCAGTTTTGTTCTACCAAGTAATAGAAGTCGTACTCCGAATGTTCGCACCCAGAAACATTAACGTCCAGGTCATTAACGAAAACGGCACTGTGAGGTGTGTGAAACATGCAAAACGATGTCAGACATTAATGTGTTAATTATTACACAGACGTTAATGCTGTCTACGATGTAGCGCGGTCGGGCATAACTGGATACTACGAGCGCCGAGTACAGTATCAATGCAGCGTATCAAATTTTTGGATCATGCACTCCATACAAATAAATACTATGACGTTACTAGATGCAAACAAATTAATAGCTTCTGTGGTCTGCAGGACACTTCCGTGTTGCACTTCCAAAGGTGTCTTGATGCAGAGCCTGGGAGCGGTCAGCGCCACTAATCCTCCCGAAGGGCAAGTAATACCGGGAAGTGTCGCTTCCGGTAGGGCTAATGGTGACACGGAGTCATGGTATGGTCTAACGTTTTTCTAAAATCTGATGCATCTGCGAAAAGGCGGCGAGTACACGATAACATTGTCCCGCTCTCTACAGAAGGTAATGATTTCAAGGATATTCACGAAATATTGAACTGATGATATAATTAGAATTGCTTTATTATCGATATTTCACTACCTCTTAAATCTTAGTATTTAACTGACGATTTCACAGAATGCTACAACGATAAATTTTGCTGATCGGTGGATAAGACCTTCGACACAGTCACACAATTAAGTGCCTGCGTTTAAGCAACGGACCAAACATTTTTCTGATCATAGACATGAGTACAGAATTTAACTGCAAGGTTCAATAATTATACCTAAAACGTCCACTGATGAAAATTTTTAATTATGCAGACATCATGACAAATACGCACAGCAGCTAATTATATTGACAATTTGTATTATCATTCGTCTTCATATATAGGGATGTCTTTTGTAAACATCCAGAGCAGCATGTGAGTCTAAAAGCGCCTACTTGGCATACTTCCGGTTAATGTCATTAATGTAGCGCGCGTGCAGGACCTGGTGCAACTTGTGACGTGCAAAGACCAACTGAAGATCGACGCATCACAAAATACTATACGTTTTTGCCAACCGTAACACGTGCCTGTGTTACACAGACGAAAACGGGAAGAAGGAAATTACAGCGATATTAGCGGTATGATCAGACTTATAAGACATCGCTCCCACTGCGCTCCCTAATGAAGAAGTTGTTTTTCCGGAAATGTGCTACATCTATGCATATAGTCTATATACGACTCTTTGAAACGAACGTCTTGGGTGTGCGAAGGATTTCAAATGTACATAATCTGTATAGGAGAAAATCCGCGCCGCGATGTGTTAATTTAATTTGCTTATCCATTTCCGTTATACTAAAAGGCCATCGTGTGCGCATTATTGTAATCAGCGCGAAATGTTTGAAAGAAAAGTGCTTTAATGCCAAATGGGTATCTTATGTATTATTAAGGAAAATGTGCTTACTGTGCTTGCCCCGCAGCTTGCAACATCCGAACGAGTATATGTATGAAGTATGCGTTTTTCCATCTGTATCCTCTCCGTGCTATTATGGGCATCACGCAAGCGCGGTATACTTACAGAAAATCTTACAATTTAATTTTTAAGCTCGCATTAAATTTAAATAAAAAACTGGTATAATGGCATTTCTGTGGATTATTATTTTCTGTACTTTGCCCAGTTTCGCCGCATTGCAAAGTCCCAACGTGACTGTAATCAATGCCGCCATTATCCTGCCGCAGACCAACTCCAGTTTTTTACCCTTTGATTACGACAAACTAACGCCGGCGTTCAATCTAGCCTTTGCCAAAGCGGAGCAGATGTACAATGTGCGCTTTAAGCGGTATTTAGGATTGTATCCGTATTCCTGTCAGGATAGTCAGGCGCTGGGTCAAGCGGTCACGGCACTGCAGCAAAATCCCATTCAGGTGTTTTTCGGACCGGCATGTTACGATGATCTAGCGGCTGTTAGTAAGCTGGGATCGTTCTATAATATTACCGTGGTGTCAGGCGGCGGCAGCTATGCGGAATCCTTATCGACGTATCCGTATACGACGCGTATAGCGTATAATATGATTGACCAGTGGTCACTGTTTCTTATGATGTGCGCGCAGTACAACTGGCAAAATATTGCGGTAGTATACGATGCTGATCGGGATAGTAGTACAAGTGGAGGAATCTACCAGAAAAATGGAGACGGTACGTCGTAATTATTTCCAAAAATATTATCGGCGAAAGACTTGCAGTTGCAATTTTTTAGCGGGTACAGATGCCAGTTATTGATAATTATTGCAACGGTAACTGGTAGCGTTTATATGACCTGTCCAGTTATGTACGGCTACAACGATTTATAAATTGCACCCTTAACAGAAATCAGGCGCAGGGTATACTGCATTTATGCAATTAACAAATTTGTAGTTTGGATGCACATTTCTAGGGCTGATGCGTTTGCTCAAGAGCAAAAATCTCAAGCCTACGGAAATTGTTAACTCATTCCAGAGAAGTGCAAATGCTCCTGTCGATCCGTCTAAATTAGATAAAATGCTGAGTGAAGGCAGTAAAAGTGCCAGAGGTACGATACGGAAAATATACAAGCGCTTTATACTTACGCAAAAACTTTTTTTCGCATGGTACTCTTGGTTTTCCGAAAACATCTTGCTTTCATGTAATAAATAAATAATATTCTTTTGAAATCAAATCGCTTGCGCAATAAATATTCTTTGGAAATGTTACAAAAAAGCGATTAATTACACAAAGGTGCATAGAATTATCAGTCTCTGAAGGAAATGCATGCCTACTTAAAATTTACAAAGCACCAATAGAAATCTGATTAGCACAGTTTTGAATTCCGTTGCTCCGCAGTCATGGTTTTCCTGACCGACTACCTCAAGCTCCGCTCCTACATGATTCAAGCCAAACGACGGGGGATGTGCAATGGGGATTATGCTTTCTTTGCCGCCGATGTTCTGAGGAACAGCATCCTAAATACCAACAGATCGTGGATTATGAATGATACCTATGATACTGAAGCCGAAGCGGCGTTTCAGTGTCTGTTTGTCGTCGCTCTACGGGATACGAGAAAGGATGTCTCGTATCAGATATTCCGCCAAGAGTTATCCAAATACAACAACGCGAAACAATACGGATCCACCGATATCAGCGTGGATTATATCCTTTTTTTCACAAATGCAGTATATACGTCATTCACAGGGAAATAAAATCAATTAAGTTTTCGAAATTTTGCAAATAATGGTTACAATAAGTTTTTAGAAATATATAGGAAATATTCTAATACGTTTCTTAACGTAATATTGTAGCCGATAGTGAACTTATATGTGGTTGGAAAAACATTAAGTATTTTTAGCGTTTACGTTTCATTTTTCATTGAAGAGATATCGAAAACAGACCACTAACCAGTAAGAGCTCTTGATATGTGCATTTGATAATATTATAGATATATTTATGTATTTGATATGCACAAGACATAATTAACCAAACGCAAGGTTTCCTTCATTCGTTCGTATCGGTGCACATTATCAAGGAACGTTCTATGATTCTGTAATGATGTATGCAGTGGCTGCCAACGAGACGTTAGAGGATGGAAATGACATCACTGCCGCCAACATCAAACTCAAACTGATCAACAAAACATTTAGCGGTAAGTGGCAAACAACAACAATTATTATCATGTAGCACTCTAAAAAGCGATTTTATAATTACAAATTATAACGATGCGCTCCTGTAACCGCATTTTAACAGCTGCATGAAAATTCAAAAATTTTGTGCTCGGTTAGGATCACACGGAGTTGTGCGCCTAGGTCCTTCGACCGATCGAGTAGCAGATTACCAAATCTTGCAACTTCGCAGCAACGAAACCGAATTCAAGGTGGGAAGTTGTGATACATAGTTCACATTTGACAATATTAATGGAGAAGTGGAAATTTTATCATGTTGTACAGCAATACTGTACTGAAGCGATGAATTGTCCATTCATTTTTTTCATACATAGAAATTAAATATTGAGTAGGTAATAAATGTAATTCATGTATGTCATACAGTGAGCAACGCATTTGAACCTGCCGGTGTTGGTTCAAAAAAAAGCTAACCGCAGTTTGAACATATTATTTTATGTTATTGGATCTTTTAGCCATTTGCGGAAGTGCGAGCCGAATACGGGCAATATACGGAAATACGGCCAGTACTATGGTTAAATCGTGCTAATCAACCTCCACAAAATAAGCCTCCTTGTGGCTTTGATGGATATGATCCCGAATGCGTGGCAGCCGGTGCGTAGGTGTAAATGGAACAGTTACTTAATTATTACAATTAGATACAATGTATTAAGGGTGGAGTATACAGGAAAGGAAGTGTGTACCGCAATCCGCATCTAACTATATAAGCCGTATATAAAAATGTCTGCATGTGTGTGGAGTACGATGTACGATTACTACGAGTTTCGTAATTAAGTACTAAATTACCATCATCGTACATAAACGCAGGTGAAAAATGGTAGCCACTGGCAATCCATTTAACAATCTTATTATTACCTAAATGAATTTTCAATTACGTTTGTCCGTAAAAATTGTTAATTTTGCCATAACATGAATATATGATGGTGCGTCTTTAGCTAATTTATACGAAAGTACTTTTCATATGCGCAGAAATTTACGAAACTAATACGATAGATGATAATTGCTGTACACCCAAATCAGTTTCTTGATATAGCCCGAACAACATTGGCGGCTGGCCTGGGTGGAGCCCTGGGGTTTCTCCTGGTATTCGGTGTAATTTCCGCTTTGGTCTACCGGAAAATCAAACTCAAGATGGAGCTAAATGATATGAACTGGGTGGTACTGCATAGCGAAATAACCTTGCAGAAGACAAGAAAGACCAAGAGTATCATGTCGACCGCTACGGAAAGCGTTGTGTCGCTAACGACCAGCGGAAAATCAGCGAAATCCATTTTCCATCCCATGCTGAATTTTGCTAAGTCCACGCCGACGGGACTGAACAACGGCGCTAACACGATGATTACCGAATCTATTATGCAGACCAGCGTGGCAATGGTGACCTTTCGCAATACACCGGCTATACTGCGACCGTGTGAACATGCCAGAATCGAATTAACCGAGAGGATCCGTAGTGAAGTGCGCATTGTCAAATCCATGAGCAATGAAAACGTGGCGAAATTCTTAGGAGCGTGTATTGAACCGACACATACGGCGGTATTAATGGAATACTGCTCCCGTGGTAATTTGCATGTAAGCCAACGACTTATGCATGCTAACGTAACACCAAAAAATCACCTACCGACAATCATTAGATTGATTAGAACATACCATATTTAGAAAACCTCATTATATTAACTTTTTTTAAATTTTGTAGCAAATACCTGTCTTCATAAATATACTTATTAAACTTTGTTAGCTGCTTTTACTCGCCTAAAATGTTCACAACAAACTAGCGCAATTACAAAAATGATGTTGCTTATGTATATATACATACGTGCAAGAAGAAGTAAGTAAAGTGAATGTTACATCAAAAAAGTATTTTGCAGACATGCACACTAGAGGTTTTGCTATGCAGGATGTTCTTCATAATGATACACTTAATCTGGAATGGATATTCCGAATCTCCTTCCTAACTGACATCGTCCAAGGTCTAACATACATCCACAATACCGTATTAGAACATCATGGACGTTTAACTTCTCGGTGCTGTTTCATTGATAAACGATTCCTCCTGAAGATCTCCGATTACGGTTTGCCGTCATTCTACAATGCCGGTCGCCAGTTGGGGTCCGCTGACCTTTTATGGACAGCTCCGGAACTGCTGCGAGCCAAGGACCACGTGACACCGACCCAAGAAGCCGACATTTTCAGTATCGGTATAATACTGCAGGAGATCATTCTGCGAGAAAGTCCGTACTTCCAGACCAACATGATTCCCGACGGTTGGTATCAGGGAACATACATAGTATACCGATCAACACGTTGCACGTGCATATGTATAAATTGATTAGTCAAGTCATCGGTCACTATGAACGCCAACTAATCCGGCACTCTATAACCTACCTTTTGGTTCATTTATAGACATTGTCTGGCATTTAATTGCCCGTGAAAATCCCCCGTTTCGCCCGCTTGTTGACGATCCGTTTTGTAATCCGGAACTGATTACCATCATGCAGACATGCTGGGCGGAAAATCCGCTGGATCGACCACGACTCGGTCAATTACGGGCATCCATAAAAACGTTGGCCAGGTGGGATGTTAGAAAACAGCAAGAAAGCGCAATTATTCGGTTTCTACTTTAATCACGATCACTGAAACTATCACGATCACCCTGGTCTTTATTGTAACTAACCATAAATGCTTCCGTACACGCCGGTATGTGTAAACGTACCATGTAATACGGCAGTGTGCACAGTAGCTGTATCGTATTGTTGATCAGTGGATTTATGAAGTTAAGTAAAGTTATCAAAAATTATGCATGTAAATGAATACTTATTTTGAATAAATTAGCAAGAAAGATTGAGCTCTCAGTTTGTACCATTAGGCCTTTTTATATGTAGACAAGCCAGAAAAAGTTTAATTTGCTGTGCGAGTCACATTTAATGCTGACTCTGAACCAGGTCCCGTAAAAGCGTCTTTCTATTTGATTTTATTAGTTTTGATTAAAATAATTTATGAAATTTGGTATTTCACCGATGCTTTTTTGCTTTTCATTGCTTGCAAACTTTTGGAGCAGGACGGACTATCTAGTGTAAAGCAGTCTGCACAATGCGAATTGCTGAAAGTGATCGATAAAACGCCACTTATTATGATGGAAAAGCGTTGCTTTACTTTTTTATTTTAAGAACTAAAGTTGGAAATAAATGGTGTTAATGTCAAATTAAAAAAAGTCTTTTGATGTGAACGTATTCCCATTTCCTGTTAACCCAAACAAAATTGTTTAATTTTTTAAGCGATATCGATGGTAACGTTGCATGAGACGCACAAAGTGACGTTTGTAATTTTATTAATTTCAAAATTATTGCTAGGCTGTTTGGTATTGAGCGGAATAGCATAATCGATACACTACTGGAAAGAATGGAGCAACACACGCAAAATTTGGAGAATTTAGTTGCGGAAAAGACCACAGAGCTCTTGGACGAAAAAAAGAAAACCGATCATCTGTTGTACTCGATTCTTCCAAAGTAAGCACTCATCCCATCAGCCCTGACAACTTTGCTGTCGCACATATATCTGAGTTCTGAGCCATAGATAGAGTAGCAAGCAAAAAACTTATTGTTTGCAAATTCTAATCCTATAATTAGTGCTCATATATTCACTATAATGATTCAATGATTCACCCTAATTAATGCTCTCACCGGTTTTTCCTTAATGGATACTGCTTTGCCATATGTAAACAGCGGTATCTTTGTGCATCGTCGGAAAGGTTTTCGATTCAATTTACTGTTTAATTTCCTTAATCACGTTTACTTTCTCAGCATTTCACAGTAAAAGTATTTAATTACTAGAGCCTTCTTAATATACTGTATTGTGAGAACTGCTAGCATTTTCTCCGTGGTTAACGCTTTGAAAATGTAGCGGGAATGCTGTTAATGCGGTAAACTTACTTATATATATAGATATTGATAAACGCCACTATGAGATTCCAGTTGTACTGGCTACATAATTATGGAATATTACTTGGTCTCCAACTCTGCACATATATTATAAGAGATTATTTGTTAAAACTGAAAAAGGTTAAAATTAGGGTGTCTATTTACTCATCTCGTAATGTTGATGCGTAAAACTGCTTCGTTTGGATAGAGCTGTCGCCGAGCAATTAAAACGCGGACAACATGTTCTGCCGGAAAGCTTCGAGAGTGTTACTCTTTATTTCGGAGATATTGTCGAATTCACCACAATTGCCAGCTGCAGCGGCCCCCTGGATATGGTCAACTTCATGAATGACCTTTACAGTCAGTTTGACGAAATTATCGCGGCGTACGATGCCTATAAAGTGGAAACTATCGGCGATTGTTATCTGATTGCCTCTGGATTGCCGAACCGCAACGGTCTCAACCATGCAGTGGAAGTTGCACGAATTGCTTTTCAGTTACGAGAAGCCATTACGACCTTTACCATACGGCATTTACCGGAAAGACGAGTACAACTACGAATAGGGCTAAATTCCGGTATGGTGACCTTTACATGCATGCATACCGACAACTCCGGATGTTTTATGCCAGAATAATTATTTTTATAGGACCATGTGTTGCCGGTGTCGTGGGGTTTGCCACGCCTCGATACTGTCTGTGAGTAAGAAAATTAATTAAAACTGGAAAGTTGATATGACGTATACGGAGCAGCCACATTTTCACTCAACAAAAGAATCCATCAACGCTAACGTTAATTAAAACTCACCATAACGTACGCGAAATCGCATCGCATTCAGGCTAACAAATATAATATTTAAGTACAGTTTTTCAATGTTTAAATTTCGCTCAGAAAGGCATGCCAAGCTTTTAGTAATTTTACATTTGTACTTGAGGAAAAGCGTTGCTGTTGGCAGGTTCGGTGATACGGTTAATGTTGCTTCGAGGATGGAATCGACAGGAGAGCGTAAGTGAAGTGCTTACCAGTGACAAAATTCCAAATGTCCCAATGACTACAGAGACTCCTGATGCGTTGTTCACAGTATTTTAATTAGTTTCGCTTTATTTTAGCAATGAAGATTCAAATAACTCAAGCAACAGAAGGAATTTTAAAGAAGTTTCAGTCCTTTATTGTGGAATGTCGGGGAGATATTTCCGTAAAAGGAAAGGGAGTTATGCGCACTTTCTGGTTAATTGGTGAGAATAAGGCACTATTCCATGCAGTAATGTGACGTTTGAGTAATGCAGAATTTATTAAGACACCTAACGGGCGGCCACCTCGCGGGAGGCGGCCAACTGGCAGGCGGGATCTCTGCAAATATTCAATTCTAAATACTACCGCCTACGAGCAAGCTGTAAATGTCGGTTGGGCGCAGTTGGGCGCATATTTATAACATACACCTGACTCTAAATCCCACCTCCTACGAGCTGGCAGTAAGTGTTAGTTGGGCGCAGTTGGGCGCATACTTATAACACACACTTGACTCTTATTGCTACCTCCTACGAGTTGGCAGTAAGTGTTGGTTGGGCGCAGTTGGGCGCATACTTATAACACACACCTGATTTTTAATACTATTTCCTACGAGCTGATAATAAGTGTTGGTTGTGTGCAGTGGAACGAATATTTTAAAATTTAAACATCTTAATTTTAACTTAGTATTACCAAACATCAGCTGACTTTCGGTTTGTGTAATCGGTATAATTCCCGACCACGATAGCATAATACAACTGTTCTTTTCGGTAAGGTCGTTTTGTTATAATGCATACTTTGTACTCGTATCATGATAAATAATAAAGATTATTAACTACTAGTAAGTTGTTATTTGGTCTCAATACATTGCAAATTTATAAAATATTATGATCTAATCAAACTCGAAAACAAGGAAATTATCTTATTTATTTTGTCCTTTTATTTATTGATAATTTTAACAGTTATTTACTACAAAACTAATACAACATAACAAAATAATACTATATTACAATATAACAAAAATACTAAAATACAATTTTTTACAAGTGTTAAACAAGTTAAACAAGTAATTCAACATAACAAGCATACAGATAGATAAAATTTCTGATCTTAACCCTTTGCAACCTAATGAAAAAGCAACATTTTTAGGACGACGCCTCATTCGAATACAAAATTTTTCTGTTTTAAAAATTACTGATTTACGAAATTTGTTATATAAAAAAGGCGGCTCAATATAACCATTTTTATATTTAGGATTTATTTTTAAAATTTTATCGTAAACGTTTGATAAAGTGTTTTCTTCACTCTCATTCGGACATACATCTTCATAGTCTATATTTTCACCTATCTCTCTTTTACCACTATGCTTAACAAACCATCGCATGAAAGTAAATAAATTCAAATTTTTAAAAAAATCCACAACAGAACTTTCATAATCATTTTCACAAACCATAAATATTTCATTTCTAATTTTATAAATATCTATTAGATCAAGACATAAAATACTTTTACTGATCTTAGTGCTTTCATCAACAGGTTTAACAATATGTGATCGATCTTCATATTTCCGCAAATCTGTATATACAGAAGATGTGCTACAATAATATAAAGGGACACCTAGTAATATCATACTAGCTTCTAATTTTCCAACTTGACGCTGAGATAAAACTGCATTACCCATTGACATTAAATATGAGTATACTGATTTATCTTCCTTCAAATTAGATAATAATTTCTTTAAAACATTTTTATCTTGTTGTTCAGGTTTTCCCACATAATGAAATAAATATTCCATAGCTGCATATCCATCACATACCACTTGAATATCAATGTTACATTTAAATAATTCTAACCATTTTCGATTATAAGGAACAATTCGTCGACTAAATGGTGTGATGCGCTTAACTGTATATTCCCTATCACCTTTAACACAATGTTTCAATTCTCGTGTTGTTAAAAAGCGTGTTTTTCGACTTATTCGATGCGGATATCCAAATCGACTTAACAACCGTTCCAAATTCATTTTATTCTCATTACTTTCTGTTGTTATTTCTTCATCACTATCTGGAAGAATTTCATCTACTTTCATCCAATCAGTATTATGTTCTCTGTTATCATGTAAATGCTCTTTTATCTTTTCAGTAAATTTTCTAGCACCTTTCCGACACGTAAAGGTATGAATGTGCGTTTGATATTTTTTAACTAAATTATAACCTTCCAAATCTTCCTCTTCAGAAGGAAGTTCCGTTGTTAGTAACTCATCAATAAAATCTATTATTCGAGTTTTTCCATCAGCCGTATCTGTAGTGAAGTGCTCATTCAACCATACCAAGCAATGCAAATGAGGATACCCGGCACGTTGAAACTCAACTTTTGTAAAAACATCTACAGCAAATAAACCATATGGAAACATCTTTGACTTTTTATTTTTCAATAATTCAATAAAAGATTCAGCTCGACGTTGAAACATTTTTGCTGCGACCCCACAATGACTTTCAATAGCTTTAATAATATCTGCATCCGTAGCATTATTTATTTCATATATATTCATATTATCAATTGTACCATATTTTCCTGGATCTGCAAACATTAAAAATTCAGGACAATATCGTAAATTTATACTTATGAATAAATCAGGAGATCCACAACACATAATCATATTTCGTAAATTACGTTTTCCTTGTGAGTAGTATAATTCACTACCCCTTATACTACTTCCAACTTTAGGATACAAGAATTTCGCCACTACTTTATTATTAATTGATTTTCCTATGCAATTAGCATTATTATTTAGCACATAGCTTATTCGCCGTTGTAGCAGATCTTTCTGATACAGTACCAAAGATCGAAATACATATGACGAATCGTTTTGAAATCCATTATCAATATTAAATAAACGTAAACGAAAATATTTTTCTGCTGAAATTGATAACGGTCTCGTATCACTAAATCCTCCTCTACCATATGGAAACAAATGTGGATAACTTTTTTCTTCGGAACCAGCCTCACCTTTCCAATCAAACGTAACTTTACTATTATACGGTAATATACGGTGATATCCATCTGTGTATTTAGAAGGTATCACAGAATCTAAATCAATTAGAACAGCACTATCTAAAATATCAATTTTAACTTTTCCCGTTTCTCTATCACTTCCACATACTTCTCTAATGTAATCTTCTTTATCCTTCACTGTACAGCCATAATACAATGGATTATTATTGATCAAAAAGCTTATACTGTCATAAACAGTATCGAAATCTACAGCATAACACCTTGTACTTCGAATTTCAGCATTTTTAATTTTGGGTTGAGAAACTGCCAATAAAGCATCATCAATGGGACGTGGTAACAAAGATTTAAAACTGTCATCTACATCATCATACACATGAACAAACTGTCCTTTACACTGTAACGTTCTTTCAGGAAAATGCAAAATAGTACCAAAAGGCTGTATTAATCTAATTACCTGCAACTCCATAAACCCTAATCTACGTAACTTCTCCTCTTTACCACAAAATAAATTATTCTCATACATATCAAAAGCACAAAAGAACCTTCTTTTTTTTTAAAATTAAAACAATCAATACATAAAATAGCATCTCCACTTAATTTATCATGATGTAATAAGATATTTTTTTTTAATGTTTCCATCCCATACCAATATTCCACAACATTCACATGGATAATAATTAACCATAATTTTATTAAGATATGAACTGCCAAATATTTCTTCTTTTATCTGTTTCTTACGTTTCTTAGGTTTCTTACTCTTTTCACACTTTCGCTTAACACCTTTTTTTTCCATCTTTGTACAACTTACCCAAATTCTTGTCCCCCACTCTCCTTTCAATACCTTAAAAAACCAGCAAATAAAAATTTTTGCACAATCAAATTAAATTAAAACACTTACCAATAATAATCATACACCTGAAATGGCATGTATACAAAAACAACTCCAACATACAACCAAACAACCGGAACAAAAATCGGAATGAAAATCATGTTCTCCAATTTTTCCGATTTAATCTACAAAAAACAACATTTGCACACGTCTAAACGGAACATTGCAACCACCTATCTCTCATAAGTCCAACTTCACTTGCCAATCTCAAAACGAATCAAAGTACCCTAAAATACTGAATGATACGGAACGTTACACCCACCTGTTTCTTCAAAATATTTACCAGATTTAGTAAAATAAAAATCGCCAAATACAACAGACTTCACATCATACAAATCGTTACACCCACCTGTTTCTTCAAAATATCTTATTCCCACACACATAATCATTCATCCATAACTACATTTACTCCAAAACATACCCAGATTCAAACCATAAAACCAATCAACTTTACAGTACATTATACGCATCATATACTATACAATAAACCATACGGAACACTACATCCACCTGTTTCTTCAATTTGATTTTATCAACTACCATGTCTACACAACATAACTCTAAAATCCCAAATAAATTTTCTATAATGCCACTTATTCTTTCTGTATTTTACCAGAATATACTTTTCCATTTTTTCCGTAATATAATTTCTATTTTCCTTCATATGATCCATATTTTCCTTTTCTTTCATCATTTATTAACATAAATATTAAGTAAACTGTTAAGTAAACTGCAGTTATGTAAACTGTCCCAGATAACAGTCTCAAAAACGACCTATACGTCGTGCAACAACCTACTCTAGCGATACCGGTGTTTAGTGAAAATAAGTAAGCGCTCGCTACTATTTTAAAAATTCTATAGTAATGCACCATTAATGTGCTGCACATTTGAATTCTCACAGAAAAAATGATTGGGTGTAGTTCGAAAAAGTATATCGATAAGTGTCAGTGAATATAACGATGAATACCGCGCAACACCATAGTAAGTACTACAGTAAATAGTATAGCTGTTTTCTGGGCACTTCATCAGTTGGTAGTCGATTGAAAGTTGATCTTGATCGAAGTGAATAAAAGATCAAATAACGTTCGCCACAAAGCAAAAAGATAAGAAAGCAAATAAAATTAAGTAATAAATTTAGTAAACGCAGTAATGAAATAATATATTTTCCTACTATGTTTCAAGAGTTGTCACAACTGGCACTTGACTAATAAAAAACATAAAAATCGCAAAAATAACAAAACACCCACCCGAAACACTCAAACCCCAAAAAAGCATTAAAATTTTAACATGAAATTCCAAAAAAATCTACACAAGCAAAAAATCTTTCCTTCTCATATTCTTTCCGACTAACGACTAATGTATCTCTTCATTACGAGAGGTAGTTACCAAAGGTCATTACAACAAAACTCCTACCTCGTTATATTAGTAAGTTACATTATTGATAATGTTAAGTACTAAAAGTTCTACTAGTAACACGTTAAAATTTTTTTATCTTTCACACAAACGAAAAGCAGCTGCACTACATGATATTATCTACACACCAAACATCCGAATATACAGATATACTGTATAACATCCTTAAAACTGCGTAGATATCCTTAAAACTCCTTTTAAACCACACTATCATAAAGCCAAAGCCAACCAATACTCTAATTATTCCTTAATATCTTTTAATCTATTCAACTTAAAAAACCAAATGCAACAAAAAATTATCAGTAATGAAAAAAATTCACTATAAACAAATATTCCTTACTTGTCACAAATCTGCCAAAATCCATTCAAACACCTCTTCCCAGGCACTCCAAATCACTCTCCACCTTACTACAACAACCTTTGCTATCAAACTATCAAATAAGATCTTACAACACAATCCACACAACAAACTTCTCAAAATTTCCCTTAACCAACTAAATTTCCACCGCACTCCGATTTCCTTTTATATACCCACAGCACACTATACTTCACAAAACCACCAATCACCAGCAAATACCTACCTCCCCATCCGATAACTTCCAATCAAAAATCATTTCGTCAGAGAACTTTAAAAGCGGCCTCATTTATATCGAAACACCCAACCCGAAAATCGTCCTTGACAGGACACATATGGCTAAACTACTGCTTCTACAAAAAAGACTACCCTTACAAATTCTACACAACAGAGCCATATGGTCTCGGGTGCTAAACACCCTCTGTCGCGATGGCAACCCCCCATCGCCTGCCGGAAGATCTTACATCTGAACGATCTTATTAATTGCGCATCGTATTTTTGCTCGACACACATGATTTGGAGCGCTTGATTACCGAGGGTAAAAATGTATCCTGATTGTTAAATCGTTTTTTTTTGTTCTCACAATGTCAGAGCAGCGCGTGGCAAATGCTCATTAGCACAATTCTTCCGGTTCTTTGATGAGCGAACGGCATGATACGGTCTAAATGCTTTAGTAGTGTAATTTGCATATGAGCACTTGTGTTAGTTGTTGCTGGTAAAAACTTAACAAATTCATTTCGTCATTTTACGGTATGCGCAAAAAACATCACATACCGTACTTATTTTAACATATTCGCAGCAATTTGTTTGTACGGTGCTGCATTTGCGCACACACAATAATGTAACCAAAAACAATTTACATTTTACACCTATGGGCAGTACAGATACTTCTGGTTTCTGAACCCTGAACACCTCCAAACCGGAAACAAAAAACCCCGTACGGAGAGTGTTCAGGCTCAAGAGGTTCCACTGTACTTTTAATTTACTGGTAACGACTCTTATACATAAAAGCAGATGTTTTTAAGTATTAAATATTTTATTAAACTGCGTTGAGACAGTTTTGCCCTCTTAATAAAAGGTCGTGTGCGGAATTAACTGTACACTAGCCAGCCGCTGTTGTAGTCCTCAAACAACAGCAACATAAAAACAGTAGCTGTGAAATTACTTATTTCTCCGGAAGGGCAGTAAACAAATGCGGTGAATTTAGCAAGATACTCAACGAGCCGATTGCATTGCCTAAGAAAAATATCCACAACAGCAGCCGATCGATGACCAGGGCTATGAACTTCCAATCATTTGAGACCTAAAACAGAAAATCCAACTTCAATAATAAAACGGATAAGCCGCAAAATTTTTATCCCTTGTTAATAAGTCAAGTTCCATAATGTTATATAATTAAGGTTACCCCAATTTTAGAGGACGGATGATCTGTAATACGATAATATACAGTATAACAGTATCCATGTATTGGCGATGTTAAAACTTTTATGCAAGATGATTCATAGTAAATAGTAATCATTGATTTTCGTATTTTTGATTTTTTAATTAATATTTACATCTTCTTCTTCGTCTTGTTCCTCCATGCAATGCGCAATGTATGCCACACCATTCAAGGCACTATCGTAACCGGGAAACTGCCGGAGATACTGTGTGATGTGGTCAATTTCATCCAGAATTCGATGTTTTCGACGCTCCTCTTCATAAACAGATGGTAAATAAAATTGATTAAGATGGCCATTTGGTACCGCTGCCGGTTTGAGACCCGTTTGTTTTCGTTCGGATCGTGACCTTTGCACCAAATTATTGCTACATGTCGGTTTCTTCTGTAGTTTGACCACATCCGCTCGCTTCTCTAATCGAGTAGGCACCGACAGTTTTAAATATTTTGGTAATTTAACGAGGAACAGCGCTTTGATCCAGCGTGGCATAATGTACGTCTGATTAGTACGGAAATTCCACCGCACCGAAATCGTCGTCAGGAACGCCGATAATAAATTACAGACAAAGGTGAACAGGAGAAATTTCGTCATCAGCGGCAGTGAATCCGATGGTGGCAGAATATCAATTAGAATCAACAGAAAGATGACGATGGAGAAGAGAATAGATATGGATAAACATAATTTCTCACCGGAAGCTGTGGGCAAATAGAAAACGAACACCGTCAGAAAGGCAATACACACGCAGGGCAAGAGAAACGTAGTGACGTAAAATTTGGATTTGCGGGCGACAGTCATGTCCAGCTGTACGGAAACGATAGGCACGCGACCATAACTGCGCTGTTCAGCCCGGTATGTGCGAAATAAAGGGACTTTTGCTACTTCCCAGGTGCCACTCGGTTGCACGTTGTAATCTTTCAAATCCATTTTATCTTTGGAATCCAGATCGACTTCCAGGGAATTGTACGTCACAGAGCGGAAAACCATATTACAAAGTTGATGCTAAAAGCAATAATACGAGTATATATGTGCTTACTGGAAGTTGAAACTGGATAAAGCAGTCACGTCTGTATAAGTTATATCTGCACTACGATATTTATGCTTGCCGTTGAATATTTAAAATACTGATATTATTACAACGTTTTTATTGTTAGTAAAGTAGAAGAACAACTACAGACGTAATTACTAAAGAAGGAATCGCTGGAAGTGGCCGCTAGAATAAAACAAACCCTGATCAGGATTCAGGAAAAGTTCTTCGGGCCAGTTACAAATTATTAATGAATTTTAAATTAATACCACTGTCTAAATTCTCGTATGCATAAAACATTGCAAAGAAATCACTAGATAGTAGAATGTAGAAAGATGTTGTAGAAGGCGCGTATGCCTTAATTATCTACTTATTAAATAATTAAATTAAACTATCATAGCTATTCAAGATGGTCACTATTGTCGAGACAACTTACATCAAAAGGAAAGTAAAATGGGTTCGTATCACAACCGCTTTTGTAAATAAATGGAGGCACCCAAAGGACTGTTCCATCGGAGTAAATGACGGCGTTAGATTTATAGTTCGGCCAGAATTGTCCATCCACACTGCCGGATCGAGCAATAAAATTGTATTGCGTATCCATGAATTTCATGCAAAATTCATAAAATATTCAGAACAGTCCCTCAAGAAATTATGCTTACGTATTGGTTAATGCGATGTCTGGTTGCCAGATTTTATCAACAGGTAAGCGCAACACATCGACGCCGCCGTATTTTGTCGGTTCCCATGCTAATCTGGGATCACTCCAGTTCTACAAGGTCATAAACATCCCCGGTGACATTTTTGTTATTTGTTGCTATCACCATACACTGTTCTTGATCGAATGAACTAAACGCGAGTAAATAATTTAAAAACAAGCTAGAGCGAAAAGTTTTTGCAGCCACAGTCTGGCGAATATGGTTAGAAATGTCAACACGTCAACAAAACAGGCAATTAACGTGATAGTCGGAAAGTGATGCGACGTTAAGTACAGTATGTAGATCACCACGTTTGACTTGCTGGCTTCTTAAAATATCTCACCAGATCCAAATATCCGTTTGTTTTCATAACCTGATCTTGATCGCTCTGTAACAAAAGTGGTGTTAATGGATATGTCATTTAGGATCAAACTTAAAATAATTTCGGTACATGCAATATGTCAGTCCGTAACATGAAACATAAACAAGCGACGCAGTGTTTCGTAGAATGCAGTCATATATACAGAGTATGTACAGTATTTGTAGCACACAAAGACTTTACGACACATATGCATGAAGTCAGACTACACAATTTGTAGTCAATCATACTCCCGGTAGAAGTATTCATACTCCAGCAAATATTTCACATGTTATAATTATGTGATCCTAACAGAATTTTCAAAAACTTACCACAAACACAAGAATATTTAATGTCACGGCAAAATGAATAATAACCGGATCGTTCTCATTGGTAATCGGACGACTTAAGGCATCATAATTTCTATTAAGAAACAATTCTTTTATCAAGTTATCTTGTGATTCCGATCCGCCAGCAGCAGAAATCCGATAACATATTCCTAAAAACAACAATACATCGACAGGCTTACCAAATCGGTTTACACAAGCGGTGATATTTATTTAAAGCCCGCTAAAATTAAGTCGATGATTTTCTTATTTTTTTGTAATGGCAACAATATTGCCGCAACAATCAGTCATAATCTAATTTATCGCTTGCATTGTGCGTTAGTAAGTATAAGCAAGGGTATGAGTGAAATCAAACCAGCCAGTTGACTTACCAATCGTTAAGAGCGCGAAAAACGAAACCATCCTGTATTTTTTCCTAACTAGAATTCAGGCGACGCCGATTTCCGTTTAGAAAAACCGTGCACATGTCAAACTCTGCTTTTACACTTCTTATCCTAATGTTGTAGCTTGTCCAAACCTTCTGACAGTGCATGATGAAACGGTAATTTTTTGGATGCAGAATGGCGTTTACTGAGTTACAGTTACAGCGAGTCATACTGTGGATTGCATGAGAATGAGAAATATGATATTTTTAGAATGACCGCCGGTTGCTTCGTGTACACTTTTCACTGCATTTCTGGCTGTTTACATACATCTGCAGTCAAAAAGAGTAGACCGCTCTGGAGTAAGCATTTAATTAATATTTTCGGCTCAAACTTGCACCCGCCATCAACACCAATGCGGTGTAATTGGCACTTTTATACCTCCCGGAAAAGCGCCAACTAACTCATATCTTTCAGGCAAAATGACACTTTAAAATAACTGCAGCGCTAACAGCGACAGGCGCGGTTGTCAACAGCAGATGTCCGCACCGTATTCCACTGTACAACTCTGCGCTTTTCTCTATCCTTTTAGTCATAATTTTATTTACACATTTCCTATTGTATTACTTTTATTCATCTGTACTGGTACTCACTGCTTCATAGCTTTAAAACCATAACAAAATTAACAATAAATAATATCGTCTAACAAATACGCTAACATATTTTTCTGTATTTTATGTAGGTATAAAGCTTGTTAATCTACAGTATACTGTGTCTTTTGGAAACACACATAAAACGATATCAGTAAAGTAACATTTGTCTTATAACATTCAGAGCACAACAGGATAATTATTACCAATAACGTCAATAAAAAACTTCTGCAACTAATTTGCGTCGATATATTCAGCAACTTATTTCAAGCAGTAAATAGTTTTGTAGAATGATGAATAATAGTAAAGAGTACGCAAATCTAAAAAATGCGACAACCGCATACTTATAATAGAAGTTATTTTACGATTAATATAGCGTGATGCCGTTCACGAATGTAGTGCCGGTAACACGGGCTATATTCCATGACCGTACAAAACTATGTGGGTACCGTCTTGTGCGACTGACTTGTGCGTATGTACATGGAGCCCACAATCAGCACATGTATATTAACAAACAGCAGCATCACCAAGTACTCAATTTGCTTTAGGTGCTGCTGGTCAAACCAGAAATTAAATTGTCATGAAAAGCAGTAAAACATGGTTTTTACTAGACACATTATTCAGCAGATTCGAGTGCCGCCGGATTAAATTTACGGACAAAATTACCCGTTCATTGTCAGTTGTAGTCAGAGTATGCATGTGCGCTATGCTCGCGTGCCAAGAAATTGTGCAAAGACAGCAAACTGCTTTCACTGTTTTCTTACTTAAGTTGTGAGACGATAGTTCTTCTTTTGTATTTCCACATATGCACAATTGTAGAGGATTTGACAAGATTGTCTAATTTCATCGGTAGATTATTATTTTGTGAGCGTGCATGCTGTGGTGTTTATGCGATATGAATACTCTGTTTACGCAGTTGCAAGAGTATCCTTCTGTGCACACTATATGGCGGTACTTTTAATGATCCAGTTTCTCAGGAGTGCACGCAACATTATACGTATCCCGCTGGTATTCTTTCCCGGGTTGACGCCGTCGGTGATCTACTAATCCGTGAATTCATATATGCGCGATGTGGATGTTTTGGTCCGCCAGCTGAAAGAAAGTTAATTCATTGATTTTGCTTCGTGGTACGATCGATTGCAGCAGTCTACGGATCAGTGTCGCTACATTTATGCTGCGATATCACTTGACATGCACAATGTTATTTTATATTATCTGATATCGTTATAACTGCAGTTAATTGCTTTAATCAATCGACATTATCTTTTTGCCTGATATCAGCAACTAATTCTTGTATATACGCAAATCAGCAAAAGCATAACAGTCAAAAATGGCAAAATCCGGTGGATTTATTGCCAAGCTGCACAGGCATTTCCATAGTTCTGATGCGCCGGATGCGGAGGAGAAACGCAAAACTTCTATTCAAAATGCACCGCTCCCGGAATTGCGAGGACAGACGGAGATTCTCACGGAGTTAATTCGCAAAACCTTAATCCCAGAATTACCATCCCGCGCAAGGTTTTATCCCTGGACACTGGTCTACAATACGGCCATTCACGGATTCAGTCTGAAAACCCTGTACAGGAAAATGCTAAAAATCGAATCTCCCACGCTGTTAATTGTGAGAGATGTACAGGATCATACATTTGGAGCTATTGTTTCCTGTGCATTAAAGGTGGCCGAGCATTTCTACGGGACCGGCGAAAGCGCACTGTTCTCCTTTACACCGGAGTTTAGAGTAATATCCTAATTTTAATTACTTGTACTGTTGTAATGCCGACGTCAATTCTACCATGATTTACTGTGGTTTCTAACTTAAGAGGCAAAAAAGTTACTTGCTTTGCCTGTGGCATGAAATCAATACATTTATCTAGTAATTTCGGAAGTGATTAATCATTCATGTTTAGTAATTTCTCAAATACAAGAGATATACTTTTTGTTAATTAACCCAATCACTAAAATGTGTGTTGAAATGATAGTTCGAAGGCTAGAGTAGAGTGATTAGCCTATAGAGTGTAGTATTGTGTGACTTGGCTAGCCGCTTAATTTGACAACATGTTTTATCGACAATAGCATATGCCTAACAATATTATAGTACATACTTAACATACCCGGTCGCCGATATCATAATTTTTTTATTGATTATTTGCACGTGAGGATATTTCCTCTGTAAGCACAATGTAGGAAAAGTCTTAAAAACTCCTAAAACTCTTAAAACTCGGTATTTTTGGCGGTAGAAGCCATTGGAATACTATTTCGAATAAAGTACTGCCTAATAAATAATCATCGGTGGCATATCAGTTTATGGTAATAATACGAGGTAGTTTTAACTTTCTCGGCATTTGCTAGAGTAGGATATACAAAAATATGTCGGCAATACGGTGCTGTTATTATTTTCACTTATTTTAATTTGTCTAAAATGTGTAACAGAAATTTGAATCAAGTGCGAACAATCTGGCAGAATCATTTGGGCAAGTTGGTTTTGCAGATATACAACTGGTGTTCGAATTCGTTTATCGTACGCGGTTTAACGGAGAGCATCGCTATAGGATCTGGAGGGTGAGTATAGAAACCATAATAATATTAAATATACTTATATAATTACAGATTTCATTATGATAATACTCATTATTATGTAAAACATGTATGTTAGTCTGATGGAGGTAGATTAGATTTGTTTTTAAAACTCCTGCGAACTTTTATTCAATTAAAAAATTAAAATACAGTAATTATAAGCGTGTATATGTGTGCACTGTATAGCGTAGAACCAGCTCACGCACGAATCAATAGCACTTGCCAATAAATCATCTGTAGGATCCTATGTTTACAAAATAGCGGTCACCTGTGTTTTCGATGACGATTGACGATAAACGTTTTATTGTTTTTCTATGGTAGGGGAACATTCGGTTTATGGCTGGACAGCGATCTCAACCGTGGAAGAACACAGACCTGTGAAACATTTGAAAATGATCCTTTATGCTCGTGTGGTGATTTCATTATCAAGAATCTTGAAGCGTGGTGTTTTCTTGGTTGATGAACGGCTTCTGTGATGAGTTTTATAATCAGTTCAAGAGCGGTTTTGTAAGAAAGATCTTTCTGTCCTTTAATCATTTGTTTGTTATTATTTAATTTGCAAACACTGAAAAATAAAATATGTGGACGATCTAGTTCTGCAATACACACCGGCATCACTGCGAGTATCCCCAAAAAATGCGAGTATAACGTAAGTTTGCAGAATTGGCACGGTTTATTGCCAGCTACGCTAGTGAGTTGTTTATGGTAAAAAAAATTATTTCCTCACGAGTGTTTGTAAGTTAACTGGAAGACCACAAATTTACCACACTGCTGTGAATAATACAGTCCATATGATTTGTTCCACCATTTTAATTTTTTAAAGGGCAACTATGAACGATTCGGAGGGATGTATCAATTTCCTGGTGCGCATGCATCTACTCGTAGTATTCACTGTACACAGAGAGCAAATCTAGAGAACCTAGTTTTTTTTTTCTGCTTTCAGTATTACATAGTACATACAGTACAGTAAATAACAAAATCACAGCGGAGCTGCTAAGAAATACAACATCGGGCTCCAATCATTCCCGATTAGCCAATCTATTATTTTCTTCGTCATTCTTATCTTAGTCTGGATGCTGCACGAGCTGCACCATTGTAGAGATATTAATATTAACCGTTGAGCTATTGTACTCGTATAACATCGCCGCGCTGTAGTCGTATGAATATTTCCATCGTTCTATTGTCGTTCCGCACTCATTCAGCATCTGTACATGTGTCCTACGGTACATACCTACAGACACCACTCACAGGCACAGTAAAATTATACAGTACTATACTGTACTTATTAAAATATCGATCACACGGAAGCTCGCAATAGTGCACAAGAAGCACTGCAATTTGCATTGGATTTTTGCGGCTGTGAGTCTGTGACTAATCTCAAGGGTGATGATCTGTGACTAAAATCTCAGTACATATGGCGCGCTGGAGTGCTCTGGTGACCGCATCATACGAGGATGTCTGGCTGGTTTTTAGTGTGGATTACCAACCCAGCCGACAGGTGAAAATACCACATCAGTACTGTTCTGCAGCGCTTTATACCCAGGAATAGTTACTTTAGTCCTTAATTCTTCGCTGGAGTTTTTCACAGCTCTATCGATAATTTCAAACTTTTTTTTTTTCGCGGTCCCGGAAGAGGGTGTGCGGTAATTCCTTTTCGTTGTCGACGCAGAATTTCCCAGAGAGTTAGTGATGTTGGACACGTATTCGTAGGGTAGCGGTTGCATGTTAATACAGCAACTGCGACCATCAGATAAGTGTTTGTCTAATACCTTTGTCTTAGGCCACGATGGAATCCCGGCACGAAGTCACCACCATTGTGACGTAAGTCTTACTTTAAAGATAGTTATACTTATAAGCCGTAGTAGATACGGCAATATGAAGATACTGTATAGCTATATACTATAATTATGTGTGTTGCAATTGGGCAGAAGCATCTGAATTCCGACGCATGTGCTGTTTATATACGTATTACGTATCATCACGAAGTTAGCAAAATCTGCGATCTGTGTTAATTGTAGAAAGCCAGAGAAGATCCGCCACTGGCTGCACTGCATAATCAGCATATTCTTCCCGCCCTGGATCTTCGTGTGGTTATGCTTGGTAAGTTTTTAAACATCTGATGCAGCCCGTAATTAAGAATTATTGAACTTGAAAGTGCCGGCAGACTGAGTCGAAAACGCTGTCAGCCTATCACGTAAACGTTGGTTGTGTTCGTTGACTAACAATAAAATACTAGAAATATGATTTCATAGTTTTTTGGTTAGCGGAAGACGCAAATGCAGAGGTAACCTGATGCGGTTTCTTCCATCACCTGATCATGAAAATCGATATTTCCTACTAAGCAGTTTATTGGATTTTCGAAAACACCTTAGTTAGCTCAGCTTATGGAACTTCCAGTTCGCCTTCCGTTTGATAAGCGTATAGTTGTACTGCAGTAAAGTTGTGGTTCAATTATGGAGCCCACAGTGGCTGCTTATTGGTCGGGATTATATATTAGTGATTTGGGCTTTACTGAAGTGTGGTAGGATAAGACTGCTGCTTTAAAAAATTACTTTCTACTCGTAAATATATTCTAAAATAAATAACGTTTTAAACTTATATAATGCAGCAAGAAGTACAAGTTTACTGTAAAATCACTATGCGGCAGACAAGACTGTGCAACGTTGACAGTTGTGTATCTATTTCGAGCAGCTTAATAACTAGAAGTAGTAAATATTTTAACATGTTAATATTTACTAGAAGGAAATGGTGAGAACGAAAGTGCTATCGCATATTCAATATATGTTAATGAAAGAATTTGCAGTGCATTTGCCGCGGAGAGAAAACAAAAACAACAACCCGTGTGGTCTGATCGGGATCACGGTAGCCTGGACACGTTGACAGAGTTGCTTTCGGAAAGGACCTACGTACTGCACATTCCGTTATGATGGGAACCTCACCATTTCGCGGGCGTGTTTCACAAATAAATCGTGAAAACTCGTAGCTGCATTAACATTGCAAATTTGATGCTTTTTTGTTAATTTGTTGCTTGCGTCCATATCATGGATGGCAATGTACTGCATACTTTCCCATTTGTAGAACACGACTTGCGGCACGGTTACAGTAATTCAAATTGTTGCACCTGCTGTATGTTTGTAGCTGCTTTGTATTTCCTCCGTCTGGTTTCCCGCTTGTACGCACTGTGCTGTTTTTTTTGGTTGGGAAGATCTGATGAATTTTTCACACATTTATGTTAGTACCGACTTTTTTAAGCTTTGTCCATAATTAAAAGGCAATAATCAACGTTTTCACGCTCTTATTTTCGAAGTACAACGTAAAATACCAGTATGGCGGTATGCATTGTTCAGTTCTAATCAGCAATTTAGACACCTTCATTTAAGATGCTGGAGAGCGACTTCGGCATAAATAACAATGCAACCGCACGTATGTAAAAAATATCAAACAGGCGAAATTTGAATATAACGTAAAAGTTCTAAAGCAAGTGCAGTGCAGATTAACAACAACAGCAAATACTACAGTAATTTAAAAACAAAAATTCAAATGCAATTCAAAACTATAAATGCTGACAGAAGAAACTGCTTCACGCGCTACCCGGGTGTGCTGCAAGAAGTGTTTAGAAGGAAATGCAAGCAATAAATTAATTCAAACAAATAACAGAATATCATGCAGATGTCACTGCGTTGGTTTCCCGGGACCGGAAGGGCCGGGTGTGTTTCTGTTTTTGCCGGGACTCTGTGTCTGTCTCTGTAAAAACGCATCACGGTCAAGTACTAAATCACTAACAAAGTACTAACACTTAGTGACAACATTATTAACATTAAAATGCGTTACTATATTATTTTTACAGAATCTTTCTTCAAACATAACAGCAGCGGAATTGCAGTTTCTCTGCTACAGTATTTACCGCTTTCTTTTCCATCTCATAAGCGTTCACATAAGGTTGCCGCTGCTCCGGTGTCATACGACTCCATTGCAGATTCAGCCGCTTTTCAATTATCGCAGAAGCTTCCGCTGATGGTGTTCCAATCATACCCTGCATCATCTGTTAAACACAAACACTCATTAATACAGTTATAAACATTACTTCTATATCAGATAGACGAATTGTACTCAGATGGAAAACACAATTTACCTGTTCCCGATATCTACAAAAGGGCGACTTAAGTCGTGGCAGGTGACTCGGGGGATTCGTAATACTGCTCGGTCCACACAGACGCGTTAACATTGGTGTTAAGTTTGGTAAATTGGGAGCACCGGGCGCTCTAAGAGGAATCTGACGGACCGCCGGAGCATTTCTTACGTTGCTTCCCGAAGCCTGGGGAGTTCCAGGAGGGGGAATATTATTACGAGGTGCAGCCGTGGAAACTGGTCCGGGTGCTCCAGGCGGTAAGTTTGTCTGGTTCTGCGAGCGTAAAACATATCCAGAATTTGCCAAAGTCGTCCATTCCTGTACACTAAGAGCGCCGAACGACCTACAAAAAACAGTTATCAAAATTAAACTCTCATAAATCAAATCCTACACCAGAACAGATGTTTCGAAACGTTTCGCTATCAGCAACCAATGTTACTACTAGTGTCGATAAATTTTAGGATCCAGTTTTGAGCGAAGATCTGATCTACAGTGCTACATAAAACACTGAACATAAAAACACTACACATAAAAAAGCGGTAAAGTTCTGGAAAGGAAGCACTAACGGTGGGATCGTCGGCATCCTGGGTGAAAGCGGAGCTCTGGGTCGGACAGCTGGCGGTGTCCCACTTCCATTAGCCCGGGGTTGCAGCATGCCATGCGTTCTGTTGCCTACGTTTTGTCCCTGGGGTGTTCGCACCGAGACCGAATTTGAACACCCTGCACTGGCTGCGACAGCCGCTGCTGACGTCCCGGGTTGAATGGGCACTGCAGGTGCCTGGCCCATTTGGTTCACTGGTGCTGCTGTCGAAATTTGTCCACCGGATCTCTGATTAGCTACCATCTGTCGTGCTTGAAAAATCTTTTCCGCAAAACTACGAGGCATGGAAACCGATCTAACTGCTCCTATCCGAGTGTCGCCGGGAGTGTAGGGAAGGAAGGCATAACGGGGCGGTGCAGGATTGACGGTGGCGGGTCCCGATGGCGACCGAACGGGTGGGCGCATGCTTGTAGGTCGCATGGTCATAACCCGGTTAGGAGTTTGCTGCATAATGGCTGAAAACGCTTGCGGAGTGTGTACGGGTGCGACCGGAAGACTGGTAGGCGCAAGAGGTTGAGCTTTCTGAAATCATCCAAGCTCAAAATTTAATAAATGAGACGAACCTTGCAAGCAAAGGTAGAAATTTCCTTACAGGTGCCAGGGTGTCTATTGTACTGCGAACGATCGTGTAAGCCGGTACCGTCGAAACGGTCTCCTAAATCAAAGACCGGTTTAATTGTACTGTCATTAAAACTGCACCGAAACTATTTCCTGATACCTATGTCTCGTTTTATCTAAAACAAATCCTCCACCGACGTGCAACAACTTTTTTGAACGTCTTATAGAAGTTTTCGAAACTGCTCGCTGAGGAAATGCTTTTGCAAAATTCAAGGGTGTGGATAAAAGAGCAGCAACACAACAACAAAGCGACATGGCATTACGAACAGTGTAGCATATGCAGTTTACCGTAGCATTAGCATTACGAACGAAACAAAGACATGGTAACTACCTTTAATGCCGGCGGCGTTCGCTCGACTGAAGGCCCCGGTTCTTCAGTTGCAGATCTTCTGGCTTCGATCGCAGAACCAGCTGAAGACTCTTGTGAAGCGAAAGGCCCAGATTCTGTCATGGTAGACGCGGGTCGTTGCTGACAAGAACAAAAATAAATCTTATCTTAATCGTTTTTTTAGTTACTACTGTATTAAGCAGATAAAATGTCTTTCACTGCCTTACTGCACTAGGCGGTGAACCGGTATCACTTCCAAAATGACTGTCCACTTCTTTAATCACCGCCACAGCTCTCTCACCAGCTTCCCGAAGTAACTAAACAATTAGGAGCGCCTAATTTATTATGAAAAGAATGCTGTACAAAATTAAAAAAATTTATCTGCATCAAGTAAAAGATAGTTCCGGTCAACAAAATCATCAAGAGCATCCGTGCTGTACGAAGTCGTATCAAACCGCAGAACATTAAAAACTCTTAACATGTTAGACAACAAACCTAAGCAAAATACTACTGAGAATTTTGCTGAGAATTTTGCTCGGTAGTATTTTGCTGAGAAATGTCTATGTAGCAAAGTACCAAAACAGCATTACAAACATCAAATCCCGACAAGAAACAGAAACTTACCCAGTTTCTGGAACGCATAAGTATGTCGTCGCACTTCTCCAGCAACGCATAGGATGAAGGTGGCGACGTGCCCAAAGCAACATCCAAAAGCAACTTCGACCGCCGCAGTTGATCTTGCCGACCTAATTGTAAAGGCAGATCTAGTTTACAAACCCAGGAATACCTCACTGGCCGTATTACGAGCCTAACCTGGTAAGGATTCCATTTTCTTCACAACATATTTCAGCAAAGGAATATAGAGCGACAACTTCTTTGCTTTCATTATGTACGCAGCAGAACCCACTTGTGGCATTAAAACAACTGGAATTTTCTCTCTGCCGCCCAACAGTGTACGGATAGTAGCTAAAAAAAGAAATCTTCAACAAAAACGAAAAGTATCGCAAACTGAAAAAACATATTCAACCCACAAAATTCAATTTTTAAACAGACTTGTGGAATTTTTTTCAAGACTTCAGCGCTTAAAATATATGACTATCATTATTTAAAGATAGAACTGCTTGAAAACAAACTCACCTTGTGAATTTTTTGCCGCTGAAGAATCATGCCCATGTCGAGGGCTTTTCGGAGGAGAATGCCGATGTTGAGGGCTTTTCGGAGGGGATCTGCTACCGCTGGAACGCGGTGCTTGAACCGGTGTCGTAACTGATTCTTCAGAAGCAGTCACTGTGGATCTGGATGGTGACGGATGAGCCCTACGGATAAGGTCTGCATTCAAATGGTCTTTTTCTAAGGGAACAGCTAAGCGAGGCTCTTGAATACTCCTTCCTGATGGCACGGATGGTAATCGCATAACAAAGTTTGTTTGCTGCAATACATACAGTTTTCACTAAAATTTGACAATATTTGCCAGACAACACGTACCACCATAGGTGTCCTTGCACTAGAAGAGGAGGAACTTTCAGAAGTGGTCGCTAAGGGTTCGGAAACCGTTTCCGGCATCGTGACACGCGCGTCTTCTACTGCTAGGAACTCCTCGGTTTGCACAGCTTCTTTTACCGGTGATTTGGACTGGGTTTCAATGACTCCCTTCTGCAGAAGTTGCAGTCGATCCCATTGCGATGCGTTTGGATTCAGTCTTTCCGCTTCGCTGACAGGTTCCACTGAGTTTTCAATGGTCTAACACAAGAACTGCTTCAACAAAATGCCGAATACTGTTTGGCTATGGAGCTAACATTATTTACAAAGATTCACAATGTGTAATTTCAGAAGACATAAAATAACAAAGATAGTAATACACAATCAGAACAACAGAAATCGTTGCTCGGTCGCGGCAGACGGTTTCAACAGGATGGAGGAAATTAGTATAAAGATACGTGCAAGGAAGCCGAAAAACAGAGGGAAAGAAAGCTAAAAGTATAAAGCTTAGCTTTCTTGATTTACACCAGAAACAGAAGCAGAGTAGAGTAAGACAAGCAACACAATACCCAACAGAAGTTTTCACAGCAAGCAAGAGAAAACACAGTTTCTATTTACACCATTCAAATGTTTGCGGGGAAAAAAGCACCACAGCAAAAGCTCAACCTTATCAGCATCAGCGCATCATGTAAAAAATAAAATTAAGAAAATTCCTTCATTATTTAGTGCAACACAAAAAATAACGCCGAAAAGGACGACAATACACACCAGGCTGCCTCTGATTACTTAACAACTGTGAACGTTATCGGTTTTCTCTAAGGCCTGTCGTGACTTAACAGTAAGACAACGTACAGGTTCTGGAATTTTCAGGGGCTCTACGATTTTCCGTGCCACTCCAGCATAGTGCGTTTTGACGTAGCCAGTCATCCACGGCACAAACACCGTAGGATAAAGAGCAGTGGCTGCCGGGAATGACACTTGACACTGGAATCCGTCTTCCCTGTGACACAAAAAGAAGAGTGTACGATAAAAGAATATTCAAAATCCTGAATAAAGCCGAAATTTAAATCAACGCAGGAGAACAGTTATGAAGTGATATTGAAATTAAGGATCGCAGCGCAACATAATAATTACAAGCACCTTCCAACCTTTGGAAATCTTGGCGCAGTTTTAGCCGTCACATTTCAAATTTCTTGTCATTTTATCTATAAACATACCATTCCATCACAGCAAACAGATCTCCAAGATCGTTTTTCACCGTTTTAACAACGCGCTTGGGCGCCGTGTTCCGATAATGATTATCCCCAGGCAGCGCCACGTTCTCGCCTGTCTGCGCCACTTTCTCAAACTTGCTCCAAACTCCTTTGGAAAACTCATCGATTCGATCGGGAGTTTGAATAACCAGATCGGTTAGCTTAGAGGTCAGATAATCCCATTTTCGATCAAAATCCACTGAAGAAGCGGAAGCGCCACTGACACTTTCATTATTCGACTTTGCTCGCTGAAATCGCAAAATGAGTTAAATGACTAAACAACAAAATAGATGATCGACGCAGATAAAATAATAACAAAAAACTACCGTCCTATAAATTGGCATTCAAACTGCAATAAGATAATTTACTGGGAAATCGAAAAGGCACGCGTTACGTTTCAAAACCCCGAAAACCACGTCAAAAAATTAAAAGTGGAAAAAATTTGATTGAAAACAAAAGTATCACCCTTACCTTAGCTTGTGGCTCAGGATTTTCCGCGGGTACATCCTCCCATACTTCGCCACCAAATCGCCGTTTCTGCAAGCGCCGTTTGCGTTCCTCCGCTTCGAATTCCGCCAGAATATCATCGCACTGTAAATTGGTCACTGGCTCCCAAGAAGCTTCAGACCTGCGAGACAACATACAATCAGCCTTCAGTCTTGTATTGGAGATTACTGAAACCGTGAAACGGTCGATATTTTTCAAAGCTTTAACAATAAAAAGTAATGTGCAATTGTGTAGTAAAACGAAGCAGCCAAGTCAGACTGGCAGTTTCGGGCTTTCAGCTAACTGGGAAACCCTCTTTGCCACTATACGCTTACTCGGGATAATCCTTCCAGAGAATTCGATACTGACATTCCCCATTCAACACCCGCTTTCCCAGGATTTTCTCGACCTCGTACGCAGGTGGTACGTCATCTTTGTGAGATTTCGGTCGCCTTCCAGGTGCTTTTTTAACCTGCAAGGGTTGATTTTCAGCCTGCGTTTTGATAGCCTTCTTCTTTTCCTTCTTTCGCTCAACGGTTACTGCCGCAGACGTCACCACTGAGACACTTCCAGTTTCTTTAGGTGCTCTCCGATTTTGATCGTTAGAGACAGACGTCGCAAGCGATGGACGCACGATCGTTACCTTATGAGGATATCTGGGGCCGTTCATTTTGGACCCGGAGTACTGGAAACGTTGCAAACAGTAAAAACGGTAACAGCAGTCCGCCACAGAGTCTCAGGAGAATTGCCAAACCATAACTAGCAACAAGCAAATTAAATGCTAAGAATGCTTAGAAAAGTCTGGCACTAAGTCACGAACATCAAATAAAAGCGAATGATCCTGGGGTACTTCCCCTACATGATGCCGTACATAATGAAGCATTAAACTAATTTCTATCCGAAAAGGAGAAGCAAAACCGAAAGGTTCGCAAGATTTCGAAATCACAACAGTCAAAAATGTGGAGCATGTTTGTATCGATATCGCTGGTTACAGTGCATGTGTCGTAGCATAGCGAGGTGCACCATAGAAGTGATACGACAAAAAATAAGTATCTAGCGCCTACCACCTGCCTACCTGGACACTCATTGCTCATCAGTGGAGTGAGTGGACAGTGGACACTCACTGGACAGATTGTTTTCTTGCAAAAGTTTTTACAGTTTTGACTTTGGCTTGACTTGCTGATTCCGTTAATTCGTGGGAATAAAAAACCGAATTGTAAGTACATATGCATCTACAGTGTCTGAACAAATACTCTGTTCCACTGGTAGACTACGTACATACAAAACCCGCGACTTCTAAAATTTCCTTCATGGTAATCCACCCATGTGCTTGTGTGATGGACGTACCGAAAACCTTGGCCGTGGTACCGAGTAGATAGATTACTTATAGAATTAATTCATTAGTACAATGACTGTTTGACGAAAGTTAGTGATTACTTACGTGACATTCTTGAGCAAATTAAAATGATTTCGAGTGCGTCTCCAAACCCAATGACATCTTCAAGTACGTACGAGACCACACTGTTAATTTGACGGTTAAATCAGATACGTTTTTTTACTCACATCAATATATTATTTAATACCGTTCAATTCGGGTCCAGTTTAGTTTATTAGCTGATTTAGTTTGAGAGCGGTGCTGGCTAGTGGCCACTCAGCTAGTAAGTAACTAGCATCGTGAGTCTGCGAGATTATGAATTCGCCATAAACTTTCTTAGTTATTTCATACATATGATTTACTATATTAAAAACAGAACTTATGGCTAGTGTTGAAGTCCCGAAGAAAAGTTTTTATATAATTTATATATGAGTATCGGCATATATATTGGCGGTACCTGGATGCCGGTACGGTCCGTACGGATTTACTGCTTGTGACGCGCGAGATGGATTTCGGCATTTTCTGTCGTAATATCTTGGTTATCACAGTATATTTGACATCAACAATAATACAGATTTTCGGCATTAAATACGAAGCATTGTTTTCCGGAACGGCCGATATTGGTGTAGCCAGATTGCCTGGCGATTTGTACTGGCGCTCTCCAGATGGAGAGTCTCGAGCCTATGCTTTTTATGGCATAAAATACGGGAATTCCAAGCGATTTGAGGTGCGTAATTATTACACTACGCCCACGATGTACAATATGTGCAAAGCGCTCAAGTCGTTTCCATTGCTGCATCGCTTTATGAACCGGGCAATCTCCACAGCGTTTCGTGTCGGCCGGCGGCTTCTCTTTGCAGGGTTCTTGGTTAAATACTGATTTCTCCTATTTGTCGACGCCGGACCGCAGTAAATTTGGTCCACACTGTATGCAGCACCTTCCTCCTTCCCAGAACAATTTTTTCCCAAATTTGTTTACACAAGGGCAACCAAAAGGTCACAGAGCTGCTGGTCACCATAATTTGCTCGCTACCGAAGCGGCAAATACTGATATGAACGAGGACTGTTTATACCTTGATGTTTACATCCCAGCAATGCAACGGGAACAAAAAATTTCACCCACACAAAGAAAGCCCGTAATGGTATTTGTGCATGGAAGTCATGGTAATGCATATTCTCAGCTAATTCATGTTGGGAGAACGCCAAAACCGCACAGAAATATGCGATGTGAATTTGCGCTGTAATTTTAGCGGGAAATAAAATGCCTGGGATCGGCACGGATTTCTCCAGGATTCACAATATAATAGTGGTATCGGTGCAATATCGTTTGGGAATATTCGGTAAATTGTACAGATTACGTGCAAAAATTTGTGGGAAAAACACAAAATTAATGATTGCATTGTTTATAATTTCGATATTTTATTTCCATATTTACAGTCTTACCTATTTCACAATATTTGTAAATTGTAGTAAACCAGCACATTTCACTTATGGTTAGCGTCAAGCTAAATGCCTAAACCGTATGTAAAACCATCCATCTGTGCTAAACCGTATGCATGTCTGGTTTAAGGATTCTTGAGTACTGAAGATGTTAATGCTCCGGGGAAATTATGGACTGGGAGATGTGAGAACAGCCGTTCAATGGGTGCGCCAGTATATCTTTGCATTCGGAGGTTAATATGAATTACGCGCAGTGAAATTTTTAAACGTAACACTGAAGCGGACCATGATTATAAATTTATTACCATTAACTTGTTTTTAGGCAATCCGGAAAAGATTACAGTCGTCGGGCATGGCACGGGTGCCGTTTTGGTGTCGGCCATGATGCTCGATCCCGAAATTCGCAGTAAGTAAGTGCAGTACTTGCTTTAAAAGGCAACAAATGAGCATATACAGTACGATAATACAATAACGGCTGATATCGAATAATTCAATGATCAGACAGAAAACCTGCAAAACTTAATGCAGGCATCATCTCGGCCGCCATTTGCATGAGCGGAAGTGTACTAAGTCCGTCTGCTATCACGCGCGCCGCCAGAATGAATGCGGCATCTGTAGCCAATGCGTTGCGATGTCCCAGCTCCACAACCACCGAGATGGTCTTGTGTTACAAAATCGCCAGTGCTACGGATATTATTACAGCTGTAACTGCTGCATTTCCCAGCATATCTATCCACTCTCCTGTAAGTGCAGACTGCAAATTGCATGCAATGACTATACTTACTTTTAGAAGTATTTGTAAGTAATGCCGCATAAGTTTCTGTGAGCATTATAGTCTTTTTTAAAACAGTTACGAACCGTATACCGGCGCGTCGGTCGTACGTAGTAGATCTAGGTATCACATAAATGCAGGGAGAGGAAAGGTTCTCTCTAAATATTGACGGACATCATATTCCTTACAAACCCGAATGGGTGTTACAAAGTCAATCGTGGCATTTTCGCGGTGGATTTCTGAACGGATTCCTTGCCGAAGACGCTAGTTTGTCAGTGCTCAGTAAGTCTTTAGAATTCGTCGACTTGTGTGCTGTCTGCCTTTTTCTTCATGGTAAAAATATAAACTACCTATATTGCATAGCATGTTAAAGTTTGTTATTAATTGTTTTGTAAGCTTCTTTAATCTGCACATTTTGATTTCTTTTTCAACTACAATCTGCTGAGTAGACAATATTCAGAGTACTTAGTTGCAGCATGACATTCCCGGTGCATCTATAATTACGTAAGGGTACAGACCGTACAGCTACTAGGCCCACACCATCTTGCGATTTGTTCTGATAGATCAGTGGCCAGAAGTATTTTCCCAAGGCAATCCTACCCTGGAAAACGTCAAAGCCATCTATATCCCTTATTTGCTGCGAAGCGTAGTCGCATGCTCACTCCCCCCGCTGTCCATTGTGGAAGCCGTTTACAACCGATATGGTTTCGGTTCCACCGCAGATCCAAAATCTCTGAGGAAAAATTTGATCAATGTGCGTTAACTCAAATCTACAACCGCAAAAAAGGTTTTGGCGCTACTTGCATGGCTACATACAATAATTGTTAAAAACGTACATGTTAATGTGGACGGTTTTATTTTTCATAAAGTTGGCTAACGATATTGGCTGGCGCATTCCCGCTGTGAAAGAAGCCATTGTATACGCGGAGAAAAACCTAACTGAATTGGGCAATCAGGTGTACAAGATGTCCTTCAACGACCATATCGGGCAGTACGCTTTTGGCTTGCAAGATCTAGGTTTGTGTATACGCTGTGCGTAACGCATGTCTGCGTAACATGATGAGGAGATATTGAATTGTGTTTTTATGTGAATTAAGTTTTTAATGAACTGTGTTGTAACTAACGTAATGTAATAATCTGCTCAGTACGTTTGCTTTGTTAAATATCTTGCAGGCATGTTTCACGGTTTGGATACCCAGTATCTTTTTTGCGGCAAGTGGAACTTCGAATCTTCTTGGGAACAGAACTAACGAAAGGGTTACGCGCCAGTTACGCCTGCTTTGGACGTATGTCGCCAGTTATAGGTGAGTGAAACGGGAAAGAAGACTCCATATAGTTTTACAAATGTATAAAGATCACCGCTCCGCTAACAACCTTTGGTACCTATGCTGTTTTGTGCATTACTCATACCTTGCTTAGCGCTACAGATACGTACATACATTCCACCAGTGCACTCTCTCGGTTATCGGCTTTCGCGTCCAATACGAGTATTATTTTTAATTGGTATAATATCCTCATAGTTTCCAATGCATAGTTGGTGTAATTATTCTAGTGCTTTGTAATAGTTCGAAGCTCTCGGTGAGTGGTCATGAATTGGTGTAACCTTATGAAAAAATTTTTTTGCAGCAATGCTTTTGGAGATCAATTCCAGCCTAGTCGTGGCAATATGCTGCACCTGGGCCAGAGTGAAACCTGGGAAAAGGTTTCAGATTTCAAATTGCGCGAATTAGTACATTTTTGGGATAAAGTGGCAGCGGTCAGCTGCAGCAATTCGCAGAGTGTACATCTTTTATCACCGCCGGTGACGAATCCATCCGCTCCTGGTTTCAGTGGTGCTCAGGGAAGGTCTGTTAATCCAGCATTCCATCATGTATTTACAAGCAGCTGGCCGGTGTATGGTATGGGACCATTCCCTACCTACATCAATCCTGTGGCAGCTAGGGTGCCAACAAAGAAAAAGAAAAGTAAGCGTGAAAGTACAAGAACTTGTACGATACAGTGAATGCACCAAGAGGAATGTTGGAGCATTAATTTATGTTGATAACCGTCGTTTACCACGAATCGATTATTAACGACCTTTGGAGCCATACAACAGAAATGCCAAAATGAATGATAAATATATTATGTTGCCCAAGAGAAGGTATTGATTTGATTTACATATTGCAGGACGCCGAGGAGGAAATGGACGATAAAATTGCTGTGAAGCTGGAGATCGACTTAGTAGCTGAAAAAAGCCTGTCGTTGGCAAGATTTGATATGAAATCCGAAATTCCGTATAACAGGCTCGTTTCATAAATTTTTGTTGACGGAATTTCCTCGGTCCCGTCGTACTATCGATGAAGTATTATTGTCGAATGCTACCGTGACTGGTTTTGAGTACATTTATTATGCTACATTATTAATTTCATATGCCAGAAGAATAGTTAAATAGCCACTTTAAATAATCTGTACAACTGCAGTAACTGCCTCATTTTATTATGTAATTCAGCACATCATGAGATGCCAGATGTACATGTAGTAATTATTAACAAAACTGTGTGAGTGAATCAGACTGGAGTAAATTGAACAACGACAGTTCCTTGCGGTAGCGAGTTTGACGACTCTGTCGCCACAACCAAACATTTGGCTCTATGAGGTTGTTGCAAAATGGTTACGCACTCTTTGTAGACGCTGCATCTTTTAGTTGGGGGGGTGTTGCACAGCTTCGGGCGTTTTCAATTTGTTTTGTCCAAAACTGAGAAAGGTCATTGAAATCTTCTGTACCGGTTTCCCATTTTCCCGACTGACCGAATTCCACATAGCCCGCACCGGCATTTGGGCCTTCTAAGTGACTGCAAACGCAAAGAAAGGTCAACACGCAAAATGGACAAATAATTAAAAATAAGTAGCTTGAGAAACCTGTAAATAATGGGTTGTTATTTTGTTGCAGTAAAGTAAGTTTAATTTAATTACCCGTTGTGAGCCACTTGATGGAACATATTCCGGAAGTTATCGATAATTTCATTATCCACGGTGTGATTAGCCATCAGGACTTTGATTGGCCCATGAAACAATAGTATTAAATCCAACCCGTGAAAACTTCCTGTAAATTATCATGCATACATATCGTCGCAGGAACCACCTTTCAAGGAAGTACTCACACAACTTATTGGCGCTATTTTTCTTTACCTAAACCGTTGTAATTCGGATCATAAGAAATACGGTATAGCTGGTTATGCACTTCAGAAGAAAAAGACCGGTTGGCATAAACACGAGCTTCCTGAATTGCCGGAAAACCAAATGTGAGGTCAGTAACTATCTGCAAATAATACAAAACTCGTTAATGCGACATAATTATACAATTCATGTATCATTATGGTTAAATAATCATGGCACTGTTTACATGGTAAGTTTTTCGCATAGTAGTGGGGCGATCGTCATTTTCAGCGAGCTTATAGTACCGCAGAATTTGTTCCACCGTGTCCGTAAGGTTGCAAGGGTGCATTAGACGAGCGTTGTCCGTCACGATTTTTTTAGCAACGTGGAAATCAAAAGTGGAGTTAGGCAGAAAGAGATCCCGTTGGGCCACTAGTGAAAAAAAAATGTCAAAAACGAAAAAAATGGTTTTATGTTAAAATACGCAATAATCATTCAGACAATATCGTTAGTGAGGATATTTACACATCATCAATAGTGACGAATCCTCCCGCAGAAATCCGGTGATAAAAGTGCCCTCCCGTTTAGACTCGCTTTGTTTTTGTTTGCTGATCATTTGAGCAGGAGGCTCCGTTACGTGTTCGCCATCGATTACAGGAGCAAACATAAACCACATCTAACAATAAGCACAACTACCACGATGGTATAGTGCGAAATCAGTTGTAACATTTTATTTGTTTGTAATGGTTTATCAATACTGTAATTAAAATAAGTCCGCGGTTGATTGTACGTACTGTAAAATTTTTACCGATGAACTCGGTAACTTTTAGCAATTTTTCCATGGGAGCGTCCTTAAGGCACTGGACGACTTCCGCCTGTGAGGCGTTAAGGCATCCAAGTTCTTTGGCAACTGTATCATAACCAATTTTTGCCGCCCGATTGACAGACCACGACGACAGCATGCTTCCGCTCATGGCTATACCGGCACGAACGCTTTCTGCAAAGAATGCAAAACGTGTTTTTCTCTCATTAGCTGGCTAAAATAACAGCATAGTATTATGCAAATATCGACCAAAGGCTTCTGTTGTAACTTATATGTACTCGACTACTCGTATAATAAAGTGCTGTTCTTGATCGTCCCGTAATTCGTACCTCTGACATCTTTGTCGAGAAATACTGCTGAAGTCAGCGCACCTCCCGCGCTTTCTCCAAAAACGGTGATTGCTTCCGGATCCCCACCGAATTTTGCAACGTTTTTCTTTACCCATTTCAAGGCCACCTTGGCATCTCCGATTCCGTAATTACCTTTGATTGCTCCGTCTCCTGAGCTTAAAAATCCTAAATCGCTTTCCATTTTAAAAAATATAAGTCCACTTTGTATCGCACATACTAGTATAACATAAAGAGCATCAAATAGTATGATAATTACTGTGAAGTTTGAACGTACCAAACGCAAACACTCTGTAATTAATCGTGACGACCACTGCATTGACTGCTCCTGCTAGCTCGGTCGCATTGTACAAATCTTTGTCGCCGACTGCAAAAAATACTCATGAACTGCTATATTTCCTACAAGGATCAAGATATAATATATTGCGTACTATTATTACAAGTATATAAGTCCAATCTCACGTATACGTACTTTGGAAACCGCCACCATGGATGAAGAATAAAACGGGAAGCTTTTTGTCTTTTGTGCTTTGTTTAACCGATGGCACGTACACGTCCAAATACAAACAGTCTTCGTTCAACGTCAAGTTACCTGTTAAAAGAAATCTCAAGTTTAAGCACCATTACGTTTCCCGTGAAAACTCAAACCTTCTTATCAGTATCGTTTCATATTGTTAACTCACTTTCATGAAATTAGATACAGTTATTGTAATTTGTAACTTACGTAAAGGAAAGCCAGGAAGCGCAGTAACATGTTGAGGGCATACATAGCCTTGTTTCGGTCGATCCGGATTGGAGAAATACGAGAAATCATGGTTTTCTTCGGCATGCTGAAAATTACTGCGGTAAACTTTCAACTGACAAAATATCAACGGTTGGAAACCTTGTACGTGATGCAAAATTTTCGTTGTTGATTGCAGTTTGGTTGCAGTGGAAAATTACTTAAAATTATTGGGAAGAACAGTTCAAAATGCGGGTTACCACACAAATATATAGGTAATACACAGTCTGTCGCAATGCTCACAGATCGCCTCGAAGTGGATATTTAATATTTAACACGGTTATGACGTCATGAAAAAACACCGAATAGGTTATTAAAATACACCGGTTATAGAATTACCTCGAACCTTTTAGCTACCCCATAACGAATTCCGTAATAGACATATCCAGATTTTGAGAGACACCTCTCACAAGAATATTTTTCGCCGGTCAGAGTGATTTCCGGTGTGAGCTGCACATGATCTTCTTGGCTCAGCTGCTCGTTCTCGGCAGCAGTGAACGATACACAAACAATCCAGATAAACAAAATGCGAAGAAAATTCATTATTTGATTCATTTTGCAAATAAGCAATTAAAAAACTTCCAAATTTTGTAACCGCCAAACATCCAAAAACTTTCCTTCCAGCAATACTGAGCAGAGGAAAAAGTATTCCGAACAGCAGATTACCGGCGAATGCGATTAAAACCTGATGATTATTTTCAGCGCCAACAAGATTGCAACCCGCCGGCAGCCTGATAGCGATCTTGTTACTACGATCTGTTACTCGTATCTGTGGCATCACGGTTTTTACAGTCAAAACACAGATTTTCTGAGCCATATTGTATGCATGACTGCAAGTAGTTCTTTGGTTTAAGAATTTTGTGCGATATAAGAAATTAATGTCTCCGCGGAGTATCATTTTATAACGTCTTTATGATTCTTCAAACAACAGCAACGGCCTTTTAACAGCACAAGGCTGCTGATGTGGTAGTAGTCAGAAAATACAACTTCGCGGCACAAAACTCTAGTAAAACTCTTCCAATGCCCAAAACGTTTAATAGTTATTTTCCGGAAGAAATATCTTTTAATTTGGTTGCAGAACAGTTTCGAGAATTCTGTATAATGTTAGACCAGAAATTAACAGTGCCCCTAAAATCATCCGTGCCGGTTTCCCATTTCCCAGACTGACCAAATTCCATGTATTTCACTTCCGTGCCGACATCAGGGCCGTCTATACGCCTACGAAATTACGTACATGCATTTTTAAGATTTTGTTGTGCACACTTAAACTACATAAAAACATACTTGCACGGTAATGTCTTCAAGCAATCTTGCACGTAATTTAGTGGTGCATAAGGAATACGAAAACACTTCAGTAAATTTACAAATGCGACAACACAAAGCTTACCCTGTGTGGGCAACTTGGCGAAACATTTCTCGAAAATCAGCGACAACCTGATCGTCAACAGTCTGGTTAGCCAATAGAGCCTTTAACTGGCCAGAAAACAAGAGCACGACGTCGAGAACATGGAAGCTTCCTGCAAATATACAATACATGTAATACATATACATTATACCGTAAGCACTTTAATAAACTTCAGTAGAACCTTGTCTGTTTCAAAAACTTTCCCTATGTGCGCATAATTGTTTGACAACCCTGTAGCAGAATGGATTTAGAATTTACCGTTAGTGCAAAATTGCAGATTGTTACCTAAGCCTTGATATTGTGGATCGTAGGATATGCGGTACAGCTGATTCGGGACAGAAGAGGAAAAGGTTCTGTTGGCATATAACAACGCTTCTTGAATCGCCGGAAAGCCGAATTTCAGATCCGTAGTTACCTGGCAGAATGCATTATTTTGTTGATCAGTTAATCTTGTATAGGTAGTTAAAAAGATGTAAGGGTACATGATAAACTTTTCGTATCAAATCCCGGCGTTCGTCGCTTTCCACAATTTTATATTGCTCCAGGACTTGTTCGACTGTATCCGAAAGGTCACACGGCGATAACAGGCGGATGGCGTTCGAAACAAGTTTCTTGGCAGTCTCGTGATTAAATGTAGCATTTGGGGCGAACAGGTCCCTATTCATCACTGTGTGCAAAACGTTTTCTATTTAGATTGTATCAGACAAATTGTACGACAGCTGAGCTCCACATTTACTAGCCAAAATTAACGAAGAATCTTCGCGCAAGAATCCAGTGATGAAATTTGCTTTAGAATCCGAATTTTCCTGTTTTGGTATCATTTGAGCGGGTTTGTCACTCAACTGTTCTCCATCGACTACCGGAGCGAACAAAAATTGCATCTAAAATATTTCAAGATAACGGTTTCCTACTGCTAATCAGCATCTTGCACTTACTTGTACATATATTAATCGTAATCACATATGTACAGAGTACATAAAAGTTAACAATCCAGCAACAATTATTAATCAAATCAATTATAGCCATTTGATGGTGTTTCCACAGCACACTTACCGTAATATTTTTTCCAATTCCTGTGGACACATTCAGTATCTTCTCAAACGGCGCTTCTTCAATACACTGCGCCATCGAGGCAGTGCCTTGATTTACCGGACATCCCAATAGATTTGCCAAGGTCACGACACCGAGTTTTGCATCGTGATTCATGGCCCATACTGTCAGCATGCTGCCGCTCATAGCGATAGCGGCGCGAACGTTTTCTGTAGAAAATAAGAATTTCATAATCAACTTTTGTTTAACATCTTCAGGTTCAGATAGCTGCTTTTTCTATGAAGCGAATAGCACACCGCGAACGTTTTTATCAAGAAACGCAGCCGATGTGAGAGCGCCTCCAGCACTTTCTCCCAGTATAGTGATGGCATCGGCATTTCCGTCGAATTTCCTAATATTTTGCTTAACCCATTTCAGGGCGGTTTTAACATCGCCAAGTCCATAGTTGCCTTTAAGAACGCCATCGCCGGTAGTCAAAAATCCTGGACCGTACAATAACCAGTAATTATAATGCCTGTTACACCTTGATTTGCGATGGTATTCGTATTTTTTACAAGTTTTTGTAGGTATTCGTATTTAATTTTCTACTGACCAAAAGCGAAAAGACGGTAATTTATGGTGACCACGACTGCATCAATGGCGGCGGCCAGCCCCGTAGCATTATAGAGATCCTTTTCACCAACTAAAAAAAGAGTTTGGTATATTAAAAATTAAAGAGCAGCAAATTCGAATTCTGCAATGTACGAACACTGAAATCCGCCGCCGTGGATCCAAAGCAAAACAGGAAATGCCGCCGGTTTCTCTTTACTAATTGGTGGAACGTATACATCCAGGTATAAGCAGTCTTCACTCATTGATAAATTACCTATACGGAGTACCGGTTGATAACACACAACTAAATTTAGTCGCATTGGTTTCGGAGCTTAATGAAATAAATTTCGAATGTAACGCATACTCACGCATCGGAAGTCCCGGAAAAGCCATGGGATGCTGCGGGCAAACGTAGCCCTGTTTTGGGCCACGAGTTGGACTACTTAAATACGAATAATCCGTGTTAACTTCTGATGGCTAGAAAGAACAACCGTAAATACTACCAATTCACGTGAGGCATCTTTAATATAGCTACAACCGGATTGTCAGACATTTACAATTACATCTTTCCCGTGCTCACTTTAAATCTTTTGGCATTGCCGTAGCGGATTCCATAATATGCATATCCGTGCTTGGAAGGATTTTTTTCGCATACATACTTTTCCCCGGTAAGAATTATTTCAGGAGTAAGCTGAACCTGACCGTCGTCTACAGTACTTTCACCTGCGTTAGCCGGAAGTATGGCTACTGCGCACAAAATTAGAGTAAGGGAGGCGCACAACATTCTGGGATGTCTTAATTGGCGGTTATTTTCAACAACAAAAGAATTCGTTTAGCGTTAATTTGTTTTCCCAGTCCCTAGATCACGTGCGTACGGCAATTAAAATCAACGTCCAGTCCAAACGAGTGTAGAATGTTTTTCTGGGTTTTTCTGGTGCCCTGTGTGCCTTTTTGACATATTTATATTGTACAATTGTATGTACATGCAGTACCGTGTGCGCCATAAATCGCTATTGCACTAAATTCTTTTGTAGTGCACAGTCTGCAGTCTGCACAATTGATTACAAGACGCTGAAAATGTGGACCAATTACGAAGTTCAATTTCAAGATGTGCGATCTTTTGCTTGAGCTAATTGGAACTATTATCTACATACTGGCCAGTTACGTAATCACTTAATACATACATATACAGTACTTATATCCTTGCTACTTATTAAAACTTTGTTAAGAGTTAATTACTTTATTAACAACTGGGCATTAGTGCAGTATAATCCAGTCCACAGAAAAAAATACTTAAAATCCACCACAAAGGTGTATTCATAATCACAAATATATTATTATTATTAAAAACTGGATACCGGTTTTAGTATAATATGCAGGAGCTCAAAACGCGATAATACTACAACTCAGTTAGCACAAAATAAACACCAGTTCAGCACATAAGGCAGTGGGGCCCTAGTATCGTTCGAGACCGGTAACTTGAAGCAATTACTTAAACTCGTTAAGTGATCAAAATAAACTTGTTGCCATGTGAAAATTTTAAGCACACCCAGCTTTATGGAGAGGCTCCCAAAACTTTAACAGTTCGTCCATATTGGACCTTGTACTTTGCCACTCGTGTCCATTTCCAAGAATGATCTGATTGCCAAGTTTCTGGTTAAACTGGGTTCCAAAGCCGGTACTACAGAAAATAAAGAGATAATTGTCAGTGCCACAACTTTCCTACGGTGGTAAAAAAAATAATGTATTGAATGCAACGGCACAATATGTTACCAAGAGGGCTTAATAACCAAACCATAATAAATTTTATTATTAAATTATTGTTCCAATTATTAAAAACCAAAACAATAATATTCTAATGAGTCCAAATCTATGACAAATATGATAATTTTGATGACACCTGGTACATACACAGGATATCTGCACCTCATTCATAAAATGCAGTTGAACGGATAACGCTAACTTGTTGCTTATGATTGTTGGAGAGCATCGACAATTCATTTACCCGTAACGAACAATATGTCCCACTAGGCGGCGGAGCTCGCGGCTGACCGCCTCGATACTGCGATTACTACTCAACGTGGACCCTTGGACCAGTCCGAACAAATGCGCTGTTTCCGGATTGGGCGATATGGCTGCAAATGCAATACATCATCACTTCCGCATCAATCCAATACTGCCTTTTGGCACCATTACAACTTACATCTTGTTTCATAGCTGTCATCGCTGGATATGACGAAGAGCTGATTGCCTGTCGACACCGAAGATTGTTTGGCATACATGCTGCTCTCCTTGATTGCCGGTATGACGAAAAAGACATCGTTGGTCAACTGGAAGAACACGTCGAAGTGGCGTTTCACACATCATATGATCAGAAAAGCTGTTTACACTGCGCGTACCCGCAGAATCTTCTCTGTCAACTGGGCAGGACTGTTGGCTGACAGGAAGCCATATTTGTCATACACCGTTTGGATCATATGTTGCTGATTGGAAGGTTTGTCACAGTGGCGCTGAACGAATTCGAGGAGCGATGGAATGAATGTTGCGTAAATCCATTCCTGATCGATCGTACCGTGACCGAAGACCCGTGGAATCTTTTCTGCAAAACAAAAACAAAATTAAACTGTAAGGTCACTGATATTTTAGTTGAGAACTCACTTAAAAGCGGCCAAGCTGCGTCATTGGTCGAGTATCCCGTAACGTAGCCGCCTTTCAACACCCACGTCGGACCATCCAACAACCATGACGGTAAAAACTGGATTTGCAATCCATCGACGACGGGAGCCCATAATGAATTTCCCTATTCAAAACCGTAACAATATAATCTCTGGCCAAACGCGCATTTTGTATAGCTATTTAAATATGACACTTTGCATATTAGTCTTAAAATATAATCATATTGCATTAAAGAAAAAGCCACCACACCGAAATGCAATAATTAACAAGAAATACCAGCAGATCGGTCATTTGTCGTTCCACTCTCGCCGCGCTATCCAATAGCTCGACCGTGGTCAATCGTTTTAGGCAGGCAGTAAGAAGTTTCGTGTCATTGGAACAACCCACATCAATGGCAAGCCTCTTTGTTACAGCAGCGGGATCCGACTGGACTGCCCACGGAGAAAACATATTACCGCTAAAGGTCACTGCGCCATGGACCAACCCTGAAATCGACACCATATTGTTGTTGATTTAATTAACGAGTAACGAGAAATGCAACCAGATACCTCGCACATCGTCATCCAGTAAAAGCATGGACACCAAAGCTGCACCCGCCCGTTCTCCAGCTAAGGTCAACTTCGTTTTTTCGCCTCCAAAGCCCTGAATATTGTTGTGCACCCATTTTACGGCTAATTTTAAGTCGTACAGCGCCCAGTTTCCGGATGCCACGTGATCGCCGGTACTTAGGAAACCTAAAGCCAAAGAAAATAAAATTATTTTTCTCGAGCAACTACGTGGTACATCTATGTCCAACCAGTAAAAATCCCTTAATAACCTGTCGATATTCGACACTAGATTTATCTGAAAAAAAAACGTCTTTCGCTGCGTCTTTAATTTTGCCAAAATTAGTTCTAGAGATGCAGATAACTACTGGCAAACGTTTTGTAGTCGCACAAGGAAATAAACTGACGGATGATATATGCGAGTAGTCGACAAGCCGGTACGTACCAAACGGTCCGAGACGATAATTAGGCACAACAACAATGTTTCCACTGGACATCGCCAAATTCCCGGCGCTGTAAGCATCTTTGTGCCCCACTACAGAAAATTTATAATACCCATTACCCAGCGATCTTATCCTCATATAACATATAACATGTACAGAAGCACAGCTAATAAAGAGGTGACAGAAGCAGAAACACAGTTAATAAATAAGCAGCTACCATTGTACGTAGTGTACGTATTATTGTGCTTTGTTTACAAAAATACTCCGTTTTTTGCTACAAGGTAACAAGTACAGTATGATAATCGACTGCTTTTTTGTGCGTCAGTAAAAAGCGCATGTACTTTTGAATTGACCGCCATGAATCCACATCAAAACTGGCCATTTTGACCACCCGAGATTCTGGTGATTTTTAAACACAGGTGGAATATAAATGTCCAGATACAGACAGTCCTCGTTTAGCGGCAGTGGTACGCCACTGGAATACGGCGCTTCATTAGCGATTTGTGGGCACACAAATCCGCGTTTAGGTTGGCTGGTGTTGCGCAAGTAATCATGATTACGGTTCAAGGTGGAAGGCTGCAAAATAACGGATCGATATTTATCTTACACAACCACGTAGAAAATCACACAAATCGTATCACAGGCATCTGAAAATAACGGCGGCATGGAACAATATCCCAAGAAATACACGCACCTCGAAACGCTTAGCGGAAGCGTATCGTATCCCGGTGTAGGCGAAGGCTCGCCATTCACCATCTTCCGATGTCCAGTATTGTTCGCCGGGGAAAACCGCATCGGAAGTATATGCACCGCCGCGGTAAAGACTTTCGTACCAAATAGGCGAGCTACAGACCACAACCGCGGAAGCGAAGAGCAAACTAGCAGCACAGACCCAGTTCATGATTGCGAAATGATTATCGCAAAATTCGTTCGCACTTCCAATAATTTTGTGAATGAACTGGTCAAATCATCTTAGTGCTTTTCGGAGAGGTATTTATATACAACACTAATGTTGCTCCGTGGTAGTAGCGTAAATGACGTTTCACACGACATTTTTAAACAAATCTGTCAACAGCATCCTGCGCGGGTGCTTCCGCTGAAAAATAGCTGATTCATTTTCTTTTTCGCGCGATGTTTAAAAATAAACCAAGACCAAGATATTACAGTAGCAAATTACAGTGACAAATATTTAACCAAGATATTACAATAGCACATCGCGTAGTATCGGTGCATTAGCGAAAGATAGATATACTTAAAGTCGCGGTTAATGTGATAAAGCTTTTTTTGCAATTACTGTAATTGTAATTGACGCGTAATTTTGTTTCTATCCTATGTTCACTCCAATAACCCAATAAAGTACTGCAATTTTTTTCTGTAATTGTTGAACTACTTCGAGTGACTAGCGATATGTTACTCTCAGTTCCGTTGCAACAAAGTCAACAATGCTTGAAATTTTTAATTCACAGATATTCGAGCTGACCGGCAAAATGCACCCTAAACTAAATTCCCAATAGCTTAAAAAACACAAATACATATGTTAAAAAATGACAGAAAACTTCGATGAGCACCGTACGAGATTTGGAAATGCACCGACAACTTTACTGACTCAATCATGAAAATCCAAGATAATAAAACCAGCAAGACAGGCAATTATAAACATTAACCAAATAATAATTTTTAAGCAAACCCCCCAAGCCTGAAAAATTCACTTGGTGCCGTACTTGCCAACCAGGCCTTCAGCTTTGTCGACGTACTGCTGCATGGCGTCATCTCTACCCACACCTTTGCGCCCATTCCACGCGTCCCACTTGGCCTTTTCTTTCAGTGCCAACATTCCGGGACGAGGTGTATTAACATCTCCCACCGTCGCCTGCTTGTACAGGGAGTAGAGCTCCAGCAATTCCTGATCGGATGGAGAGGTCTTCAGGTTTTTGACAGTGTCCGCGGACGTCTTGAATTTATCTTCCAGCGACATCTTTTTCGGAAATTATGAGTGCAAACGATCTACCAATTTAATCAACGTGCCTTATTAATGTCTGTTTCAACAAAGAGAAGGTACGTAGTCATGATCACTAATCCGTCAATAAATTTGAAACATCCTCAGCCTCTGTGCTTTTGTCATCAATGTTATGACAAATTTTCTTGAAAAACAGGCTGATGAACAGCTGTCGTACAGAAGTTACTTACGTCGTATAGAAGTCACTTACCTATCAAAATTATTAATACTAACCGTATTCAGTTGGATTCGAAACTGTTTTAAACACGCTAAAGATCTTCAAGTGCACTAGCAATAAGAATAGAAGGTTTTTAATTATGAATTATGATCAACTGTCTGATTACGGAATGATTTTAGGGACTCCAGTCCACACTCCACAGGCATCACACTCTGTATGCGACCGAATCAGCGAGCCCGAGTGGGGTAACGGCACGAGGCATGACTAGAATGCGGATTATTAGAAAGAATAACACGGAAGGGGAAAATACTCATTTTTTATTACGAATTCCAGTTGTTACTATACTCGCATGGTTTAAATTTTTGAATATTTTGTGTTTACACGCCTTGAAAGTTTGAAATTACAACCGCAAGTACGTTTGGGACTGAAGACGTCGGCGGCCCAAACAAAAGGTCCAAAAAATGGTCCAACAGTGGACCAACACACTGATCACAGACGGGGCGAAGACCCGAATGATTTATCTTTAGCACTGTACGCAATATATGACGTCTTCGGCTAAGACAGTGACGTTGCAGTTTTTGGATGGCTGGTTGCCTTCCTAATTTGACTGACGTCACTGCAGCTGTCAGTGACTGCCACCTAGCACAGCGAGTCGTACTAGCACCGCTGTTGTACAGTACCAGTACATACAAATGTTATGCAACACGTTTCCGTAAAGTGTTGCCACGCGTCAGATGTTTTTACCAGAATTACAGGAATTTTATCAGTTTGTTTAACACTTGGTTTTCATTTTGTCGTAGTCCTCCGAGTTATATTTCCGATTTTTCCCTAAAATTCCGACTGGAAGTAGACTACACGAACTGCATTAAATCACTATCTGAAATTATAGTCAAAGCGTCACCAGATTTTGTTGTTTCTGTTTACGACAGTGCTACTTGGTGTGCGACAAGAAACCTGGGACTTTTCAATTACGGTGACTTTAAGTCTTTAACTTACTGGATAATTGGTGAGTTAGCACAATTCCAGATTTGCGCTGTCCTCGCTTTTTACTTACTCACGCTTTCGTCACGCACTGCGCTTTATTTTTTCACAGGGTATTTTGAAACGCTGGCTAAGTGCTTGCTTAGATACTGCGCATTTGTTTAAAAAAAATAAAACATTGACAAACAATCGGTTTAGAGGCCATACAAGAATGGTTTCACTCTAGAAACCTGAAGGATTTAATAATTAATATGGTTATTATTAAGTGTACTAGTAATAATTCGGAATTGAGAAAATACTTGCTACTTGATTTCTTTGAGCTTCACTCTTATAAAGGGAATCATAATGAAATAATAAAAAAAGTAAGCAATAATAAAAAATTTTTAATAGTTTATAATTAGTGAAACCTAATGGTTGATTCACTTTGATTCTAATAATTTTCTTGTGTTAGTCTTGGTGTGCACTCGACGTATTGAAACAGAAGCTGAGAAGTATGGTGCATACGATCTGTCGAAATAAATACATTTTCTTTGCATTTTTACGTTTACGTTTTTTTACGTTTGCGTAGTCAGCTCGTGGGTACTTTTTTAAAGCCAGAAATATGTCGCATTTACCATTGTTTATCAAGTAATTGTTGTTGCAGACCTTAAAGATCGACCAGAATGTTGGACTTCTTCACTATCTTCTCCAAAGGCGGAATCGTACTCTTCTATTTCCAGAGTACGAAGGGGCTTTTTCTTCCCTCTGTGAACGCACTTATCCGAAGCGTGTTGCTGGAAGTAAGTTGCAATGATAGCGGGTTCACCCTTGCACTTTCTGCTTCGCTATCTTATCAAAACCTGACAAACAGTAGCCACAAGGTGATTTTTTCCAGGAACGCGGTGGAAAGCAACAATTCCATCATGATAGCCTTCAGTTACAGTATAAGCTGGATAACGAATTTGATCTCGTCTTTGTGGTAAGGTGTTTTGCCTTTTTTGGTTTTCTTCTTTCTTGTAAGCTGAAAAGAGTAGAATTTTAAGGCGGTACTTGTTTTACGTTAGAATTAATTTTCTTGATTTTTGTAATGTGTGTATAATTTTTGTACGTAATAAATGCATAATGACCAGGTCGCAGGCGTGTTTCAAGTGAACAAAATTAGTTCCATCAACTGCGTATGGGACAGACATATGAATATTCCTGCAATAACTGAGCATTCACGGCGTTTTGATTTTTAGGTTGGCTACCAAAAATTTTTGCAATTGAATTATGTGGATAAATTCTTGAATGAAATCCAGTTACGATTCCGCGACGAATACAAGAACAACCAGCAGTTGACCGCGTATGGACAGTATGAACAATTTGAGCCCTGCTTTAAAGAAGTTTTGCGCCGAGCTGAAGATCAGGCTAAAGTTGAGCTGGCACAACCGAAAGCCATGAAAACATATCAAGATTCCGAAAAATCCAAAAAAACAATTGATTCTTTGATTGTGAAAAAGGGTGGGGAAGCCAAAAAGGATAAGGAAAAAGAAAAGCCAAAAGCGGCCAAATCGGAGAAGACGCTTACATCACAGCCTCAGAATATTATGGATGTCGACAGTTCCCCTGAAGGTATGATTAGATCATAAAATGGCATACGTAGGTGGTACGGTACAGTGAAACTCCTCTTAACATTCACCTTCCTATAACATTTACCCCTTTTCTGCATGCATGATGCTCGGAACCAAACCGTCCGGTAGATTATAACACATGGGCAGTTCTCATTTGTAACATTCATCCCTTTACAGCTATAACATACACCTTTTATGGAACCGGTAACAGTTTTACCATCTTTTGCAACCCCTGTGTAACATACGGTTGGCCAGGCTGGTGAAAAAAATCATTTCGGTGTCTTTAAAAGAAGGTTCCGGCTTCTGTTTTTAATCTGTTTAGTACCGGATCTTCCAACTCCAAGCATACAAAAGGGCAGCAAAACCAACATTCAGACCGAATAATGTCCATATGTACTCTGATATTTTGTTAATTTTTTGGTGAAGTAACACCCCGGGGGCTGTGCCCCTGAGCCCCTAAGGGCAGTGCTTCTGTATAACATACACCCCTCTGTAACATTCAGAAAGCCTGCAACGGAGGGTGTATGTTGTAGAGAAGTTTCACTGTACTTATGTATGTAATTTAAGTAGCGGAAGTATGTATGGTGTGCAAGTTTTCGTAATTTGATGGAATTTAAGCGTGGAAGTCAGTTGAATTTTCCATTAGTTGTGGTTTAGTGTGCGTCTTATTAATTTTCAGATTCCCCAAAAGCAACCAATACAGCTGTGGAAGCTAAAAGTGACGACGAAATCACTAAAAATCGTGAGAAACTGTTTTCAAAGCGTGGGCCTACAAGTCCGAAAGCGTAAGTGTAATACCTACTGTAACAAAGACTTTAATTTTCGGCTTAGTCACAACAGTTTTCATTGCTGCAGAAAACCCAAGAATGAAAAAAAAACGAAGCAGGCTCGGACTTGGGATGACGGCGTCAGCGGGAAGGAGGCAGCCAGCTTGAATTTTAGCAAGGACAAGGGCGCGGGAAAGCCCAATGGCACGGAAGAGACTGCTGACATTAATGTATGAATCGTGGTTTCGGTGCATTTGTTAGTTGTTAGTACTATTATTTTTAGCGCATATTTTATTGATAAACCTTTACAATGTCTGTAGTTAATCAAATTTGAAAACTGTGACTTCGCTGGCTTAAGACTGCTTAGTTTTTCATATTGTTGTATCTTTACAGTTGGTTGGAACATTGCGAGGTGAACTCCCGGATATTGACGTTGGAGAAGAGAACGAGTACAGTGATGAAGATGATGAAGTGGAAAATCAGCCGGCACAGAAAACTGCCGCCAAAGCTCCGGCAAAGAAGGGTTTTGGTTCCATGTTCAGCGTTTTCAAAGGTCTTGTGGGCAACCGAACCATCTCTCAAGACCAGCTAGCGCCTATTTTAGATAAAATGCGCGTGTTGTTGATTGAGAAAAACGTTGCGGCTGAAATCGCGGAAAAGCTTGTTAATTCAGTCGGCGAGAAATTGGAAGGGAAATCCCTGGGGACATTCGAAGGTATGCTGTACTTTGATATACTTCTTTAACGTTTGTTCGTTAATGTATCACTCTGGAACCACGAAAATATGTAAAATATTTTTAGGGATCACATCTGTTGTCAGAACGGCTTTGCAAGATGCGTTGGTCAAAATTTTAACACCTAAGAAACCTGTCAACGTCCTTCGCGATGCGTTGGCAGCCAAGAAAGCCGGGAAGCCGTTTGTCATCACGTTCTGCGGTGTGAACGGTGTCGGTAAATCCACTAATCTTGCCAAGGTTGGTATACAGTTAATTGTGAGTGGTACTCGTATAAACATGGAAGCCATTGTTGCCCTGGCATACTTTTTTCCTACAGTTTTTTTGGGTTATGCGAAATTCTGTGATCGCTTCAGAGTTTTAATTACTTTGGTTTTTTGTTAGATTTGCTTCTGGTTTCTGGAGAATGAACTGCGGGTGTTGATTGCCGCCTGCGATACATTCCGAGCTGGTGCCGTTGAGCAGCTGCGAACTCATCGAGCGCGTCTCAATACATTACATCCCAACAGCCAGGTGGAGTTGTACGAGAAGGGCTACGGAAAGGATGCAGCGGGAATAGCAGCGGAGGCCATTCAGTATGGTGTGTTACGCTTTGGTTGCATGTAAATCGAACTTCCAACAAACGAGCGCATTTGCTTCTTTTGCAGCGCGTGATAATAAGTTTGATGTTGTTTTGGTGGACACGGCTGGTCGCATGCAGGATAATGAACCGTTGATGCGGTCCTTAGCAAAGGTTGGTATTGAAGATTATTATAGAATTGTTAATTTGCAGATTGGGTTTTCCTCGCATACACTGGGTTAAGGTGCAGAGCTTTGTTTGTAGGAGGGGCTTGTGCTTCTAAACAAAACTGTAATATAATTACTCTGCTTGTACCGCTGAATTCCCTTTTGAATTCGTATGAGTAACGTAATTATTGTTCTGTCGGCGACAGACTGCCGTTTGCTGTTAAATGTTTACAGAACGTTATCACAGTAACGTTAACGAAATTACTGTACCTGCACGAAATGATTGTGCTATGGTACGGTTCGCACGTACGGCTCTCGGCTAACCTAAGCACAGTCAACATCAATATTTAATCAGAAATATGTATGTTTGGTGCGCCTGTAATTGTATGTGCATTTGATTAATGAGGTCCAGAGCGTAATCGGAATTTTGTTCTGTTGTATGCAGCTTATCAAACTCAATCAACCGGATATGGTACTGTTCGTGGGTGAAGCGCTGGTCGGCAACGAAGCCGTGGATCAGGTGGTGAAATTCAATCAGGCGCTGGCCGATTTCTCGCAGGCACAAGAGCCCCGCATTATTGACGGCATCGTTCTGACGAAATTCGATACGATCGACGATAAAGTTGGCGCTGCGGTCAGCATGGCGTATATCACCGGTCAGCCCATCGTCTTCGTCGGCACTGGACAGACTTACACGGATTTGAAGAATTTAAACACTAAAGCCGTGGTCAATGCGCTTATGAAGTGAATTCAAGTTACCAGATTGGCGGGCAGTTTTTAGGCCACTTTCTTCTGGAAATATTTTGTGTTATTCTGCCGGCATGCCCGTGCGGATGCGCCAGGCGGTGTTTTTGTCTAATTTGCGCTTTTCTGTTTCTAATTTTCCAGTCGGTGTTTGTGGTGCTTTTTATGGTTTTATTCTGTAGTATACTGCGCAAGTTATCATTTGAGAAGTTTTTATCTGGCGTTCTGGTAGAAGCATGAAGGTTTTTATGAGTGCCGTTATGGGCTATAATTCACTGGCATGTCAGGTCGGTTGGTAATTAGAGTATCCTTGGATGGCCCCTAATAAATATCTCGGCATAGTCATTTTGGATGGGAGAATGAGATATTATGGCCCTTGCCGGGGTCACTTAAATGGCTTATGGGCGCAAGTGCTCTTTGTGTCCGAGTTGATGACAGTTCACGGGCATAGGCCAAGGGAAAACAGGCTTCGGTTGCACATTTGCAAACTGGTTTTGGAAGCACAAGGGTGTGGTGCTGCGGGTCCGAGACTTGTACTTTTAAAATAAGTAAGCAGTTTGCTTTGAGAAGCAAACTATGTTAGCCAAGCCACGAAGGAAAAACGATTTGTGTGGCCACTCACTGGTCAGTAAAAAAAAGATGATGAAAACTAGATGATGAAAACTACAAACTTTATGCAAACGCGCTCATAGCACTCAATAACATTTGTATACGGATATATACACTACATCTTACGTTACTATGTACAGCGATAAAACAAATAAAAGAATGTTCTGCTAATAAGCTACAGAGCAGTAGCAACACAATGAAAGCAATTTGAATTTGCTGCATTTGCTGCTGTTATGGCGGCATGCAAGCAAGCATATATATAATATACAAAATATGTGAAATATTCATAATTTGGGGACCCGGCTTTTGCTAACTGATAAAAAATTATTAATTGCAATATACTAGAGCCGCTTACTAGCCCGATACAACTTTTAATAGAAATGGCAAGCAGGAATAATGTGGCATATGATGTACCGAAAACAAAATGCATCTTCTGGCACTGCCCACCGTCTTTTCAATTGGTTGCATATGCCTGTCCGTTTACACAAAATGTGCGCGTTTGTCGTTTTGACTTTATAATTTCCTTTAAACTGCCTTCTGTCCCAGTGTGTAAGCTTACTCGTAAAACTACTTTCCATATCGACGCGGGAAGATCAAAGACAAAAGCACCGCTGTATACGTTGAATTATGTATGTTGCCACACTCTAAACCGAAACTGATAAGAAAAGCGATCATGAAACGCCAAACTTTGCTTTAGTTTAGGTCCATTACGAGTTATAGTCATACATTACGGTAGTGGCTAGTGCATACAGTACATGCCATTTGTACTACAGATATATTCACATTATAGTTTTAAATAAATTAATTATGCTAGTTTAGGTCTTTTACGCAATTGTTCATGGGCTAAAAAATTAGTATACAGTTCAAAACGCGTCGTTTTTGCTTAGTATTAAAAATAGCCAAATAGACCACACAACATTTTACACAAACGTTACAACTGATTGGTACGATAGCAATGCAGTATATTCCGGCTCGGATAAAGAAAAATATAATACACCTTTGATTACAATACACCGAAAATTTAAGTTAAACTACGTAAATTTATTGCGGACACAGCACGTAATTCATTTCCAAATGCAAAGCTCAGTAATAACTGCTCGTACTGTACATACTAGCAATACAATATCATCAGTACAGTAAATGTTTCATAAAAATAATGAACGTATTATTTTAGTTCAGGGGTGTTTTTAATTCATCGATCTTCGTTCGAATAAAAACTACACATCTGACCACTGACCAGTCCATGCCGAACTGTTGTAGTTTAATTAGACGAATAGGAAAGCCTTCACAGTCTTCGAACCAAAAGCGGGACGTTCAGTAATTTTCGCGTACGTCTCTGCGTCTTCGCCGTCTTGCAACTGCACCAGGCAGAAAGCGCATTGTTGTAAGTAATAACTCCTCTTGCTGGACCGCTGGTCTGCAGAAGTGCAGGGTCATTTTTGAATGGGCACCGAATGCTTTCACTGCGCTTGGACTTATAACAGACAGACTGGTGATTGGCGCGTTAAATCTTTAGATTCTGCCGGTTCTGTGGGAGTTATGAGTATACGAGCAGTAAAGGCAGCAAAGGCAAATATGTAAACCATTCCAAAACCAGTACGTGAACTGCAGCAATTTGGATCAACCGAGATAGGTCCGGTTTTAGCGCTGCGAACATTCTTATCGCACCAGCGTAGTACAGTACACATTTGCGTCTATTTGTTCACTTTTCAGACCTCCACTAGGCAGGAAACTATCGATTGCGAAAGCATTCATCTAATTAATTAGTTTTCTGTTCATCTATTTTTCGGGATGTTTGTATAATAGCTTTGCATATATCAGCTGCACATTTATGTGCCCAAATGGGAATACGGAGCCTACGCCTTCTGATTCGTGCTGGCATAATTCGTAATAACCTGACAGATTCGGCAAATCCAGTTATAGAATTCCTTGCACGGGGGATATTTCCACTTTGATAACTGTACCGTCTATCCCATCTTGCAGTTGTTATCTTTAATTTTTGAACGTGTTACTATATTTTTATCCCATGGGAAATAAGATTAGCAAAGTCAAGCGTTCCTTCAAAAACGGTAAGGAAATGGCGCTGCATTCGTAAATTATTTTTTATCGCCGCTCGGCTCGTAGGACGTGAACGTTATTTTCTGTAAAATGTTTTACCGGTGGTGCGGTGTACAAATTGTATCGTATCATTCGTATGTTTGCTCAAAGATGAATTTTGAAGATAGTTAAACATTACGTACTATGTTTTACGAATTACATTATGAATTCTTACAGACTTGCTGTGATCTGGTTTTTGCAATATGTTGTTTATATTAATTAGTTTTGTTTTAGATTGCACATGGCCCAGTAAACAAAACTTATGCTCCGAAAACATATTAAAGTAAAATCTAGGATATGAAAAGTGGCACTGGCCAATTAGACATATTATTGATTTACTTTCCTCTGAGCAGTTTTGGCTAGCCAAACGCTTGCATTCTGTAGGAAAATTCAATTTTTAAATTAGGCTTTGTTTGCACACAATACGTTATAAGATTACAAGAGCCTACTAATAGTACGTACTGCACAACAGACGTCCTGCTATTTGATGCTTTTCGTTAGAACTTATTGTTAGAACGTATGTGTTTTTGTATTTGCTTGTAGGGTAGAAAATGACAAGTTATAGCCCAACTTTTAAAAACATTTTGTTAGCTTGATAAATCTGTAGAGTTTGCGCAATGATAATTTTAGCGGCATTTTCAGAGGCGGCGGATATTTTAATCACGGTCTGCATATGTATGGACTATGGATCACTTTTATCAGAGAGATCTGGCGGTTGTTTTTTATTTAAGGCTAACAGTAGTGCTACAATATAATCCACAAGGCTGCTTAAACAGCGCACAAAGCACGTATGCGGATACGTCTCTGCGAGTTATTCTTCTTTCTAATAATTTATACTACTACTTCATAAATTTGTGGTCGAGGCTCGAGAGGCCCAACCGAAGAGAGTTGCAACGATTACGAAAAGATATCGCCTGGCATAAAATTTTTTTGAAAATCAAATATGAAGTCATGCACTTCGCCGTTCTGAATAAAATTAATATTGACTCGCTTGCTCAAAACTGTACTCAAGGGACTAACCCCTTGAGTACAGTTTTGGCTTGCTGTATGGCAGTATGTACAGCCACGGTGTATACAGCTATCCATGACTTGTTTACCCACGGCTTAATTTTAACTGATACTTCTGATAAAACCTAATTACTGTCCTTTTTTTCAGACTTCTAACGCTAGAATTTGATATTGTATTGTAAACTTTAAAGGAGTGTTTGTATTTACAGACGAGAGCTACCGAGCATTATCTGCATGCTCCGACTATGAATCATCCTCGAATTCCTCGGTTCTAAGCACCGCGATAAGCACTCGACAGTTAGCGTCGAAGACCGGCTTCTCCCAATCCCCCCATACGCACAATGAAGAACCGGGACCAGACCACCAGATTTTCACCACAGACTGCCAGCAGTCAAAGTATCCCGCAGTCTTTTCAACCCGTCAATCCCCTGATGTGGTATTACGCCATAGCCAAATTGCGGCTCATGATCATCAAGCAATGCAGCCACAACTCAGCACGACAATTAAATCACCTGTGCCAATATCGCGATTAAAGCTGATTACTACATCACCGCCGCCGCTGATTATGGGCGATAAGGCCAATGTATACAAACCCAGCGGCATAGAAAGGTCAAATGATAAATTGACAAACTATCAAAGGAAGCCGGATTGCAGCAGTACCGCCAATCCGTCTTATCATCACCCACCGAATGGAGGTTATCGTGCATCGGAACAGATGCGGCATTCTCGTGCAGCAGCGTTGTCGCCGGTCAGTGAGCAGCACCGTTGGGCTTGGAGAATTCCTGATACCGGCAACAGTACTGGTCAAATAATGGAGCGGGTGAGTTTAATAATAATTTACGTCAAACGCCACATGTTACTTTTAAGTTTCTGTTTGTCGCTGTGTGTACCATGTCGCCGCGGCTTGGATTTAAGTGGTACATAACCTGTTTCCCTGGCGTCGATTTGGCAATATTTACTTTATAGCGCATTGTGGACCGTTTTAAGATTTTTAAATCGTACAATATTGACGCGCGTCGGTGTTTTCGCCATGCCTTAACCTAATAAAAGTTGTGGATAAGGGCGATTTTTAATAAGTTTTACAGAAATACGGTTTGATGTCAAAATAAGAGCTCATTTTCTGAAATCACGCTTAGCTTTCGTTACGTCCCACACAATATGCACGATTAGTATCTTCTTAATACCCCTAAAATCCCATAGAAGAACACATACTTAAACACGCATCCTTACTAAAATCTTGTGCATCTCTGTTTTGATGCTTGGACTTCGATTTTTACACAGAAATTACAGAATGGTTGAGCAAAAGACGGATAGCACGTTATTTGCAAATTGCAGTTGTGTAATTATTAATAACAGGACATATCGTGTAAATACTGTAATGTATTTTTCATTAACTGGTCCAGCACCGGATAAATTCTTACAGATGCCGATTGAACTCAAGGAAATTTTATAACAGTAAATTATTATTGCGGGCGCCTCGATTTCATACTTAGTTAAGATTCACATTGTTTTTTGTTTGTAGCATGCGAATGCTTTGCTGCGCGAAATGAACGAACGAGTTTTGGATCAACTCAGCAAACCACTACATCCAAATGAAGCATACCACATAGAAGTTCGCGTGGTGAAAATTATTAGAGATCCACCCGTGAAACATTACCCTTGTGAGCCAATGCATCCCAGAATGTCCCACTACTGCGAAAAATTGGCGAATATGGGCGATAGTCGGTATCGAAATCAACCGAAACATGTGCATGCTAATGCCGTATGGTCACCAAATCGTGCCTGTCCGGACCTTACTCATGCTGAATTGGCTCAGCTAGTTATGCATAATCACGAACGGAACAATATCCAGTTCAACAACGGCAAACCGTCAACCAAGCGGATTTCGTCAGGGTAAATTACGCTTTTCTTATTATTATACTATTTAAATCAGTTCACCGTATTATACAGCCCTGGTCGTCGGTGTGCCGACCATAGTAGATCATTAGAATAAATACTTCTGAGGTAATTTTGTCGCTCTGCGTCGAAGAGCACTTTTATGTTTGAAAACAAATAATTACATATTTCGTTAAATATGGCGGTATTCCAACATATTAGGCAAATTTAATAGTAAATAATGAATCCAGAGTCCTTGAAAACTTCGACAATATGTACTGTTCATTTAGCAGACCTTCGGCATTTAAAAGGTGACGTTATTTCGGCTTTTTAGACATCAGCTCGCAACCGCCCATAATCTTCCGGGACAGCCATCAAAAGGGAACAAACGCAGGCGGAAGTGTACTGGGCAAGATGTGATTATAAAACCATTGCCCGAGAGACTGGTCAAACCTGCTTCTAGCAGGCCTCATGTGCATTGTAATCATCCTGAACGCTTACATAGAAATTTTACTAATGGACTTTGTCGGCCTAAGAAAGGCGTATTTATTTGAATATGAGATGGCTTGTTGTTGTTGAAATTTGTATTTATTTTATTTTTTCATTCTTGCACAATGTCCAATCGGAAAATCTCTTTGTCGCGTTGTTGTTTCCCTTCAGTGACCTATCATACTCGGATTAAACAGACGAAGAACTGATGTATTAAACCTTTTAATATGACAAAAAAGTATGTTACACACATCTGGCATCACTGATGGATGTCTGGATATGAGTATTCCAGATTCCACAGCATCGATGTCGTACTTACAAATGTCCACTGAATAATGACGTCCACTTTGGTAAGAACACGGAAATGTTGTTTGATTGATTTTAAGAAAACTTACGGCTAAATTTCAGTGAATCCTAAAATAATTTGGAACTGTAAAAATACTATTGTATTTCGTGACGCTAATGTTATTATTGTGTTTTACTAATACGAGCCGCATCCGTATAGCGCAACAAGCATTACAAACTGGGTACAGTACATATTACAAGGCATTGTAGGGAGAAAATAATCGGAATGGCTTTTGCTGTTTACTTTCGGTTTCTTTTGTCTTTAGTCTTTCCAATGTGGTGTTTGGTTTTCGTTCTGTGGTGTCAGAGAAAACAGAAGGGTGTGATCACTTATCTTTGAAACAAACACACCAAGTACTGCAACAGTATAGTTCTGATCGAGATTTTATCTGAATCTTATAAGAAGCACAAATACAGTAATGCGGTAGCCGATTGTGTAATACATTCGCAATTTTATGTTCCCAAGAAATTTCGTTGAAATACTTGGCATACAGTGGCATGCCCCAGCAAGCCTCTCAGTTTTCTTAGGCTTGCTTTCCTCTTACTGTATAATAACTTAACAAATAAATATTAACTAATTGCTCCGACTGCCATCATGAAGATTTTTGCCCGGGTAGGATCCGAATCTTTCACCGTGCCTTGCGCCGGCAATGAGTCCATTCGGTGGTTGATCGAGGAGACGTTGAAACGAGCGACCAAAAAATTGCCGGGAAGCCTGGACATTGTTAATGTACGGAAAGTTCGTGGAGGAGCTATGCTGGATGAAAACGATCAAATTAACACTATTCTTCACGATGAAGAGCACGTTGTAATGGGTATGCTTTATCTAAAATTCACATGTTGTTGCAAACACTGCGGCTACTTCTCTCGTACTAATATTTTAATGTATGTACTACGGTTGATTTGCAACTGGACTGCAGTAACCTATCTGTATATATGTTGAAAAATATAGCTAAAATATCATTTAGAGCTGTGCGTACCTATGTTACGTGGAGAGCTTAGACATAAGTGTCTGTATATACCAGTAAATCGTATATATACGGTATATACTACGAGTATATTATACATACGTACTTATATCTATATAAACTACCAATAATATCATGATTGCCATGCACTAGCATGTAGGAAATATGCTGTAATTTATCCAAAAATTCACCTTTTCAAAAAAAATTAAGCAGACATTTAGCTGATGTTGTTCTTATTTTAAGCATTGAAGTCGGATGCGGTAAATGGAAATGGGATCAATGGTCACAACGGGCATGTATACAATGAAATGTCCAATGGTCTTCCTGTGGAAACGTGCAAAACGGTGGAACCGCATGAAGTAAGAGACGAATACAGCATAATGTTTCGTTTTTAACTGAATTCAGAAGTCATTAAAGTAGGAAGTATAATAAACACTTCGCAAAATATTGGCGGTGTTTTAAAATAATTAAGTACTGTATTTTTCTTATTTAATTTGAATTTTCTCAGAAAATGCTGTGATTTTATTGTAGAAAAGGGGCCAATTTGTAATGTGTGCTTCCTTGCAGTTTTTACTTTTGGACGGCAACAGTTTATCCTGTGAAGATCTTTTTGCCATTGGTCGGAGAAAATACAAAATACATATGACAAAAGAAGCACAAGAGAAAGTGCTAGCCTCGAGAAACCTACTCGAGGAAATTATCCGAGAAAATCGAGGTCTGCGTTCTCTAGGATCGCACTGGTAGCGGAGCTCATATTAATACGTAGTCTTCATACAAATTTTCGTTGCATGAAGATGTAACTTTTTAAATTAAAAATCCTTAATTCTGGTACTATCAGTAAGTATACGATTGAACCAAGTTCTCCCACTAGTCTGTTGTGTGTTTTAGTGGTGTACGGCGTGAATACCGGCTTTGGAAAATTTGCTCGTACCATTATTTCCAAAGATGACTTGGAGTAAGAAAGTAATAAAATCGTTGTACAGAGTAGCAGAGGATGTTTATGGTTTGCAGGATTTTATTTACTGTAATTTTTGAATTTTCTACAATAAAAGACATGTTCTGTTTGCAGTCAGCTTCAGTTAAACCTGATTCGATCACATGCAGCGGGTGTTGGAGATTGCCTGCCACTTCATCGAATTCGTATGATGTTGGCACTACGCATAAACGTACTTGCCAAAGGTTACAGCGGCATATCACTCCAAAATCTTAACAAGATGATTGATATTTTTAATGGTAAACCTAAAATATCTTCTACTGAAGATCTCTTCCCGCTTGTTTTTTGCGTATATTTTTGAAGTATTTTTTCTGTTAAAATTTAGCGTAAGATTCCGTAACAGCTGAAATTATATCATAATATAGAGGTCAGGCTACTCTAAAATTAAGCTGCACTTTATAATATAAATTATTATCTTTATGTCCGTGACCATATTCGTTTTTGTTGTTATTTGTTTTATACTTCATTTCGGTTTTGATTTTTGTTATTTTAGCTTCCTGCTTGTCCTTCGTACCGGAACAGGGCACTGTCGGAGCAAGTGGAGATCTCGCTCCCTTGTCACATTTGGCTTTAGGGATGATTGGAGAGGGTAAAATGTGGAGCCCGGAAACTGGATGGGCGGATGCCAAATCCGTATGTACCGTACATTGCGCTATTCGCGTCGTAATTTCGCGAAGCGCTTTAAGAATTAATACGTTCTCATACAGTATGTAGATTCAACAACTGCATTTTTTTAGATTTCGTTAATAGATATTTCTCTCTGTACTGCATATTGTTTTTTGCCGGCTGATAATACTGCTGCGGTACCATATTATGTGTATACAATACAGGTTTTGGAATTCCATAAATTACCACCCATTGTTCTGGGCCCCAAAGAAGGAATTGCCCTTATTAACGGCACTCAGTTAATTGCTGCATTGGGAGCAGAAGGTAAATACGAGCCGACTAGGGTAGCCCAAAAGAATAAACGAAAATGAGTAATAATAATGGGGAAAAAATATAAGTACAATGCGCGGTCATGTGTAGGAGTACAATGTACTACTTAATACTTTTACTAGAAGGACTGTGCAAACTGCTATGGTATACTGCATTTATGTTATTTTTGCCTTAACGGTATGTAAATAACGATAGACTATAATTTTGATAATGGATAATGTTGGTTCAATCGTGGTTTATGTACGTAATTTACAGAGACATTCTTTTCGTATGCAGGTGAAATTGGCAACGATAATATGTCCATTAATTTTTCAGAGGTGTGGGCACTGAAGAGGGTTAAAAAAACGGAAAAGCTTATTGTACTTATTTGTAAATAACAAGAATGGCAAGAGCGCAGTAACGGGACGGCGCACGTTGTCTCTTTAGAAAATTCTGGCAACATTTTACTTTATTTGTTTCCATAGATAATGGTATTTTCTTGAAATTTTACAGCAATCGAACGCGCAGAGAATGCCGCACTGCAAGCGGATGTTATAGCCGCATTGAGTCTTGATGTTCTGAAAGGAACAACCAAAGCCTACGATTCCGGTAAGAGCTCATAGTGTTCGAACCGCTTGATCCCGGTCGCGATCGCAAAAGCTGCTCTTTTTCTTGGTTAGCTATTCACTACGCTCGCCCCCACAAAGGTCAGATTGCTGTGGCGCAGAGGTTCCGTGCCCTTTTACACTCCTCTACACATCCGTCGGAAATCGCTGGTAGTCATCGGTTTTGTGCGCGCGTCCAGGATGCGTACACGCTGCGCTGTTGCCCACAGGTATGAATAAACAGAATAATTAATCCAATGCAGCATGAATAAGGTATGGGCACAGTCATCGCGTCTTTGGTTGCGACTCATTATTAATAACAGCACAAATAAATATTTTGGCAACTGCGGCTTATTGGGTGTAAAATATGAGATAGTGAACGCCGAAAAAATGAAATAAAACTTTGCGTTATATTAAAAAGATAACATAGTACTAATGTGTCGCCTTTTCCGTTAAGAAATTAGTGACCTTTGCGTCTCGCTAAAGCTATAATATAATACGTATATATATAAGCTCGTATATATATAAGGTTAAAGACTAATTAGTCTGACTTTATTCGATGTGCAAAACTAATACCAGTTATCAACTCGCTCTTGTTTATTTATACTGACAATTTGGATAATAACAGATCATATTCTAAATAATAACAGTAAGCGATTGGAAAAGGGCAAGACGCGTTTACGTTTCTGAAGATTAAGGTTGGGAGAAATGACGTCAATCGAGGCATTTGAGTGCAGTGTTGTCATTGCTGTTTCAATAGATGACCTATAAAAAAACAGATGCACGTGTGTACCGCTTGTTCCCGTAATAAAGCGAAGCACCGTATGCAAGACATTTGCGGTATACTTATAGAAATGTGTTTACAGGTGCACGGTGTTGTGCATGACACGATCGAATTCGTCAAGGGAATTCTCACTACAGAACTCAACAGCGCCACAGATAATCCGGTGAGTTTTTCGTGCGCACAAGCGCACAGGTTTGCCCAAAACAGTCTAATTAAAGCGAAAGATTACTAGCGGTAATCAATCGATAATAAAGTAAATTAAGCCAGCGACGAGCGCAAATTGGACGTTACATTTTTTTCTAAACATGCTTACTTCCGGTCTGCTAGGTGTCAATGCTGGTATAGGATTTCAAACTCTATTTCAAGAAAGCGTTATTAAACTGCTTGTAGAAATCGGTTTACCCGGTGTTCTTATAAGTAAACAATATCGTTTATGAAGTTAAACGTATGGTTTAATGATAAACTTAAATTTCGAAATTTGGAACCAGAATTACGCAACACAATCGCTAGAATAAATGGTTTTTCCCGTTGATGGTAATGATTACTTAATGCAAATGACGCCGTAATGGCTAATCTTGCAAAACTACTTCCGACGGAATCCGGTCTTATCCAACAGAACAGAATCTCCTGTATTAAATCACGTGCGGTGGTTAACGATTCAGGCGGGCTGAAGTAGAGAGAGTCGCAGTGCAAACTGCAAATTATAATCGCAAACCCACAGCGCATGACGCCTTTTCGGCTGGTAGCATTGTTAATTATAACGGCTTGTGGTAATTTCTGCGGTCAACATGTACAGATGGTCTTCGCCGAAAAAGGGGAAACCATGTCGGGCGGAAATTTTCACGGTGAATATCCGGCGAAAGCGCTGGATTATCTGGCCATTGGAATCCACGAAGTTGCCAGCATGAGTGAACGCCGCATTGAGCGCCTGTGCAATCCCAGTACGAAAATTAAAAAATATTATACCAAGATAGGCAATATCAGAATTATGTTGCTATAATGCGCAGATGGGAAGAAATAACCTAGATGTAATGTAAACTAGATTTTATCGCGAAAGACGGTTTTTGGTTTTTACGGTAAACTGTGCAATTAAAAGCGTTTTAAAATTCATTTTCGGTTTTGCGGATAATTATTAATCAGTATTCTGCACATGGTTTTACGATTATTAGCACTGTCCTGGAAAGCAATAGCGTTTCTAAATTTTTATCAGTGCATAATAATAAAAGTAATTTTGTAATGATACGCTTGTGCTGGTTATTGTAATTGATCATGATTGTATGCTTATTGATGTACTGTATGCCCGTAAGTCGTAGTTGTATATTTTGTAATCCTTTCATGGTGATAAGGCGTTTGTGTGTGTTTTTGCAGGTTTGAGCGAACTTCCGGCTTTTTTGACGGCCAACGGTGGACTGAACAATGGTTTCATGCTGGCTCATTGCTCAGCGGCGGCTTTAGGTAACGGATCATTTGTCCAGAAAGAATTCACACGCGCAAATATACAGTTACCAATGCATCGCCGATCGCTCGATGCAGTAATACAAGTCATTACAAGATATTGATGAATGTGTTGCACAGTATCCGAGAATAAAGTCCTGTGTCATCCCTCATCCATCGACAGTCTGTCGACGTCAGCGGCAACGGAAGACCACGTTAGTATGGGTGGGTGGTCAGCGCGGAAGGCACTGAAAGTGATTGAGAATGTTGAACGAGGTGCGTCGTGGTAAAATTATATCAGAACTGCGGCAGTATATTGCCAGTCCTTGTTTTATTGAATCCGGCACGTGCGATTGAACAATTTTCTCTGCCTACGGAATACATGGGTGCAAACTGCAGAGACGTTCTGCCCCCGTTTAACAATGATGCAAATGGCAGGAAAATGTGATATGTCTAATATATAAAAATGTGTGCATTGTTCCAGTGCTGGCCATTGAATTATTAGCGGCATGTCAGGCCATTGAATTTCTACGCCCTCTGAAGACAACAGCACCGCTGGAGGATATTCACCAGCTGGTGCGCACTGTTGTCGGGTACGTCTATATGTAGAGCTGTAATCCGTTTTCGTACACCTGACTTAACGGAGGTTAATTTGGAAATATTGATGACCTTTGAAAGAACATCGGGAACGGCCCGTTTAATATCAAAATGTACCTTGACCTTTAACGAAAGAATGCACCGGGATTGCGCCAACCTGTCGTGATCGGGTGCATTTTGCATAATTAACTATTGCTACAATAAGATTAAAAGGTCAAATAAAACAACAAACCATCTGACGCAATAGCAATCCACATGAACAAAAGGATGTGTTACGCTTACTATACATTGTAACATGTCGAACATAAATTTAAACCTTAAAACATGAATTAAGGTCAACTGTCATATGATTGTCGGTTTATTACGAATTTACAAGGATTCCCCTGTTTCACAGAGGCAGCTTTGTGAACTTTACTGCAATTAATTCTGTAATTCATTACGTTATTGCAGACCATGGGATAAGGATCGCTATATGGCGCCGGATATTGAGGCGGCCACGGCGCTAATTGTGCAGAACAAGGTACAGCTCTAACTCATAAAGCTGCCATAATCATACCACATTGTGCTGGTAAATTAGCTCTTTTTGCTTCCGGCGCGTTGATCCCGATTTAGCGTTCAGCTAGTTTTACTGTAGAATACTTTAGAACTAAATTTTGTTATTGTACCTTTCGCAGCTATGGTCCATTGCGAAGCCCCATATTGACCACTACTTTGCCCAAGAAAACACTGACCGTCGATTCACCTGTGATTCTCCGACCAGCAGCCAGATTCTCATCAGTGAACGGGACGTGGCCAAACGCCGCAAAGTCTCCATGGTCCCGCATTAATCATTGTTTGTGGCTAACAATTATACCATTATTTTGCCAGTGTTATAAAAAATGCTCCGAAAATGAATCATTGTCTTTCTTCGTTTGCTCATTTTACCACTGTACTGAATTATCATTTTTTTAATGCAATTCATAATACATTTTTTAAGGGCATATGCGAAACCAAGGTTTGATTGACACATTGTTTATATATAAGCGTGATTAAAGCCATACTGAACCATTTTATTCGTAGATCCAAATACAACTGGGAGCATGTCCCCAAAAATATATAGTCATCCTAAAACGTGCGGATAATCAATCTTAATGTTGTGGGTCGTAAAGAGACGGAAATTCAGCAATTGATTTCTAGGGTATTACTTAATGCCCTTCAAATCTGCAAATGATTCCGACGGAACTATATAACGTTGTCCGACTTCCCAGTATTTATTGTCAACAATTTTTGCTACATAAATCGCTAGTTTTTAGCGTGCGGTTCGTTTTAAGGATGTAATGTACAAAACCAGACTAGCCAAAAATAACTACAGCCGCTTTACAGTTACTATATTTGCAACAATAAATTAAATAAAGAATGGTAGGTTGCTTCCAGGAGAAAAAAAATAAATCTCAAGGGTTCATTTTTATGTCGGATCGGCATGCGAAAGGGTAATAGGTGATTTCATCCAATGTGGCCGGCGTACTGGATCCATCAGGGTTCATATCCGTGGGACAGGAGCTGCCCTTTGGACATTCGCAGCTTTGATGTATCAAGGAATCGCCCGTTGGTAGAACGGCTAGAAACTTGCAAGGTTGACCGGCTCGGCAGTGCTCTACCTAGGAAAGTATGCGTCTAGATAAACGTAACCAACGTAACTATCTGTAATACAGCGTGTACAGCCGAACCAATAATCTAATTAAATAAATTAAACGACTCAAAAACTTTGATTTAAATTTGAAATAGAATATTATGGCAATATGAATTTCCGTCAGCATCAATCATCAGCTGATTCCCTACTTGTGCGACAATACTGTATTAATAAAAATGGCCGGGAAATTTAGTAAGAAGAAGAGAATATTGTTCGAGTTTAAGGCAGCCAGATTATGCGATATTAATTAAGCGCTGACGGCAAGAAAGATAAGGTCGACCGCTAAGAGCTTAAAAAATTCAGTAATTTCGAAATCACACCCATTCCAGTACCACCTTTTCTGCTTAATCGCTTTATATATTTATCCAGCCAAATTAAAACGTTAGCCTGGTAATTTTAGAGAAAGGCTAGCTTAAGTTAGCTTCTATTACGCAAGTAATTATTATCAAAAGGTTCGACATATTTTGTAGGATTATTAAATTTTTATCCTCTTTCCGTCCTCAGTTCGCATACAAGCTGGTGATCGCTACTCGAAGATCATGTTTTAATATAGTATGCAGAGTATATGAAAATACAAGCGCAGGAAAATTATGAATTAAATTTAATATTTAGTTGAACGCAAATCAGCACGCACATACAGTATACTTAGTTAATGATTTAATATCTCATAAAATTTAACCATTTTCCCGTTTATTTATTTAGCAAGGAATCATGAAGTGAAGAGTTATTACTGCGTACCCATAATACGTAAAATCATCTTAATAGCAATTTAAAACTGCTGAATAAATTACTAGCTTATGTGGAAACATGCTATCCATACCTAGATGCTTTAATAATTGGTAGCTCGTTTTTCGCTGAATTGGAGTTCAGCTGCAGTATACCTCTAGGGAATTTATCTGGACCAAATATTTTTCAAATATACTAAATTTTTCATGGCAAGTCCATCCCCATTTATAGCCTTTTTCTTCAGCCTGATAACTGCTTGTTTTTCTTCTGAAGCGCGTCACTGGCTCCATTAAAATATTAAAACGTTGTGCATTGTGAGAAGCTAATTCTTTCTATGTACCCGATCATTACCACACGTTTGCAAGAATTTGCGTGCCGGTTAGCGCAAATTCAATCACTGCAATTGGACATCTTGGGAAAATTACAGCTTGCGTGATGTGGATACTCTTCAAAAATTCAAGCACAGCAGCAGTAAGCAAAACTATATTTGAAAGCGCTTGCGGGATTGAATTAGCGGTAAAAGTTAGCATAAAAAGCTTTTGAAAGGCACAAATTGCGCATGAAAATGATATAAAACATAGTATCGATGTTTTGCATGTCTGTAACACTTTGCAATTTGCCGTGATATTCCGTGCAAGGGGATATGCACTCCTGCTGACTGCTGTCGCCGAGCCATTTTAAATCAGTGGGAATAGGCTAATTTCTCAACATAGCGACTAATAAATGGATTGATTTAATGATGAATTCATGATCATTGTGTAGCTTTAGTGGTGTAGCTTAATGCTGCAGAATACTGTCACGCTAAACTACTAACACTATAACGATGCCATAACATCAAAAACGATAGGTTTATAAAAAGGTCACCGGAAGATTTGGTGCCGGCATGCGATTAATTTTCCAAATTCGAGTAGAATATACACAGGTGTTCGCAATTTATGTGTTGTGTTCAATTAATTAGAAGTCCATACCGAGGCGCATCCGAAATGGGCCGTAACGACTGTACGGTCGCCTTCGTCCACCATGCCGGCATCGATCAGTTTGTATTCATGGTTGATGCGTGGACAGTTGCAAAACACAGAGGCGCTCTGTTTGATGGCCGGGTTCTGGACGCTGGTCTCCATGGCGGTTGTCACAGCGGTCTGCTCGCGAGAGCATTTGGGCATGGTTGTTACGGGCTGGCAAAGCTAAATTTAAAATGCACAAAGTTAACCAAGGATCTATACAATGATAGGCATGCAAATTAAGCCAATCGTTCATTCCGTGTGTAATATTCGGTGTACGAGTATATACAGTCTACAGACAGGTGCGAGTATAATAGTTAATATGCCGATTTGCACAGTTTCAGTAATCGCGGCGCAATTAATCTTGCTCTTGTGTATAACACATGCTAAAATTTTTTAGCTCTATAGGTTTGTTATTATACATACAAATTGTATGATACAATTATATTTTATGTAATGCGCATAAGCGCGCTATCGTTAGTGTTTTTAGTTATTTATTAAATTTTAAGGTTCTAATATTACGTTTATGTAAGCCGTATTGACGTCAAGCGGAAGGAATTCTATTGCCTTGTACCTTAAGCTGTGTGTCACCATTATTAACGGCTTTTCCGTCTGCCCCGTCGCTCCATTCCAGATTGCACTTGGCACCATCGCCACAATAGCAAATCTCATCAATCCAGTACGAAGCGGATGCGGGATTCGTCTGCAGCAGGGCACAGGCCGAATGTTTCTCGCACTTATTCAGAATAGTGCCACGTTTGCTGACTCTACGAAGGAGCCACTGCAGTGCCGCCTGCTTCTGCGACTCGCTCATATCGTCCGCATTAACACCGTTGACCGTATCGGCGCGGACCGGAAGGGAGCAGATAAAGGTCACAAGCAGGGTAACAGACCATAGTGCCGACTGCTGCATGATATACGTTAGATAGATGCTGTGTACAAAGAGCGGCTGGAGACCGGCGTTCGGGAATATAGCTGATAATACTGGCTAGGTCGACTGCTGTTACCGCGGTAAGACTACAAGGAGTACAACTGCAGTGGCTTCTCACAGAGAGCGGAAGCTTTTATCCTGCATCGGTGCAGCGTGGGTTGCGCGCGCAGCATCATCGGATTGGATCACGGGGACGGCGAGCTATATTATTTATCGCAGGAACTGGGTGCTCATTGAACAGAGATGACGTATTTCCTTGAAAGGAGTACGTACGTCGGCGCAGGACGGTGCGAGTGGAGAATGTCGTTTATCCATGCAAGTATATCGAAGCTGGGTTTGCACTATTCCAGTGATTAATCTGGGTTCGGCATTTTACAAATTATGACATATCGCGCCAGCTCCCTTGGTAAGGACTAATTTAAAATTTTGATGAATTTGTTTTTAAATGTTAAGAATTTGGCCTTGATCGGTTACGTCTGCCTTACTTTTCATATGTTTTAACAGATTTCGCGATAGCACGGTTGTAGGCATGGCGCGAAAGCTGTAGGGTTTTAATGCTTTCCATTAAAGCATTTTAAACTGTTTTATGGATTATGATTACTGTCTACGAAAACCCGCCAAAGATAGACAGGGTTTCGTTTTTTCATTGCTGGTTTCGTTTTTTCATTGCTGTACAATTAAGCACAATTTCTTATTAATTTTATTGTTTCTGTGGTACAGTTGTAAATTTAAAGCTCTTCTATAACTACAGAACACATGTCAACAAATGTCGCAACCAGCAGTGTAAATAGCTGGCTCCTAAAAGAAGGTGTCGATTTAAGTTAGGGCTGGACGATAGGTAGAATAAGTACGTATTGTGTAAATCCGGGTGCGCAAAAAAACAGGACTCCATCAGACGACACTGCAGTTTGCAAAACTGCTACAGGCACAGATTCATTCAATATCGATAAGACCATAGCTATAAATTTATAATTATGATTCCATCATTTTGCTCTATTCTAGTCGTTCACTGACCAGGAAGTGCATTATAAACGGTATGATCGCCTTGAAATGCTGGGAGAAATGACGCATTTCATAAAAGATCCCTACTTAAATGAATATACAAAGATATTCGATCTAAATTTAGATGTAGGTGTTCTTATTTGGCGAAAATTTGGCACACCTGTTGTGCCTAAAAATATCGTAGCTCCATTCCGTGCATGGCATATGACAGCTAATTTGGCCATTATATATACATGTACAATGCACGACCTTTTTGAAAATCAGCCGACAGACGACTACACATTGCCGACGGGGAGCATGTCATTTAATATCAATAATTTGTAATTTTTAAAGGTGTGGAAAGAAATACAAAAGCGCAAATTCATAGAGACCGGGCTAAAGAGGTAAAATATTCTTGGAAGCAGGGAATATTTATCCTTGACCTCCATATAATATTATTCCGGCCACACGCTAACCGAAAATCAGACTGAATGCACGAACCGAACCTACAACAGGGATATTATCTGGAATAGTGTATTCCCAGTTATAAAATATAGCCGTATTTTACTTATCTCAAATAAATTTCTCTGCGTAATACTTATACGGAATTATTGTTTACATGACAGGCTATCACTTGTTTGTATTTCTGTAGACAAATTAGAGCATTTGTTTGCTAGCAGTATTGTGTATTTGAAAAAGCTTATAATCAAGTAATTTGTTAATTTGTGCTATATTTGACAGCACTTTATAAATGCCATTGGCCAAATTTAGTGCAATAAAATGCATGGAAACAAAGAAATCTTCGTTTGCGGATTTCCACTTCTGCACTTGATTTGCTGATGTTCAGTTAGGAGATCCGGAAGTCAGCGTTTCCGCGTGGCGGTTAGATTGCTTGCTAAATATACACATGCCCCTTGTGATCGTTTTGCTGTTCTTTGTGCTGAGATGACATGATTCTGATCCAGTTGAAGAGAAGTAATCTGTCGCCATCATAATGGCACATGAGTGTATATTCCGTCACAATCGCAAGCTATAGGTGCGCACGGGTTGGTCCCGACAATGCTGTAATCGCTTGACTATGTCCTCGACATCCCGCTTTTGCCGGAAGTTCAGTTATGATACTTTAAAACTGCACGGGGATGCAAAACGTAAACAATATTGCATGCATGCAACATACGAATACGAATACTGTATGCGCAGTACTGCACATTCTCATATCTATATATGGCTTAGGTACCGGTAGGTGAATCGCGGAATCCATTAAGCGTTTTCTCCGGTCTTGTAAAACATTTTAACCACAAAAGAGTGTGCCAGTGAGATTTATAATGCATGCGGTATTGAAATACATATGCAACCATTATTCCTCAGGATGACGCGCGATATATACCATGTAAAAGGCTATGCATGTTTACATAGAATAAAATTATGTACAACAATGTTAACACAGCTATTAACATTCGGACAGTCGCAAGTTTTTTTTAAAAATAATTAACATAGCCGAAATAATAAATGCAAAATTCAAAGGATCGGAAAAATTATTGATTAATTTTAATTAATATATTCAAATAATTTTAGAAATGTACCATTGAAAAATCTACAAAACGCTTTCTCCCTTTACTGATGCATTCCGAGTATCATATCCGTACTTTTTTACTGCTCGTCAAGTACAGTACACTCACTCGTCAGTAGTGACAATAATACATACTCGTATAACTGACGCTGCTGCTTATATGCTGCGACTTGAGTGAAAGATTTTTACGATTTCTTTCAACAAGACAAAATAATGATGAATTCAGATTTACACTTCGTTTTTGTAATTGGTTTTTCCTACTTCGGTGTTTTCTGTTTCGTGCTTTTGCAGTCATTTTATTTCTACATTTGATTAGACGGGATTGCGCCTTTTCTGGCCTTGCAAGGACAGCCTTGTGATCTAACCGTAAGCCATCGCAGAAAATGACTGAGGTAAGCCTGATGAGGTGTTGCATTCTGTTCCATCACGGTAACTGTTCCAGTTCAGTTGCACATTGCCAATGATTATTTTGTAAAACAGGATCTCCGCAAGCACATTCAGGAAACGATCCGTTCGTAAGTTGCACATTATCTACAGCCGTGTTCACCTGGGAAACGAATGTACGGAGTATCTGTTGGTGTTGCAGGGTTCCTGGCGTTCGCGGTGTGGTGATTGCAGACCGTGATGGTGTGCCCATTCTGCGCGTTCACGATGAGACCGTGCCAGAAACCGTTATGCGTCCTCCATTCCTGTCCAGTGTAGGATTCGCCACGGATCAAGCATCGCGGTTGGGATACGGGAAGACCAATTATGTTATCAGCATCCATGAGCGCCACCAGGTAATACGGTATTTGACATCAAAGTATTTCACTCACAGCATGATACGTAATTACGGGGCGCTTATACGGTTTACCGCGCAGAAGTTGCTGCACTTATGGCAAATAATAACTTTCGGCCTACGGTCTAGCAAAAATTCGTACGTACATACATGGAACTTTCTTTGTCGCGCACTCTCAAACATTTTTTCCATTGCTTTATGGTATTTTGTAGCCAAAAGATTTGTATAAATAGGCGTGAAATCCGTTTCTGCATAACATCGGTACGGGAGATATGGCTGTTAGAAAATTCCAAAAGTTTAAATGCATTCAGGTGTACCAAAAGTCTCATTATGGACCGATCCCTTTCAAATTTTCCAGGTAAATGCGCATGACCATGAAGATCGTTCTTACACCGATCCACTGTTCTAGCATGCTTTTCAAGTTTTAAAATGAATTTCGAAAATTTTAAAATTCATTTTAAAATTCGAAAAAAATCGTGAAAGTCTGGATCCGTGTAAGAATGATCTTCATGGTTATGTGCATTTACGTGCAAAATTTGAAAGGGGATTGGTCCATAATGAGACTTTTGGTACACCTGAATGCATTTAAACTTTTTGGAATTTTCTAACAGCCATAACTCCCGAACCGGATGTTGCGCGCAGAAACGGATTTCACGCCTGTGTATACAAACCATTTTGCTACACAATGTTAAAAAGCAACCGAAAAAAGTGTTTGGAAGTGCGCGTAAGCGAATATTCCCGTGTATGTACACGAATTTGGTGCTATGTACCGGGCCAAATCCCCTTAATAAGTGCATTGTTTTATCCTTTACTTTCAGATGGTGCATTTTAATCTCACTGGGATTATTCTGACAGTGATCGCTGATGTAGAGAGCAATACAGGTGAGTGTGCCTTTTATGTTATATGTAGTAATAATTAGACCGAAAATGGATTATTTTGTAAATAGATACCCGCAATGCAAAGCAAAATTTTGCATGAACGTTTCGCTCTAGCAGTTGAGTACTTATTGTCATTTGTTATCATGTGACATTTTATCATGTGACATTTTATTGTTTTAGAAGTTTCTGCTTAATACGTACTTAATTGTTATTTGTGGGTATGAGTGGACTATTTGCACGTTCTTATGAAATATTGTAGGACTTCTTCTGACCCTGAGTAATGATTTGACGGATGTGACGGATTCGATCAGAAATGCATTGCAGCTGACTAGTTGAAGTTTTGTGGTTCTATGGTTGTTTCAACTTGTTTGGAAGAATTGTCCACCCATCTGACTGTGATGATTTTATGCCGATTTGCACACATTCGTCAAGCTTATATTGCTGTAATTCTTCGGACCCTTCTGTATGTACTAATTGCAAGTTGGGACGGTTTTGTGCATTTCAAATCACTTGTAATTTAACCTTTATATTCTTCGTTACTGTTGTGGTTACTGTACGGTCCATAATCCATTTGCATGTAAGATTTGTGTTCTTACAGTTATTGCTAATTAATGTTATGGTAATGCTTGTGCACAAGTTGAGCTCACAGAGCTTAATCCTATGCTATCAGTTACGATATCTATATAAAAACTGTATTAATTATCCTTTACATCAGCGGTTTACTAGGTGTGTTAATTCTTCAAAACATTGTCTGGCGTGATCATCAGTTCGTTAAAAATAAAGTAAAAATGCTATGGCGGATATTCCATACTTCCATTCATTGTAAGTAAATAAGTACTTATATACGCAGGACTCGGCAGGAGGACTGCTTTGCGCTCACATACATGAAAAAGTAGCATTACTTTTTATTTGTGCAAAACAATGTACTTAGTGTACTCGCTAGCTCTTTTCATACTAAAATAATCATTTGGATCTGAAATTTCACTGTTTTTTAGTAGTGTTTATTTGCAGTGTTTTATTGTTTTTTAGTAGTGTTTAGATTTCTTTTCCTGTATCGCCTGGCAGCTGCACTTTTTAATATTGTGCGGATAAATCTTGGAATCCATAGGAAGCTGATATCAAATTAGAATTAGGTGTGTACATGCTTTTTTAAAGATAAACCGCTGACCGGAACTGATTGTTGTGAGAACGAGTACAGTATCTGTACTATTGCTGTATTCGTATATAATCGGTTTTCCTTCCTACCGAGTCTGCTGGCGTTTTAAGATTAAGTCTAATTAGATACCGTTACCGTAACTTTATGAATTATTAGAGACTATGAAATTAATTATGACTAAAAATGTATTTAATTAAACCAGGTCAATTTATCTGATGGATTTGATAATGAAATTTAATGCGTCATGATCGCGTTTGGAATTTTTAATGATTGTACTACATTAATTTTATTGGTTAATTTCCGTATGAGTTATGACGTTGCGATTTGGTCGTTGTTAACCCCTTTGTTTGATCAATGATCACGGTGTTATCAAATATCAAGTTCGAATCCGCTGCTGGAAGTTGTATGCATACCATAGCGATATAAGTATACCGCCTAAGTTGATCTTGTTGAGTCATTCAACTACTTACTGTTTGAGAACAGTGATGAAAACTGACGATAAATTTTCGGCCAACTTAAAGTCCATCGCGATGGTTTTATTTAGACAAGTAGTGTACTCGTACTAATTTAACCTTCCGCATTGGAATACTCATCCTTCTAGCTTTCACAATTCAAGTCTCGATAAATGTGGAATCGCGATTTGCAGATCTGGAGATTTTCTTTTTTCGAACCGATTTCAGTTTGCGGTGTTCATTTCTGTTTGGTTAAATAAATTTAAATATAAACGCGAAAGCATTGTTTTGATTTCTGGATGATCGTTAATCTGAACTCGCATTGCAAATTGCAAGTGAAATCATCTTCTGTGACAAATTCACTGCGATACTGTGTAAAATGACGGAGAAGCAGTACAAGACCAAATTGCACTATGTGATGGTCAACAATACAACGGCGCATGCGGGAGCAACGAAACGTGAGCCCCCCATTATAACCTACAGCGAGTATGTTACGCGCAACAACACTTCATCCAACGGGAAAGTTACCAGCACCCAGGTGCATGCTAAACCCACGGAGATTGTGCGGAGACACGAGCGGATAGCGGATATTCCGGTGCAGCCGCCGCTGGATATCAATGGCACCACTGATTACACCCAGATTGCCGCTAAACTGATCAAGAAATTTGCCAATAACGCCAAATTACCGGCCGGATGTCTGTACTCGTCCAGCTCCGATGTGAAAGTGGCGAAAGGCGCCGATCTGGTCGATGGCGGAGCCAGCCAGCGACCTGTTGCCCGTCTGGAGTATGAAAAACGATCAGCGGCCGGGGATGTCGGTCCGACTGCGGCGGCGACCAATGGGAATCTTCGCAAACCTGTTCCGATTGTCAGTGCGCCGTTGTTGGCGCCTAAAACCATACCGGTGAGCGGTTTGTGAGTGCTAGTTACAATGCGCAGCATTATTTTCGGAAAAATAAAATTAATCAGTCTTTCTTATAAAATAAGCGTTATTGAATTATTCTGGTATTAGTAGGCAACTAGGCATCTGAAATTAATGGCAGATTTTTGTCCAGTTTTTTTAATCGGCAGAAATAAGAAATCACCGAGTTTGATAGCTTATCAGTGCACACTTGACCAACTATTGCAGGGAAATTCGGATTATATATGCATAGTTAAAAAGATAATAAATGCTTATAGTCTTATACAATTCTTGCTGCAGTTACGAATTTCAAGCAGGCAGATGCCGCGATTATTAAAGCCACGATTTTCGTTGTTTCGTGACATTGTGACAACTGTGACATGATGTGATCCTTGGCTGGTTAGCTTGATGTACTTTGAGAATAAACCGCAACATACAATTAGTGCGACTCTGCATTAAATTTTTTTATATCCTTTAGTTTGGCCACGTAGGAGGGTCATCTCGACGCGGGTACACAATTAACAAGAGAACGTTTGAGCAGTTAAGAGACGACTGTTTTCGGAATGGCAGTAAGTAGCTCTAGCGACTGATAGCTGTGACGTAAGAGTGAGTGGTCACTAAAATTAGCGGTCTGAGTTTTGTTCCAGAACTGTTCGAAGATCCGGATTTCCCGGCAACTGACCGTAGTGTTTTCCCGACTCAGCGTTATAATCGCCATTTTGAATGGAAGCGACCAACGGAATTGGCGAAAAATCCGCAGCTTATTGTGGATGGAGCAAAACGATTTGATATTGTTCAAGGAGAATTAGGTGAGCAAGTGCAAAGAATACTGAACCCAAACAGGGAAGATATTTTAAAACAGAATCAGATAATTTAGTTTTATTTATTCCTTGTTGTTTATTGTATTGTTATTGGTTGTATGAGAAGGAATTTTTAATTAATTTCTCGCTACGCAAACCTGTTTGTGTTTGTTGTCATTTTGCAATTTTCAGGAAATTGTTGGCTGCTGGCGGCTGTAGCAGATTTAACGTTGAATGAGAAACTTTTGGAAAGGGTTGTGCCGCTTGACCAGGGTTTCTCCAAAGCAGAGAAATACTGTGGAATATTTCATTTCCGGTTCTGGCAATATGGACAGTGGTAGGGATTCAGAAGGAGTAATTCACATGAACTCTGATGTAAGAGTATTTAATAAACATTTGCTTTCAGGGTCGATGTGGTCATTGACGACCGACTTCCAACCGTTAATGGACGCTTGATGTTCATGCAATCTCGCGATACAAATGAATTCTGGACTGCTTTGCTAGAAAAGGCTTATGCGAAGTATGTTTTAAAAAATTCTGGATTGATCGCGCTGCAAGTTTTAGGTTTTGGGCCGTTGGTATACATGTAGAATATAATTTAATGTTTATAAAAGCTGCGATGAGTAAGTACATTATTATGCTAATTCACATAAACTCTAGCGCAAGATTTACAACTTATATGTACTCGATCTTTTGCTTTTTGGAATTTGTCTTACAAGTAGACCTGTCGCAACCAGTGCTTACTTAATTCGGTATAGTCTTGTTTTTTTTTATTATTTCTAAATTAATTTGTGCAGAGTGAACGGATCATACGAGAATCTGCGCGGTGGCACCGATAGCGAAGCTATGGAGGATTTCACCGGAGGATTGGCGGAAAGTGAGTGTGATTGCTACTGTTTGCCGTTTACGAGATACGGAAACGGAAGTGACTCTGTTACCGTAACTATGCGTGTAAATTCTTAATGCATGATGTATCTTTAGATTACGCTCTCAAGACCGCCCCGCAAAATTTATTTCTGATTATCCAACGCTCGTTTGAATTAGGAGCTTTGATGTCGTGTTCGATTGAAGTATGCATGGATGAAATCGAAAATTTTTACTTTTTCCGAATAGAACATTGACTAATACTTATGTAGGATTTGCTTAATAAGCTTAAAAACAGTTTAACGCCATATATTTTATTTCAAAACGTTTACTAGTATTTTTTTTCTCGTTAGATTAAGATTATCAGCGTAATACTTGGTGGGAACATACAGCATTTTGTTTTTGACAGGCCACTACCGCACAAATCGAAAGCCGTTTGCCGAATGGCTTGGTCATGGGTCATGCATACAGCGTTACAGATGTCAAACTGGTATGAATTATGCTGTAAATCTGTTAATGCTTGCTTACGTATTAATCTTTGCAAATACACTAAACAAACGACCGATAACAATTGTATCAACCATGCTAAACATGTGTAAATCATGTGTACTCAATTACTGAGCTTACCCATAATATAAATGTAGATAGAAATAGCTAGGTGTGCCGCAAATTTCGATGACCCTTACAAAAAGCATAAGATAAGGCCGCTTCCTTTTACTTACAATTAGATCGATGTTCACACATCAAAGCCGGGAAAAATTCCCTGCTTACGTTTGCGCAACCCTTGGGGCGAATCGGAGTGGAAAGGTGCCTTTAGCGATGGGTATTCTTTGCATTCGATAAAAGTTTTAGTGGGTTTTTTCTTATTTTTGGCTTATAAAACCTTTTCGATCTAGATCGGCTGAATGGAAATACGTTCCAGAAAGAGTTAGAAAGCAGCTGGAAGTATCATTCGCCGAAGATGGAGAATTCTGGTAATAGGAATTATACTTTACCGCCTCAGCCATGGACTCATGGCTGCTAGAGTTTTGGTTTTTATTGCTAGAAAAACGTCGAATATACTGTACATTATACACATTATTCAAAACGGTAAAAGGTTTTTACTTTAAGTGCAGTGCTCGTAATTCTTGTGTGTGCCACAAAGCTGTATGCTTTGTGGCACACATTATTGTGTCTTTTTTCTAATACTAAGATTAAATCGTAATGAATCGTGCTATACAGGATTCCATACAGCGACTTGATGCAGCAGTTTAGCAAATTTGAAATCTGTAATTTGGGTCCGGAAACGATGGTGGCGGCGGATGGAAGTTTTGCGCGGAAGCATGCGGTCCGATGGGAAGCAAACGTCTTCTCCGGCTCGTGGACTCGGGGAGTGTCAGCTGGTGGCTGCCGGAATTATCTCAGTAAGATTTACTGCTCTTGATAACTGCACAGCAGACGACAGATAATTATTGTTTACAGCGTCATTTCATTTGAATCCACAATATCGTATCACTTTACGAGAAGCCGACGGACCGGACGGCTTGGCCACCTGTATTGTGGCTTTGATGCAGAAAGAGCGGCGAAAACTGCGATCTCAAGGACTAGATTTGCTCACAGTTGGATTTGCGATTTATAATGTAAGCAGTGGTTTCCAGCAAAAAACGTTTTACTAACAAAAATGCTGTTGTTATTTTTCCGGTTATGCTTATTTTCTTACAAACTTTTGATTGCGGTTTTTGATGCTAACTAAAAGAAGTGGCAATTATTTATTACAACAACCATCTACTCAACATGGTCAATACATAGAATACGGTGTATAGTAATCAGTGAGGCAGGCGATAAGGGCACTTCAGTGTGTGCACACGTAGCACTGCAGATCTTGTTTTAACCGTATGATGTTGACCTGTAGATGGGAACTGTGTAAAAGGTTATTAACATTTGTACGCTTATGAATTTTGCAGTTGCCAAAGAAAGCTCCGATTCCACTTAACACCGAGTTTTTCCGCTACAATGCGTCGGTGGCCCGAGCACCGGCCTTCGTGAATTCCCGGCAGGTGACCACGCGGTTTCGCCTGCCGCCGGGAGATTACTGCATCATTCCATCCACCTTCGAGCCGCACGAAGAAGGCGACTTTCTCCTGCGAGTTTATAGTGAAATTCCCATTGAAATGCGGTATAGCAAAATCTTGTTATTAACAATAACGCATTTGGTTAGAGAAATCTGTAGATTCGTTAGAAAATTGTTTATATGTTTCAGAGAGCATGACAATTCGCCCAGGGAAATTGCCAGCGTTGTCCTTAAGGTACACTTTCAAAATCAAAATTCCTGTAATTAGCAGTAAAGGTTTTGCGGTTTCCAAAAACATTTTAATTTTTTTTATTAAGCTGAAAACTTTGTTTTAGAAATCGATTGTTATTCAATCGCGTTTTTTTGCTAATTCACTGTAGTATTACGAAAATCCGAAGAGACAAATTACTTGCATTTTAGTCGTTTTTAAACATATGGAAAACCAGAATTAGTGTACCGTACCTAGAATTCCTTGGTAACGTTCTGCTCCACAGGATGTTCCAGTTATTTCGCAGAGTGAAATGGACAAAGAAACCGAGCTTGTCAAGCTCTTCCATGACATCGCCGGCAAAGAGCAGGAGATCGATGTTAATGAATTGGCTGCGGTTCTCCGCAAAGGCTTGAAAACCCGTAAAAGATTGACTCAGTCATAATTGCTCATGAAGAAACAAACAATTAGCTGAATATTTCCCACAGTAATTTTTATTTCTAGACTTTGATTTCAAAGGCTTTAGCCCTGAAATTGTCCGAAGCATGGTTACAATGTCGGATGTGGACTTCTCCGGAAAACTCGGTCTAGACGAGTTTATGGGTTTATGGGAGACTATTAAACAGTGGAAGGTAACAGTTCGACATGTGCATCGAAAAGCCTGTTATTTGTACAGTTCTGAAAAGTGTTAATGTTTAAACTACTTTTAAAGGTAACAATTTAGCTGATTATTCTATTAAGCAGGCTAAGTTTAGGTTTTCCACAAGTCGCGTTTAAATATGCCTTCTGTGTGATTTTCGTGGGTGCGAAATTTTATCAGAAGTGTAATTTGTTCTGGGTAAACTGACCGATGCTCTGATGAGCGTGTGACCGTGTACCAAATACAAAATTATAGAATTAATGGTTCCCTTGCAGGATATTTTTGCCCGGTACGATACGAAAAATGAGGGAAAAATTCAGATGGAAAATCTCCGGGAAGCCATGGAAAGCGCCGGTAACAGTCGTTATTTCCTTGCTGTGCAGTTTGATTTCGGCAAACTTTCGTAAACCTTTAACTGTGTTTAGGTTACCTGGTGAACAGCCATGTCTTAAGAGTTATTGCACTGCGTTATGGACAGTCTGATCGTACTATCACTTTTGAAGATTTTATCCTGTGTGTTGTGCGACTGAGGAGGATGATAAGTAAGCAGGGCATAACAAATATTTTGCGCTTTACAGAAACCGCCTCCCCACATATTCACCTTTCATTTTTTTCAGGTATCTTCCGAACCAAAGACGAGTTAGGGTTGAATTCCGCTATATTTTCGTTTGATGATTGGCTTTTGAACACAATGTACACATAACTGTCTTGTCAACTATTTAAGTGCTTTTAATTGTGTAGTTGTTTTTTATCTGGTGTATTCTATCCCGGTGGATTTCCGGTGACGTTTCACAGTTTTTGGCTGAAAGCCCTGTCTGTGGCTGGTTGCCGTGTTTTGGCTGTATAGATAATGGGCACATTCGTGCATAGAATTGCACAGAATTGCATTGAATCTTTGGGATATTTAAGAGAACATTTAAATACGTAAACAAACTTGCTCGAGTTGATAATAAAATTGACCATAAATTTAATGGCGAAATTTCACATTTTGGCTTATGTAAAAGAATCCGCTGAATTTCAGCGGAATGTTACGGTCAAGCGGTACCTGTGCATACGAGAAACAAAGGAGTTTTCGATGCATTTTACCTGCCTTGTGACTACTTCCACATGTGCTGCCTTGTGTCCTGGAAGTGCGTCGTTTTGTATTTGCCGGTCAGTTGCTGTTATTGTTGTCATGCAGTGCTACTTAAAATTAGAACCATGCAGTAGCACTTACGTACAAAAGCAATGAAGAAAGGCCGGCCCCTTTCAGGTCGCGCAAACTAAGGTTACCATTCACCAGGTAGAACCGTCACACGCTCGGAACTCGGAAGTAGGCAGACAAGAACGCCTAGTGAGCACACGACCAGACCACTCCTGGATGGCCGGCTATATACGTGTCAAACAAACTTTCAACCCTTTTCATAAGTATATAAAGCAGAGTAGCAGCACTTCTTTATGGAAGCCATTTTTTAGATGTTTATGTACTCTGTAGTGGTCAGCTATACGTTGTACTTGCTGTCCCAGATTCATCCTCGTATTAAGCTACAGTATTTTATCATCAGTTAGAACCAAACGTTTGGTGCTCCGCAGTTGCACGGGTGAGACACATTCTGCAGTATCGATACGTGTGGTGACTCGTGACCTTGGCAGCATTTACTGTAGTACTTAGTTTGTTTTTTATATGGTAGGCAATTTCCGGTACAGTACCGCTGTAAAAGTACAATGGCATTGTTACTCATAGGGCACAGTCACGGCACAGATCGTTCATATATTTTTTAATCTTGACTATTTTTTCCTACAGAGATTGATTGTCATTTGCTAATCAGATGCCTAACAAGGGTCCTGCAAATGCCGGTGAACCCAAAGGGGGAGGTGGAAAAGGACACGCCGGTGGGAAGGGCGGCGGGGCAGCTCCGAAAGGAAACCATCCGGCTTGTCATGCCGCACCGCCGAGGGTACATATTCACCTGCATCAAGTGAACCCGAACCCCAATCCCCAGCGGCATGATCCAATCGTGGCGATTAATCGGCCCGCCGTAGTACACCACCACAATCATATCCACAATCAACAAGCACCCAAAGGCCGCTAACTGCAACGTGCGCGCGTTTGATGTAGTTCGAGTTGTTCTAGCAAGTTGCCTACGAGTAAGCCTGTTAACTGCATTTCAATTATTTCAATGTTAGCACTTAGACATAGCTTTCGTATCAAAACAGTTCTTTTATGTCAAGCAAGCGGGACCATGTCTCACGTTTTGGTAATAAAATAATAGCATCGGTAAAGAAGATTTGCGCTTTAATCTATTCTGTGCACATCTTGCCATTAAAATAAGTATAAAAAATTTTGAGCAAAATTCCAATGTGCAACCCTGGACAACAACAAACAATGAACTATATGTACAATCTAAAAACCCACTGCAGTCCAATAACACAATCAAACTTTTACCCAGTAATCACAGTTCTATATAAAAGGCCCACAGAATCTTTGACAACATTATTAAATTTATTTTGAATAATACGCTTCTTGAGAGACTTTGATCGAAATACGACCACGATCTTGTTCACGACTGAGCCATCTGCATAACCTCCAAACAAGAGCATCCACAACCACTGGGACAAATTCCGTTGTACTGAAACCACTCCTCCTGAAAGCAAAAATTTATGTTAAAGATAGTGTCCAATTAAGACGAAAGTTAAGAAGAATACAGTATGTAAATGTTCATTTGTAATATAGGAAATAAAACCATCGAAGCTCGTAAAGGAAGCGATAGAACTAAATATGTTTAGCATCACCAGAAATTAGATAAACCGAGCGCGGTCATAAATCGGGCACAAAAACCAGTGGCAGTGCAAGTTTTGTATCGTCTTCAGGTGCACTGCATTTCATTTTCGAGCACAGACTATAGTTACTCTACAGCTGTATCAGCTATTGTAGATTAATCTTAAATTACCGTACCATGTGAACAAGATGTCCGCCGTGTCCGCAAAGTATACAGAATGTCGACAGTCCCTTTACCGGACCGTGGCATATGGAGCATGAAACAGCTGTTTTCTTGCAATTGAAGCACTGCGATCCTCGCACTTCCCGGTCACATTTATGACACAGGCTATAAAATTCTGCAAAATCACAAAAGGTAAAAAACTCAAACGTACGACACGTGCAAAATTTAAATTTATATGTTCTCACATGTACTATGTAATCAAAATAAGAATTAATAATATTCAAAGGTCAGTCTCAGTACTCAAGAAGTACTCGCAAAAACCTTATAAACTACTTCAAGAGATAAATTCCTACCTATCCCACGATGCGGATCAGGCAGCTGTCCCAGGCACTTCAATATTTCCGCCCGTTTATTAAGCAATCGGAAACTGTGTAGTAAATCACAGTACTCGCGTTTGTACAGATCAAACTCCATCCGCCGACTCGGACTGATAAGACCCTTATCATCTGCGCTATCCCGTAACTGTTCTTCCGCCAGCCCATTCCGATCACCGCCCGTCGAGATGGACCAACTGCTGGAGCGTTTATCCTTGAAAGACGTGGAAACCACATGTGTCCAGCCATCGCAGGTGTCGTCGCTGCGTAGTGTATTCTGCACGGAGGGCGGACTCAAGTGAACCACCGATGCCGATTTGGAAGCACGGTTTCCCCCTGCACCTGACTGCGAAGGTCGCTGTGAGCAAGAAAATCGGCAAAAAATGCATGCCAATGTTGCTAGGAAGGCGGAATCATAGCCTTCTCTGTAGTGCTTTATTCTGAAAATACAAACAAAATGGATGTTCCTCAGGTACAAGTACTGCAGAAAAAAACGTGTTAGAATGCACTGCTACTCACATATCGTCCAGCATTGGCCGACCAAAAGGATGCAGTGACCATGGGCAAGAATCGAAATCAGACGCCGGTGCAACGTTGGGCTTAGATATGACCGCTAGCAGTCTCCAGATATGTGCCAAATCTTTACGGTCCACAGAATCCGCTAACTCAGCGTTGTGCAGTAAACTCATCACAGGACTTGTGCTATCGTTGCTGAAATAAGTAAAAAGAAACAATTTTACAATAAAATAGAAACTAAATCCAAACAGAACGATACCGAAACTAAAAGCGATCGCAACGAAACCCTTTGCGAAGACGTACATTAAGAAAAATAGAAAGAATAACAGTTAACCAAATATACCTTACAATTTAAACTAGGTTTGGTCATAACACCACAGCGATCTTCAACCAGTGTATGATGTCATAGTCCTTAACGGTATTTACGCACCGATAATGAGCAACCAAGGCAGGATGGACGGGAAGAAGCCCTTGCACGTTAAACACGACAATCGGCCGTTTGTCTGCCTTGCCCTTTTTCCGCAACGGTTTCAGCACCTGCCGCACCGTGTTGGATAAATCCGACGGATAAATCATGGAACCGGTGCGTTCCGTAAAGCTTTTCGAGCTCGTGGAATGGCCCAGTTTCCAAGCGTCACTCCAGCGTACCAATTTATCTCCAGCAAAATGGGCACCACATATCCGCGGAAACGGCACTGGCACGGCAGAAGAGTACTGGATGGGGGCACTACCGGCTGGGAAGAGTTTGGCGGCCGCCGCATTGATGACCGGGGAATATGTATCACTGCGTTGGCTGATTAGGCGAGTAATCGGTTGTCCCATCTTGAAATTCGCTGGCTGCTGGCGTGCAGGTGGGGAAATGAACGCCGGGTGGCCATCTAATCGCGGCGAAGGACTGGCATCCGACGACAGAGTGCCCAGAAACTGGAGCACAGCACGGATGCCCAACGCCAATGACATCGCTTGGTTTTTCAGACAGCGGTTAAATATATCAGTTAAAACTTGGGTCACCTAAAAGAGCCGATCAACCAATTTTAAAATGCTGGATCAACAATACTATTGCGAAATATTTCTCATATTCGAATGATTGCAGTCATCATCACTGAACCTTATGACTCACTTGTTTCTGTGCAATCGGGTTCAACGTGGTTTCAGTACCAAGGTTAAAGATCGGGCAACTAGTGTCTGGATATCCCGAAGGAAACAATAATGAGATCTTCACAACATGCGGACCACATGTGACAGAAACAGTGCACGTTCGCATTTTGGCGTCCTGCTCATCCAACACCACGTTGGGCATATCAATAGACCGCAGTTCCCTTTCCAAAGGAAAATTCGGGAAAGCCGGAGGCGACATGGAACCGGTCAAACTCAGCAGCGACTGTGAACCGGCGGAGTAATTATTCTCTTTGCCTCCCACTACATTCATATCGACATGGTGATGATCCAAGACAATTGTATGGTTAAGGAACGCCGAACCACATTGCTTTATTATGGACGTATCACTCTTCCATAGGCGTAACGTCTGATCTTTCGACCAGCTAATCAGCTGGAATTCCCCTGAACGCGGAGACCGCCAGAAGAAATCGTAGATCCCTTCCGTATGCCCCGAATAGATGTGCACTGGGGTGGAGATATCGCTAAGCGCCCACAGCGTCAGATTATGCTCGCCACGGTGCAGTTGCGGGATGCCGACACTAACAAGGGCTTCACCAAACGGAGTAAAACGGGCCCTCCACACAGGAGAAGGCAGTGGGATAATGGTTTCCGGTTTCTTTGGTGCTGAAATGTCCCACACCTACCAAGCAAATTCGTGATCGAGCGGTATTGCAGTCTGCATTTGCCACAATCCTTCTAAGCAAAATTTTGTAACTGATAATGTAAAAACACTCAATTTGTAATTTAAAAACGGAAAGTCACTAAACAAAGTTGAAAATAAGTAATTAAATGTACTGAGAACGGCAACGTCGCTGAAAAACGAACAAAACAAGAAATACGTTTTTTAAAGAATCGCTGAAAATACATTGGAATTGCAAGCCATAAAGCACTTGCATGGATCATAGGCAAAGATAATTCAAATTAAGCACAATCGGCGATATAATGCTCAAAAAGGGAATGCTCTCACTTTGATGTGGCTATCCTGACCACAAGTGACCAAATGATTTCCATTTGACGGACTCCAATCAATTCCATTTATTTTGGCCGAATGAGCCGTAATGTATTCGATTGGTGTATTCGCCTTGCGGAAATCCCAGATTTTACAATCCGCTTCGTGCGCCGTCGCCAGGAAATTCTTACCGACTTTACACCACTTTGCTTGGGATGCGCCGGACACAGATGGCAGACTGGCGACAGGTTTTCGGACATCCTTAACATCCCAAATGTTGACATAGCTGTCCACTGAACATGTCACTAACACTGTCGGCTCCGCAAAATTCCAGTCCAAATCCAAGATAGATCGCGCATGTCCTGTAAATAAACCAATATTATTAATAACGAGAAAAAACGGTAATAAGCAACATTCAATCCACCGAAAATTTTAATCTCTAATAACATTTTATTTACGCGCGTGTCTTATAAACAAAACGGTGCGTGTGTCTTTTAAACAAACGAAAAAGCGGTGCTATATATAGTACACAAACTAAATCGAAGAAAAAATGAAATTTAACAACAATATTTTTTAAGCGTCATCCCCTAATCATTTAGTTACGCTGTCAGAATCTAAAGCAACTTCTCTTGTTTACGCAGAAGTCACATATGTACACAGGAAATTTTTTCATACGAAACAAAAAAGTGCCGTAACACTGTACGTAATAGGGACATTTCGAAAAAATGTACATCACTAGAACAAAAAAAACAGTGATCGTAAAGGTAAGAAATAAAGATAAGAACGTACAGTTTACTGCAGAAAAAAATTATGGAATTATAGTAAGTAACTTTAAGTAACTATTATACCCATCATTATAGAAATTACACTAAAAATATCACGTAAATTTTTTCGCACCTTTGATGGGCACAGCAGTTTTTGGTAGTTGTAGATTCACATTCTGATAGTCAAAATTCCAAACATCCACTTTCTGGTTGGATGCCACGGCTAGCATGTGGCGATGATGAGGATGCTGGTTCCAGCCCACGACGCTAACTTCCCATTTACTCGTTCGAGGAACCTTGAAAAGAGCTGCCTGAGGTTGATTGAGATCGATCAGGGAGATTCCTAACCGACCAGCCAGAACAGCAAAACGTCCCGTGCAATCCAAGGCTGCTGTTGTCGCTTTGGCATCGCGGTGTTCGCACACCAGATCCTCTGTGCTGGTGCTCCATGTCACTGCCATAGCCAAATAATCACCATAAAAACTTCTGCGCAATACGCACCAACTCCAACTCCACTGTTTCAAAGACGAGCTGAATTATGAAAAAAAAACTGATAATGCACAGCAATGTAGGTACGTACAGAAAACTGGATAAGCTGTATCAGAAAACTGGATAAGGATAAAGCTCATCATAATAGAAATTTACAATCAGAAAAGCCACCAAAATTCAAACAACTGCCAACGATAGTAACGGCCGTAGCCCGTAGGGCAGGCATATATGCCCGTAAGTTGTTTAAAACGCAAACACAGCTGATCAATCCAGCTGTAACCATACGGGACGAATTTATAGCAGGAATCTGCAGGAACCCGATTTTATAAATCAGCTTTGTTCTAATTGTAAGCTGAGTGAATCCTTGTAAAACAAACATTCCTCTAAAAAGTTGGGTATCGGAGCACGAATAAGTGGTTCTATCCTTATTCAGTTTTTCCGAAGGCTGTCGTAAAAATGTGCAACTGGCGCAGCAGATATTTTGCAGGGCGCGATTGATTGTTGTAGTGGACGGAGAGCTCTAACAGCTCTTTGTTGTATTATAAAGCCGAGAACTAGAAGGGAAGAAAAATAATATAATTTTATTATAAAATACACGAGAGAAAAATTATACAGCATTGTAAATAATCAGGTTTCCAGCAGTGGCAACTTCCTACTAGCGCTGTGCATGTCCCGTGATGCCGTACTAACAAGCAGATTACTGATCGTGGTTACTGTACTTACCTGTACGTCACTGTGGTCAAGTGCCGACAGCGGAATGAAACTTATGATTTTCTACAAGTTTTGCACTTTCTTTCCGGCTTCACACTATAGATGGAAGCGGAGATCAACGTAACGTTTCGCTGTTGCGAACAAAAAGTTGCCTTATGGACTGAACAGCTATAAACTGCACCAGATATTAATTACTGTAATGGAACAGACTTTCGTCAAGTTTCGTGTGTCAAACATCTTTGTCTACATTTTGAAGTATTTTACTTTCGTTCGTGTTAATTACATAGCACCAGGACAACAAAAATTTACGAATACGTACCTGTGCAGCAAAGATATCGTAGCATCATTACCCTAGAAAAAATTAATTTTCCAAAGAAAAATAAATGTTCCGAAATTGACTGCAATAAGACTGCAGTCTACAGTTTACCCGCACCCAGTGGTCCCCCACTGCAGTCAACTGCACCCACACGATTCTCAATTTCTCACGGCTTTATAATTTATAAAACGTATTACAAAATGCAGATGTTTTACATTACAGTACTTCAGTAATTTATCGTGTCATGCTACAGTCAAAAATATACGAAGCAAGAATTATGACTCAACACCACGCAATACAGCATAGGATATTTATTTTAAATTTATTAAAGTCGACTTGAAGAAAAGCACCTCAAACCAGAAACACAAAACTAACGATTTATACAGAAAGAAATGAAGTTACGCTATAGACTATACAGCAGTCAATTTAGCGAAAACGAACAGTAAACTGAAATCATGCAACAAACGCTTGCGCAAATCTTTTTTACGGAGTCGGCGGAGGATCGAAGAACGACTTGGTAGTCTTCTCACGTGTAGGCCGAATGAAGGGTAAGGGCCAGTAGAAGTTTTCAAATTGAGGAGGTTTGAATTCATACGGAGTCGTTTCATGTCGGTAGCGCAGCTTCACTTCTCGTTTTAAATTAAAAAGCGCTAACATATACTCGGATCCAGGCATCAAATACTTCTGCCTGTGTGCCTCGTATTCTTTCAAAGCATCTTCCCAATCCGGTCTGCAAACAAAACAAAGTTACTTCTAGTGTCAGTCTCTGACAATGAGGGTCAACCACACATGTGGGACCATTAAGTAACTGTGCATACTTACACAAATGTAAGTTTTATTTACATTTACAAAAGCCTTGATATTTGTTTACGTTTTAATTAAGTAATTGGTCAGCGGTCACCCGAAGTAGTCAGCGTTGATCAAGTGGTCAACATTAACTCAAGCTTAGAAAAAACGAAGAAAAGCAAATATTTACCGTAATAAAATCTACTAAGGGATTGGCCAGCGTGCCAACACATAAGCAGTCAATTCAGTATGAAAAATTTGTGTGAAAAATAACTGCCAATCTGCGGATATGTCCATCATATGGGCTTCAACTGAGATCCAAGTTCCAACTAACCTCATCATGATCTTCTCCATAGTTAAACGGCGAACTGCCTGCGTGGCGGTGATGGGTCTGTTCCATTGTGTTTGTAGAGCAAGATTATTGATCGCTGCAAATACGAAAAAGATTTACAAATTTCAAGTTTGTCAGTGATTTTGAATTTTAATCAGTAAGTACTGGAGGTGATGGGACAAATCTATCAAATTTTTTAAAACCGAAACTAACAATTCTCGCACAATGCCGTGATAACAATCATAACATCAATAATGCTGTGACTGACAGCAACTCCAGTATGCGCACAAATGTCACACAAGTGACAATTCGTTCACATTGGTTATCCCATTAACGAACTCCATACAAATAAATGAATTGTTTATGTGAACGATCACGTACATTATTATCACGTCAGTAAAGCGTTCAGGCATATTACATTAATTTTTGTTTACGTATTGTACTTTAATACCTGTTGAAATATGTACTTATGTCTGCACTCATCGTATTTCAGTAGTAGATGCATATCGCTTTATCATAAGATTTAGTACAGAAAACTAAAGTCACCAAAAAAAATCAGCGCACAGCGCCGCACACTTCTGGAAGTACTGCATGCTGATTAAACCAGGGGGTACTTACTGAAAGATTCGTCTGGATTGGTGCGGGCCTTCTCGTTCATACCCGGATCGTAGTTGATGCGTCTCCAGTGTGCCTTGTCGGAATCATTGGGGTACCTAAAAACATACTCGATCAGTTTAGCTGTTTACAGTTTCCGTACCATATTTCGTTGGGTTTATTTATATAACAGAATAACATGAGTTCGCCAGAACAAATGTTGAAAAGATAAGCAAACAGGATACAACGCAACACAGAAATCGCCCATTATCTGGAGTGAGAATGTGAGATGATGTACTCGTGAAAACTAAACCGAAAAAAATCTACCACTGAACTTTACTTGTCGCCTTTCCTTATTATTTATAGTTTCGGGTTCCGTTTGTGGACTTACCTGTTCGAGATATATTTCGTAGTGTGAGGAGTTATAGGTTCAAGCAACCACTCGAGCACCATGATTGCGGTGTATTATTACTCTGGATAAGTACTTCTAAAACTGGGAGCGAAATGCCCGTAATTTCCAATTACGAACAAAACACAATTACGGTAACAATTTGTTTATACTTCGATTAAATTTCTGAATCTTTAGAACTTTTTCATGCAGCTGATAACAGCCACCCTCTTGCTTGAAACAATCTTATTTTGGCTATACTAGGATCCAAACTCTTATCTCGATAACAAATATCAGATTATGCATTATGCTGATAATGATTCATATACTGTCAATGAACAGAAAGTCGGTACTTAATAATTTAATAATATCGTAGTTCCGCACTTCTGTTTGCTGCCGCCTACAAGATAAGTAGCATATGCTCACCTATACCCGCAATTAATAATAGAATCCTGCCTGTGCAGCCTGTGATCTTGAAAGCTTGGCCTTTGCTTCCGCTATACTATATGTACAGAGATCCAGATCAGATCATCGTATGAGATTTCTATAGACACATATGTATAAATTTTCAAATTCCTTTGTTAATTTCGCGTAATGTGAATACAAAACAGAATAATATATACTAGTAGGCATACAAATGTTTTCGATATTTTAGTTGCGCACTTGTGCCTACGTTTCATGGCTGTCTAGGAGTCATAATGATTTAAGATCTCGTAGCATATGTTCACTATGCTCTCAGTGCCACCTTAAGACGAAACAGAATCGTGCCTAGTAGATATTCTTCTACTCTGAGCCCTGTATAATCTGTGTTGATGTGCTGTGCAGCATCTTGCATCTAACTACAATGCAATCAATGTACTCTCTTACTATATCATTACTCTATACTCTATACTAGTAGTTATAAGTATGGTTTTGCCTCTACTTCAACTCTTCAAGTGAGTTGGCGTTGGCTCATTTGCCTTTTGATTTTTTGAACAACTTCAAGTTGCTGCGTAGCACCACAAGATGTGATATCCAGATTTCTCCCAGAAATTTGTAGTATTCGTTCGAGAAATTCTATAGAATTTCTTTGTTTTAGATTAACTGTGCAAAATTTATTGCGTCGCTTTATGGTTTATCTATCTCCCTAGTACAGAGTAGTGCTAGCGCAGCGTAATAGTACTTATCAAATCAATCGTTTTTTATCATTAGCTTTTATCAAAGAGGACCATTGTATAACGTCGTGTCACAATGGGAGACGCTGCCAAATCATCGCCTTCGTACTCGTTACGCCAACGGCCAACAAAATCTGTCAGCCCAACTGGCAGTAGAAGTAGTCGTCGTTCTGCGCCTAAGCCCCGACTTTCCAGAAAACGTTCCCATTCTCCGCAAGTGTTAGTCGATAACATGGCTGGCGAACTAGACGACGACACTGCCTCGCAAACGAGCTCGGGCTCGGAGGACAGTCCCCGTTTCACGTATACCCCGTCGACATCCAAAGAGACCTCCCCTGTTCCTGCTCGTTCCTACGCCGACACCGATCCCTTAGTCAAAGAGCCGCCCATGAACGAACAGCCACCGTTGGCCTTGACATTTGCGGCTTTGTATTCGGATGGTGAACTGGCGCAGCAGGAGCGTGATCGAGTAAATTACGATGTGCAGGTCTCTCTGGAGAAAGCTAAAGCGGGAGAGTGTGATCGGCCAATTCGTGTCTACGCTGATGGGATTTACGACCTGTTCCATGCAGGTATGTTGGAATTTCGTTTATCAGCACGCAAGTCATGGCGGTGTAGTTACTAAACGTTTTCTGAAGTTCGGAAAAACGTCAAGAATCGTGAATAACGCTGGAATTTCCGACTTGTTAGGAATGTTAATTTTGGTGGAGCCGTGTGGTTTTTTAGTGGTTTTGAATACATGTTATTGCAAGTTTTTTGGAAAGCAAAATGAGCGTGCTACTTTTTACTTGTAAAAATTGTTAAATGAACTTGAGCCACGCAAAAGCACGCTCTTTAAATATTTCTTTTGCGCCATTTTGGACACAGAGTGACATCGTTTTTTGTAAGCGTTGTGTTTAATTATTTAGTGAGAAATAACGCAGCTTTGCATGCGTACTAACTGATAATAATAATTTATTATTGTTTTTGGGTATAACTTGGGATAACTTAGTCTGCATTCTGCAGCATGCTTGACTACAATGCTGCAATGATGTTAGTACCAGGAGAAAAGTTCATGGTTCCGATTTTTTTTACGTCGGTCGTATCAGTTCATTGAGTTGCCAGTTCACAACTCTTGGAAATCAGATGGTGCGGAATGTGTTGAATTGAATCGTTTCTTTGAACTTGTGATCCAAATTCCAGCATTTGTAGCAGTTTATGCACCTAAATACTCGTACTTGTGAACTGTATAATAATCACAGTTATCAGTGACTTATCACGTTACGGAAGAAGTAGCGCGATGAGATTGTTAGCGACGGCTCCTTTTGTCTTTACACCGTGAACAACTTTTTAAGCATTTTATTTGCAGTTTCAATTTTCGCACCGGTGGAAATATCATAGTTTGTGTTTTAAATAGGCGTACAGCCTAGACAGAGACTGTGTGACTGTTTAGTGATAATAAGTTGCAGTGAAATTGATAATAACGATGTTGAGTATTCTTAGTTCTTACTTCTTACTACCGTACTCTTTAATATTGACATACTGATACACTAACTACTACCGCGATACTGCTGACTTGCTGAGCGACGTTTCGATATATTTTCTAGGTCATGCCCGCCAATTGATGCAAGCCAAAACAGCTTTCCCTTCTGTTTACTTGATCGTGGGAGTTTGTAATGATGCCTTAACACATAAATTAAAAGGAAAGACGGTAATGAATGAATGGGAGCGCTACGAATCCGTGCGTCACTGTCGCTATGTGGATGAAGTGTACCGCAATGCCCCGTGGGTACTAACACCGGAATTTCTAGCGGAAAACAAAATCGATTTCGTGGCCCATGACGACTTACCGTACGGGGCCGATGATCACGATGATATTTATCACTGGGTAAAACAGGCTGGACGTTTTGTCGCTACTCAGAGGACCGAAGGAGTGTCCACTTCTGATGTTGTTGTAAGTGGATAAAGCTTTGTCATGCCCTTGGGTGTGTGCACTGCACACTGTGCAGTACATTTTTACTTTACTCTTTTTCGAACCGATTGAATACTAGTATACCTAATGCAAGTAAGACGTGCGAGCAACATTTTCTGTTTCTTAGAATCTTACATTTTATTTCTACCATAAGCCACGAGACGCTTTTTGCAATACTGCACTTTTGAACTGCTGTTTGATGGATTGCAGTTTTTTTATATTTGCAGCTAGGTACTACAGCTCTTTAAAGTTTAAACTGTAGTTTTTTACTAGCTGTTATTCGAAAACTATGTGGGTCGTGGCCTGTAGTTGTATGCTGTGTTGATGTCTGTCCCGTGGTCTGCGACTTTTAATGTCACTCTTTTGGAATCTGTTTATGCTGATTATGTAGCAGCTCCGCGACAAGTATTTTGCAATCACTGATAACAAAGAAAGCTGTTTGTCTATGCCAAGAGCAATATGTACTACTATGCACAGTTTAAAACTGCATTTTACCCATAGATATATCAGTATCATCTACCGTATTTTGACAGGCCCGTATTGTTCGAGATTACGACATCTACGTACGGCGGAATCTAAAGCGTGGCTATACCCGGAAGGATTTAAATGTCGGCTTTATGAAAGAAAAGCGCATCCAGTTCCAGGAGAAAATAGGCACGATTCGCAAGCGCACCCAGAAAGTTGTGGAAGACATTGAGGAGCGCAGCCATCAAGTGCTGAACAAGTGGGAGGAAAAAAGTCGTGAATTCGTGGATAATTTTCTGCTGCTCTTCGGCCAGCAGGGTCGGTTAAATCGAATGTGGAGTGCCAGCAAGAAAAGCTTGAAAAGGGCCCTGTCACCCAGCGCTTCGGACGAAGAGGCCAGTGATACTGAGGACAAGCCAACGGTCTCCAGGAAACGTCGACGGGAAGCGGATTTAAGTGAGGATGAAGACGAAGGAGCCAGTAATTACAGCAGCAAAGCAGCTCCCTTGTCGACGTCGTTGGAAAGCTGAGGTGGACAGACAAATCACTGAGTGCTTGCTTGCGCATGGGATATTTTTATTTTAAGCACTACTCATTGTGGAAGACCTCGAGATTGATCGATTGTAGCTGCGCTAGGCTGGGAGTACAGCTTCCTATTTAAGTCGGCGGGTTTCCTGGTTTCCTTAATTATTGTTGTTTTGCATTTTTTGGTTTGAGCAAGGAAAGGTGATAAATAATGTTGGCTTTGACCGGTGTGCATTTTGATTTCCTGTCGAATGTTCAATGTTGTTGTTTCTGTATATTTACTGCCATTCTGCCAACTTGTTACTGTGCCACTTGTCGCCATGGTTGATGGTCGCTCAGAATTCGAACACATTATGCGCGATTGCAAAATGTATGTTGGGTTGGATCACAGTCATAAAATGGTAGCATCAGTTTATCTAGTGAAACTGGATTTCTGTCAGATAATTGTGACTTTTCGATTTTGTTACAGATCACGAGGATACATAATAATACAGTAATTTATCTGCATCGTAACCCATAGACAAGACACCTCAGATTTTGACACTGTATAGAAAGGCTAGCGAGTGACGCTTTACTTAACATTGGATTAAATTGCTAACATAATAACCTCAAGTACTGAGCAGAAACCTTTTAGTACTCGTACTGTACTTATCAATTCAAAGTGAACCAGTTTCGTAAAATTGAAGTGTAGAACTGTGGCAGCCGCAAAGACGGGCTGATACAACTTACGGAAAAGAGAGGTGAGCTAATTTCAAATAAAAAAAAGTGGGGTCGGGGCCACCCGGCCATAGCTTACCCCAAGCTTTAGCCTCTGCTCGCTGCTCACCAGAATTATGCCACATTTTCACCGCAGTCGCGGCAAGGTTTCCCGTATCTGTTTGATAAATAATTTATCTTTACAGGTCTAATTTAATTTATTTTCTCATAAAATGGCTACTTTAGTCGACGGTCGAAAGCGTTCGACCGCATCACGCTCCGATTCTGCGAGCTATCCCCACATGCCGAATTTTGCCGATCCAGCCGATTACATCGACAATATCAGTGATGAAGGTGAGGAGCCGCCGTATGATGTATCGCATCCTGAACGGGGTTCTTCCCCATTTTCCGCATCCTACTTCCGAGGGAATCATGTTTCCGTATGGTTTACAGAATTATTAACGGATATCCTGAAAGTGCGTCCTAATGAAACGACGGGAATGGAAAGTATCATCATTCTGGATGGACTGCCTATGGTGCCACCGGAGCGCCTGGAAAAATTGAAGAACGTGGTCAAGAAGATCATGGGCCAGCTGGCCAGCTTTGATGTGGCCGAAATAATCAATGAGATTCATCCGCTGGATGAAAATAATGTGTCCAAAGGGTGAGTTAGAATGGTGAAATGCTGGAAAATCATGTAGTTTGTGCGGATTATTTATTCAAATTTTTTCCTGGATTTTATTTGTTTGCAGATTCGCGTTTTATGAATTCGCTGACTCGGATGCGGAACCATCGACAGCGGCGCGGGTTAAGAAAGCGATGAATGGATATAAATTCGACAAGCAGCATACATTATCTGCAGACTTCTTCGTGGATTTCGATAAGTAAGGCTGTTAAGGCTTTATAGAAATTTGCCTCTGAAGTTTTAACAAAATTCCGCAAATCGTTATTTTTCTGGTCCGCTTGTTTTTTTCATCCTGTCAAATGCCGGCTTGATTAAGACAAATTAGCCTAAAAGTTTAATTGATTTAGGTATATCTCAGTCCCGGATGAAGCGGAAGAGCCAACAGTTCGGCCTTTCAAGGATCCCGTGAGTGTGTTTTTGGGAATTCGGATTTTTGATTTTTCTGTGTTTTCTTCCATTAATTTGGTTGTCGTTGATCAGGGGAATTTGCGCTATTGGCTGGAAAGTGATGACTGTTATGATCATTATGCTGTCATATGGGGCGGCAACACAGGAACCGAAAAGATGACGGCATACGCGAATTCTCCCGTGGAGCCTGCTTTGCTGGAAGAACGCGATGTTCGTATACGTAACATTTGAATAGAATTTTATTACTTTTGTAGTGTTATTTGACAGTCGATTTTTACATTTCGTTGCACAGATTTCTTTGCTTAATTCCGCGCGGATCACCCGCTTATACATAAACTTTTATTAATTTAGACATGTTTTTTACTAATTAATTCAGCGCAGCAGGTTTCGTTTTGAATTAAACAGTAAAAGAAATTATAAGTGACTCGCTAATATGACCAACTGATTCGGAAAGCAGTGACGTTATTTCAGCACTGGACCGACCGCTACGCCATCTGGTCACCCCTTGGCACCTACCTGGCCACCTTTCATCAGAAAGGAGTAGCCCTTTGGGGCGGACCCAAATTTGCGCAGATCACCCGTTTCAGTCACGAGGGAGTCGTAAATGCAGCCTTTTCTCCTAATGAGCGGTAAATATGCTACCAGTACTTGGTTTTTTCGGCCATGGTTGTCTGAAACGCTGTGGATTTGGTTCTCCCGATTAGAGAAAAAGACGAGTCTAGCAGTTTTTAAAGTGATTATTCTGTTTGTTAGTTATATTCTAACGATGCGCAACAAGCCCGAACATCTGCCGGTGGACGAGCAGTGTCTGATACTGTGGGATGTGGTAACGTCGGCGAAAAAGAAGAGCTTCGCCTGGAGCGAGAAGGACTCTCCGAATCCGAATTTTCTGAAGTAAGACCAGCGCATGCTGTTGGTTAGGTGATTGATGTTTGAATGTGGTTCGCATTCCAGGTGGAGTCCGGACGAAAACTACTTTGCCACAATGACAAAAAACGAATGTATTAACATTTACAACACCAAGGTTAGTGCTGATTGTGTAATGTGAACAGTTTTCCGTGAGCTCGAATAGCGAAAGTTTTTCCTTTTTAAGGCTTTTTCATTTAATTACGATCGATTGGAGACATTTATATGCCATGTATAACTTGTATCAGCCGTTTAATATTATTTATCGTTACATAGACTTTCTCTCGCGTCGTCCGCGAGATTCCCGGCGTGGCAGATTTCTCATGGAGTCCGGCACATAATTATCTCGCCTACTGGGTGCGTGAGAGTGACAACAAAGATGTACCGGCCCGAGTCGTTCTTCTGTACGTTCCACCCGACAAAGACAAGCCCATGGAGGAGATCCGCAGTAAGCAGCTGTTCAGCGTCAAGGACTGCGAATTCTACTGGCAGAAAAACGGCGATTACATGGCCGTCAAAGTGCAGCGTTATAAGCATATCAAGAAAAAAGGCGAAAACAAGTTTGACTACGGTGGAATATTTCACAATCTGGAGATTTTCACCCTGATTAAAAGAAAGGAAGTCCCCGTAGAATCCATTGAGATACGAGGTGAGCAGAGCGAGACCGGTTTCGGAAGTTATATTTCAGTTTTTTAGACTACCAGTTCGCGTGGCAGGTTGTTAGAGAAATAGATCCATTGGTCCTGTTTCACAAGATCAGTTGGCATTTTGAAACCACGTTGATGATCTTTTTGCCTCTCATGGGTCTCTTCCTTTAATTAGTAAAAAAACTTGAACGTTAACTTATTTTAGTAACATGCAATGATTTATCAGAAAACTGAATGAATTTCATTGACGTTTGCAGATCCCATCGTGGATTTATCCTGGGAACCAAATGGCAACAAATTAGTGGTGCTGACTGTTGCTGATTCAGTAACATCGGCTAATTTCTATAGTGGACGACAAGGCGTCACTTTCGAATTAGTCAGTAAGTGTCATTGTCCATCGAAAAGTTGCAGATCTTCTGCAAATTTCAGATTTTTGATTACGAGTATCTGTGCGTTATAGAAAAATTAGCGCTGCGGCACAAAGTGGAGAAAATCTCCTGGTCACCTATGGGACAATTTGTCGTTCTTCACACGGCTTCGAGGTAAAGCAGAATCGTATTTCTGACGGTGTACTGACTACTGATTAAGACAGTCTGTATGTTATGCAGCGGAAGCGTTGGGTATTTAATTTTTGTGGACACCGCCGATTTGTCAGTGTTGGCGGATGTGGAACACTTTCTGCTCTCTGATGTCCAGTGGGATCCCACAGGACGCTACCTCACAGCAGTTACATCCTCTTCGAATGCAGGAAACAGGGTAATAATTGTTGTTTAATAATTGAGCACTACCAATAATTTTTTGCTTCTTCGTTGGGTTTTTATGCAAAGAATATCGGATCCTAATGATTGGTTAAATGCTTGTACATTTATAATGATACTTTCTGTATTTCAAGACAGTGCAATTGTTTGAGGTCTGTCCAGGTTGATACTAGATTATTTTGATTTTCTCAACCCAGAAATCTTTGTGAATTTACAGAAAGATAATGGATTTACACTGTATTCCTTCCAAGGCCGCTATATCCGTAATGAGAAAGTGGATGGATTGAGTATGTTTAGCTGGCGACCGAGACCCGTTTCGATTCTGCCGGCAGAGAAGCTTAAAGACATCAAGAAAAATCTGAAGAAATACGCATCGGAATTTGAAACTAAGGATCGCTTGTTGGCATCGAAGGCGTCGAAGGTGTGTTGATGTAATTGCAGCACAGGGAAGCACAAAAACCGTATTATGTTGATTTAGGAAGTCTCGGAGCGGCGAAAACGCCAGATGACAGAGTTCACGGATTTTTTGACGACAAAACAGCGCTATTTCGAGCAAGGACGACACAAACGAGTGGCGCTAAGACGAGGTGCGTATTTTGGTGTTCATAACAGGAAGACAGTTTAGAAAAAGTGCAAATTTGGTGGAAGATGGATAGAGTTGAAGTTGACAACGTTGCTATTCCATTTGACGTACATTTTTAAAAAGCATTTTCGGTAAATTTTCGAAATTGACTGACTTACTATTTAATGCTGGGCGTTTAAAATTTGCGTGATAGATTTTAACGAATTTGCACGGTGTGAGTTCCTCCTGCATAATTTTTTTAATTTAGATTAATGAAATGCCTGTGTTTGTTTGATAAAATACTTCTGCTGTTTGGTGATTTGGAACGTTGTGCATGACGTTAAATATGATTAGTAGTTTTTTTATTATTTTGTTGACCACCCTTTAGGAGTGGACACAGACGCGCTGGATGCCCATCCGGATGAGCTGGTGGAAGAACAGCTTGAAGTGATGGTCAATATGACTTTTACTAACATCGAATAGTTTGTCGAGAGTCACTTTCGTTGTTTTTGGTACATGTTGAGTTAATGCTAATTGTAATCGCATGGACAGTAGCTTGAGAATTAATGTTGGGAATATGTAGCTTATCTGTTTCATTTTTTGTTTGATTTCAGTGCTCTTTTCTAGTTAATTTTCGCAGGTTTTGCTGAAATTCCGAAATTGTATGACATCACCGTGTCTACTGCAAAACGCTTTAAATACGCTAATATTACATACAAAAAATTGAAAAAAGCATGCCTTTTTGTATCCGCCGAACAACGTCAACGTCATTGATCTGCATAGTGCTAGCCTCGAAGGGTTCGGTTTAGGTAAATGTTACGATATCTCTACAGCCCAAAGTACAACGTTATTTATGCAGTTCTGTAACGTATTCGTAGCCCGAAGGATTAGAACTGTAGTGTACAAAAGATGCAGTAAACCGTATTCGTAATAATTTAACGAAAGAATCCCAAGGTTCTGTAAACCACTAAAGATCTCACAAGTCAGTCCCACATTTTAGTCAAAAGACCAGTCAACAAATTGATAATTTACATGTACGAGTACGTAGTTATCCTGCTTGCACTTCACAGATAATGCCGGAAGTAGTTTGTCAAAGGGCACTACGGTAGCGTCGGAGATTGACAGTTCAATTAGTTTGACTTTTCAATAGCAATTTGCCATATTTCGACAAGCTAAAGGCGTAACATGCAGAATTTTTGCGAATGTCCACGTACTGTACTCTGTACGACGGAAGTGCACAATTCTAAAGCACCGGATAATATGTTTAACAAAGGCAGTCACATTCTGGTTATTCTGTTCCAGAAAAAAAGGGCTGCATTCCATACGCAGATGCACCCGGAATGTTGACTAATAATAAAATAAAATTTATAGTTGGAAAACATAAGGAATGCAGGCAAGAAGCGCTGTACAAAATATGAAGAAAAATAGCGTAATTTTTGTTGATAATTTTCGTCTGCTCTCGGTCAGCATGTACACGACCGTTCAAATCGAATATGGAATGCCAACAAAATGCTTGAAAAGGGCCATGTCACCCAGCGCCACGGACATGATGCTTAGGAGAAGCCGCCTGTCTCAAGGAAGCGTCGACGGGAAACGGATGTGAGTGAGGATGAAGACGAAGGGGCCAGTGATTACAGCAGCAAGTCAGCTCCCTTGTCGACGTTGATGGCAGGCTGAGGTGGACAGACGCATTATTGAGTGCCTGTGTACGTCGGTTATTTTTAACGTCGTATAGACGTGCGAGATTGATCGATTGTAATTAAAACTGGGTTGGAACTACAACGTCCTACTACAGCCGGGGGATTTCCCGGCTTTTTCCTTTATTGTGGCTATTTTGCATGTTTTGGTTTAAGCAAGGAAGGATGATAATTATTTTGGCTTGACCGGTTGTGCAACTTGATTTTTCTTTTCTTATGGTTAGACTGACGGAAACTTTGTATCGGTACTGTGAGTAATTCCAGAGTGTGGAAGCTGATGGTGAGCAATGGCGGTTGGAGATTAAAATCGTTCCGAATTAATTAAGTAACAAACACACCCATACATATACGCACTCTTACATAAATTATTTAGGTTGAAGATCGATAGGTCACTACTTTTGCAACTGTATATTCTTAATACTTGTTGTTCTGCAAGTAATACGTCCCAGATATCAAAAACAGACCTTAGAAATATGCAAGGGAACAAAACTCAAAATACTCAAAATTTACATTACGGTAACACTGAAAATTCAGTTACACTAATCAAAATCATTATATATTGCATCGTACGTAAAATGTGGAAGCTTTTAACATAACAGAAATATTCTGGCAATTCACGTAAACGGAATTAATGATAACTGAGAACTCGAAAATTTTTGGATTCATATTTCCAGTCTGCATGGTGTTTCTACGGCCTCCACGAGTGGAACAGCATGGCTAATCCAGACGTTCGTAATTATAACTAAGACTTCCACTGCGTATCGTATGTCCATGGTTGATTACATCGGCATCCTGCTGACCGGCCGTATCATCCTGGAGATTTTCTTTGCGTGACCGTGTCTCATCGCTGACATTGTAGGGCGACTCCGGCGTTAGGCTGTTGCGCCGTACTTCGAGATCATTATCACTTTTCCCCGGGAAATCCCGGCTGATCGACTGCTCCATGGAAGGGGAATTAATAAAAAACTCGGCACGCCGTTCGACAGCCGTATCGGCTGTCATAGTATTAGCATCTAATCGCTCCCCGCTAAGTGACGGCGGAACGACGCCGGCAATAATCTCAGCCACTTCACTAATCAATTCCGTCGCACGGCCCATCATCTGCGTGACGACACTGCCCCGGTGGGCGGTGGCGCTGGGCGCCGCCGTCGTGGGCTCCATAATGGGCTCGGGATCGGATTCTAATAGGGTGTCGCGGGCTCGGGTTTCGTCGCTGGTCATGTAGGGGGATTCTGGGTGAAACTGCTCCGCCGACTGTCCGATTGCGTGGTCATGGAGCCACGCCGCGAGGAAGACGTGGAGCTGACGGTCGGGCCTGTGTCGGTGGAGTTGGTGGAGAGTTTGCGCATGGAAGAGGGTGCCTCCGGGGACAGCGGAGACTTGCGGGTGTTTGGCGCTGGATTTACGGTTTGCTGAAACGCAGTAGAAAATTTACGAATTATGTATCGTGTATAAGGACATAGTTCCGTTAATGCACTAAATTCAAACTGGTCAATTTTTAAATAATTGACGTAAGTACTGCAAAATCGATTCCGCTTATAAGGATACACCAAAGGTACTGTATACAATTAGATACATTCTCATAGCATAAAATTATTGAAAACGCCATTGAAAATTTTATGTGTACTTTTACGTACCACTTTTACTGCAATTTGTGGCACATAATTAATGCCGATGATACTCTGTGATCACTGTGATGGGTTTATGGCACTCCTTTATACTGGCAAATTCCTTTTGCTGCCAAGTGCCAACTAATGCCATTTAGGCAGTCACAGAAATCCATTATTAAAAATTACAGTTTATGGTTAGTGATTTTAGCTTGATGCAGATTTTAGATTTCCAATTTTATTGATTTGCGTTGTAAGTAATAAAAATAGTACACTAGAAAACTGTTTGAAAGATATGAAATTGAGTTACCCTTGACCACAAATCCAGAATCTCTAATGCGCCCATTTTGTAAAACAAGTAGGCATATCTATAAAGTAAGTATAAAGTGTACAACATGTGTATCTGCCTACAGTACACTCGATTGATTACAAAAACGAAGCTACTTTACGTTGCATGTGTAAGTGTGACGAAAACCGCATCTAACAATGTGTTCGTACTTGTGCTTGCTTTTGGTAAATAACATATTGACAGTGTGAATTTCAGGCGGAGGGCAGTATTCCCTGCCCACTGTACAATGGCCACTCAAACCACAAGCTTATTATGGGTATTTGCTGTAGTGACCAATACTTCCCATAATTACACCACAATTCGGCGTTTCCAAACATTCAGTGACCTTCGCGATCGATGACACATTCCAAATGGTTTAAAACGCCCTTAATCTTGTTAAATTCGAAAGAAGTGCGAGAAAACTGAACCGCATTGAGTATATATAGACCATACACTTGTCAATTTGCACTAAATTGGCGTTAAGCGAATTTCGTGCGTCCTCGGCAGGAAGCACTAGTATAAATTGTTGACAACAATTACCGTAATAGATTGTTAAGCTCACACATTCTGTCCATACAAAACCAACGTGGCGTGCATTTCTAACGGGCATATTAAGATGAAATCCTGGCTGGAGCTTCCACTACGCTAAGCAAGCGATTGATACTTGCGAGTGATCATGACCTTGCACACATTAACCATAGCACGAGTATATACATAAGTAACACCTTTCATCAACAAATCTTGAGTTTTTACGAGTCGAGGCTTGTTGCATCTGCTTACCTTCAATGCGTATAATTTTCTTTACACTGTTATGTCAAAATTTTACTTTCTTGATAACTATTAAGCATTTATTGAATTTTAAGAAAGTCTGCTATATCCCAAAAACTCCAGTAACAGTTACTTATGCGCCTTAAAGGTTTTGAGCACATTAGAAGTGACCCTGATTTTGTGTATGCATCTGTCATAAATATTTTATGTGCTGCGCTGTAAATTAGCAGAAATCATCAGAATAAGACATCCGACCGGTCACCGAGGACGTTTTAGCTATATATATAGTTATTACCTTTGATTTACTTACGAGACTGAGAGTACAGGAATCATGTAATAAAATATATGAAGTCGCTACTTTTTGAATTAAGTACCCTCATGCGCTGGGGACGGCTTCGATTTTCCGGGCATATACAATACTATTATTTTTTGCTCGGGAACACAATCCGGATGCCTTAATCAAATATTCGCTGCTCTATACAGTAGTTCTTTTAAGTGGTTTTGCTGCTGAAAAGCTAAACTTCAAATGTTCAGCGTCTAGACTGATCACGCTTCCACTAGGCACCAATAATAAATATCTGTGTTTAAAACATGCGCGTGCTAGGCCTGATCACTGTAATCAATGTGCAGTAAGCTATCAAAACTAATATTTAATGCAGTAGGAAAGTGGAATTCACGACTGTAGAAGTCCAAGCCAATTTATCTTTTTTACGATCACCTCGTCATGCGCTACATATATAGTAATGGAAATGCAAGTGAGCCACTACAGAATTTTTGTTACTTAATTACCTCTGTGTAGAAAAAAGAGCAAAAATTTTCAATCACGAGAAGGAAAAAGCGATACTAGAGTCTAAAAACAGACATAATATTATGTAAACTCTAACTGGCTTCTGCATAGTTATGTACAAAGTACTTATGGTGCGATATCGCCATATCTTAACGTTTTAACATACCTGTATACAAGTATTGCAAAAAGTACTCTAACAATTTATTAAAATTATACTCAACGCAGGAATGTATAAAGATCCATTAATTTAACAAAAAAATGAGAATGCATCCATAACAATAGTATGACTGACATATAAATGAGAATGCATCCATAACAATAGTATGTCTTCAAACTTTTTTATGTACAGAGTATACAGCGTATAGTATAATTTTCACGGTTTGCAGTACAGACAGAGCAAAAAAATATTTTACGTGCATATTATATATATACTGTTGTAGTACAACCATACTACAACTGTTTTGAATAAAAAATACAATTGCGAAGTGCTCAATGAGTAATGTTGATATATCGTTAAATTGTATGCGTAGCGCAGTCATCTTACCGTTAATGTGGATACGCTGAGTTTTTCTTCGATTATCTCCATTATTTGCCGGTATCAAACAAGAACATCAAGCAGTAAAAGTATCCAACTGAATGGTTGGTAAATCTTCGCTATTGATACAACGAGCAGCATAACATCATTTTAAACGCTTACACAAAAGGACACATTATACAATGGATTATACGGGATAAGCCGGTAAAACTGTTTTCCCCGGTGTGGAAGACAACCTCGTGCATGCACGGGAATACTATGACGACATTCCGTGGGCCATAATTGCAGAACATTTACACAAACGCTGCAACGAGTGCAATCCACTATGTGTGCGATATTGTTGATGGGTGAATGGTTTTTCAGAGGAGACAGCGTTTTCTTAAACTCTCTGCAGTATATGTGTGCAGTGCAAAAATATCTACGTCGGAGAAAATGTCGATAAGTGCGCCGTGGGAATTTTATTTCCTGGCCCCAAACCGACTGGGATTGCAGCTGCAGCCTCCGCGCTGAAAAAGTTGCTTTAAGATGTTTGACGACTGCGCGAAGAGAGCGCCATTACCCAGTATTATACCGATAAATGCGGTCCCGTATATGTACATATAACAATTTATGTTACGTTTTTTCTCCCTCAAGCTGTCATGGGCAATCGTTTATAATATTGTACGCAAGTAGAGAGGGATTCCGGCGCATTGTGTAACGATTGCACACGATAAAACGCTGCATCCACTCCGCGCTTTCTCTTTTCTCCTTCTCCCGGCAATGCTATGCGTATCCAGTGTGACGTAATACGAAACGTATTTAACTCATGTTGGACAAATGAATTTCCCGTTGATCGATTGTGATCTTTCTGATCACTTCCCATCCCGAGCTGGCCGTCTTTCCGCTGAGGCATGTTATTATTTTCTTTGCTAGTGTGTTGCCATCTTCGGAAATCACTCATAAGTATGCGGAGGGATAGGCTGATACACAATACCGCTAGTGTCATCTCGTTTCACTCTATATTTAAATTTTCTGTGTATTTGCGCGTTTTATTGTAACCAATTGCCAGCACTGGTGTTGCGCCTCGACTTGACAATCAAAGTTTTCGCTCACTTAATGGATCACATTAGCCATTTCACTATATGCGTGTACGGGCTATTTCGGGTATACATAAGTGCGATCACCAATTAGTACGGAAAATTAATCCGTAACAGATGGAAAGCTTCTCATTTCAAGAACTTTAACTGGCGTTCGCATTTGTATTTTGTTGCGCAAAGCAGGAAGGCGCTTCGGTGGTTTTATTAGAGAGCTCAACGTCGACAAATTAAAGCAATATGCAGAAACCCTTTAGAACACAACCCGTACATTATGACAGCAATTATATGCAATACATGTGTTATACGTGAGAACTGACAGTCATATCGAAAAAATTGTAATAGTTATTGTTAATGACATCGATCGAAAGGGCGTTAAAGGCTCCCGCCAAAAAAAACAGAACTACCGTTACAATTTAAAAAGTCCGCATATATAGCATAAAGGTTATCATGTGCGCAGTATCATGTATATGTACAATTGCATTAATTCATAATTATATAAATTTAAATAAAGTCAGCATTACGGTTTGTTAGTGAAGTCAAACAAATGAACCATGACTGCCGGTTGATGCACGCTGTAATCGCGTCCGACAATCCCGATTGGCGTGGCATTATTCTACGCGTTCCAGTTGCCGACAGCTATCGGAAGTGTTGACGCTCGCCGACAGCGATGGGACCATCTTGGCAAAGGCCTCCGCCAAATCCCGTTCGGCATAGGAATTGGAGCGACTAGATTCCTGTGCGAGACGGATAGCCAGACCTTCCTCGCGTAAACGATCGAATTCCGCTGATAAAGATAGACGGCGCAGCTCGGCAGCATGTTCAAAATAATTACCGGGGTCCATGTTTTATCACTGGCTAATGTTGTGTTAACTACAGAATTAATGTCCGTGTGCGTAAGCGTAATTAAGATAATAATACTGTTGGTGGACGTGCGAAAATTTGCACTAAATCAAATCATTTGTGGAACAGCTCTTTTTAAATCGTTTCGCCCGTCTTTAATTGAACTCTTTCATTTTCATTTCATTACCATCATGCCAGCTAGCCACACCTAGTGAGTACTTAGTGCACGACCGCGGCACCGGTGAATAATGTGAAATTAATGCTCTACCCTACGAGGAGGTTGCCGCGCTGTCACTAGCCAATTAGCGAGACTTTCTTATTCAGCCAAATTATTGGCCAACGCTGGCCTGGTTGCTCTCTGTTCCCGGAAATCAGACATCACATTACACCGATCAGATATGGAAGCAATTGCAACGGGAAGAATAAACAATGTTGTGTAAGAAGACATTGTACGTGATTTAATAAGTGACCCGGCGCAAAGGTCGCACAAGTTGACTTGTCCACGCCATGGTCACAGCATGTTGGCATGTGCTTCGTGCAAAAACGCTATGCTAGCTGGAAGCATTGTATGTTGTGACTGCTTCAAAAAACTGTCCGTGTCCCAGATTCGATTTTGAGGAATTCTGTTTCGACTCCTGATACAAAGAAGGCACAGAGTGCTTTCCACAAGATTTTCGAACCTGCTACGCATTCCAAAAATAGCGGTGATAAAGCGCCTCGAACTATACTTTGGTTTCTTTCATCTTTCCGAACAGACTATAGCTTATAAATGACGGGAATTTACACTTTGACTATCTTTAATCAAAAGGCCAACTCGTAAAAGATCAGATCAAGGGTCCAAGTTCGAAATGGCGCAATTCCCGGAGAAGATTTAAGAAAGGTCAAATAGTACAAATTTTACAGGAAAATCAAGCATACGCCTTAGTGTTAAGAATGCTTCTGTTTCGTAGCAGTTTCCGTTCCTACAATCTGAGTTGGACGCTGGCCATCTTTGTCAGCGACCTGTATATCTCCATGCAAATAAATCCCTAGAAGAACGTACAGCGCGTTTAAGACACATAATAGAAACAATACTCGTACTCTTCGTATTGTTTCCATTTTTAATAAACAACACATACAAATTACGTTTGAATTTAAAAAGGGCAGTACTAAGCCGCAAAATAATGCAGAAAATGGAATACGTTTATCAAATGAGTACGAGTTTTAACAGTACCATGAACTTCAAGTTCGGGGCACAGACACTCAGTACTACAAGTCTACAACCAAGTTCTCACAAACCCTAACGAATATTTTTGGTTTAAGAAGTACCTGCAGGCGAATTCACCGGAGGTTGGTATGAGCTGATATTAACACCTAGTTCCTGTCCCGGTTGTTTAGCAGCGCCCTGCGGAAAAACATCCCACAATAAGCGGAGATCAAATTCAGTAAACAAACAATGCTAAAAATAACTCTGGATGGTAATTTCGTGGAGCGGCGGAAGTACTCGTACAAATCATTAGGCACCACATTTCTCTGAACAATCCAAGGAAGCTCGTATACAAAGAATGACCGATTTCTTAACAAGAGAAACATAGCAAGTGAGGACTGAAGACTAATCGTCAAAACAGAAATTTCACTTCTATTGATTACGAGCAAATAAAATCCAAAAAAAAATATTTTGGAATTATGGACAGCCAGGTAGAAGTTCAAAACACAATAAAACGGAAAGAAACCTGTCGCTTCCCAAAAAATTAAAAATACAACCACAGTATCAAAAAATAATTTAGAAAGCAAGTGTCGAAATCCAAACCAGGCTTTAAAAACTAAATAAATTACCTTCCAAGGCCTGAACTGCGATATTGCGTGAACTTGTGGTAAAATAAACTGTCGGACAATCATTTTTCTGAAATATGTTTACCACATCTTCACGCAAACATACCAGAAAGTCGTTCTAGCTCAGATCAAGCATTTTTAAACCCCTGGCCTATTAAAAAAATTTCAGTGGACATCGGGACAAACATACCTCGTCCGCTCCCGTGACAATCACTTCACTCTGATCCTCCCGGAGCTCTTTCCCGGGTACAGCCCCGACCACGCCAGCGACGGTCTGCCACACTCCGGTAGCACGATCCTTCAGCTCCCCCAGAGCAGGCCCCAGAACATCCCCCGCCCGCTCCTTGACATCGCCAATGATTTCCGATGCTTTGTGGATAACTTGCCCGAGGACGCCTTCCTCGGGATTTTTGGGTTTATCCCCGTTCGGATTCGTCCGGGACGAGTCGGAGTGTGAGGCAGGAGGATAGGAGGCGGCCTGAACGAGATGGCCGGGCTTCTGTGTGGTTGGTGCTGGGCCCACTACAGGTTCGTGGCCGACACTGTGCAGGTTGACTGGAACCTGGTGGAAATGGAGAGTGGCTGGAGCAGTGGAGTGTGGCGCAGAAGAGTCCATCTCGATGCCGAGAGATCCGCCCTGGCCGTGCTCAGCCGGCTGGGAATTCTGAAATCAGTTCCATTTATTGAAATGCTGTACTCTACAGAGATAATGCTAGATCGTAATATAAAAATATGGTATCACAACTGGAAAAACGAGAAGTGCCGAGTCAAGAAACATTTGACGGTACGGTACGCAAGCGGCAAGCTGTGCTCTACTCTTACGGAGTCTTACCTTATTCTGGTCTGAATCCATCCTGATGAATTACGGCGAAGGAAATCAAGAGTTTCAAAGTGCAGACAACCACACTGCAACAGATTCCCTTTTTCTGTGACAAAATTACAGAAAATTGTGCGAAGAAAATAAAAATAACTTGGACTGTAGCTGGAAGTTTAGGAAACGTTAAAGTTTTAGGAAACTTCTGATGTGACTAGAACTAGTGAATACAACACGCAGGTGCAGCCTAACCAATAGAATTTGCCTATTTTGAATAGAGAACTTTCTTAGCAAATCACAACAAAGGAGGATGAGTCAGACTCTAACAAGCTGGAAAAAGCGAAAGAAACTTGGCTAACATCGGCTCCGCTATGGTAAACCGTAAATAGCGTAAAATTTTCAGTTTGAATTCATGACTTTTAGGATTTCCGATTTTATCCAAAGATGTTTCCTCTCGCTCCTTAGTTTTGGTGTTTATTAGTTTAATCGCAGCAGACTACAAGCCTTATCATTTTGCTGTAGATTACGCAACGTTTAATGCGAAATACCACGACGGAGAGTGGAAGGTAAGGACATGAAGAAAGCGACGAAGTCTTCCCGTCCTTGGTTCCTTGGTTGCAGCCGTTTCGCCGCTTGTTTGTTAAAATCAAAAGCAACATTTGTGATTTATGTGGTACAATGGCTATAAACCAGTGAAGCTTATTTTTACCATAGAAGTCCTGATAAGTTACCCTGTTCGAAGTAAACAAGAAAATGGAGCATGGAAGTGTTCCGACGCAGAGCGATTATCCGCGAGAAGCTGGGAAAGAATCCAAGGATCCGGAACTGAATCCCAACGACACGCTGTCATCGGAGCGGGAAGGTGAACAGTCAGAGAGAAATCAGGACACTTCGGCTGGTTTTGGCTCTAATACTGGACAGCACATCAAGCAGCATACCGAAAGCGCTGGCAGAAATCCTACATAAATTCGTGTCCATTCATTTTGGCCGCCATTCATTTTGGCCACCGTTCATTTTGGCCACCATTCATTTCGGCCACCACTGATTTGGTTACCGCGTTCGATTTTCTTAGGTTATTCTTACGGTATTCGTAGGTTTTTTTTTCTTAGGTTGTACATGTACAACCTATAGTATATATGTACAACCTATAGTATATGTGCTCGTATTTATATGTGTTCTTAGGTTTGCTTATTTTTGTTTTCTTATTTTTGCTTTTTTTATGTTTCGTTTTCAAAAAAAATGTTTGGTCATAGCCTTACAAAGTGAGTAGCGAGTGCATGTACGAGTATTAGCTAAAAATCGAAAGCGGTAACAAAATCAGTGGTGGGCGAAATGAATGGTGGCCAAAATGAATGGTGGCCAAAATGAACGGTGGCCAAAATGATAGGGCGCCCATAAATTCGCTGTTCAGTATTTTTGCATTTGTTGCAGCGTTAGTTGCAGTCATGCGTTTGAAAGGTTTCTGTGATCTTGGATTTTGTTGCTTGTAAAACAGTATTGTATTAATTATCCATAAGAACCTTTCAAATTCTCCAGTTCTTTAAGCTTTTCAATTGGGTATAAAGTGTCATAACCGCAGTTTAAAAGGTTATAAATACGTCTCAAGTCTCAACATGCTCGCACATGTACAGTGTACGTTAGTGCCCTGCAACGGATTGGGAAATCCGATCCATTCCGAACCCACTCCGTTTTTCGGAGCGGATTGGGCGGGTTTTCATTATTAAATTTCGGATTAGGAGTGGTTTCGGAGTTTAAACGTGTTTGATTCGGATTTAGTGATGAATCCGAATTACCCGAAATTAAATAAATTTTTAATAACCATTTTTTATTGAATTTCATGAAGTCACGAGCGAGAAGCAGTAGGCACTAGGCAGTACCACAATGCAATACGTATTATGCAATAAGTAGCCGAACATGGGCGGCCGAACAGCACGTAGTCTTCTTAACGGGCTCCCGCCCTCTGTAACGAGCTAGCTATTATTACTGGCACGTTGCATAGTAAATGCGAAGTTTGCAAACCGAAAAATCTCCCAGCTTTGTTATTAATGAAAGTGCAGTAATTCCCACAATTTTGCGGCAGGTTCATTGAACCGTGACAGGTTCTTATATGCGGTATACGACTAGAATCAGTCGTAGCATATATGAAACTGTAGTTTCGGTTTTTGGTCTTCGATATCCGTGTGTAAACAAAAGTAATTTTTGGCGCCCGTAGAGTACGGAAGGGTCCGGCCGGTTGAAGGAAGCGGTGGGGCCTAACAGTCATGTGACATGAGTCATGTGACATGCGTCGAGTAACGATGCGTGAAACTTGTAGATGGCGTTGTTACCTCGGCATCTTCTTTAGGTTACATTATGTGCTCCTACATTATGTAGGAGCACCTTGCAATGTGCTCGTACATTATGCAGGAGCACATTGCATCGGTTTCATCGGTTCTTGGAGGAGAAAAACGGAATTGTAGTACCCAAACAAACGTAATCCAATATGCTCCTGCAATGTGCTCCTACATATGTAGGAGCACATTGCAAAGTGCTCCTACATATGTAGAAGCACATTGCAATGTGCTCCTACAAAATGTAGGAGTACATTGCAGGAGCATATTGTATGTGGAGATTATAAGGGGTAGGAATATAAAGTGCTGAACAGAGAATTTAATAATGTAGTAAATTATATTAAAGGTGACATGTTTGACGAAAAGTGATAATGAAGAAATGGTGAACTAATCCAGTGTAGCGAAGAAAAGGTCTACATTGAATTTGGGTGAAGATAAAGGGATTTTTACTGTAGTATGGCATAAATATATTCGACTTTCTGGTTGTTCGTATTTGAGTGTTTAATGAAGTGTTACAGGAAGTGGAGTGTGTCGCAGGTTGTAGATAGTGATGGATTATTGTGGAAAATTCAAGAAATTTCGAGAAAGTTGATTGCTTAATGGAGCAGACTATTATGTTTTGCTCTGATAGTCTTGGATGTGTAGGAACAGGTGGTTTGTATATGGGAAGTAGGTTGGTAGGTACATTAAAAGGTTGTTCGAGAAAATGTATAGTTTAATTGGTTTATTGACTGGATTTTTTGAGTTCGGTGGGTATATAAGAAGTTGAGGAATCTTGTGTTTGAGTTATTATGGAGTGGACGAAGTATATGGAGTGAGCAAAATCTTTTTCTTGTTGGTTATTTTTTGGTGGCCGGTGTGGATTTGTGGATACTTACTGATTCAGGTTGCTGTCTTTTGTTTGGCTTTGGTAAGTCTTTTTAGGTTGAGTATGGTTTAGTAAGTTTTCTTTCATACATTATTTTCGTTTAAGAATTCTTTTTTTCATAAAATAATGGAAGGTGGTTGTGATTGTAAGAAATACATGCGTGAGTATATGCGTGATTATAGAAAGAAATGCAAAATCGAAACTGATGGTAATTGTAGCAGGGAGGATAACGTGGGAAGTGGTGATGATGTTAGATATGAGAATGTAAAAGTTAAAAAACAAAAATGTAATCGGAATACTAAAGGTGGTGCGTTTTCTGGTATGTTTGGAAAAAATTATTGGAGAATTTTTGGACAATTATTGGACAATTTTTGTAAAGGGAACGTGCTAAACGACATTTGCGGAGTATGGTAATGTGTAATGGTTGTCCGGATCTTTTCTTAAGCATTACTTTACGATTTACTTTACTTTACAAAAAACTTGAATTGTTGTGTTTTGTTGACCCTGTTAAGTTTACATTTTTGTTTTTTAACTTCGCATTTTCATGTCTAACATCATCACTACTTCATTATCTTCCTTGCTACAATTACCATCAGTTTCCGTTTTGCGGTTTTTTCTCTATAATCACGCACATACTCACGCATGTATTTTTTGCGATCACAACCAGTTTCCATTATTTTATTAAAAAAAAACAATACTTAAAAGAAACTATCTATGAAAGCAAACTTACTAAACTATACTCAACCTAAAAAGACCAAAGCCAAACAAAACAACAACCTGAATCAGTACGCTTCCGAAAATCTAAACCGGCCACCAGAAAATAACCAACAAGAAAAACATTCTCCTCACTGCATATACTTCGTCAAATCCATAATAACTCAAACACAACGTTTCTCAACTTCTAATATACCCACCGAACTCAAAAAATCCAGTCAACAAACCAATTAAACCAAACATTCTCTCGAACAACCTTTTAATGTACGTCCCAGCCTACATCCCATATACAAACCACCTGTTACTACAGATCCAAGACTATCAGTGCAAAACATAATAGTTCGCTCCATTAAGCAATCAACTTTCTTAACTACACAAATTACTACTACAAAAATTACTACCACCAAAATGACTGTGTAAACCTATGGAAAGTTACAGATTAAACGCGCAATTTTCAAGGTCTCAACTGCAGTAAAGAAACACCCACAACCTCTCATGTCCTTCATACACTCACAAAATTCTTTCCCCTACTATTATTATTCCTTTTATATACACAAATCCGAAATTATTTTAAATCCCAGTATTCCTCTTTCTTATCCCGTACCTGCCGCTACACAATCGAGAGATTGTCCACGCAGTGTATATTTGATTGGTTACACTCCACATCGTTTACAATGTCGGAAGAACCGATTGAGATTTCTAGCGATGAAGAGACATCTACAAATGATTCTGGTAAAAAGCGTTTACGTTCTTTTTCTGCAAAAGTTTATAAGCGCGGAGATATATCAAGTGGTTTGAACGATGGAAGCCTGTCAAAACGGCAGACTAGAAAGCGTTCAAAGGCATGGGAAAACTTCATGGAGATTTACGAGACTGAATCTGGAGGCATCGTTCCATATGTCTGCTGTACTGGATGCAAAGACATTCTCAAGCACACGTCCGGAAATGGAACGTCTCATTTATCCCGACATGTCAAGGAATCTTGCAGGCCGATTGTGCAGAAGAACCAGCCTAAAATCACTTCCTACGCTCAAAGCGAAAAGCCTCCCGCTGTTTCCATTACTGCCAAAACTCTGATCACGGAGAGCTGTGTTCGTTTTGTAGCAGAGGTAAGTTGAACATTTAAAAGTGCTTGACTGTTTTATTGCAATAATGCTTTACGAGGCACCGCAGATTTTTGCTAACTGCTAACATCTGATATCACTTCAGCAATCAGTAACGTTTTAATTTTTTAATTTATTACGTGATTCATGGCGTTATTACTTTTATTTTTTTTACACTAGTCAATTTCCTAACGAATTTCACGCTA